CCAAGTTCCAGTGAGGTCGGTTGGTGCGGAGTCTACTTTCATGGCAGAACAACCACCTACAATTTTCCTATGAACATTTCACAGCGACACAAAGAGTGCCCCCTTAAGCCCCTTTAAATTCTCTGGGTATTCATTTCTCTACATCGGATATGATCTGGGAATCAATATTGTCGGACATCCCCGACAATTGATCTACGTATATCAACTCATGATCCCCATGAGGTGAACCATTTCTGAACTCGTTTTGACAGCTCTCCATGGATTCTTATGGACTTGCTCGATCGGGGACTTGAAAACAGACAGCGGAGAGTCCGATTTGCACATCAAGTATGGAGGTGGCAACACATCAGATGAACATTTTTCTTCCCTTCTGTTCCCCTTGCATATGCAGTCTGGATTGAAATGTTTAATTAAAAGTATCGAGTTAATACAACTTCAGACATTATTGGGCCGAGACCTGCAGAAAATGAATTGAATCTGAGACCCATGTAACAAGCCAAGCAAGGGGCGCGATGTTGTGACACACGCTTTCCAGAACAAATGGAACAAGGGCTGGACGATCAGAATAAACATGCAGAGACATTCTGCATACGTTTCCAAATATGGAATGCTGAATGCGTCTCAACTCCATGAAAGAAGAATATAGAAACATTGCCGAGTAAATTGCAAACCATGCAAACTAAGCTAGGGACGAAAGCCAGAACTTTCAGGCGGCAAGGCATCAATTATTTTGGGTCTCGATGCGTGAAGCTGATCTGGGACGTAGGCCGACGATCTTCAATCATATATTATCATTGCGCAGTTATCTGATGGCCGTAGCGCTTTCCCGCAAGCCTTCAAAATGGGAAATTTCTTTGTTGATACAGTACCCGTCACGCTCCATAGTTGCTAGTAGGCAAATACAGTGAAGTGAGCAGCCTCGGAAGCAGGAAGCCTTTGCTTCGAAAAGCGCATGCATGAGTACCGATGTGATGATCAAGTCTACTAATATATATATGGTATTCAGATGGTTTCTTGTAACGTGATTTGACCGGGAATGCGCCATCGATAACTTCCATTTTGAACTCAAGTGCAATATAGGCCTATATGCTTTTGCAGAATATGATATTGATTCAATCTGATAATCTCGCACCTAGGAAGAAGCCATGAGATATAGACGAACTGAGACACCCTGCTCTGCTTTTGACGGCACCAATAGAGCTCAAGTAGAGACATGACTATCGCACTGAAGATACGCAACGTGGAGGGGATTGTAGTTTCAACTTTGAAGAAATTCTGAAACCAATCTCTTTCCCCCTTTATTGTAATGTGTATCATTCTATATTCCTAGCAGGGCTGATGATTTCATTGCAATCTCCTATACTGCATACGCCTTATTTTACGAAACATGCGTCCAATGAGAAGGTGTTCGCCTGACCTTTCAGATCTCCCACGTCACTGCATGAGTTAATTGCACTGAAGCATCTAGACAAGTCTCAGGTTTTAATAAGATCTCTGTGGAATCTTGCCCCTGAGACGCGTCCGTGATTCTATTCTCTTCTCTGCCTCGTGACTACTTCCGGGCCCTCCGGCATACACCGAGCCCTATCGGCACCGGCGTGCCGAGTCTGCTGTACTTAAGCCATCGGCTTCCCGACCTGTTTCCTCCTGTGTATCCGGCTCTGGAATTTTGGTATAATGCTGGTCTACACACTCTGCATTTTACTGGCAGGCTTCTCTACATCACGGAACTTCCACGTCTGATCATGTCGAAAGCTCATCACATATTCCTATTACTTAATATTGAGTACCATTAACACTTGGCACTCAACACATACTAACACGATGACTAACTTCATTCTCATTCGCAAATTCGTTCCACCACTTCAAACCAACCAATCGTTTCGGTATTCGATGTGTGCTTGCAGATTTTTCTTTTCCATCTTTCCGACGTTACTGTCCCATCGGAGCTTCGCCGGCTAGCCAAGACCTTTCTGCCCGGCAGGCGGGCCGGTTACCTCAAACAGTTTGATCCCGAAGCTTACGCCCAAAGCTGACCGAGAAAAATCGGCATCGGCCCGCTGTCTCTACAACTCAGCATGGGTCTCTGAAGGTGTCCGAAGTTTTGCTTGGACACCGAGACCAATGCAATATGGTGGGTTTCGGCGTAGAAGAAGATGATAGGCTGCATGCAGTGATGCACAGTACTACCGATGGGGAATGGTGTCAGATTTAGCCCTCTGAAGCTCAGACAGGCATCAGATTTTTCGACGCTATAGCGGCTATACACGGGCATACAGCCCCTGATATACGATATATCGATGGACGGGCAAGTGACAGCTGCGACGTCATTCTACAGACTGATCTTCTGATCCCTCTGCGGGAGGCGCCGCACGTGTGGTCGTCATCGATAGCTGTCACAGCGTACAGAGTACTAGATACTCAGATCGGACTATCACCGTTCGTTTGCCAGATAACATCATTTTGCAGGTGTCCGACCGGGGTGTGAGCCCTTTTTCGGAGAACGAGCGAGCCTCGTCTCGCGGTGGGCATGAAGTGTGAACAATCGCCGGTGCGACTATCGCGACTGTTTCAGTCGACCGTGTGGGTTATGCGGAGCATTTTGTTTCGCTGTACACACGATGATTGCTCGAGAGCTATCCGCCGCATTCCGGATGCAACATGCGCCTCTGACGTAGTGAGATGAAAATGTTAGTGTGTGTGTGGAAATGGGCCCATGTGTGAAGCTGGATGGGGACCTGAGGGGCCAAAGAATTCTGACGAGTTAGGGTACACCGCAGGCCCGCTGGCAGCTCAGGAACAATCAACCGTCATTGGTGTTTCACGAAGAGGGCAGGCAACAAATTTATTGTCATTGGCAGATATGATGACGATTTTCACTTGGTGCGCGTCGTTTGTGGATCTACTGGCATCCACTTGGATCTGCTCGAGCATTGGCTGCTCCCCACCCTCGCCTCCACCACCCTTTGCTCCCCACCGCTTAGGGCTTTTTGCTAAGAGGGCTTGTCCGATTCTTATCCCTGCTAAAGCGGCAATATCAAGAGCTTTAATTCCTTACCCTGCTTCTTAAATCCCTTGGCGCTTGGCAGTCTATCCGTGAGGGGCCGCCATTGACGTATGAAGTTCCTGTTCTGGTTACTGTCGTGGGATGCTGTTGTCGGCTTGACGATTTGCTCGGGCACGGTGCGACAGGCAGAACTTGAACGTGGGATTTTGGTGTAGCAGTGCGGTACTACCAGGATTTTTTTCGAAGCAAGGCAGAAGCTTATCGAGGTGGGCTTTTGTGCGAGGCCTCCGCATGGGACACGAGGGAGCATTGTACATATGAGTTACTAAGCTTATGCCATGCGATGTGCAACGAGATTGGTGCCTCTATTTCTACACAAGATGAGGGGCAATATTAGGAATTTTCTTACTGGTTGCCCATGTTTATGTTATTCGGATCAGCCGACATTGGCTATACGTTTTCAGTCGGCGTATCCGGTAGAACAATGGCGCAATATCAACTAAAGGTAAGGAGTTGGAATTCGCGGGTTCCGAAGATTGCGGCAGGCCGAGAAAAAAAAAATCATTGGGTCGACTCCACGCAAGGAAAATCATCCATGCAAATCCAAGGATGGTGAACCAAAAAATTGGGGACGTGGAGACAAATCCATGTTTGAGTCTATGAGAAGCCAACAACCAAACCCACGGTGGAGGATACCCATACGGTCATCTGGCCTGGCGTCAAATCACCGATTACCATCCATCACTACTGTGATAGGCAAACGATACGCCCGCCTCGGTACCTTGACAGATGCCAACTTCGCTAAAGCAGTTGTGGTTACTCATGGAAATTGCTTTTGTCGTCTTATGAATAATCTGACTTTTTGACCAATGCATGAATATTATTGGCGCCATCTAACATCTTGCCTTGCAGGTTAACGCTAGGCGCGGTTGGGAAACCAATAAACGGGAACGGCTTCCCGAACGGCGTCCTCTTCTCGGCACGATGGTGAGAAGCTTTAGTAGACCGTGGATCCCGTTATTAGCGACGGGAATGGCGTGAAGCTATAGTCCGCGTTCGACTTTTGCTGATAAGAACGTAATATCGTGTAGATTGAAGGCTTGAATAGCACTGGATGTGAGATACAGTGGATGATCTCATCAGGTCATGCGTCCGTGATCAAGGGCAATACCCCATGGGAACGGAAAACCCCTCGCTCTACTTTCCCCAAGGGCTGGGGCGTGGAGATGAAAAAGGAAAGTCAGGCCTGTGTCAGGATGCTCCATGTGACGTCCGCTATGCCCTACTCCCCATACGGAGTAATGATATCCCCCTACACACGGAATGGGACTTCTACGGAATTCTTCGATAAAGAGACCGAGGAATGAGAGAAGCCGACCGAAGCACAAGGTGGACCCGAATACCTACGTCGGAGGTAACAGCCGGCGACAAGCTGTGCATTCAGAGGCCTAAGAAGTTGAAGAAGCCATCGGGAACGGAAGAATGTGCCAATGATAGTGGACCGAGAGGTCTTCAGGGGACCCATAGTAGTGTGAATAATCTTTTCTTTTTCAAAATTGGATTTTGTAGAATTTAGGCTTTGTATTTTTATTTTTATTTTTTCTCCTCTAAGGCTGCCTTTTCCAGGGAATCCTATGAGTGATGTCACAGCTGCACTCCTCCATTGGGCCCACTGAGCTGTGGAGCCCCTTGCGAACCGCGCCAAAAAAATGCTTAAACCAGAGTTATTGATGCATTCGGTCCCCTGCTCCACAAAACAAACAATGGTACGGTTAACTATGAAAATTGGCAAGTTGGTGGAGTATTATTTTGGGGGAATAACAGATGTCTGCCCAGTAGGCATACCTGGTCGCCACAACTGCCTGTACCTGGAGAAATAGAAATAACCCCCCCTCTCCCCCCGACTTCTCCGCGTTTGATCGCTTGTCTTTTACTTTCCTTGTCAACCATCCTAGGTTCGATCCTCAGGCAAAAATAACGGAACGAAACCGCCGGGAAACGAGCGCGACTGTTCCTTGATCTCCTTTTTCTGCACCGGAGATTCGTATCGAGTTGTGCATATCCCTCTTGTTGGCCTATTCCTCTCTTCAGACTACCTAGCCTAGCATGGCGCCTACATTTGCTGGCTTGTCGGGCCGGCCACTGTCGTTGGCCGTGTCCACTGTCGCTACGATGGGTTTCTTACTGTTTGGATATGACCGTAAGTCATTATCACACCGTCCCTCCCATATATTTAGGAAAGTATGTAGAAGATGTGGGAAGGCTAATCGTTTGCAGAGGGTGTCATGTCCGGTATCATTAGTGACAAGGCGTTCAACAATGTTTTTACTGCCACCAAGGACGATGATACAATGCAAGCGTTGGTAACAGCTGTTTACGAATTGGGTTGTTTGGCAGGTGCTATTTTTGCCCTGATGTTTGGTGACCACACTGGTCGTCGGTGGATGATCTTCTCTGGCGCTATTGTCATGATTATTGGTGTCATCATCCAGGTTACCTCGTTTGTTGATCACATTCCTCTGCTTCAGTTCTTCATTGGTCGTGTTATCACAGGTATTGGGAACGGCATGAACACTTCCACCATTCCCACATACCAGGCCGAATGCTCCAAGACCAGTAACCGTGGTCTCCTGATTTGTATCGAAGGTGGTGTAATTGCTATTGGTACTGCAATTGCCTACTGGATTGACTTTGGAGCCCACTATGGTCCCGATGACTTGGTGTGGCGTTTCCCCATCGCTTTCCAGATCGTCTTCGGTGTTATCATTATTGTTGGAATGTTTTTCCTTCCCGACTCTCCTCGTTATTTGATCTCCAAGGACCGCATCCAGGAGGGCGAGTACGTGCTCGCTGCCCTTGGTGGTTTTGAGATTCATGACCAGGAGACTCAAATCCAGAAGAACCTGGTCATCGATTCGATCAGAGCGTATGTTTACTGCCTTGAAATCTTTTACCCGATATGACGGTAACTAACTTGAATAATAGTTCCGGTGCTGGAGCCACCACTCGCTACAGGGACCTTCTTACTGGCGGCCGTACTCAGCATCTGCGTCGTATGCTTATCGGCTCTTCTTCTCAAATCTTCCAACAGCTTTCAGGTTGCAATGCTGTGATCTACTACCTTCCCGTCCTTCTGAAACAGTCCCTGCACCAGAGCAACGATGAAGCCCTTCTGATTGGTGGTATCAATATGATTGTTTATGCCATCTTTGCCACCTTCTCGTGGTTCTTTATCGAGAAGATCGGTCGTCGCAAGCTGTTCTTGGGTGGTTCCATTATCCAGACCATTGCCATGATTATCACCTTTGCTTGTTTGATCCCGGATGACAAGCAGATATCTAAGGGTGCTGTGTTCGGTCTGTTCTTGTACATGGCTGCCTTTGGCGCTGCTTGGCTTCCTCTTCCCTGGTTGTACCCGGCTGAGCTGTCTCCTATCAAGACTCGTGCCAAGGCCAACGCTGTTTCCACCTGCAGCAACTGGCTCTTCAACTTTACCGTTGTCATGATTACTCCCGTCATGATTGCTCACATTGGCTGGGGTACTTACCTGTTCTTCGCTGCCCTGAACGCTTTGTTCATTCCTATCATCTGGCTCTTCTACCCCGAGACCGCCAACCGAAGCTTGGAGGAAATCGACATCATCTTCGCCAAGGGCTACACCGAGAACATCAGCTACGTCAAGGCCTCCAAGGAACTGCCGAAGCTTTCTGATGAGGAGATTGAGCAGAAGGCGAACGAGTATGGATTCGGCAACTCCACCGAAGATCCTGAGAAGGTCGTTGCTGCCGAATACTCCCCTTCGACCTCGGAGTAAATGGATGGATAGATCCTCTCTTAAAAGCAAAAGTATAAAAGAGCATGGGTGTACTTGGGAGAGATTTTCTTCCCATCAGCCATCCCGAAGCATAGTTTTCTTTTTCCGGGTTCTCCTTTCTCTATATACCATTCTCATATTGACTTTCTTTTCTTTTCTTTTTTTTTTTTTGCCGATGGATTCGGCGCCGCAGCTGCCCTGAGTCGGTGCAGCTGTTCAATTGATTCCCCGTTTTGTTTGTTTGGCTTTCAGATATGACTACCCCCTGAGTTTTCTCCGTGGAACGGATGATGTGGATTTTTCTTTCTTGCCAAAGAGCAAAGCATGTGTATACTTTTCAGGATTGTCATGAATGACGATCACTGGCATTAGACTTGATATGAATAGAATATCGCAGTCAATTTTCACCTCTCTCATATTCTTCTCAAACGAAAAAGTGTAAGAGATCAAGTATCAACAGGCATGGATAACACCAATCTTGAAAATAAGTACCTATCACATTGCCAAAATGAGCGGCTAAGTTACTTCTTCAATTAATGCGAACAGATTATTGATAGCCATTCGAGATGGAAATCTCCTGAGCACAGTCCCAATAAACAATACTATTTTGTTTCTAGGCATATACAAGCTCTAGACATCGTTCTTTGCACGATCCATATGCTCAAGTCAAAGTTCAGTCAGTCCCCACGCTTATGTGGGGAAGTAATCAATGGTACTACTGTGTATCTAAAGTTTCCCCTTCGAGAATACTGTGTGGGGATGATTGTGGCAGGTTGCTAACAGAACCCCTCTGTGGGACTAACAGGGCCACCGTAACAATGCCACCAAATGTACTGCTTCTTACTCCAGTAGTGATGTGTGGCTATTCAAAGTCATACTCAGTGTATGTCTTTGGTATAAAAAAATCGTACCAAGAAGTGTATATTGATAAAACTAGAAGAGAGCCAGCCAATGAACAAATGCGCAATCATGCCTTAAAATACTACCAATGTATGTACTACTCTTAACAATGATTGTAAAGTGTGCTCTGACCACTTGTTTCATGTCTCAAAACCATGATGAACACCTGGGTGCTTTCAAACTTGGAAGCTTCTACCCAAAGATACGTAGGGATCATTCTCTACTGTACAATCCTGAATCCATACTGTTCCCTCACAAAGGATCCTCCAGAATTTGGGACGTAGCGGCTCTTTCTGTAGCACTAAGCTCTGTCATTCTAGATATCACCCTCTTCTGATATGAAACTGGAGGACATAGAGGAAGTCGGCTGGGATTATTCAATTGCGCAGCCTTTTCAGGTACTCAGAACAGTCGATATCACAAAACTTGACCTTCGGTTTTTCGGTTTTGTCACGTCTTCTCTTAAACCAATATGTACACAGACGGACTTCAACAATGTGCTATACCCCCCTTCTTTTGTTTGTAGATCGTTAAATGAAAATAAACCCGCCCCGATCGGCTGAACATATCGTGGCTCATCAGGAAGATGCTGTACGAATGAGCTAAATATTGACTGCGTTGTCGAAGCCACTTGAAAGAGTTCGCGGGAAAGGACAGAAAATGGGGTTCTCTACCGGCTGGACAAAACAGGATATGTAGAAGCTGATGCTACTACTTTTCGGCATGTGTATGAAGCTTAGTCTTCGTATCTAATGAAGTATCTCACACTGACTACCTAAATGTAGCGCCTACCTACCACGATGTCTTCTCCAAGCTGCCCCTATAAATGTGGCATAAGATGCGAAGGTGCCATAGATGATTTTACCAAGATACATAGTTTCCACCCTTAGCTGAAGGGACTTGAGGTGAAACCGAGCAACATAATCGGAATTGGATCTGGCACAGACGAAGTAATTGCACACACCTTGCACAGTCACCAAGATTCGCCCTCTCTTATAGTCATCACAGGCTGGACGACTCAAAGCACATAGGAATGTCTAGATTAGCAGAGTATCCTAGGCTACGAGTAACTAAGATGGATATGGCATCCTTAGTGTTGACTGATATATAGACAGTTGAAGAGGGGCAGGAAGGAAAGGTTGGGTCCGATTGCAAGTTATATACGAACCGTAGCGCAGCCATACGTACATATATCAAGATCTTCGCATCATCTATCGGTAATCATGTACAGCATTACAACTGCAAAGTAACTGGCGCCACGATGGAGTCTTTGATCGCGTGCTACCACGCATCAAAGGTCAAGATCTAGACAACTTTCTCAAATCTTTTTACGAAGGTGTACAGTTATGGCAATACCGCTGCCACCTTGTACTCCCGGATCATCCAGAATAAATTTCATATTCTTTCGGGCATTGAGGCAATGTGGAGAAAGCACCTTGTTTGTATAGATTATACTGTATTTTTCTGCTGCGCATACATCGTCGGTTTCTCATGAACATTACCTTGTTCATCTTTCAATATAAGAGATTAAAAATCAGGTAGGGCCGGATGCACCGTTCCTGTTTCAGTATTAGAGTTCGTCGGAGACCGAGTGTGTCGCAAAACCAGCAGTCAAATTACTTCCAGACCACCTATCTGCCTGGTTCCGGGGTACTCCGCGACTATGGCACGAGAATCAACAATCTGCAATCTCATAGGCTATGTATCCATAAATTAGGCTGATCTAATCGGGGGTCCACAGCAGATTCAAATTTAAATGAGGTACCTGGATGATGTCATCGGAGGTATATTTTGAAAAGACCGCGGTGTCGATGAAAAATCATATAATTTCCAACTGATAATGATAGATTATCGAAACAGAGTTGCCGCAGGAAGCGAAAACTTGCAAGGTCTCATTAGTGTTGCGTCAAAATGTTGTTATTGTTCATTTCAAAGCCAAGAATGTAAGGGATTTGTCCCTTGTCTGAGCGCACTGACGATTGTTGATCGGTAATTACTAGCGATTCGCATTTAGCTCTCGATTGTTCCCGCTGAAAGGAAAACAAAAACAACACAGAGTCAGGTGAGAAAATTAAAGCAGAAAAGACAATCGACTTGAGCATTGGAGAGAAGAGAGAAGAGAGAAGAAGTAAATCCGGAAACAATGAAGATGGGGTTGACACCTGACCGGATCTTGATTTCTGTGGGGGTCAGCTGATTGACTTCGCCCTGTCACGCCCTGTAAAATGTACGTTTCGTCGAGAATCGCAATGACTGGTATTCTAATTAAAATGTTCTCGTAAAATTCTCTTGAGCCTCGTCTCCGCCATCGACCACAGAAACATCTTTTCGTTCCTTCTCTCCTCTCCCACATATTTTGGCTGTGAAGGAGGATTTTCCGGCTTCGCTGTGGTCCGGATTTGTCTGTTTATTACCCACTGTGTTTCTCCTGCCGGGATATTTTTCTTTCCTTTTTTTTCTCTCCTTTATTCTCAGTTCTATTATCATTATTATTGTACCATCGGGATCTGACGTGCATGCCGTTGCATACGAGTAGTTTTCACTGCCGGTTTGCTTTCATTTCTTCCTCCGGTTACCATTAATATTGCTGGAACATGCAAATTCAGTTCTCCAGCGGCCCCGCCTTTGCGTCTACCCCGCCATGAGTTCATCTCTCGAGGCCAAGATCGTCATCTTGGGCTCACAAGGTACGGACACCGAGTTTCCTCGTCTCTCCCTCTTCTCTCGCTCATGACTAACAACTTGTTTCAGGCGTTGGCAAAACATCTTTGGTCCAACGCTATGTGAAGAACGCTTTCAATCCTGTGGGAACCGCGTCCACCGTCGGCGCATCCTTCGTCACCAAGCGTGTCCTCGACAGTTCCTCGGATACCATTGTCCGTCTGCAAATTTGGGACACGGCTGGACAAGAGCGGTTTCGCAGTATCTCTAAGTTGTATTACCGTGGCGCCAACGCCTGTCTCCTGTGTTACGACATTACGGACGAACAAAGTTTCCAGGAAATGACGGGGTGGTTACTGGAATTGAAGAAGAACTTGGGTGACGAGGACCCGGTTGTAATCCATGTCGTCGGAACGAAATCAGACATTGTAGCATTGGATCCATCCCGTCGTCGAGTCCCCTTTGAACGTACCATTGCCTACGTCGCCGAGCAGCTGTATCCGTCTCAGGCGTCCACTCCCCCGCCCACGGCTGGCGTCAGCCATTCGTCTAGCACCACGCTCCAAGGACTCGACAGCAAGCGCAGTAGCGGGTTTTGGGGACAAGATATCGGATGGGACTGCTGTCATGAAATCAGCGCCAAGGACGGTGAGGGCATCGAGGAGGTTTTTCAGGTCATCACGCGCAAGCTGGTGGAGCAGCGTAATAAACAACTTGGCATTACCTCATCACAGGGGTCAACATCAGGCCTGGACGGCGTTACATCGCCGGTGGGGCCGGGGACTCTCGAAGGCAATGGTAGTTTTAGGCTGGGACATGGTGACAAGCGTCGAAGCTGGCTTGGATTCCCACCTAGTAGTGTCGGAGAGGAGCTCGATGAGAGAATTGAAATCACCAAGAAGAAGGGAAAATGTTGCTGAGGCTTTTTCGGCACTCCCAGTCCGACACCGACTTTCGCTGAAATCAACGACCCTCGACATCCGCGCGGCTCTCCTGTCACCCTCATCTTGATGCAGGCGAGCCATCTTCTCAATTCCCGCATTGTATTATTTTGCGACACCCAGTTGAAAACTCCGGCTTGGGGCAACATGAGCTGACCGCCGTGTTTCTTCATTGACAATGTCCCGATATGCATATTCTTCTCTGATATTTCTTTCAACCGCATTGGATTGGTCTGGCGTTCTCCCATCGACAAGCTGCATATCGTATATTGCATGCTATCTTTCTTGGAATTTCGTTTTGTTTATTTGTCTGTTAGCCTTTTGTGAGGAAAGTTGATATCGTTCTGTGAGTTGACGTTCCTATACGAGGCAAGATGATTTATGTGTGCAAGGCGCAGGCGCCTGGGTATATTTAAAGCATTGTTTGGATGTTCATATTTCCGAGGGTGAATATGAGAGTGAATATGATTCGAAGTCTACATGACTATAAGCATGTCCAAGAACGTACTCAAATACTAAATAAATGCGCGCCCTGAAATTAGGATTCTATAGAGAGGAGAAGAGCCGGAGTAGTATGTGATATAACTCCCTACCAGGCTTCTTGGTCTCAAAGCCTCACATTGACAGCTGACCTCATCTGAACTATAAAACAATGGAAAGGCTTTACAAGCCTCTCAGAGTATAAACTCGACATCTCCCGAAACCCCGCTGAAGAATTCCCGCCTGAATAAATCCAAAACAACCCGATTGGACCGTTGCGAGTCACCAGGAACATTTGGTCTGATATTAAACCAATCCGCCACTCCCTGTCATCCAACCATACACTAGTAGCACTACTTCTACAGCAGGCCTTGCTATCGATGATATCATAATACAGGGGAATGCTAACGGGCTGTCTGTTGGTATGTAATGGAACATACTAAACTATAAGATAGGCATGTGACCAAGTCGCGGCTCTACGATTCATATATATAACTTGCTTCAATTCGATGGATCACGTATTAGCTGATAATGTGTACTCAAAATCACAATACAATTCCTTGGTCTCAGATTGATTTTTTATTACAAGAAAGTTTACCTTAAGTAGACTACGTAATGCCCCTTGATTGTATAGAATACATAGATATGACATCTGCTTGTAGGGATGCATGGGTTGGGTTTAGCCAGGGAAGCGTTATAACTTGAGGCTAATTCTTATTTGACATTTATTTATTTATTTATTATATTTTTTCTCCTAACTTTTGTTTTTTCCTCCCCCAGGAAAAGCAAAGTAAGCAAACGCCACCGGCATTCCTCCGCCGTTCGTCCGCCGAAAAACTAAAAAGTATATTATAGAGTTCTCTATTGATCTGATGAAAGTTGGGCCCTTACGTCTGCGTGCTTGATCTATCCGCTTTTGATATCGACCGCGCGACGCGATATTTTTGGTGAGTTATTAGGCAATAACCTTGGGGCTGGAGAAAACTCTCTATTGCTGGGTTTTCTTACTTGAATGTAAAGTCATGGTAAATTGTAGATGTGGCTGGTCGGACCAAGAAGGGAGCATATAGATCCTGATGGCTGAACAATCCAGGGGAAATCCGATATACGACCGAGCCTCACAGCAACCCGGAAAAATAGATTAAGAAAGTGGTCAAGAGAAACCGACGTTTCAGCCCCGCATTTTTAGGTAAATGCTCTGTGGGTAACTCGATATCGGTTATGGAGTACAATGAAACGAAAAAACCATGTCTCAATTGCATGTCCCCAGCGTCGTCGTCATCACTTGGCGGGCCATGATTTCGCCGAGAATTGTTTACTTCATTCAGACAAGGAGAATCGTCCGAAGTGGTTAGTTTAAACTTGACCCTGGATGTAAAAGGGACTTCACCTGTCGATCACCGGGTCATAGACGCACAATCCTAGACCCTTCGTCCCTTAGGGGTTCTCTCGGATATTTATGAGCTCAACGATCGGCCTGGGAGTTCTGCGACGAAGGTATCACATTCTGGGTGGCTTGTTCATGTAATCCCGGCGTGTGCGACTTCCATCAAGGTTAATATAGGGTGTGGTTATTGAAGTATATTCGAGTCTTGAACCGCGAGATGGAAAATTGAAAGAATAAAATGATGGCGCTAAGGGAGCCACTGCCACGGACCACCAACCAGTCAGACTAGAAGGCTTGGTGGGCCGTTAGAGATAGACTCGTCCACTGTGGATCGTAACCATATTAGATCAATGTAAGACGGGATCTTCTGTTTTGTTGACCGAATGAGCAGGACGACACTCGGGGCCCCCGGTATTGAGTTCTGAAGAGGGTACATCGTCTCTGCCCAGAGGATATATAGAGACAGAGGGACGAGATGCGTGACATCCGGAGGCCGACGGAGTTGTATTTGGCCGGCGTTGACGATCAAGCCTGAAGCGAGGTGGACCGATTATGCGTCGGTAGTTGGGTGTGGTCATTTTAGTCCATTACTAGCCATGGTTGGCTGGGAGGCTGACTAACCCCTAATCTCGAAGATTCAAAAACACAAGTCAATTGTGTCGCGGTGTTTGGGCGATTTAATCAACCAATGTCAGGGAATCAAGATTAAGTGATGCTCCATAAGAAAGACTCGGCTTTTGTAGAACAATTGTAGTCGTTGATTTCGTCCTTGGTCATCTCAGTTAATCTACCAGGAACATGGAACTCGTTTCAAGCGTACGCAAGAGAGGCCTCGATGGCCCCTGCAGATCAGCTGTGTCTCGCCCCTTCCATTCCCACCAATCCGCGTGTCAACGCCTCCAAGTGATAAGCTTTTTTTTTTTCTGTTCGCACTGCTCAGGGAGGGCATCGTGGCCATTCCTATGGTTCACATTTTTCTGCCTCATTCTTTTTTTCTTTTTAATTTTTCCCTTCTTCTCTTTTCTTCTCTTTTATCTTTTCTTCCCCTCTTCTTCACTTCTTGTCTCTCGTATCGAGTTTCTGACGCATTCTTTATATATCCTATGGCCTCATAATCGCCGTTGTCTTCCTTTTCATTCGAATCCCTTCAGTTTTAGCTTAGAGAATCCGGTGACTCTTTATTATTCTTTTGTTTCCCCTCTTTTTGCACGACCTACGCTCGTCACCGGCGTTTGACTTGATCGTTCATGTAACACGCCGCTTAACAGCTCCCCCGTTTAATTACCACCGACGTCGCCGCATTTCCTTCCCTCCCTTCGATCCCTCGGGAATCTGCATATCTAAAAATTGTTCAACTGGGTCGACAACTAATATTATGAGATGAGACTATCCATCCGTGTTGGTACGGCCGCACTCCTGATCCTCGCCATCTTCCTGATCAAGCGCCATCTCGACACCGTTCAGGATGATTCGCGCGTGTCGCTATCATCCTTCTGGCGCTTCGGGGGTAGTTCCGCGGGTTCCGACGAGGTCAATCAGGGTGACCAGGTAGACAAAACGGCCATGGAATCGGATGTGGTCGTCCCTCAGACTTACGAGACCACCCCGATTATCGTCCCCAATGACCGAACGCTTGTGATGGCCAAGTTGGCTTCGGAGGATACGTCATGGGTCGCAAATGATTTAGCTGAGTGAGTTTGGTCCGTCGCATTTCTGGATGCGGTTTTCTGACAGGTCAGATGGCGGAATGTGATCTACACGGTTGATGATTTGAGCGCCACGCGGCATACCCCCATCAATAAGGGACGCGAAAGTCTGGCATACCTTCATTACATCATCGAACATTACCACGACCTCCCATCGCTCATCGTGTTCGTCCATAGCCATAAAGACGGCTGGCCGGCTGCCTGGCACACCGATAACATGGAGTACAGCAACGTCGTGGCGGTCCGCAACCTTCAAGCCGACTTTATTCAGCAGAGTGGATACGCCAATCTCCGATGCCAGGAAACACCTGGCTGCCCCGAAGAGCTCAGGCCCTTACGGAACCCTCCGCGCCCCGGACAAACGACCGAGGCGGTCTACGCGCAGGCCTGGAAGGAGCTTTTTAACAATACCGAAGTTCCAGAAGTCATTGGTGCGCCGTGCTGCTCGCAATTCGCCGTGTCACGCGACCAGGTCTTGAAGCGTTCTTTCGAAGAATATATGCAGTACTATAATTGGGTTTTGACCAATGACTTGCCGGACGATGTCACTTCGCGGGTGATGGAGTATTCTTGGCATATCATTTTCGGGAAGGATCCGGTCTAGTAAGTATATCGAGATCATGGCGGTGAGAGTATTAGGCTAACTCATTTTTTTCAGCTGCCCCGATTCACTGCAGTGTTATGCGGATGTTTACGGAAACCCGTACTTCTGGTAGTTTTTGTATATATAAATACCCCTTTCTGGTTTTGTTGTCTGCGTCTCGTTACGATATATGCCGCAATCTTTATCTTTATTTCGATGTCTATTGTACATGCTGAAAGCTTCTTGTTAAAAGTTATCCGCATGAAGGCGTGTGCTGCAGCTTTTCAGCTGGAATTTATAACACGATTGCATGCTAAGCATTTTTTTCGGACGGAACTAGCAGCTTGGCGCTGGATTTACACATAAAGTTGCTACTAGTAGTTCTCAATTGATCAACGTTCTGCTTGACATGAAATTGATATCCATGATTGCGTGATTACTTGGCAGACACGATCCATTGCTAGTGTTCGTACTCCCCACTGCCGTGGATCGAGTAGCTTATGTGGAAGCCTAGAGTGGCGCGTGCTATAAATGCCAACAATATCGGAAAAGCAGATGAAAGTAAATCTCAACCAAGAAAAGCCGACGAATAGGGTCGCTTCAAATCTCGATCGATATATCAAGTGGGTAACAAATGCCCCACGCCGAGGCATCCACGTTGTCTTTGAAATTTCAACGAAAGAACCAAGAATGCGGCTCCTTTGTGGAATTTATCTCCATATCCACTATACGTCCACAGGCTCGTCATATATACCTGAGAATTATGCAAGAAATTGATTGATAGACTCTCATCGTATTCGCAATATTAGCCTTGCCCGCAATATATGGGTAGCTTTTCATGGTAGGCGCTAATTTAGGGTGTTCATAAACGTATGATGAATGTCTCAGTTGGAGTGGAGGGGCTAGTATTCTTTCGGTTACATGCTGTTAAATTGCTTAATTTTGTTGTTAGATTGCGACTGGTGTATCGCTACATTGGGTTGGGGAAAGAAAGTCCATTGAGATAGAAGCATATCTAGGGAAGAAACCCCGATGGGAGTCTTTGTCCACCCCCTAAAATAATAGAAATTCTTGCAAATTCCAGTAGTACCTAAAACCGACACCGTAAACGTGTCCCACTCCACTAAGCTTCAGAACATCTAACTAGACATCACAAACCATATCTCGAGTGAATATCCTCCCGGAAGATCTGCCGCATATGAGAAAGCGCGCGCTCTCTCGACCATCTAGTTGCCTGAGCCACCCATTGTGATTCTTCTACCACACCCAATAATCTCTGTTGAATCTCCTCACAGATCAAGCGGAAGCAGTCGATAGCTTTCCCCGCGGCATGAAAAGCCTCTTTGGCACAATCCATCAACAGCCTCCTTCTTGCTTCTCCCATTTCTCTCCTAGAGATGTTCCTCATGAACGCCTTCAGATATTCGGTGGTTTCTTTGATATGTCTATCGATCTCCTCCCTTGCTTCTTGACTCATCTTGTCAATCTCTTCCTCTAATTCCTCGTTCGATAAATCGGACATCTCGAACTGCTCGGCTATGCGCTGGAAGCCTTCTGCCAGAGCACTGGCATACTGGGCGGTGTGTCCTGCTTGTACGCGGAGGCGCTCCTTGGCTTCATCCAGGGCTTCCGCTAAACTGGAAGATAAAGAAATTGCATACTGATAGCGTAAGCTGCATCATTGGGACAAAAGCTGGTGACTTGATTTGGTACAAAGATTTCGTGTTCGATTCATCAAGTGGTTTATAGATATCAGGGAGTCAGAAGATTGTGAATAGCGAAAGACCTACCTGGTTGATTGCAACAGCCCTCTTAGAGGGTAAGAGACTCACAGACGGCCACACTTCCCGTGGATGCCATATAAGCTACCACTGTTCAAGTATGGCTGTTGAGTAATGTTGACGCATCAGGAAGCGCTTTAATAAGCCGTGTGATTACCGTACGCCACCATTTCGCTATTATAAACGCTTCTTTGGTGAGAGATTCATGATATAAGGGCCTTCACTATCTGGTCTGGTCGATAGTTTGACTAAGCGAAGCTTTTAGCTTTTCAATCGATTTCACCATGATTAGTCCACTTTGTTGCTCTCAGCATTCTTTCCATACAAGTATATATGTTTCTTATACCTAAGCTCTAGTACATTTCAACCACGGGATTGGTTGGTATATATACTTATTCCCGCGCACACCTACGGTTGAGTACGCCTAGCAACCTTGGGTACAACTGTGGGGAAAGGCTATACTTGGACATTGCTGTCGGCTTCTGGTTCCTCTTGTTTATTCATTACTTGGTCAGGTGAGGTTCAATAGGAAGTCGTTTCCGAAACTTTGCATGGGTGAGTATAGCGACTCACATAGGTCTAGATTGGTCTTTGGGCGTAATGTGTGTCTGATTGATGATGTAGCGTGTGTTTGGTCTTAGAATACTACATTGTGAAGTCCTAGGACCAAAACTTCCATAGAAACCACCTCCGCTTGCTGAGAGAAGATTGTTCAGCATACTTGGGTATAGTGGTGAACAATAGAACGACTAATATAGGGCTTACAGTTGTACTTCGACTTACATCTGTTACGCCTGCTCATTCTCTTTAACATAAGATGGCCGCCGAGGGTAACTGCTTTGTAGAAGAGATGTCCCAAGGTATAACTCAGGTAGTACGCAGGATACATCCATGGATGGGAGAGCTTAGCAATATACCAAAATTATTCCAGAGTACTTCCAGACCGGCAGCCGAGGCACCTCCCACATTTCTTTGGCACTCTTTGTCGAGTTCCACGTGGTATCCAACCAGTTCAACTACTACATGCGGGCACTACCCAACAATTCGTGTTAGATGTCGCAGTTAATGATTTTCGGGAGATACTCTTGTAGAAGGTCCAGCGGCGATCGAGAAAGAAAGGTCCGACATACATCGCACGCAATCATCAGCGCAGCTGTCTTTCCGCTGGAGACTTATTATGATCCGAGAGCTCTTCTCTCTGACCTAGCTCGCCTAGGGCAAAGTGCTTAGTGAGGCGAGTCCGAGTTCTATGGCGTTAGTTATCGATTGATGAACTTCATCCACGTGCATTTTGCCATTGCATTTCAGCTGACTAGTAGTACCCTTGTCCATTCGTGTTAGTCCCAAAAGAACCTGAATTTTGTCTGCATCGATATAGGTCTTGGCTTTGATACATAAAGCGAACGATTTGATTCATCGTGCTAGTTGTAAGCTTCGCTATCGTCTTGTCCAGTAGGTGAACCGATCACTCACCCCTTAGTTATGGAGAACGTTGAAATACTATCAGTCAATTAGCCAGATTGAAAGTGGTAGGCTGTCTACCTGAAAAATGAGCCAGCGTAGTTCCCCGTCTTTTTATATTTAACTTAACCATTGGGTCGTATATAGGTGTGTCTTACAAATTGTGCGACAGTTGAAGCTCTAGATATTCCAGTCTCCCCTTCTCGCATAGAGCGAGCTTACAATGACTGTTTCATTCGACATCTTCATTGACAGTCCCAAAGATATCTTACAGACTGTGTTGAGCGAAGACTATAAATCCGCTAGATACAGCTAATGCTGTATACTATGTCGGGTGACCTAACTATCCATACCTACCGCCTTAGCAGTACGACTAGTGATTGGATCGGCTCTAACATCATAAAGTCTACGGACCAATAAAACATATGGCCGGTATCCAGTATTGTAACCCAATTTCACTTTAATACCACTACTTGGTACTAATGGCAATGGATTGGTGATTGCATAAATCATTTCCCAAGGACAGACACCATACTACACTCCAAGCGAGTCATCACGAACTACCAGAGCACAATGAACAAACTATATCTGTTATTTCGGCCAATTCCAGTACTTTACTGATTTCTTCTAAGCCAGATCTCACATGTTCCGACGGTCAACCCGAAGCCTGTGATGTCATTGACATTAACGACGACAAACCCTCAAAACATTGGCCATGACGCATTGAACCAAACATTGACCACTAGTAACTGGGTGCGATGATTTCTTATGACACCACGACTTACGCCAAATCCATGTACTTCTCCTTGATCCCTTGCTCTTCGCTCCATCATCCAACAATCAGTATTGATCTTTTGCTCAATTAACTTCCGCGAACCACGGTCCTTATGACAATCGGGGATCGATGATGAGCCTTGGAATATATTCCTGGGGAGATCTCTCTCATGATGTCAGGATTGCATGAAGCACCGGAGACAAAGGTGCCTACCCTTAACAAGGGCTTGTCTCGGACGATATAGCAGTCACAAAAAATCATCCCTCAAATTGTACATGTGTATGTACTCGATGTCTATTTAATGTACTTCATCATTGAGTAAACCAATTGCACAGCATGTCTTCCTCATCCGTGACGGAGAACACTGCTGCCAATGGGGACTCTAACTCGCAGACACTCCTTCGGGAGACACTCGAAAATGTCTCCAAGGATTGTCCGGCGCGGTTAGGAATGTCCCCAAATGAGATTCTTACAAAATCTCCAACTGTCGACGTATTCTTTGATACCATTGCCGGAGAAAGACTACGACGCATGCCACCAGATGGCAGTAGGTTAGATGGCGCTCTACACCGAGCTTCTCGCCTAGCCTTTGCGGTAGGCTCATTGAGAGACTCCGTGGCCGGCTTTATGGACGGAGCAGATGAGGCAGCCATGATGATCTGGGGAGCTATTTTGTTGCAACTCGAGGTACGTCGTCAATGGAAAAGGTTTGCTCTACTTGTTGCAAGAGTGACTGATCATTGTAGCTGGGCGTTGAGCACATCGACGTTATTGATAGTTTATTCGGTCAGTATGGTAGGGTGACATTGGGAATTTCATTGCTTCTTCAACAGGAAAGCTACTTTCAGACCTACCGAGCCCTGCAACGAGAAGTTGCAGAAATCTACGCCCATGTGCTTCAACTTGTTATGCATGTCACCATGGAATACCGCGAAGCAGAACGCTCACAGCACTGGCAATCCATGAGCGAGGCGGTGAACCGCTCATTCTTTTGCTACTTCAACCGATTTACCACTCATTGGCGTCGAATGTCGCAAGTTGCTTTGGCTACCGGGGCACCTAAACAGCAGACTCCCTTGGACCTCGCTGCCATTTACCAATTTCTTGAATTACAAGATCGTCCCCTGCATATGTTGCTAGAAGGCCATAATCATTCGTTGGCTGATGGCTCATTTGCATGGTTTGATCCACATTTAACTACGTTTACCATTAACCGGCGTAATATGCTGCTCGTCACTGGCAATCCTGGCTCAGGAAAGAGTGCATTGGCCCAGTGGACAATGGAAAAGTTGCAGGTATCCTCGGAATTTGATATCTGGAACGTCATTCCTATCTCAATCAGATCAGATGTACCCATTACAACATTGCCATTAAGCATCCTTAAGGGCCTCCTGACGCAGATTCTCGATCGCTGTGTCACTAGCCGAAAGACCTATGAGTCTATTCTCTCCGGCGTTATGAATGCTCTGGAGCTTGCTATGACTGGAGCACCAGACCCGCAAGTGGAGGAGCAGCTTTGGACTGCTATTCGTATAGCTTTACAGTCAAACATGCATTTCATGCTAATGGTAGATGGCGTTGACCAGATCAAACATTCGGAAGTCACCGTCGGCCCCTTCTTGCAGCGCCTTCAAGATACTATCTCTGAGCGGAACACGCCGTCCAAGGTTATCATCTTCAGTCGACCGCTCGCTGCTGCACAGATGCCCATGCGGGAGGCATCCACGACTCAACATATCTCTATGAATGTTTCGTTGACACAGCATGACCTTCATGCAGCTTTAGTTGATACAATGACATCCGATGCTGCATTCGCTGGTCTTGATGCATCGCAACGGGATTCGTTGGCAGCGGCCATAGTTCCTCGGGCACAGGGATGTTTTGTGTGGGCTCAGCTCACCGTTGAGGCCATTCGAAACCTATCAACTTTTAATGAAATGCAATCTGCAGTAAAGACCTCCCCACATACCTTGGGTGATGTGATTGATCGACATATACGCAGCATTGACCTCAACCGTGTAGGAACCCAGAGTCTCCTCGCCTGGCTCCTGGCTGCAGAGCGTCCCTTACGCATCCAGGAAATAGAGCAACTATTGGCAGTGGATTTGAAGACCCTGAAGGTTGCATCCCGCCCATCGAATACTGAACGTGAAGTCTTCCAACCTCTAGCTCGGTTGATCTCCGTCCGTGACGGTTTTGTTACCTTCAAGCATCACCTAATTCGCGACCACATTCAGGCTCGGGCACTGATGGGCCAGGAGGTGCCTTTCTCACTATCTGAAGCCCACTATGATCTATTGATGCGCTCATTGGCTTGGGTTCGCAAGTCGCTCACTGATGAGACTGCGGTTTCCTGGGACAAGCTTCGCGTCACTGCTCGTGACCGTTATCTAGACGCATATACTTTGCTGGAGTACACGGCTCGCTACTGGCTTTCCCATATGCTAGCGTCTCCAATTGCTAGCTCTAAGCGTGACGAGCTCAATTTCCCGAAGCCATTCCGTCAGGCCATGCCAGATTCAGTCCTGTTTGCTCAGCTGGAGCTGACAAATCGCGAGTCTCAGTTTACTCGATCCAGCATTGTAGAGCTGTATCGTTTAGCTGTTACAGTACGCCGCAGCGTACTGGGCGGGGATTCACCTGCCTTGTTGCAGAGTTTGATCCTCAGTGCACGTGCAGCAGACGGGGCGAAGGCTTCCTGGGCAAATGATCATCTGTATGAGGCCTGGATGCGTAGCCGCTCGCAGCTTGGCGCATCAGATCCTATCACCCGCGAGTTGGAGCAGCTGCTTGTAGCCACTCCTGAGGGTCGTGGTAAGGCAGACCAAGTAGCTGGCTTCAAGACTGACGCGCTACGTGATATGGCACTATCTGGATGGGATTCTTCCGACATTAGTTTTGCCCAACGCCTGCATTATCTTGATCGACTGGTTAAATCTCACAGAGATAATAACCAAGAAGATGCTGCATACAATGCTTCAAAACAGTTCTACCGACAGACGGTCATGACATACGGTCCCCATTCGTCCGAAGCGATGCAGGCTGCTGACTTCCTCACTCAGCACTTTAACATCGCACCCCCCGATGAGATGGCTCTAGAAATCGCACGGAACAAGTATGAGACCATGATGCGCTCTATGGATGCCACCGATCCACGTCGTGTTGCCTACTCGCTACGACTGGCTCAGATGTACGAAGATAGCAGGCAGCCTGCCAAGGCTGAAGCTGTTTTGACCCGACTCTGGTCAGGCCTCTCAGCGCGCAATGTGGACACGAGTCCCGCCTGGGATCAAAAGACAAAGGTCGCTTTCTACTACTCACAGTTCCTACGCCGTCAGGGACGACCTGATGAAGCGACTGCCATTCTCCGCCAACTGTCAGCAGACTTGGAGGCTGAGGGTGGTGTCAGATCTCCGGAGATGGCCTCACGGGCGGAGGAACTGCGCGTGGAAGCACGCGAAATGGGCTTGGATGATATGGATCGCGCGTTATCGCTGCAGATTTGGAAATATTACCAAGCTAGCGGTCAGCAATATTCGCCAGAGGCTGTTACCCTGGCAGAGTCACTGGCCAGAGGATCCCTCCCGGCCCAGGGTAATGTGGAAAGCATGGGGGCCTTATCCCCCGAAGAGAGTAAGCTCCTTCCAGGCTGGATTGATTCTATTGCCTCTGCGGGAGCTGAGAAACGAACCTTGCCACTCTTAACACTCTGCCACCAACTGACAACACAACACATTCGTGATGAAGAGTGGCGTGAGGGTAGTGACACTGCGTGGGCCGTATTGAAGCATGCGTGGCCCACAGTGGAAGACCCTCGGTCGAAATCCAAGTTCGCTTCAAGTGAAGCTCCTATTCTGGCTAGCTTGGCCCTGGATCATGCATATTGTTTGTTCCGCCGACTGGATATACAGACTGCTTCCGTGGTATATGGTAATGCATTCAAGGCCTCCATCACGGCAGATCAGGTGGCCGTCCCTTCAGTCACCGCTGTTGTGAAGACTGTGGTTGAGTTTTACGAGACCACCTTCCAGTTTGAAAAAGCCCTGGTTCTTCTTCATCAGGTCAGTGAGTTCTTTGGATCTCGACTAGGCGACCACGACAAGCACACAATCGACACTCGATACTATGAAGGTGATTTGGCTTTGCGACTGGATAAGCAAGCCGAAGCTGAGAGCAGCTATCGTCACATTTACGAAGCCTGCATCCGCGATGGCAAAGTTAGTTCTTCAGGTGTCAAGGCTGCAGTGGCCTTGGTAAACATTTATGTGCAGAACAAAGAGTGGGATTCAGCCCTCGAGGTTTACCGTCATCTGTGGCCCACCCTTGTACGATTTGATGAAAAGGACGGCTATGACCGCGCTCTGCTTGAGGGACTACTACCCAAGACTTACACTGGCTATATGGAGCTTTTGAACAAGTCTGGACAAGGAAGTCACGCAGAGCGATACCAAGTTGCATCCCAGCACCAGCAGCTATGCCGCAAGTTGTATGGCCCCACAGATGCACGGACACGCGATGCAACCCTTACACTTGCTGCTCTCTGTGCGGATAGCGATCAGCATGCCGGGGAAGCGATTAACAACTACCACCAAGTTTTGAATACCCATGACTGGGTGTCACCCTCAGAAAGTTCGCGTGCTTTGCCCGATATGTCTGAGCCCCTTCCAATTAGCATTAAGCACCAAATGGCGCAGCTGTATCTCCGCCAGAAGGACACCTCGGAACCCGCACGTTCCCTGTATGCTGAGGAGCTAGCATTGGCCAAACAGCAGCAGGGGCTCTCCGCTCCGAGCACACTTTTGTGGTTACGTGAGATTGCCAGGATGCATGCCATTCAATCATCTCCTGAGTCTCGTCGTAAGGGCGCAGCTTTACTCGATGACCATGTCGATGAAGTGGTGCACGTTACTGCTAACCATGAAGCATTGATTGACCGTGCTCACAGACTAGCCGAGATCTACCTGGAATTAGGCTACATCGACGAGGGCAATCGCCTGATTGACGACCTACACCAGCGTGTAATCAACGAGACACCTGCCGCCCAACGCCAATCACTCAATGAGTATCGACCAGCCGTCTTCGTCGCTGCATTTGAGGAAGTATTCGGTAAACAACGCTCGTCGAAGCAGATCCTTGACGAACTGTCCCGTGAGGGTCAGGTCTACAGTACCTTCCAACGAAGTCTATCCAGCCATGATCTCATACCTACCTTGGCAGCTGGAGAGAAACTCCACACGCTTCAAACGAACCAGAAGCGCCATACTTCTGCTCAGGATACCCAGGACAGGCTGTACGATTACTTCTGCAACACTCTGTCTGTTGCACAGCCACTCCGGAAGAAGGACGCCGTGCAGCAATTCTACGCTCTTTGCAGGCGGGAATCACCCCAGGACGACTATAACATCAACATAGTTACTTCGACCATGGGTATGGTGAAGGACCTCTGCGATCGTTCGCAATTCCAAGATGCAGCAGATGTGACTGGGGTGTTCCACTCTTTTGTGCATCTAACCGATGGATTACGTACTCCGGAAAGCATCTTCACTGCTATCAAGCTCTGCATGTACTTGAACGGATACCAGACCAAGAAGTGTACCGATGACACAACTGCAAAGAATATGTCATTGGAGTCTCAGATGCTCGTACAGGAAATTATGACCAAGACCAAGGAGCTCCCGCTGGAGTTCACCGAGCTTCCTTTCGCCGAGTTGAACGACCTTGTCACTGTGTTAGGTGAACATGAAATGTTTGAAGATCTGGAGGTATGTTTTTCTCATAGATACACGAAAAGAGATATGCTAACAAATCAGTCCATTCTCACCGAGCTCTGGACCTCGCGTATTGTCCAAAAGACTTGGTCACTTCCAGCCGTTGTCTGGATCGGACGCCGACTGGTCGAAACACGTTTCTGCCGCGGTCGCGTCTCGTCCGCCACACAGCTTGGTAAAGACATATGCTACAACCTCCGTCAGGTCTGGGGTAACTGTGATCCCGTAACTCTGGAAATGACCAAGCTGCTGTCCGGCCTGTACACAGCCTCGGGTAACCACCTCGCTGCTGCAGCGTTGCACGAGAGTGCACTTGCCGAGCTGCTCAACAGTGACACCGATCACCAGGAAGGTGCCATCGAGGCTGTTACACAGCATCTGGAGCTGCTTCAACATGCGCAAGCCCGTCTTGCCAAGGAGGGCCAGGGTGGTGGTGTTGATTTGGCGGCCGCACAAGAACGGGTGCAGCAAATCGCCACCAAGTTTGGCCTCTCGTCGGAGCAGCTCGAGGCGGTCAGTGATACTGATGAGAACGTTGGCATGTGGAAGCGACCCCGTCGATTCAGTTTTGATGTCGAGGACCTGGACACGCACCACAACCACTTGAGACAGACCAGTGGTTCGGCATTGTTGAATGGCAATGCGGGAGCCAAGCGTATTTCCATTAGTGCTTTGTGATTTATGTTCTATGTTTGTTTATGATTTACTGTATATTGATATCTATTGTAAACTAATAATCTTGATAATATGTACTAGTTAATGAGTTGAATATGATTATAGTATTGTTTTGTGAAGGACTACAACCTCACGATAACACTTCACGTACTTCATAGTACAATCATAAATAAATTGTCGGTTCGGATTTATGATCAAGTAGTCCCAATGTTTCCGGAATCTTGGGGTATATAGAGGACCACAACAAGATCCGCCGAACGCTTCGGTCTCATTCCCGGCTTCTCCGTCCCTAGTTCCGAGAGTTCCGTGCCTGCTCAGGACCACCGGACACAACAGTCAAGCTTGCACAAAAGGAATTAATAAGATCACCATTTTAAATATGTTTTATCCGTAATATCCGACAGTAGAATAAGCATATAATAATCCTGTAACCCCGAAGGCACCACATCCGATAATTCCGTAGACATTGACTAATTGTGCCGAGTGGCGGGACGATCTGGAGATTCCCGGAACAACACCGCCACGCTTGAGGAATAGCCGTGTGCCGATAGTACAAATGAATAAGAGTCCAACTATCGAGGTGAAATATGTCAGAATACAAACAACATACAGACTTTATAGACCACCATGGCACGAACCATGAGCGATACAACTGCCTGCCACCAAACAGGCGCCAAGCGCCCGGCATATGACTCCCATAGTGACAGCGAAGCGGACAGGCCTGTCAAAAAACGGCACTTATGGGCCAGGTCTATGTCAAAAAGGTGGTGGGTCTGAGATATCTGCTGTGTTTCTAATTTACTGAGTCTGAGGACATTACTGACTCAAACAGCGACTGTTGTTGGGACAGAGAGATTAAGGTAAGATAAGCTTCTTTCTCTGCAGTCCTTGTTGCATCTTGCTGGACGACGACTGAATAGTCCGATAGTGTGATAATGTATCTCTTTCCCAGTCATGTCTATTGCATAGGCAAGACTGTTGCAAGAAGACCATTGGCGTGCACCACCGGGGGACTACCAAGGACCAGTGTTTGTCAACAATTGCGCCGGAGAATGAAGGGCAGTGGATTGATAGGTCTGTATATCTTTTCTGCTTTCGCACTGTATACCTAATGATAGCCATTTCCTGACGAATGCAGGTCGACGGTTGAAGATATATCGAAGCGATTGGATCGCATTGAGCGGTGTTTGCACTTCATGTTCCCAGAGCTTTTCCTTAATCCGGATACAGATGAAGGGACCCTGACTGACTCTGACGATGACTCTGTGACTGTTTGTTCGGAGAATGATAGCTACCCGGTGACATGTCAAGCGGTTGCTATCGTAAATCGATGGCTAGCTCAGTCACAACACTTCTCCAATAAGATATCCACCCAGCCTAGTCTTGCTTTTGCTCAAGATTATCTGGGAGAGGTGACAAGCACATGCAGTGTGGGCGACACTGCGTCTTCGCCTCCTTTAATTCCCCTCTCCCCTCCGAGTAGGGATGATAGGGGCCAGAGAAACGTCATGACAGAAATGGAATAGCTGAAGGTCCCTTCTGGCGATTACCTCGACCGTGATCTTATCATTTGGTCTTTGATTGGACGTCTGTGCTTTTTCTAAGGAGTATCAGGCCATAATTTATGGTCCGAATATTCAGCCAATACTTTATCTTTTACGAACGACACGTTCTTTCAAGGAAAAGAAACGTGGACTTGTCGTTATGGCGATCCCAGTTGGACATACCCGACCTAATCTCCCCCAACGTTAAAGCCGGTACATCCAAGACTCACGACATACTCGAGCCCGAAAGCAATTACATGAGCTCGCAGAACACGATAATGACATCAAACCACCGTCACAATAAAGTAATACATGTTCAATACACACACATTCGAAATTATCTCCTTCCCCTGCTTCATCTACGGCCAGTGCTTCCACCACCCAGAATAGCCAACCGCCCCTTCACCGACCAAACAATCAAAACGACAGGGGCCAACGTAGGCTTAGGCCTTAAAGCACCCCAACATATTGTCTGCCTCGGTGAAACAAAGACAATCTTGGCCGTCCGCAACACCACCGCAGGTTACGAAGCCCGACAATCCATCGGACCCTCCACGAATCGACCCGGCATCTACAAAGTCTAAAGGCTAGAAGGCTAGTTCTATAAGCATTCACCTTCGTGGAGTGAGTAAGGGTCTCCTATGCCCCGAAACTGAGGGAATCGGGACGACTTCGTCCAGAGCTCAATTCGAGACTTACCTTGCTAGTAGTGAGGTGCACTCCTGAACACAGGTTTTAGAGTAGAAGAGTGACGATACCTTCGCTGCGTTGCATGATCAGGACAGGACGAATATGTATAGAGGTATCAGACATCGAAGCTTTTGAATGTTGAGTGAGATGGTGAAGCCTGGTGCTATTGGGAGTCTAGCGATGTTTCTATCTCTTATGTGCTATGTGCTTTTTGTAGGTGATCATACGTATGTACTATAAGTATAACATGTCAGCCAGTATCTATTCAGTCGCAAGCATCTATGAGTAGTTGATTCCGCCTCTCACTAGAGACTGTAGCGCAGACGGACAAACAATGAAAACCTAGGTAAAATAGCACGGTCTATTGAAAGTAAATTTAAAGGAGCGACAGGGAACCAGTCCCGGGGTCTAAAATGTAGAAAAGAATGAAGTCTGCCGAATACCCAACCGCCACATATCATCTCTCCCTAAAAAACAGCCACCACCATGATGAGCCGCTTAGATAGCAACGACATCAACCCAGAAACGGGTGTCATCGCTCTGGTATTTCTTGTCACTCTCGATCTGAGACTTGATCCACTTGACGGCACTCTTGTAGTCTACTCATCTGGTTAGCATAGAAACCAATGCAGAATTGCGAAAACATACTGTTGATATCCTGAGTATTGGGGTTCTCGAGACCGGACGCGCCGTTGCGATGACCGGCGTACCAAACATCGAAGCCGTACTTCTTCTCACCGTCGTGACGGGCCTTGATGTCCTTTTCGAGGTTGGTGCTGCAGATGTATTAGATCTTGTTGAGGAGGACCATACAGTAGAGTGTCTTACTTCAGGACCTCGCCGTTCTTAACATCCTCAACCTTCTGGCCGAGGAACTCGCTGGCGGAGGTGCGCAACATCATCCAATTCTGCTTGAAGATACCGAAGTTGGTGGCGTCACCGGTCTTTCCATCGCCTGTGTCCTGTTAGAATATCTGGATCATCGGGACATGTCTAGGTGGGTATGGACTTACCGTATGGGTAGGTGCTGGGGTCCATGTTGTCGCTTTAACGTTTGCCGGTCAGTATAGTTCCTGATGCCTGGTTTGAAAGCACACGGAATAGAACCTACTTCTCCAGCATGGCAATGGCCAGGTCCATGGTATTACCGCCGGCGCTGACGATGGCCTGCTTGCGCTCGCCCAAGCCCTGGACAGTGTAGTTGCCGCGGCGGCTGTCGTCACGGACACCGATGGCGGCGCCGAGGGCCATGGGAAGGAGCAGAAGGTTCAGAGAAAGCTTCATTGTGAATACTTGGTTGGATAGAAGGAGTGAAAAAGTAAACGATAGGAATTAATGAGTGCGATTGGTAGTTGGCAGAGTTGTGTTTGGTATGGAGTGCTATTCATGGGGCGCTCCATGGCTTATATAGGCTGTCATCCAGAATTCGATACTCACATAGACAACAAAGGATATAGAGCTCCGTGGATGAATAGGAAATGATCTTCTGGTGCCCATTGGATCCATTTCGTATGATCTGATCTCTAAGAGAACAAACGTTCAGAACAGGATCCATCCGAAGCTCTCCAGCGTTTAAGAAGCCAAAACGGTAAAAAAGGGTCAAAATGTGAAACACCCAGAGACTCTTCTTCAACGGTAATGGTCAGAATGGGTGCTGCGGTTCTGGAAACCTGGAACATGGCCCGTGTGTGCCGTGGAATGAGTAAAAGGGGTAAAGATGAGCTTGGAACAGTGGGCCCTGTGGAGCTCGCGTATCTGAAGAGCCTCCTAAGATAAATGAAGGGACCAAACAGTCGGCTCTTAATCTTCTGGTGGCTTGCCCTATTTTCGACGGAGCAATCCCTTCCCTCTCTACTGGACACGGGATCTTCGCCGGGTTTCAGACTGCTACACATAACCCTAAGTGAACTTTAACGGACTTTACGGAATCCACGTTCCGCTACGCCACCCGTCTGGTTAGTAAAAGATGAATATTGTAGTGGAGGTAAGGGATTGGCTGGTTTTACACCTGTCATATGTTTGCTGCATCATGGATGCAGGCAGCAAGACTCGTGGCTTACGCAATCTAGGCGCCGGGTCCTGGCTGCCGAGCCCTGGCAATCGAACTCTATTGTGACATACATGGTCTGAGATCAGATAATCATTTCTAAATTGATACTATTTGAGGGAGCTAATAATAACATTGCGCATAATGAATGGAGACTTTTCTGGTACACTATAAACTAACTACTAATGCTCTGAGATCAATAATTGATAATCATATTCAACGGAAAGACAATTCTAAATGCACAGAACAATACGATATTGGTTGATATAAAGACGACCAGTATATACATGAGTCCAATACTGACTTTCGGCATCCCGAACAATCCGAGTTTATATTAATTTATACGTAGTGGAGATCTTGATCAGGAAAAGCGCCTGTACTTGGACCGTACTAAATACAAAACAGACATAGTAACAGCGTTGGCGACCTGTAAGAAGTTGACATTTTCCTGAGTCGGTAGCGTTGAGCTGTCTGATCGTCGGTATTGATTTCTATATCTGAGAGGTGTCTTTCGTTGATTTCCTGAGTAGGAGCGGAACACTCGGATGACTTCCGCTTTTGCTTTGGAAAGAATATAGAATAGTAGACATGTTTCTTTGGATCAATCTAGTTGAATACGACTTACCCCTTGGTCCCTACTTTTCTCTCTTCCTCATCTTCCTATCCTCCCCCACTCGTTCGTTCTTCCTATGCCCACATATAGCGTTCCTCAGACGTACAGACGATACGGGGAAGGCCGGGACTAAGAACCCAATGCATATGCAAAATTCATAGGGGTAAAGAAAGGAATATGAACTAGGGGAAATCTAGAGGTAATTGGCTGACCAAGTTCTTGAGGCCAAGGGTGAAGAAGAACAGGAAGTTAGGGCGCGGAAGGTGAAACGGAGAGGCTAACAGGAGGGTGGTTTATTCAGGGTAGTCATGCTTCTACCTGCTTACGATATATCCCTGGAATTATTCTTGATTCCCTCTCTTGACGCGCTGAATACCAACATAATACAACCATTTGCTTCAGTCAGGTCCAGTCTGCTTTTCCTACCCCTTCCCTAGATATACCATTCTGGCTCTAGTAGTGCAACTCCTTGATTCTTTAAACATCTCCTTCCCAAGTAAACTTTTCAAGTTCTCCATTTTCACGTCTTTGATCTCAAATATTCTCACCCAAGGTCGATAAGGTCAGACAATAGGAGGCTGCAGCTTCCATAGACCACATATCGACTTTATATCCACCTCAAAACACTGTTTATAGGCAATATTCAGTTCATCTGTCCGGGTTTCCTGTACATTGTTAAATCTCTCCGCAGAGGTTGCTGTTGTAATAACACACACATACCTGAAAACGACAAAGCTTCTGAAACATCTTAAGGAAAGCCTTTGCAACCTTCCAGGACCGAAGTCTAGCCTCTTATTAGATACTGATCTACGCGATATCCATGCTCTCCCCATGATTGGTAAATGCGAAAGCCTTCTCTTGCTATAGCTATAACAAAAGAATGCGAAAATGGTGAGTAGTTCATATCGCAGCTCTTTTTCTCGCCACGCTCAAGGCAAAATGTGAGCTTTGGCATCGGAAGACAGGATTATTCCCTGATATTTGAAGGTATACCATTTGCCCAAAGCTACCAAGGCTGCCTATTTAAATTCACTTGACTTTAATGTCAGTGAATGGGCCATCAAGTCATTGTGCCTTGGTAGATCAATTCACACATCTTGGCTCAACGAGGGAGCCTACAGAACCAACCACGACATACATGCGCATATGGTTCCAATATTGTTTCATAACCCCTGTCTGAATTATTGGAAAATGAATGTCCTGACCCAAGGACAAGCATTGTCATCGGCACTTGATATCCAAGTATGGAGAGTATTTCCATTTGAATCACGCCAAGTCACCATATCATGCCCAGCTTCCAATTTAGGTAGTCATTGCTGTGTATCGGATGTTTAAGAACTAATATCAAGAGAGCGAGTATGTCAAATCGCCCACCCATTAGAATATATCTGCTGGGTTCCAAGGGGCTTTCAGCTTTGGTGCTTTGGGAACAAATAGCCTACGACCCCATCAGCACTCAAAACTGATGTACTTGCAAGACCTTTCTAAATACCAGGCACATCTTCTAGAATAGTTTTCACCCTAGATACAAGGAATGATCAATCCCTCCATAGCACCAGTCCCTATCACTGCGGTGCATAAATGAATCCCAACTCATCCACTTCATCTCCATCCCGTCCATAGAACCCAACAATCTGCCACGCATCCGGCGCGGTGAATTCCTTGCAGTCGGCTGTTGTTTTCCCGGTACTGACCGTATTGCCAGCGCTAGTCGTTGCCAACAAGTAGAAGATGCGAGTATGATTATCGTACTTGTCCTGGCAGAGCTTCGCCTGAGTCCAGTATTCGTCTTCCGCCAGGGTAAGCTCAGCTGCAGTGCCGCCCGTTCCTCCGTGGGTGTAAGTCTGACCCGAAGTCAAAGCTAGACCTACACTGTCCACGCGATTTTCTCCCCGAAGGATGATCTTGCTTGGCTTGTTCTCGCCCGTTGAAGACGAGGGAACCGAAGAGAGGTCGTTGAACCAGTTTCTGTGATACTTGGCTTAGTGCAATGTCAATGTATGGGCACTGAGAACAATACATACCCATGAGGGCCACCGAAAAGATCACTCTGGCGCACTGAATCAGACAAAGTCCATGTGAAGTTGGAGGCGATAGGGTTGTGATCGGAGAGAATATGTCCATCAAGTTCGAACTTAGTGCCTACATAGCTCCAGAAGGTTGAGCTTAACTCGATGGAACGGCTTCCCCGGTAACTATCCAATCGTTTAGTTGTGACTCGACAATACGTTAACTTCAAGGATTACTTACAAGATCTTATCAACTGTCTCGCAGGTGTTGTTCGTCGTCGGGTTGTCACACATCCAGGGATCAGTTCCCTCCGTAGGCTCGACACCATTCAGGATAAGCTCTACCCAAGGGTTTTTCATGTCCTGCTCGGTTCCGAACACCCGGATATTCTCGCCAGAGGAAGTGTATCGTGCATTAGTATCGCCGAAGACCAGAACCGCATTACCCACGGAATTGGTTCCGATGTAATCGGCCACCTGCTGCAAATTGGCACTGCGGGCTTTGACATCGTCGGTCTCAGAACTACGACACATCAGTATCGATAATTGTAGTTTTTGGAGTTGGGTGTCCATACCCGGCATCTGCATGCAAATTGTAAAAGTCCACGTAGACACCCTCGTCGAAACGCACACGCATTGTGGTAAATCCCTTGGGAGTCAAACAATCGGCACCAGAGGCGTCAGAGCATGTTTCCCACTTGACGCGCTCGAAGTCCACCCAAGGGTAGTTGGCAAGTGTGTTCAGACCCGATCCGATGCCCGCCCCTCCGGAAGTGGCAGTGCGATAAGGATGGGTGTCGGTCTTGTATATAGAAGCGTGATAGTTGAAATCCTCTTGCACATGGATCACATCATAATCGTATTCGGTGAACTTGGTTCCAATTGCTTCGGAATTGGTGGTTTTATCGCCGGGCACTTCGTTGCCGTTGAGGATAGCCGGAAGACCAGCTACGTTGAAGGAGAGAACATCGAATTGGCCGGAAGTGGCTGCCAAAGCGACCGGAAGGCCGCTAGCGAGGTATGCGATAGAGCGCATTTTTTTTTGCCCCTTGATTTTCTCTGATTTTTCCGATACTGCCTGTGAAGAAAAGTGTCAGGTCGCGAGTGAAGAAAAAGAGGAGTGATCGTCGCTGGGCCCGGCCTTATATAGTTGCATGTCGGGGATCGTCTCTCGGATGAAGAAAAGGGGCATTCCGACGGTTTAATCTATCTTCGATGTTAGCAGAGCTGCCGTTGGTGACGAGCATGCGCCTAATGCAGTAGTAATCCATACTAAGACCTTAGACTACTATTCTTCAGGGTGTGTTTGCTGCACGTGGAAGGATCGGATGGTCCGTAGTGTCTTGGCCCTGGTGGGTTAATATCTCCGGCATAAATTAAGGCTACCTAGACCATGATGTCAGTGAAGAATCGCTGCAGAATGTCAACCCATGTGGAGAAATGATAGGCATAAATTTAGCCGACTTTCAGATGGGCTATATGGTTAATCTCCGGCCTCGCTTCGAGTGTTTCCTACTCTTATCGTCCGAAGTCGTGGGATCTTAACGTACGATGTAGAATGGCCATGGCCGGAGATATTACGGAGTAATTCAGGAACGGGAACAAAAGACTGCCTCGATGGATTCAATAAACAAATGCCAAGGCAAATCCTATCCAACTAATTAGGATAAATCCCGACCCCTCTAGATGATCCTTCGTTGCAAACCTTGGAACTGAGCCGGGTTTATCATAGACCTGCCGAGCATCACCACACTGTCTCACATCTATAGGAATCCCAATGTTGGGATCTCCAATTCCACTCTCAAACATCAACAAATTATTTAACGATGGGTGGTAGATTAGCTGTTGAATCACCATACAAAGAGGTATTCTGGGGAATGTCTCTCCAAGGCACGTGAAACCCTAACTACAAACAATTCTAGTTAGGCAAAACTTGGAAGCTCTTCAACTAGAGCTATTCGATTTAAAGTTCATCATAATTATACCATAATTGAGCCCTCGCATAGTGTTTCCCATGTTTTGTGGAATCATAGTTATCTCAAGAACAGTTTTTTCCGACATGGCCTCATATTGTGTTTCTTTGCCACATAGACCAGGAAGATAGACAAACAGCCTCTTTCTTCTGCCCAGTTGAATCAAGGGGGACTATTAGGTGGCATTCTTCAAGCCACTCATTAACTGAGTCCTGAAGTACTAGATTTGGGAATGATGCAATCTGAAGTGATTGTGTAAAGTGGATCTTGAATAATTGAACTGCTTAACCTACACGTTCCCTGACAGGAAGTACTCCGCTACTAGAAGGTCAATACTAAAAGGAGCTCTGTCGCTGCCTAGTTCCGTTGCTAGACAGCCATGTTATATTGTCTCCAGAGTATGTGATGAAGGCGGGTACCAATAGTGGGAAAATTGACTTCCTTGTCGCCCAGAAGAAATGGGGATTGGAACTTTTGAGAGGTCGTGATCGGATGTCGCAAGACATGGTGAGTTTTGAAACAGGTGGACAATAACTTCCCATAATACAAAAAGGGAAGATAGAACAGTACGCTATTCTCGGCTTTGCTGATAAACTGTCACAGAAATTCCGTCCAGGTAATTCTGCCGTCCTCTACTTATAGCTTAACTAACATCTTCTCTAGAGTTTCGTGGCCATCTCTACCATGTTTTGTTTTCTGGAAACTACCGCAAGGTCAAAGTGATCAATGTCTCAGATCTAGGAGAAATTGGCTTCTTTCTTTTGATGGAAAATGCAAATTCCATTGAACGACAGCCTGATGTTGATTGTTAAAATTTTGAGAAGCAGTGGCTACCGTCATTTCAAGGCCTTGTTGTGCATCGTTTTCTGTCTGTTTATCTATCATGGCTAAACATGTAGGAGCCTTGCCTTCTGTTCATGGTCAATCCTCCAAGCGGTGTAAAAACGCGTCTAAATACCTAATCGAAGAATCTTGCTCTGTCACGGGTTTTTCAAAAACCCCAACATCCCAAGTAAAACCATAACGGAGGAACCAATCCAGCCCGTTCCGCAGTTTTCATAGCCCGTTTGTCATCCATCATTGGAAATCATTCCCACAATCCCGTGGAATGTACCCCAGAAAAAGTCTTCCAGCCTAGAAGAATTGTCATGATAATGCCAGCCCTTGGAGTCCATAATCCCAAGCATGTTCTGAAGCCCCCAGAGAGACATTCCGAATGGCAGCACTTTTGCTTCGGCCCAATCAACGACCCCAGTGATCCCGCCTGCTTCTGGATTGACGATGATATTCATTTCACACAGGTCAGTGTGGGTGAGAACCAATGAATATGTGGGAACAAAAATGGTGGGAAGTTTTTCGCGAAGGTTAGAAATGACGCTGGTGAAACGAGAAGGCGCTGGCGTAAAAGGAGGTCAAGTTTGTCTTGAAGATCTGCCAACGAGTACTCTGAACGAGAAGGCTCCACGAGGCGATTGACCCATGAACTGGCAAAATATCTAGAAAGATCAGTTACAGTCAGTCCCACAGCATCCTAACATTTAAAGTACCTTGCAAAATCCGACATGGTTTGTTCTTGCCATGAAATACAATGAAGTGTTGTCCAAAGGAGCTTCAATGTAGGTTATTCCAGGAACTTTGTCCATGACATAGACGGTGGGTGAAGGTGATGTTCCTACAACACCTTTATTAACACAAGCGGGCCCAACGTTGCCATAGATCTTCCGGGCGAGACTCAGCGTGTTTGTATCCAAAAGAGACTCAGAGACACGAAATTGTACAAGGAGCTTCCCAGCCGCTAGCGTGTAACTGAACGCCCCTTGAAGCTGCACTGGCTCCACGGCTTCACCAGTAAGCTCAGTAGCAATTCGGTCGCATTCCTTTCGTGTGAAGCTGCAGCCAGAAAAAAGAGAGATTGACTGTATCCCTCAAGCGAGTAACAAGACATCCCAGCTGGAAATATAATTTGGTAGGAAAAGCGTAAGAAAATCGTGTCGAATGCAAAACCGGGATGATATAGGGGTTTGTTTGGTTTTAAGTAATAATAGCATAGCGGTCAAGGCTAATTGACTTTGTGGAAATTGATTAATCGATGAGGACCAATGGCTTCTTTTCTTGTGTCGCACACTGGCCCCCGATCTGTAAGATGTAGTTTTAACTGTAAAAGAAAAGGAGGAAATTTATTAAGTATGATAAAGATGGCAATTTCCATATGGCTTCCGCTAAACACTGCATATGGAAATAGTCTTTCAGGAAACTGGGAATAGCATAAATATTCTTCTAATGGTGGTTAGAGAATCTCAATCAGTTCTAGCCCTGCCCATAGTAATTCTGTTCCGTTGTCCGGACCACGTCAGCCTGTAAGCCTAACATGTTTCTAGCCTTTCTGAGATGATATGCTCTTGTCCGTTGATGTGTTTGAGTTCAGAACCTTCGGATAAGGATTCGGGACAAGAAGACCTTTAACCGAGCTGCTTGTAGGAGATACCAAGAGACTGTGTCCGAATAAAAACCAGGTCATATATATTCAGGGTACATTATTGGTGGTTTGTTAGGGCTTACTTTGGTCTCGGGCCCGAGACACTTCACTACCCGAGATAGACCCCGAGCCATGTCCCGAGATGGCTGATTTGGTTGCTGTTTAGGCGTCAATGAGAACTATAAAGCGAACGATTGCTGCGTTTTGGCATATCTGTACCCTTCCTTAAGCTTCACTACACATATTCTCAATATACCGTGTTGTGTATGTTCGACTAGTCAAACGAACATACAACTACAAACCTCCGCAAGATGGCTACAACGAGCGACAACCAGTCAATCGATCCTCAAAAGTCTCCTTCTCCAGCTAATGTTGATACGGGTACGCAAGAGCAAATCAATGAAACTAAGGGTCATTCGCAGCAGGATCTCCATACATATCCTCCGTTGCCGAGGGTAATCATGATCACGATGGCTTTATACCTGGCAATCTTCTTGGTAGCACTAGTATGCTTATTAGAGATCCCCCTCCTTTGCATTACCAGCAACACTGACAATCAAAGGATCGAACGATCATTGCAACGGCCATTCCGCGCATCACAGATACCTTCCACTCCCTCGGCGACATCGGTTGGTACGGCAGTGCCTACTTGCTCACATGCTGCTCATTCCAGTTGGTCTTCGGCCGGATCTATACATTCTACTCCCCAAAATGGGTCTTCCTAAGTGCCATACTTCTCTTCGAAATTGGCTCGGTAATCTGTGGTGCCGCACCGTCCTCAACAGCCTTCATTGTGGGACGATCCATCGCCGGCATAGGTGCCTCCGGACTCATGTCAGGCAGCGTCGTCATCATCGTCTATATCGCACCGCTGCATAAACGACCCATGTACACCGGACTCATCGGCGCTGTGTTTGGCATTGCGTCCGTCATCGCCCCCTTGATGGGCGGCGCCTTCACGGAGAATGTTTCATGGCGATGGTGTTTCTACATCAACTTGCCCATCGGCGCCGTCGCAATGGCCATCATCGCATTAATCCTGAAGCTCCCAGACCCCCCACATAACAAGCTCTCAACCCGCGAACGCCTAGCAAAGCTAGACCCCCTCGGTACAGCAGTATTCCTACCCGGAATGATCTGTCTCCTCCTCGCGCTCCAATGGGGCGGCACCACCTACGCCTGGGCCAACAGCCGAGTAATAGTCCTCCTAGTCATCGCAGGAATCCTCCTGCTATGCTTCATCGGCATCCAAACATGGAAACAAGACAACGGAACAGTGCCACCGCGGATCTTTCTCCAACGCAGCATCCTCTCCGGCTTCTGGTACCTTTTCATGCTCAACGGCGCAATGATGGTCATACTATACTACCTCCCGATCTGGTTCCAGGTAATCAAGGACGCCAGCGCCGTAAAATCCGGCATAATGACCCTCCCTATGATCATCGGCCTGGTGGTGGGCAGCATCGTCGCCGGCGCAGGAGTGACCAGATCCGGATACTACACTCCGTTCATGATCGTCGCGTCCATCCTCATGGCGGTCGGGTCCGGTCTAATGACCACGTTCACCACGACGACCGGCCACAGCGCCTGGATCGGGTACCAGGTCTGCTTTGGGTTGGGGCTAGGGCTCGGCATGCAGCAGCCCGCTGCCGCGGCGCAGACTGTGCTTTCCCCGGCGGATGTCTCGACGGGTATCTCGTTGGTCTTCTTTGCGCAGTATTTTGGTGGTGCGTTGTGGATTTCAGTCGCGAATAATGTCTTTGCGAATTGTCTGGCCCGCAATGTGGCTGGCATTGCGGGGGTGGATGCCCGGGATGTGGTAACGGTGGGTGCTACGGCTCTGCGGCAGGTGGTTGGCGATGAAAAATTGGCGCTGATCTTACCTGGCTATAACTCGGCTGTGGTTAATGCGTTCTATGTTGGGGTTGCCTGTGCGTGTGCTACGGGGATTGGGGCATTGACTATGGAATGGAAGAGTATGAAGGGAGAGGCAGTAGTGGCTAACCAGATTGTAGATTGAATTTTTAAGTCAGTGGCAGGTATCAGCTTAATGTGGATAGTCCTCTTGACGCAATGCGAAAATAACCTTCTTCTTGTAGCGATGACACCTGTTAGGCAGTCAACCCTCGCTACCGGTGTTCTTCTAGGCACACATACCCATATTCTCCCCATCAACTGTGTCGTCACACGGCGTCATATGTAGGCAGTCGCACACTTAAAAGAACTGAAAAAGTCTGCCGAAGCTGAGCGTCATAACACTTAGTCTTTCATCATTGCCACCGTCTCAGATCGTAACAAGGGTTTTAGAATCACTTGCCTTGATGATGATACAATAGTCAACAGACTAGACTGAAAGGCACCGAACGGCGCTGGAAAGAATAGGAAGGGTAGCCAGGACTGAGCACCATCTCGTATTCTCAAAAAGAGCATCATAGGGGGGTTAAGGAACAAGTTGAGGTTTCGGCAGATGGAAAGATTCCAGCTTCTGAAGAGCAATTACAGTCGCAGCAGTTACAGAATTAGAGGCAGGAGCAGAGGACTATCTCTTACTATAATGTGTATATTGGATATAAGAAGCTACGGTAGAAGTATGTTACAGCACGCGTTGGCACCTTTCCTTACAGCTACTATTATGCCTTAATCTTCCAGAACCTGCGGAAGGAACATCCCGGCAGTGCTGCTTTCTGGATGCAGCCTGAGCATATCTGAGTACCTATTGACATGCGATAATTTCAGGATCATAACTGTTTGCTTTAAGGGCACATGTATATAGTGATAGGCTACCCTCATCACACCACATGCAACACAAATATATGTGATATCGTTTATAATCCCAAGGCACCTGGACCCTAATGTGGGACCTGCTTGTCTCTTTCAAAGATTGTATAGTGTATGAATGCAGAATCGGGAAACAGGAGCTGTTGACCACGACACAATATAGATATAATTAAAGAGAAACATGCACATAGAGGTATCTGCTTGTCCACGGATATTAAGCCATGCATAGCAAAGCGACATGTTGTATTGCGTGCTCCATGTCCCGAATCCGACGGCCGGAATCTTGGAGCCAGTGTTCACCTTCAGTATACCCTTTTCGACTTATCTATCCCCTTTCAACTTTGCCCACCTAGAAACAATCCAACTACCATTTTCACCTGTCATAATGCACGACGCAAAATCCATAGGTTGATCTCTCGAAAGCCGATTAGCAATCTATGATTTCGCCGTTGACAGGGTACCGGGGTCAGGTGCCAATATGTAAGAGAACATAGTCGATTAATATTCCAGCAAAGCATCGTATAGATACAGCACAATTAAGATTAAAGCAAGTAACTACAGGCTCTACCCATCCCCATAATCTAACCCAGCTCATGATACATAATTATACGGAGTGACGGTGGAAAAGCCATGGTTGTGCATGGTCTTTGGTTGTAGAAGGGATCAATATAGTCGGTGTTTACATCAAAAGTGCCGACAAAAGCATTAAAATATAGTATCGTGGTCTACCGAAGATGCTATCATTTTCATCCAAGAGTATACTTCTGGATATTCTCTCAAACTATAAGGGAGCTGCACCGCATTTTGCTGAGTCATAACAAGTCTTTAACTATGCTAGGAGAGAAGGATAGGAAGATATTCTCACAGAAGTGGACTCCAATCAATTTTATCCTCCAGAATACTCACCTGAGATTTCCAATCCGCTCCATCCTGGTTGAACAGCTCCCACGCTTGTTGAGCAATGGTAGTCGGATTCATGAACTCCGAGTCCGGCGATACAATCCCTCCCACGACAACCATTCCGACGTGCGTTCCCTTCGCAACAAATTTCTGCAACGACTTGACCATATTTGCCTGCGCAGCTTTTGCCATTGACAAGGAAAATAATTCCGGGATCGGATCCACCGGCAAGAGACTGCTTGTCACTAGAAAAGTCGGCTTGAAGCCGGTTCCTGGGTTCTTTTGCATTGTACTGGCCAGGATGGGTATTGCCCATTGAGCAGCAACATAGAAGGCAGTAACCGAGAGCTAGAAAGTTGATTGATTTGTTGGACAACGTCTCTGCAGTGACAATCTATTCCACTTTACCTTCAGATCCAACTCGATATCCTCAATAGGGAAGTCAAAGAAGTTGCTTCCGGCCACGCGAGCCGCGTTGAAATAGACACATTCCAGTGTCCCGAAGGACTGGACTTCTGCTAAAGCCGTCTTGAATTGGTCCAGATCGGTGATGTCCACTTTCCACGTCCGGACATTCACTTGGCGACCGGCCTCTGCGGCAGCAGAGAGAATTCTCTCTTTATCTGCTTGTAGTTGTGAGGCGTTCCGGGCGAACAGGGCAATATAATCAAAGCGCTTTTGGGCAAACAGGGATGCCACAGCCACGCCGATTCCAGGACCAGAGCCGATCAATAGGAGGGTTCTTGAGTCCATGGTGAACGAGAGGTATAGATTAAGAAGCAAAGCACAACCAAAGTCAACGTGTTTAGTAGGCAAGAGGGTAGTATTTGTGTGAAATTAAAATCGGGTTCTATGGTCCTTTTATACTTATTCGGAGGCGAATCTATCTGGATTGTCATCAAGGCAATCCGTAGCCGTCCGAGTAGTCCAGACTATGTGGGGAGCAAGTGGGCAGCGCCACTACGTCACACTAGCGGCCGCACTTGGCCGGCGGGTCCATCTGGAATAAGGCGTCCATCCACAGTAGCTTGAAGTGGCACTAGCGGCCGCACTTCCACCGCTGGACAGAGAGACTTCATTGGCAGCCAACCAGAGCATCTAGTATTAAACCACAGCTGCTGGCCCCCTCTTCTTACTTCGCTATTTTCACCCAAACATACACTAGTCGAGAAAGAGACGAAAAGATGCATCAACTCTTCCCAAATACTAAATCCCCCTTCATTGCCAATGCGCCCATGGAGGGCTATGCATATAGCCGTCTAGCAAGCGCCGTTTCATCTGCTGGGGGCTATGGTACAACCCTATAAAACCCCTTTCCCTTCTAGTTAAGCAAGACCAAGACTCAGAAACTCGATTATAGGATTCATAGCCGGCGGCTTCGACTTCAGAACGGGGTCTCCACAGCTTGAAAGACTACAAACGGAGCTCAACACCACCCGATCACTCCTTGGCATCACAACCCCAGATGAAAAACTCCCCATAGGTGTGGGCTGTCTTATGCTCCAGCCAGAAGGCCTAATCGAAAATGTACTTCCGATTCTATGCGCCGCGCGGACAACCGGTATCTGGCTTTCGTTTCCGGCGAATGCGTCGGAATATGTGCCTGTCATCACGGCGGTTCATCGGCTCAGAGAGAGGGAGAACTGGGATGTGAAAGTGTTCGTGCAGGTCGGGACGGTACAGGCGGCGAGGGAGGCGATCGACTATGGGGCGGATGTCCTCGTCGTTCAGGGGTCGGATGCGGGTGGGCACCAGTGGGCGCAGGGGGCGAGTCTGCTTGCGCTCGTGCCGGAGGTGAAGGGGCTGCTTCGTGAATTGGGTAAAGCGGAGGAGGTCCATTTGTTGGCTGCGGGTGGTATTGTAGATGCGAGGGGGATGGTTGCGGCTATGGGGTTGGGTGAGCTTCATTATCTTCGACAGGTAATGATACACAGCGTATGGACGTGCTAATGATATTCGTATGCAAGGTGCGGATGGAGTCGTGATGGGAACCAGAGCAAGTCATGGCTTCACTTTCTCAAGCATGTCTGAATACTAATGCATTGAACTCAGTTCGTTGCTACTGTTGAATGCACAGCTCCGGATTCCACAAAAGACAAGCTTGTTTCCACGACTGACGGAGCCACAACGACAATTAAATCACGGAAGCACGATGTCTTCAATTCGACCGACTTCTGGCCTACGCAATATGACGGCAGGGCCATCATCGGTCGCAGCTACGAGGACTTTCGGCGCGGCGTTACAGATGAAGAAATCGTTAAACGACACAGGGACGCTAGAGAAAAGGGAGAAAATGACAGAACCATTATATGGGCGTGAGTGTCTACGTGTAAATATTTGGAGCTCTACTCACACAAGACAAATAGGGGCACTGGAGTTGGGTCCATTAAGGAGGTGACGACTGTTAAGCAGCTGCTGGATGATGCTCGATCGGAAGTCCGATCAATAGTGGCACAGATGAGTAATGCTTTCAGTGAGACAAGTTGAGGGAGATTGACAACAGGTATTTGAGGCACGAGCGAGATTCAACGGTCATCCCATTTGCTGCAAATATCGATCTAAGGGAGTTAGCATTCCGAATCCATGGTACATGAGGTGCTACACATATCAGCCAATTTCCACGATTTCCTCGCGTAAAGCAATGTCAGTCGGAATGGCTCATAGTCTAGCTGAAACTGCTCTCCGAGCAGCTCCTTCATCCTAATCCCAGTAAGGACAGCTTCCCCCGTGCACACAACAGCAGGTAGCGGTGCAGATGGAATTTTCTCCTGCGCACTGAGCATATTAAAATTATTGCATGTATCGCGGACCATATTAATAAACGAAGTCAAAGCTAGAAGCGATGCTTCTGCACCATCAGATGTCCCTAAGGTTTGGGACTTCACCGTACGATCAATTCCAATTCGATGAAGGGCCAATGCAGCCCTATCGTCAATTAGTGCCGGTCCTATATTGGTATTGGCAGGGATCTCACGTTAGGGTGATCGCATTAGCTCCACATAAGACTGCCCACCCCTGGGGCGTCTGCTCAAACAGCCTTCCCGCGAACTGCATTAGTCGGTGATCCAGAGATTCGAATTTCTCCGGCTGCGAATTGACGTCGATGTGTCTTTGTAGCAACTGTACTTCACCGAGAAAACGGACAGCCTGGATCTCCCGGGCGTAATAGCAGACTGGAACATCGACCGGCACGGACACCGGCTGGTGGGAGGGAGCCTGGGTCGCCTGAGTTTTGTTTGTTCTCAAACATGCATCATCTACAGGCAGTCGGAAGTGATCTGCAAGGTCTTCTAATACATGAGGCGCTTTGAATTCGGTTGCTACCTGGTATATGACGCTGTATCCAAATAAGGTCAGCCCCTTCCAGAATTGCAGTTACTCATGAGACGCTGATACCGATCCAGCAAATATATCCCAGTCCACACCCGTCTTCGTTCCTCAGCAGCCTCCCAGGAGAGATAATCTTCGTAATCACTCCCATCGTCTATATTGAGTTTCATTGAGTAGCCTAACCTCGCACAGCTTGCTATGGTCAGTGAGGCCGCTCCCGGGGAGGATTCCCCGGTCTCGTGTAAGGCTATCAGAAGACCGCTCTGTACCAGTTGTAATGAAGGCGCGCGTCTTAGCTGAAGAGCAGCGTAAAGGTCCTTGCACAGGATGTAATTTCGATGTGATGGATTTGTAGCTCTATCGGGTCGGGCTCCCTGCACGACAAGAAGCATGGTGAGAGCGAGTAGAGCAGTATCTGCATTATGTTCATGACCTAGTCTCTCAAGGCTTTCCATAAAAGGCCGCTCCATCACAACCGGAAACCATGGCAGGCTGTAGGAAATGAATTCGTCCACAAGCCGAGCGAGAGTCGAACCGTGTTCTTCCAGAGCTTGGTGCAGCATATTACAGTACAATAGATCGACATCAAGACCAGGCGCTTTGGGGTCGTCCAACTCCGGCCGCAGCAAAGCAGTCAGCCCTTCAGACGGAGACCTGTCCGAGGCGGTATGCCAGAGATAATTGCACGAACGATTCAGCCTTTTCCCATTCTCAGTGGTGTTGCAAGACAAAAAGATATCTAGTCAAAGATGCATTGCAGTACCTGGTGCACCGGCCGCATGATGGCAACATCTTGTCACATCCCCTCTTCTGCTCTCTGCAAGCAGCACAAGCATTCTCCGCAATTGAAGCTGAGGTCGACTCAGTGATGACTGTCATTGAATTGGAGGTCATTACAAGTTTACAACGATGGCTTTATTTATAATGGATTAGGTCGATGTGACAGCGACTCGGAACTTGCCAAAGTCGTTGAAGTTGTCGAGTCAGCCCCACATGAGATTATCCGTCCATCTTTAAAGACCACGCACCACGACGCCAAGCGGCAGCTAGACGCTTGACCAGATTAGGCAAGCTATACCACATCTGGTAATTCACTGCCATTTGATCTGCAATCGATGGCTTTACGCAGGTGCCAATATATAAGAGAACATAGTCGATTGATATTCCAGCAAAGCCAGCATCGTATAGATACAGCACAATTAAAATTAAGGCAAGTAACCATAGGCTCTACCCATCCCCATAATCTAACCCAGCTCATGATACATATCTATCGTGAAATCATTAGTCGTACACATCGCCTGGCGCTAATCTCTAATCTTCTTATCCGCTCAATAGCCAATGTAACTGCATCTAGGGAAATAATGAACGAAGGGGGGTGTAAAGACAGGCTGAATTAGTTCCCATCCCCCAGAATCAATGCGCGAGCTTGCTGGGGTTCGGTGCCGAGAATGCTGATAAGGTAGTCAATGCTGTGAGGTTCTCAGTTAGCAGATCTGGCTGGGTGGAGAGGTGTATGGTAGCGGAGTAGGACGTACCTTGCTTCCGAGGCAAGTCGGCGCTTTTCCTTCTGGAACTCCTGTTGGCAGGATTCCCAGACCGCCGCGCGTTCGTTCGGCTGGACGGTCTTGACCCGGAGTTTGAATGATGCGCTGACTGGACGGTGATCAGAGGCTCTAGCTTCGTGTCGTCGGTATTCGAGTTGCTTCACCCGGCCGATTCCCCGGTACAGGACGCGGTCACACCAGGCGGGAGAACGTTTCTTGTCGCTAGTGTCGTAGTCATCTGTGCCCACGTCATACTTGTATGTCGGCGCAAACGTGATCGGGGCCTCGATGAAAGAGCGCAGGCGGAAACCCGGGTTCTTGCGTCTCGATGCCAGCAATTGGTCCCGTTCGAGCAGCTTCGTAAATTTGTTGTTGCGAATGTCCTCGATAATGACGTTGCGCGGTATAGAGTCAATGCGATAGTTGAGGTCTCCGTTCAAGATACAAATCTCGTGATCCATGATCATTGATCCATCCCCGCCACTAACAAAACGATCTGCGCGAGTCATGAGACTAGATTCAGGCGGCAGGGACTCCGACTCCAGGATGGCGGCGATATCATTGTTGCGATGTGTCGTGTGCGACTGCCCGGCTGCCAAATGGCAGTTCACAAAGCAGAGAGAACTGTCGTCAAGAATGAAGCGGAGGATCAGTGCGCCCTACAGGTTCCAGTTAGCTGGGGTGCAGACAATGTCATGCTGCGCGCGTACCTTGTTTCCATGCAATCCACCCATTCCACGCTTCACCTCCGCAGCGCTCATATCCTTGATCCGTTGTCGCTCTTTATGTTTCACAAAGATACATGTGAACAGACCAATCATATTCGCGCTATGCAAAAGCACATACGACTCGTCCAGGGGCATGCACTCGTTGATAACCCGTGTTAGATGCTCCATCCACACGCGGTACTGACGGCTGATATGCTCTTTCTCACTACTCTCCTTCTTCTTACTTCCCATAAGCAAGCTCTCTGCAACACGTTAGTCAACATTAACTAGACCGAAATTTCAGGTACGAGATACGCACTGGCTGTGATTTTCTTATTCTCGAGATCCACTAGTTCCTGGAATCCAAAGACTAGAATCTCCGGCGGGTCCTCGGGATGAATAGCGTCTTGGATAAAGGTCGATGTGCGCGCGCTGCCTGGGGTGGAGGCACCGGCATTCCACGTCAAAACTGACGCGCGGATTTCCCGGAAGGTACAGTACTCCACGTCCTTGGATTGCATTCGAGATTCTGTCCGATCGTTAGTTCTGGTGTATGCAGTGACGATCCAGGCAACTTACCCATCCAATCATCCTCCAGCATGCCGTCCCAAAGGCGAATGCAGTTATCTGTGCCTAACGACGTCACTTGAAGCCGGTTCATCGTCCACACGCTGCTGGTGTCGAGGAGGAATGCAGACACCGGACTGTCATGAGCCCGCCAATCCTTCCGCACCATCCACGGATTGGTTGACGTATCGTACACGTAGATCATGCCCGTCTTGTACCCAGCCCAAAGGTAGTCCCCGACAATACCTAAGCAGTTGATCTTGTAGACACTGACATTTACAACCCCGAGACACGTATAATCATGAGCCGAGTATATAGTCACCTTTCCATCAGCGTGTCCCAGATACACACGGCCGCCGTCTTTAGTAGTATAAGCACCAGATGTCACCTCTCCCGAATGCTGTGAGCCCAGCGGCCGCTTGAGTACTTTGAAGGACACGTCGTCGCGGGCATTGGGTCGATAGATTTGTACCTCTCTACCCGTTGCCAGCCACAGCGTATCGCCTACGACGACCGAGAAGGTATGCCCACGCGCAACCCGGTCATAAGGATTATGGTAGCTATACTGGAGATTAGGGGTCCCGGACTCGTCAGGTGGCCAGACGAGCAAGCGCCCCTCGTCATCTAGAGTCCACATCTCTTTCTTATGCCGATGGATCTTGATCACCTCCCTACGGGAGGGATAGGATCGTGACGCTACAACCGACTGAGTGGCAATATCAACCTCGTGAAGATCACCAGCGCTGGTACCAAGCCACAGTCGCTGTCCCTCGTCCTCCAGACCGTTCCCCGGTTTGAAAGCCAGCGACAGACACTTGACGGTTTCGCCATGGCTGAGAGTCATGATTTGTTCGCCCGTCGTAAGATCCCAAACTCGGGTCAAATAGCCAGTGGTGCATACATATTTCCCACACACATCCATGAGTCGCGTGTCATAGCGCGTCGGGATCTCCTGGGGGCCTTTCTTCAGAAGCGGCGGTCGCCGGTTAGCCAAAGACGCATCCGGGTAGTCCGTCCGTGGGGCGGGGGCCTCATCGAGAGGTTGCTCATCCTCGCTCGGGGCGGGAACTGGACGCACAGGTTGCCTCTCCACAACCGGCCGATCAACAACAGGGCGCTCCGGAATGGCAGGGGGAGGTCCGGGCTTGGTTTCTCGCGAGAACGACGGCTGTCGTTGAAGCTGTCTCGGCGTATGAACCTCACCGGTATGATGTGGGCGCAATTCCGGTCGAGGGGGCCACTCAGGCTGTACCGGACTCTTTAAACGATCAAGCTGTGGTCCTGGCGATCGAGCACCTCGACGTGCGATCGACGGCTGCCGCGGGGGCAGGCCAGGGGGCTCCCGTGGGCTATCAAAACTCTGGAGACGATGTGTGGTATGTGGAATAGCAGACATGGTTTCCTGCTGAGAGCTTTGTCGCGGCGGAATTTGTACCATCAGGGGCTTCGTGTCTCGTGTAGGCCTCGGAGATGGCCGCCGAGGAGGTTGTGGCCGCTCTGGCAAGCCAAGTGCACTCGGATGAGGTCTCCTTTCGTCGAATGATCTCCGAGCTGGCGGGGGTACGGGTCGAGATGGGGAAGGCTGCGGCTGCGGCTTTGTGGCAGATGGTACTTTCGGCGGTGACTTGTCAGGACTGCCCGGGGGCGTACTGAAGGGAGATGTCGCATCCTCTACATGGGGACGTTCCTGACGAGGAGCCAGGCCATTCCCATCAGGGAATGACAAACCAGCGGGTTTAGCCGGGATTTTAGGCTTCTCCGCTCGGTTAGCGGGTGGAGGTAACGAAGCACTCTTCAACCGTCGCTCTGACGGACTGTCGCGCGTCGATACAGCGGAGTCGGGATGGCCTGGAGACAGGTGAGAAGCAATTCTGTGTTCGATCGGCACCGACGATGGATAGGTAGGAGTGGTCGGTCGAGTAAGGGAGTTTGCCTGCGCAATCGGCCTGGGCGGTAATGACTCCCGCGGAGCACTCGGTGGACTGCGAGACGCCCGGATATCCTCGTTATGGGCTGGATGCGTCCCAAAGCCTCGTGGAGGGGATCGCGGTGAATCTATTGTGAGGGTGGGCGCCAGTTGCGGCGAGGAATGTAGGTTCATCGACATAGGTCTGCTTTGCCGTCTGCCTGGCGATCGTCCCGGGGACACCCCACGTTGACGCGGAGCGCCATTTCTATACTCGGTCCCCTGGCCATTCTGAAAATCTGTGGAGGGGACCCAAGGAGACCGCGGACGAGACAAGTCCAGAGAGGCGCGGGCGGAGCGAAAATCGTCAACGGGTTCAGGGGATTTCAGGTACGAGGTCGGGTCGCGGGGGCCACTTGGAGAGGCGGACGGGGTTCGGCGATGGGATAGGTTCTCGAAATGAGACAGAAGGGAAGACACTGGTCTCTGTAGAGGTTGATTGTGTGAGCAGGGGTTCCCTCGTCAGCATTAGGGACGATGCGCCAGACGTACCAGGGGAGCACTATCGGTGCCGTCCCTCGATCTACCGTTTCCCTGCATGGCCACGACTATAGATCCGGCACGATGACGGGTTGGAAAGATAGATCATAGGCTTCAATGGAACGGCGTATACGACGGAGGTAAGATCTTAGGGACAATAGAGTCAACGGTATGTATGATGGTTCACCCCGAGGTTTAACAGCGTTGCGGTTAACAGACCCGAGGGGTCGAGACTGTGGCGGAGTTGCGGGCAGTTCGTCAGGCGGAAACGAATCGGCTGCTATAAATACAGACGGAGCGGAGAGGGAGGGGGAAACGTTGAGCGGAATGGATCTTCCGGGCGGGAGGGAATGAAGGAGGGCTGGAGGGGAAATAAAGAGAGAGTAGGGGAGAGTTTGAAAGAGAGAAAGAGAAAAAGAAAGAGAGAGTTGAAGGAACGGTTGAGGAGTAACGACGATCTCGCGATAGAAAGGGGACAAAGTGAACTTAAAAGGAGAAGGCAAAATGACGAGTACAGCAGACCAGTCTTTTGTGTCAAGAGAAAAATGAATACTCGAAAATAGGCAAAAATAAGATCAAACAAAAACAACGACGAATAAAATAATAAACAATTCCTCTAACAAGAGCACTAATCCCGAATTCAATCTGTCGGTCCCAAAAATAAAATAAAATTACTATCCCAAGCAACTGCCTCCCTAACTTGTATAACGATGTCATTTATTGTATTGTTAGAGTTCCCACAGTACCAATCCATGGTAAAGACCGTCAGGCAGGCCTTTATTTTTAGTTTCCGCCCTGCCAATAATTTTAAATTAATCCCTCCCCAATAATCGCGATTACTTCCCCATTAAGGACCATAATATACCTACCCTCTTCCTTCGATTTTCCTCCCTCCACCACCCACGTAGACCCTCATCCCCTGACTCAAATCCCTCTTCATCATGTGGTACGTTGATGATCCCGGCTCCCTTGTCAAGCCACGGGGGAAAGAGAAAGAGAAAGAGAGAGAGCAAAAAAAAATTAAGCAAATCCATCAACCGGTCAACTGACACCCTCCTGCGCAGTAAACACATCCTCAACGCCCAAGTGGCCATTCGTTCGGCATGCTGTGAGTCTATTACAAATTCACCACCGCCGCCGTCCTACTCATCCGAACTCCAGGCAAGAAGTGGTTCGACTGCGCCGAATGCCACCATGAACAAGAATCCCATGCCCTCATGAAGACCACCGAAATGGTACCCCTCCATTCACGTCTCCTCTCAAGCTGATAGACATTCTAAAGGAGATTGGTACAGGTGTTCGCCTGTAAAAAGTGCAAGAAATGTTTCCGGAAGGACTCGACAGAATTCGAAGAGAGGTAGGTCAATCCTCCGCGGTACGAGCATACGGTACTTCGAACACATGACTAAGGGGAAACTTTTGATAGTGACGAATACTGCCCGCATTGCGATAACCACTTCGTGCTGGAGGCCGTCACACCCAAGCCCGCATTGCAGGTCGAGGGTGAGGATGCTCGTGTCGACAACAGGTACTTACCTCCCCTTTTATTCGATTTTCCAGGATGGGATGCTGATATGCGAGAAAGAATGCTCAAGGATGACCGAGTACGCGGCCACCAGGAGCGGTCGATCTTCAACGTCAGGGATGCCGAAGATCGTCTGGGATAAGTGGAGGCGGCCAACTGTGGATTACGACGATTACGATATTATGCTTTCTACCTCCTGCCGACAGTCAGGCTACAAATCTTTAGACGACGATATTCCTAGAGAGACCTCCCGGGGGTCTCTGTGTATAAACGACGGGGAAAGAGTTCTTTATTGTCGTAAAGGTCGCTTCGGCAAGATCTCCGATATTATAAAGGAAAAACGTGTGTAGGACGTCAACCAGAGGCATGTAGCTCTAATTCACTAAACCAGCCTACTCCTAGGCGTCGCTGGACTCTCCACCACCTCTTGTTAGGATAGCCGCCGTCGTGGTGCTGGTCCGGGCTGTCTTCTTCTTCGCAGCCTCCTCTTGCTTCTCGGTTTCTATACTCTTAACGTAGGCCTCGATCTGATCTTCTGGCAGCATCTCGATCGTCTGCCCGGGTGACATGATAGCCACCTCGATGTTCTTGGCGCCGGTCTGCACGACCTCCAACAACGACTTGATGGTAAGCTGAATCGTCTGCTCACGGTCCATATCATCCTGGTGGTTGCGCTCGAGGAATTCCCGAACGGTCTTGCTAGAACGGCCGATAGCGTTGGCTTTCCTATATCACCCCACACACCCATTAGTCTTTCTTCTTTGCGTTCCAAACCCGACCACCAGAGCCACCTACCAAGCAGAATAGATACCCGATGGCTCAGTCTGATATAATCTCGGCACTTTGTCGTTCGGATCGAATCCCACAACCAGGGTACTAATACCGAAGGGTCGAACACCTCCACTTTGCGTGTACCGCTGCTGCACACCGGCGATGTATTTGGTGATATATTCGATAGTGACGGGGTCTTCAACGGTCAAGCGGTGTGACTGGGCCTCTAGTCTAGCCTTGTCGATGAGGATACGAGCATCGGCGTTCAATCCAGCGAAAGCGAGAACGGCATGGTTGTCGAGCACGGCGATCTTCGACGGTGTGATGCGGGTATCTTGGAGCTTCAAGGCGGAACGCTTCTCGCAGCCCAGCACGACAACATCTTTACCTTTTACTCCGACGGCGCAGGTTCCTAGACGAGAAGAACGATGGGGGTCAGGGAGGAGGGCGTGGCCGACCTGGTTGGCGGTGACGTACCTCTCTTCACAGCTTCCATGGCATACTCCACCTGGAAGACGTGCCCATCAGGGCTGAAAAAGGGTCAAAGAGCTGTACAGAATGCTGCAGAAGACGGTTCCCATACCTGAATACTACAGGTTGGTTAGCTTCAGTTGATCATCCCACCGAGAAGCACATGGAACTAAGGTACTAAGCTATCTTACCTGAAAGAGCTCGGTCATATCCGGACATTATGGGCGACAGGAAAACAGAGAAAACCGAAATAAAAGCGAAGAAACAAAACCAGATGGTATGAGGACGAGAAAGGTATTGGAAAGGGCAATTCGTGGGATTCGGATCGTAGAATGCTGGGATGGGGAGCCGTCTTGAGCGATGACAGATGGAGGTGGACGCGAGTCCCGCGGTTGCCTCCAGACCTCCAGAGCTCCCCCTCTAGCGCCATAGGCGCGCGGTTACCCACTTCCAGTCCATCACCCACTCCTAGATCTCTATACCTCATTGGCACAATTGGGAGATAACTTGTACCAGTTTCATAAATCTGACAATATTGTTGTCTTCTCCATGCAGAATATTCCTTGCAAGTTTCAATCTCTTCACTCAGCGAACCCTCCCCTAACTCATGGATGGCCATTATGGTATGCACTGTGAGACGAAATATATATTCAAGGAACAAATTTACAAACCCGCAGAATCAAAGCGATAGCAATGAAACAAGTATTTAGGTCAATTGACTGGGTAGTGCCTAAGGTTTTTTATACTCTCACTCGAGACCAATGCTGGATCATACATGATGTGACATTATAGTAGAAAATAAGGTAGACAGCAGATAATAACCAATGCGTCCTGGTCTACCCCAACGCCTCGCTCTCGCTCACAATGCCCCATCGATTCCTATACAAAATGGCAGACAATATACTGTCTCTAAGTCTGTACTGCGTAGATCCAGAATGATGACTCATCGACTTTTCTTGCAGAGACAAAAAGGAAAAAAGAACATCAATACCAATAGAAGACAGGTGATAAAGGAAAGTAAGAAAGGATCAAAAACACACAAAAATGAATTATGGACATTCAGAACAACCCTGTTGCACTCACGATTCCCGACCTGTTGCCTCGCATATCTGAAATCCGCCGTCGGCTGAAATTTTCATGGCTCAAAAGGAATATCCCCAACACCCCCAACAGAGTCCGTTCCAGTGTATCCCATCCGTGATCAATACCGTGATTCTCCAATGATTCCTGTTGCCAAAGAGCGCAGAGATGAACTGGGAAAAATAAAAACAAGACAAGCAGAAAAATAAGGTAACCAAATATCTAGAATGCAATGCCATGATAGAGCCCCCACGTCTGGTCGCACTGCGATCGAAACAAGCGATGCCTTTCATCAGATGCACAGCGACGAAAGCGAAGAAAAGTGCGAAGCTCATGCCGATCGAAGGAAAATAAGAACGAGAAGCCTCAGTGACTCGCGAATGGATGTACGAAACCACCCGAGCCCATCTGCCAGGATGGTCTTCTATACCCTCAAACATCGCTTCAAAGACGCAATAGTAAAACATACCGAAAAGGGTCAACATAAAGGTTGCGAGAGACAAAATAACAAAAGATAAAGAATCCAATCCGATGAAACGACGACACGCTACCGGCCTGCTCCTCCCAACCGAATGCACCAGAACTGCTGAATTCCCTATACAAACGCGCATCAACGAGAATCAACCGTCGCTTATACCGACAATCTAGATGACCATATTCACAAACAAAAAATGGGGGGGGGGGGCCCGTCACAGAAAAATGGAAATAGTACAACCACCCCGCCTTAGTGATTCGCTGCGGCGGCTTTAAGCAGGAGATTTGCTCGCACCGGTACCGTTGCGGCGGGAGTGGCCGTCGTCAGCGACAGACAGGCCGCCCAAGCCGGTAGACAGGAAGGCAAACGGATCGTTGGATCCATCCGCTCCGTAGAAAGCGCCGTTCGAAGCGCTGGTGGAGGTAGCATGGTCAGCACCGGTGAAAGCGGCCTGCGTAGCAGGGTTAGCAAACGAAGTGGCGGAGTGAGAGGTGTTGCTGGAGCCGTAGCCGGCGTTCATCTGGCCCATGGGGGGATATCCTCCGGGGCCACTGCCCAGCGCCGAGGGCAGAGCGTAGTTGTTCGGGGGCGCTCCAAACTGCTGGCTGAATCCGCCAAAGCCACCGGCGGTGGAGGTAAAGGGGCCAGGTGCTGGGGTGCTCGCCATGGAGTTAGGGCCCATGCCAAAGCCCGAAGGTGAAGGGTCCATGGGCGATGGGAAAGCGGAGTCCGCAACCACCGCGGCACCCGAGCGGGGTGCACCACAACGCAGACAGTTGATGTTCTTGGCGAAGTTATGGTAGCCACAACCCTCTGAGCCACACTTCCAGTCACCCGCACGGAAGGGAACCACCCCGCCGTTGCCGCCCATGCCACGAGAATGGCCCATGCCGTGACCGTGACCCATATGAGGTGGCATCATGGAGGGCGGGCCGTAGCCGAAAGCTCCATACCCCATCGGATCCGGGGTAGCGGCCATGGCGGGGAACGAGCAACGGAAACAAGCGGTACGGCGCTGGAAGTTCGAGAAACCACAGGAGGGGCAGGTCCAGTCGCCGGGACGAGGGCGGTTCTTCGAGGGAGGGAACGGGGTGAGGATCTCTGCGGCACGATCGAGAACACGGCTAGAGGAAGGGGAGACCTCAATGGCCTTCTCGTTGAGTGCACGGCCGTTCATGCAGAGACTTTCTGCAGCCTACGGAGAGGGTTAGTTGCCACGACAGGACGCCCATAGGGAGAGAGAGAGTGTGTGAAGTCATTCCATACCTCTTCGTGAGATGAGAAGACCGCAAAGCCCGTGCCGGTAGGCTTGTGCTGATCCGGAGTCCGCAGGGTCCAGAAGGCGATCGGACGGCCACCAAACTGTGTGAACCAGCTTTCGAGCTCGGACTGGGTCGTATCGTGGGGGAGACCGCTCAAATGCAGCACCTTGCTCCGCTCGGCCAGGAAGGCACGAACGTCCGCTCTCGCATCCATGGGGCGGGTCAAGATCTCGGGGTGCTCATGCGGGGGTTGAGACTTGCGAATCAAGCCGCGGAGGACGCGGGCCAGCGTGATGGCTTCCTCCATGGCCCGTCGTGGCGATGCGGGGGCCAGCGCCTGCAGATGGAAGGGGAGGTTGTGTTTGATGGGGGCAGAGGTTTGAACGGGTTCGACTTCGAGGGCGGCACAGATGTTGGAAAGGGAGCTGGGACCGAAGGGTAGGGACTCGGGGTGATGAGTCTGCCATCTCTGATACTCGGTTCGCAGGTCGAAGGTCCGGGAATGCTGGAGATATGCGGGGAGAACGACGGCCTTGTCTCGGGCTTCACGAGGGAGCTGTACACGGAGGTCCCATGAATCCAACGTCACGAAAGCAAACTCCAAGCTCTTGCTGATAAGGTGTTCCTTGGCGAATTCGTCGAAACGGGCGATGGCATCGCGGAAAGTACCTGCCGAGCGGACGTGCTCCCATGTCAGAGTTGTCAGGCTCGCTTTCGGAGACCGTCAGCCATTGAACCAGCAGACCGATACATCCGGGGTGGAGGGACAAGGTGTGGCAGGGAGGGAATGGCTAGGCATTGGACGGGATGACGATTGATTAGGTGTGTGTGAGTGTGCACTTACTGCAAAGCGGCGTGATGGGGGTGTTGACGGGCTTGACGAGCACACTTTCACGGTGCAACTAAACATTGAAGCAAACCTGTTAGCCAGCTGTCATATGGGGGGGGGGGGAAGATCAATTTCCGAGGTGGTGGTCCGAGCCCAGAGGCGGGAGGGGAGAGATTAATGAAAGCATCAGGAGGGGAAAGGGTGAATTGGATTCACAGGGGATTATTAAACTCCAACAACAACGTACCTCCTCGCAGGTTTTGGCATCCAACAAAATCCACCCCAATTCGATCACCTCTGCCGAATCCTTGGTGACGTAGACGCCATGTTCGTCGCAGGTGGTTGCGACATGGATGACAATATAGCGATCCAGCTTGGGGGTGGGAGCTGAAACGGTTGCCATCGCTCAGGATTGATTGATTGATTACAGTTGGTTGAGTATCACCGGGGGGCTGCTCTCTCACGCCAAAAGGGAAAAGGGTCAACCGGGACGGAAAAATAGTGTCTCGAAGAAGCGGAGACACGGGTTCCACGACCAAATTATGACCGTCGTGATTTCGAAAAGAATCACGGTAGGGAGGGGAGGTGAAAGGGGGGAGGGAGGAGGGAGAAGGAGGAGGGAGAGAGAGAGAAGGAAGAAAGAAGAGCCAGGAAGAATTGTTGCCCAGTCCAAGATGGGAATCAGCAAGAGAGGAGTGAGAGTGAGTGATGGTGGAGCGTTCAGATTAAAAAGAAAAGTTTCGGGGGTTTGAGGGGAAATTCGATTGTAAAAAAAAAAAAAGAAGATTTAGAAAAAAAAAAAAAATTTCAATCACGGGGTTGATTTCCAAAAGACCATCAATAATCTATACATCCAAATGATATTTTATATGATATTCTCTACCAAGATTTAAATCTGCTCGAATTGATTTTCTACATGCTCCGAGGGATGTGATGTTCTGTTTCAGTCTCTCATCATTTCTCTCTTTGAGTTGATTTGAATTTACTGCTGATTTACAAGAAAGTTAATCGCTAGTGTCCATTGGCTTGTATTTTGTGTCCACCGTCGTACCAGAAGCTCACGTTTAACCCTCCCGCCTGAGCACCGTGGCTATGAAACTGCGCTTCTATTCTCGGAATTAATCTCATTCTTGATATTTATATCTTGATCCTTATATATAGTAGTAGTAGTAGTAGTAGTTCTCATATCCAGTGATCCATGCGTTGAGTCAAAACAGTTGTCTTTTATGTCCTATACGCGATTAATCTACCCCCTAAGAATCCCAGTATAGATAGATAGCATGGTCAATTAATGGTTGGGGTCGTAAGAATAGGGGATGGTAAAATTATATACAGTAAGTAGTATAGGCCATGAATCCATCCATGTCTCTCATTAACCGCCCTGCTGTAAGGTACTTCTGTCAGCGGTATCACATTTGAATGGTCCCCCAAGTCGGATGCACCTATGAAATGCCCCTAGGAGATTAATTCCTCCCCGTCAATACCGTGCCTCCCCCAACTAAATACCAAGGTAGAAATACTAGTATCGAGTTCCTGGTCTGACCAAGAGCCGGTCGTCGTTTCTTCCAATCCCGGTCCATGGATGAATGGATCCGCCCGTTCTCGCATCCGAAGAAAACGGTACGCAATACACTTAGTGTGTAATTTTCAATGGCACCCGAGCCAAAGAATCAGGTCATTCTGGAATGTTTATTACCCAAGAATATAAAAAAAAATAAATTCTATAGAGAGGGGAAAAAGCGGCAGCAATATTTATAGACTATACTATCATGGGGAGGTATGAATTACTATGTCTCTAATTCCTTTCAGTCAGACAAAAATGAATAAAGACAATCTTTGGAATAAATAACAAGTGAGACATTTCCGATTTAATCTACCAACAGGTGAGCAGGATGGCTGACTGGTCCGTATCACCCACGATATCAGGCCATGACAACCTACAACGGTCGGCCATCAATAATAAACGCAGGCTAACCCACCACTAGTGACCTGGCCGCAGCTCTCGTACAGGCCCCAGGCTCCAGGAAGGAATCCAGTCTGCCTGGGCCTTGGCCACCGATTCCTTTTGCCCGTGCACGTGCCAATTCGGCTGGAACTATACCAGACAGACAGACTTTATATGTCAGCTTCAAGTTCCAGGCAACTTCCTGCTCCCTCTTCTTGAACACTCCTTTTATACCGTCAATTGACGCACAATACTTCGACCTTAAACCTCGTCTACTTGATTGTGGTCGTGGACAATGACTAATGCCAATCTCCATCAGTCATAGGAAGCCGAAACAGGCAGCGGAGAGGCTCAGCGACACGTAATGCTAGATTTACCTATTTCTAAAAACATACTTCGATTTGAGGCTATGCGAGGTCTACTCTACCTCGGTACGTCATTCTCTACTCTTCATGTATGATTACCACGAGGGAATTAAATATATATATTCGATCTTAACAAACTTCCGTCTTGTCGATGCCTCGATGTGATTCAAAAATCATATACCAAGGTACCTTGGGGATATATTTCTCAAGAACTCTTCGGCAAACCCCGCTCCTTGAACGGGTCGCATCGGTCGACCGAGCACTCGTAACTCGAGTACTATGTAAACCTTCATGACACCTTGAGCCTATCGAGTCCACGATATATAAACACTTTGAACTACCGTACTGTTTTTCTGTGGAAACTTTGGGACTTTCCTTTTCCGGAACGGGTCTAGCTCAGGGCCGCTTTTCCCTCAGTGATTGATCCTGGAGCGTGGGACAAGACGGTAGTGCGTTCATATAGCAGCCACCGACCGTGTAGTCTCTGGATACATACGCAGCTCGAAGCATGAATCCAGCAAGTGCGCCTCCAAGCGTCTGACTGGCAAGATAGATGACTAAGCGAGGTACTGAGATCAACCGAGCAAAGAATGTGGCCATGGTAATGGTTGGGTTGAGATGACTGCCGCTGACGTTGGAGAAGGAGAAGATAAAGAGTGTCAGGAACAGCCAGTTGCTAATCCCGCCAAACAGTGGGCCCAAGAACGTAGCGGTAGAATACACACTGGACGCAGATGACGGCGCCTGTGCGTCCTGCGAGGCCGACGAGTGTCGGATAGATATCCAAGCTGTAACAAATACATTCAGCATTGTACCTAGTGACGGATGTAAACGGCCGCTTATCTAAGGAGGACCTCATTCAAGAGAATGGCATCGCACTCACCTATGCATTCAATGAATCCAAACTTCCAGTGGTCGATGCGGAGGAACCCACGAGGATCCAAACCTTCACTGATGGACATCAACGGTGCCGCATCAGGCACTTTTTTCAACAACTCCGCATTGGCCGGGTCATTGCGGTCAAGAACCAGTCCCTGGTTTCCACCGATTCTTCCAGCAAAAGGATAGATAACTGGCTTAAGAGACATGTCATTCTGGCCATACGGGATACCCCGACTTTGCCTAAGGTATGTCTCTTGGACGGGAGCAGTTTCTGCATCCATTGTGAGCTAGGATGGTTTTCTCACTTGCCGATCTTTTGTTGATCTTGACGTTTCCCTCCCCCTATCTTATACTGCTTCTGTAATTTTTTTTTCTGGGTGAATGGCTGGTTCATGATCTCACCACTTGTTTCATGATCCACAACCGCTTTTGGCGGTGCGGATATCCGGAGATTACCCCTGCCTCTACCAGAACACCCTAAGTTGGTGACGTGAATAGGCTTTATCGACGATAACCATCTGCTCTAGTAGACCTGCCACAATCCCATCAACCACAGGGAGAATTAGCCGGTGCTTTACTAACCCAGGGTCACAGATGATTAAGATTCAGCACGAACTTTTGCCATATGACGTGATGTCTCCAATGCAGATAAAACTTGTCTATGGCAAGAAGATTATTTCTAGATACCCGTCGTACAATACAAAATCTTCCAGGAAGGAAAAGAACCATGCATAAGTTATGGTACTATTATGTGCTAATTCTAATGAATCTCAAAAGCTTTCTACCCAAACTTGTAAAAATTATCTAGTGCTTAACTCTTGCTATGGGAATCTATTACTAATTTAGTTGATCTAGGTAAGGCTATTTATCTATATAGTACAGATAATCAATCAGGTGAATTCAGATAAAAATACCTAAGAATACGGGGTTCTGCTACCATTAACTGTTTCTGATACTACTTTGAAGCATTATCTCTGAAGAGCAATAACACCATCGGTATTCACAAATGATAACTCCTCGGGTCACTACCTATGGACTTTGCTTAAATTCTTCATACAGTGACGGTAAGAAGCAATTCAGGTCTATTCCACCATATCAATAAGCTGTCCATACTTTGCTTTCCCTCGGGAGTGAATGCATGACTTACGGGACATCTCGATGGCACAGTGCACTGCAAGGTCATGTCCGACTTGGGGGGTTGCATCGGCAATCCAAAACCTAGATCGAAGTTCTCTTTCACCATCTGGCGTACGTCGGACCTGATGAATTAAGAAAGACTTATTGTCAAAACCAGATGTGATGTGCTCTGTGCAGAGCCTGTCAGCGAGCTTTGATTCTCGGATTTGTGGGCCGGTGAGGAGGATCATACCGCCCACTTTTATGTGACCAACGACCATGGCCTCAATGCCTTGCTCTTCAAATTTGGATTTGTCAATTCCTAGCTCCTGGGGATCAATAAAAGCGATGGTTAGCTTGGAGCAGTCATTGCCGATAAACTCAGATATAAATGAGTATGTATTGATATAGCGCTCAGGAAGGCTCTTGTTGGACCAATCCATGGTGTTAGGATGTCGCCAGGCATATTGATGTGCAATTGGGTTCCAAAGCTTGTATCTGTTTAGACATTAGATTTGTATCGAATGTTGCAAAATGACCCTGCCTTAACTTCTCGTCGGTGCCGAGGCAAACCTACCTGGATGTATCTGTTAGGTGCCAACCAAACCACCAATTGTAGGCGTCACCGGTAACTGTCAAATATTAAACACCAAACAATCTGCAATACGGGACGCTGGTTATTTCTACCTACTTTGCGGGATCGGGGTCCGAACTGCAATGTAAAGAGTTCCATCGGGCAGAGTAGTATATCCATTTTCGAGTAGAGTGTATCCACTCCGTAGCATGTAAGTCTTAGCCTCCCAGGGGGTATGACCTGCAATACGTCAGCGCATCTCACATTCTACTTGCAAGATTTTAGTCAAGAACCGGGAACTTGATTCTCACCAATGCTACTTGCCCAGGGGCTGGCGGAGAGTCCCTTTTGGACTTCGTCGCTGATGGCCGGGGTGACTGGATTGTAGTACTTGGCAAATGGCCTCTTTAAATCGGCCTCCCGGTATCCAAGGTAGTAGTCTTTCCCATCGGGATCATAAGACTCCTGATTGACAGAGATGAAACTGTCCATGTCCTTTGCAGGTGCCATTGTGCAGTCCTTGTTGGATTTCTGGATTCGGTTGAAACCCTCAACTTACTGAGGGGTTGCCTTCACCAGGTTATATAGCCCACATTTCAGCCCTGATCGTTTACTTTCTATTGCGTGGGTGTAAACGTCATGACGACAAAATTGAGTTCTGCAGATCTGCTGTTGTCTAAATCCGTAAAGTTGAAAAAGAAAACTTCAAAGGAAAATATGATCAATCTTATGTAGTCTATACTATATTGTATATTTAATATTATATTCTTACAATCTGTGGTTGCTGAGATACCTGAGTAGTAAAAAGGGACGATTTGTATGGATTACAGAGCTGCGCAGGGTACTTGCGTGCGCAGGGTGCTTACCGATTACGTTATATGAAGCATCCCACCCCCGGAAAAGGTAACTCCTTCGGAGCCAGTGGCCAACGGCTACGAGAGGTGCAATACTAGGAGAATCGAGCGTGTTCAGTTTCTTAGGGAACTTGTATATAAATTGAAACAGAATAAGTTACTTAAGAATCTGAATTCTCCGCGCGATTATCTAATTTTATATAATACGCTGGGCCGCTATCAAGCTATTAGCGCTAGTCTTCTTCAGGGCCCATGAATGGGCCCAAACTCCAGGCCCAAGGCCTAACCCATATGGGCCCTGGGCCCTGATTATGGGGTCCAAGCCCAATCACTAGACCTACGATGGGCCCTTAATGGGCCCTTGTCTAAAGTTTGTTTTTATATAAAATTATAGTCTTGGTATTTATAAAGCTACTAAATAAATAAAATAAAATATTATTTTTTATTTTTATTTTAATATATATAAAAAGTAATACTATCCTTTTCTATATAATTATATAAAATTTTATAAATTATTTTTAAAAAGAAAATTTTTTAACCTGGTTTCTTTTAAATTATTAATTTTAAAATAGATTTTGAATTAGTAAAATAATATTATAGTAGTATTAAAATATTTTTAATATTAACGTTATTCATATATATATTTTAACTTATTGTTACAGACCCTTGTCTAGCGCACCTTATAGAAGGCGGACACACAAGGCAGAATAACGATAGCCGATTCCTGAGCGGAAGGCACCCAACGAATCGTTCATCTAGTAGTTATTCGGAAAAGGGCTGCTAACGCCAATACCGGCTACTACGACAAGTCACGTGCATTGTAGCAGTGACACGACCAAACGTATCAGTGACACGACGAGCTCGTAGCACCGACAAGATATATCGTATCACTGACACGAAGAATCGTAGCAGTGACATTGCAAGGAAGGATATATAAGGACACTCATTTCATGTACTTAGTTTAGTTCTTCGTGATCAATCTATAATTGTTACTACAGAGTTACCTTTAGTAGCACGACCAGTCTCAACTCGTTCGTACTCTTCTAACTATTGGGTATACGTACTCAATAGGCCTGGCCCTTTGGACTCGAGTCTTGTATCGACGGTAGTCTTGTATCGACGGCAATCTAGTGTCGACTGCATCCCTGTGACGACGGCAGTCTAGTATCGACGGCAGTCTAGTGTCGACGGAAGTCCTGAGGTGGCTCCCGTCTCACCCAGACCGCAACCCAACGACGACGGAAGTCGAAGGCCGACTTCAGGTTAGTAACCCTCGGAACGTGGTCCGCTAACTGGTCTCAGACTTGACGACGAAGCCCCGGGCGTAACACTTATGTTGATGTACAACAGGCACTTGGTTTGGTTCTTCTGATCAATATTATCAGTTACTTGACAGCTACATTCATAGTAATTGTTACCAGCTGAACTTTCTCGCACTATCTAACTATTGAGTATACATAATAGACCTGGCCCTTCTACCTTCGACTGATGCTTCACGGGTCGTGCTTGCATCGCTTTTCAGGCATCACGGTCAACCCATCATCGCCGATCACTAGTGAATTCTAGTCATCGTGGTAAGTCGCTTCTAACCAAGATAGCTAACTGGTCACAGAGTCCTTAGGTGAAGCCTCGGGTGTAACACCTGACTCCTGAGTACTAGAATCTACTGGGACCCGATAATGAAATTCTGTGAGGGTGCCTAATCCAAGGTCTGAACGGTAGTGTGATATCTAGTCCGTGAATAGCTCAAGTTTAAAAGGTTAGCTTACGACGTACGTATACTCGATAGTTAGAAGAATACGAACGAGTTGATACTGGCCAATTGGTACTAAGTTAACTCTGTAAGAACAATCTTTATTGATCACGAAGAACCAAACTCAGTATATGGATTAGTACCCCTCGTTTACTCCTGGAGTAGGTGCCGGAGTAGACCCTTAGCTTCCTAAATTTTCTACCCTTGCAACTCTTTGTGTTTCTTACACGGCCCTAAAATCGTGGGCAATACACAAACCATGCTCGCCTTAGTGAGGACTCTTTCTATGTGAAGCTAACCCTACAGCATTAGGATTACATTTCGCATATAACAGTATCTAAGATACTACATTTAAGCTGTAAGTGGATCTCAATAATTTATTGATTTTCTCAAAGACAGGGGCGCCATTTAAATGGTGTAAATATTCCAGAGAATATATTAATGGGTTCTGTTAGCCTAGGCTAACATGGTGGGCCTTTAATTTTGGTATTCGCAAGATATTAAGAGATTTCTGATCACTCTATTTAAACCACTCATCACCTAAAACCTTATCTGACCTGTCCAAACATATGGCGGCCTGTGTAGTGACCAATAAGGGCATTTATTGCTGGTAGGCAGGCGCAGATAAGACCAAGTCCGACCTCAGCGGCCCCAGTAAACAGAAGCTTGGCCCAGAATCTGACCTCATCTGTCGAATTCCTGTCACTGAGCATCAAGAATATGCGGTAAATGTTTGTCACTGTGGCTAATCCTCCTGTTCCAAGTATTGCAGCTATTTTTATTCTCTTCCATACGGGAAGACGAAGAGGCCATGCGAGAAGGACTGGTAGGACAAGAATAGCTCCATCAGTGATGAGACTTATGAAGGCGTCTATAAGGTAGACCGTAGCATAGTCTACACAGGTACCATTGTGGTTCGAATCCCAGAACAAGGAGACCGGTGTGCATATAAGGACACGCACGAAAAGGGATGAAAAGTAATAAACAAGAATAAAGGCGGTAAGAAGGCGGATGAAGCAGGCCATATGTTCGCGTGGGTTATAGAGGTGGATCAGAACCGAGAGAAGAAGGAGCTTGATAAAGAAGACAGAAAAGTTGTAGATAAGCAGGATAGAATAGATGACCTGTCGGATGCGCCTGAGCTGATAGGCTTCCAGCTCCCAAGAATGATAACCCCCCCCAAAGGCGTTGAATATAATTGACATAACGTAGTAGCCAATGGCAAACATGTAGGATACCATAAAAATGATATCTTCATAGTTGAGTGATCTCCAGACCTCGTACTTCGCGTAAAATCGAAGAATGAAGCAAATAGTGACCAGTCCAATGCATAGACCATAGGTTGTATAGCTGACAGTGCTTAGGGCATTGTCTCGCCTTATTAAAGCCCGGGGGCTGCCCTGATGTAATGCCAACGGCAACAATATATTCAAGCCCATATTCCGTCCAACCTTCTCATCACCAGACCATCATTATAGAATAATGATAGCATGAGAAAATACCATTTGAACTGGCAGATGAGAGGTTTTATTAGATCCTCAGACGTTCTGCTATTATCGGCCTGTATTTGAGAGGTACCAATGTCAATCTGGAGCCATGGAAGGTATCAAACTCTATTGCTATCAACCTGCTACATCTACGGTCTGGACACTCAGTTTAGCTGGCAAGCGTACTATAAAATGTGGGTCACAGCTAATGTGGGTTTTATTAACCTTTCATCTGTCAGGTAGTAGCACCACTTTGCCACCACCACCACCAAAACGAATGTAATAAAAATGAAGTTTATCAAAGCCACACAAATAAGGAAATATGTTCGGAAAACTAGATGGCAGTTTTCTAATCTATTATGGCCGTCTTATTGCAATTACTGCAGTGTGGTGGTCTGAGTGGCATTGAAGATGATGGATTTAATAATTCTTTTGGGTTACCTCTTCATGCTCATTTGCTATACGAAGCCGACAATCATCTATTTTTTCAGCAGTATGTGCAGATAGACTGTATGTAATTATTCAAAATTTTCTAACAAAGAATTCATGTATCTTAGATCAATGTTGTCTGAACCTGAAGATATCTGTGCAGAGTTTTAGACATGATTAGCAGTCAAGCCTTCTTTGAATTTCACTTTTCCATGTCAAAGCCCTCTCAAAACCATTTTTACCCTTACGAAAATCCTCCACGGCCTGATATACTTCTCCCAGGCTTGAAAGAACAAATGGCCCATAATGGACAATCTCCTGATCGAGAGGTTGCCCGGCGAATATTATGAAACGTGCGTTCTCGTCAGCATTAGCTGACACGGAGGCTTCGATGAAGTCTCCATTCTGCTCAAACACAACGACGTGAAATCTACCCAGGCTCATACTTTTATCAGATGATGATGAAGTAAAAGTAACCCTGCCACGCAGTATATAGACGAAGGCATTCCACGCATTCGGTAGGGTCTGCTGAAAGTGTCCACCAGGCTTAACAGTAACATCTAGGTACCATATTGGTGTGTATGCAAGATTTTGTTTTGACACCACTCCATGAGACTCTCCAGCGATAATGCGGATCACAACACGCCCCTCATCCACGTGAACCACGGGGATCTCTTTGGCACGCACGTCTCGATATTGTGGAGTACTATATTTGAACTCCTTCGGCAAGTCAATCCACAGTTGTAATGCCTCTATGATGGAATCCTCCCGATCGTTAACAGGATCATTCCGTCGTGGTTGCTCTGCATGCATGATGCCCCTGCCAGCACTCATGAATTGCAAATCACCTGGCCCAATGGTACCTTTATTTCCCAGAAAATCTTCGTGATCAAGCGCGCCAGACAATATATATGAAATAATTTCTTGACCGCGGTGGGGGTGGTCAGGGAAGTTTCCGATCTTGTTGGCTTCGCTGGCGACATGATCGAGCATGACGAATGGTGTAAGGTTGTGAAGCTTTGGTGTCGGTAATGCTCGATGGACACGCGAGCCTGCACCCTCAGATACTTCAACTGAGGAAAAATATTGTTTAATAGAGCGTGCAATAACCATACTGGAATAATATAGTGGTGAGTAGTAAGTTGGACAGTAATCAGGATGAGGATTCATCTCATAGAATTAGTTGTGGTATCTAAATAAGCCCTTCGTATTTGTTAAAGTATTACTACTGTGCAGATACTCATAATGTTACATGGTGGGCTAAGATCCACAGTGGTCTTGTAGCTTAAACAGATATGCTCAGCATCAGTCAGCGATAAGTAATTAATTATGAGGGTAGTGTTGGCCCGAGTTGGGTCAAACTTTAAATACTAGGTGGAGGGAATTTTCTTCGGACGGACTAATGCTGGAGCTTCGATCCGGACAATCTGGTTGGCGAGTTGGGCGTAAGCACCCTAAAAACTGTATAATAAATATTACGAATGGGTAAAGAGATTTATCATGGTTAAAAGATTCTCTTGGCCTTTTATCTACCTATACTATTAGTACATTACAGTATTAGTATGATTTCAAAGGTTTTGTTGAGCTGCAACATTGCCCACCTAGTACTCCGTATGTTACAATGACGATGATGGAACACCTAAGACTTAAGGATTGGGTCAGGAACTAGTATTCTGGAGCTTAGCATACATGGACGGAATAACTATATGGACGGACTATCCAGCCGAGAACTCAGCTTTGGCAGACGGATAACATTTTGTCAACGAAGTTATCCCGGCCCCAACAGGCCCAAAAGAGTATACCCCCTCGGAGTCAGAAGTGTGTAGACATTATAAAAGACAGTGATTGATTCTCAGTGACCTGGCAAGATCATGAGCACATCCGTGACTTCATTGCATTATACATTTTATAACTAGAGAAATCTCATTCGTCGAAATGACACGTTTTGACCCCAACCATGAATCGCTTGATTTTTTAAAGCTTCGAGACTCAGTGGTGGTTCTTACTGGAGGAGCCACTGGAATAGGCGCAGCAACCGTCCGCCTGCTCCACTCGTACGGAGCAAAGGTTATTTTTGGTGATATCAATACCGAGGCTGCTAAGACTGTCGTATACAGCACTTCACCAGACACCATTCATTTCGTCGAAACAGACGTGCGGTCATATGAGGATAACCTAGCGCTTTTTAAATATGCGCTCTCAAAATATGGACGTGTTGACCACGCGATTGCAAATGCAGGCACCCTGGAGCAGAAAGGATGGTTTGATCCTCGTCAAGATGTGAATGACATAGAAGTACGACCGAGTACACTTACTTTGGATGTCAATTTAGTTGGAGCGTTGGTTTTTACGCATATTGCCTGCTCATACTTGGCGCATGGTAATGAGGACGGCAAAATTCGCGATAAGAGTTTGACTCTGCTTGGTAGCCATGGAGGTTTCAAGGAAACCCCGGGAATGTTCCTATATAGCATGTCCAAGCATGCCATCATGGGATTATTGAGGTCTCTTCGAATTTACGTCCTAGAGGCCTTTCCAGGGCTCCGGGTAAATGCTGTCTGCCCAAGTATGACAGAAACAATGATGGTAGGGGGAATCCGGGATGTTTGGATCAAGCAAAAGTTGCCGGTCAACCAGCCCAACGACATAGCAACAGCTATACTTGGCATCCTTTCAGCTGGCCCTGGAACGAACTCCATATGGCATGATGAAGACGAGGCTCCTGGTCTGAACAGTCGCGATAATGCGGGCCAGATGGATTGGGAAGATGTGCAGCATCGTGGACTCCATGGGAGAGCTATATATGTGCTTGGAGGCAAGTGCTTTGATATTGAAGAAGGCCTTGATAGGACGGAGCAGCTTTGGCTAGGGAGAAATGCCAGCGCAACCATGAAACAGGCCCAAGAGGTACTAGGACTAGGAGACCGGTGGCTTCAGTGAGAGGTAGTGCAAGGCTTGGAAAAATAACTGTTCACATATACCGGCACAGACATTCCGAAGATGGGCGATATTAGAAAGCACGGTTACTTCCAAGAATTTATACTGGGTTTAGCACATGGTGCCTTGACCTACTAAATTCATGGGATAAAGGGTAAAACAAGTTTTATATCTTTTACTATCTGGTTTTAAGGTATGTAGGTAAAGTTGTGCGCAGTTTGGAAAAGTCTTTAGATATATTTGCTGTCTTCTAGTATGGTGAGCCATTAAGTCAACAGAATAGCTACTAATACAGCGATTGGTACGCCATGATACGTATTTTTGTAGTAGGTATTTGTAATACTATACCATACATACAATCATATATTTTTGTGCGGTGTTTAGTATCATTACTGGTTGATAATAGGATGGAGATCTACTAGGCTGGTAGAAGAACAAGCACCTAGGCCAAGATACTGTGATACAATAGTAACGAATAACGATAGACTAAATGGAGGCTATTTCTCTTTCTTTTTTACTAAGAATCAGGAGTCTAATTCATAGCAATATAATCCCTAATAAAATCATGGAAATTCTTCAATGAGAAATTGCTTATCCTTTACCTGAAAATGGAATATTGCACATCGAACAAAGTGTTGGGCTCACGTATGACCTAGGGACATTAGAGAGGATATAAAGTTTCCGAACACTATATTGGTCTGGTTTTTAGTTCTCATTGGCCGAGCATATGGTATATGGTGTAGTATTGCCTTTTAAAACGACGAAGTTTCAATACCCCGCCCAATCTTTCATCAAGGTAGAAATAGATAGACGTACTTCTCATGTCACTCTATTCCAAGAATGTTGGGGGAAGATCCGGCCCTTTCAAATATATTAGTAAAATCTCAGAGATGTAATAATTTTGCGATATAAGTGATGTATTGAACTCACATCCCCTATGTGTAAATTATCAGGCCCAGCGAGCGTCCTGTCCACGGGGACGGTATTGTAGGTCACCATCCACGTAATGCTCGACAATGAAAGCCTGAAATGTCAAATCTGTTCATCTGTCAGCCAGCCCAGAAACTCTAGAAGGCAGGAAAACCCGTACCAGTAATCGGAACCTGGTCCCCTAGCACGTGCCTGCCCACTCCCCAGTAGTTCATGTATCCCTTTTCCCGTAGCCAATAATGACCAATCGTTTGAATGTCATAGTCATGAGGTTCGAAAGAAGCATGGTGGACCTGAGCTTTTGGTCTTTCGAAAAAGCAAAAAACCGTGATGATCAACGGGTATCAAGCCCCGGCCTAGCCGGCAGAACACGGTGATGTTGCGACCACTATTATTGAATATAAACTGGCAAGAAAATAATAAGCATGTTGGCTTTGTTAATTGATAGGGGAGATACATGTACGTCGGTGGCACGAAAGTCGAGATAAGTCGTGAAGAGGTGTAGAATGCGTCGAAGTGGGTCACGCAAAGTCCAAAGTAACCTAGCTTATGAACTGGTGCCGGGCTTTTGGGGGTGAATCTAGGTCAGCAGATCCAATTCATCTTTCTGAAAGTTACCTTCTCAAATCTTGAAATGCGGTTACTGCGGAAAACAGGTGGCGATATGACGATCGGACGGACTAATTTTGCTTGGCCTGACGGACGGTGTAAATGGCAAGTGCGAAATGGGGGTACGGACCCGATACTCCGCGGCATCAACAGTTTTGGGATTAAAAAGTAGCGAACTATAATTGGGGTAAGTTTGCCTAACCCTGCTCATATCATCATCATATCATATTGATTCATAGTAGCTTGCACTGCCTTCCACTGCCCACGATGACCAAAGAAACCACCACCTCTTCTACAAGTGAACCCCTGGAGATTGAGTACCTCATCGTAGGCACAGGCCCAGCTGGGGCATCTCTGGCCTGCTTTCTTGCCTACCATGGTATATGAACCCTGTAATTTACAAGCCAGGCTGCACGGATAGCTAATCTGCGAATGATTAGGCTTGAAGGGCTTGATGATCAACTCGGCACCGTCGACGGCAGACACCCCGAGAGCACATATCACAAACATGGCCGCATTAGGTATGCGAATGAATTGTTGAATAGACGCACAAGATGAATATGTGCTTATTAAAAATTCTCCAGAGTGTCTGCGAGACATTGGACTGGAAGAAGAGTTAATGCGCATTGGAAACGCCGAAGGTGCCATGCAGCACACACGCTGGTGCTATAGTCTGGCTGGGGAGGAGTTTGCCAGAGTATATTCCTGGGGTTCAGATCCACGTCGAAAGGTATTTTCTCCCCTAGGACCGAGATGAGTGCGAGAGGGAAGGAAGATAGCTGACTTAAATCAACCTTAGGGTGATTATGAGCTTGCCAGCCCTTGCTTGCCAATAGATCTGCCCCAGACTTTGCTTGAGCCAGCTCTTGTCAGATATGCAACGCAACATGGATTCAACGCTCGTTTCAATACGTCTTTTGTGGAATTCACAGAAGATGATTCTGGCCGGATTTTGTCAACTTTATATGATGAAGTCCTTAAACAGCATTATACAGTCCGCTCGAAGTATTTATTTGGGGCAGATGGTGCCCGGAGCAGAATTATGAAACAGCTTCAAATTCCACTCATCAGCAAGCCGGGAAAGGGAGTCGCGATCAACGTGTTGGTCAAAGCGGACTTATCAAATCTTATCAAGCACCGCATGGGGAATTTGCACTTCATTCTTCAACCCGATCGTCCGCATTCTCTCTTTGGATGGCTTTGCATTGCGAGAATGGTCAAGCCTTGGCACGAATGGATGTTCATTCTATTCCCGCATCAACAATCGTGGAATTTGTCGCCTTCTAATGATGAATATGTGGGGCACATTCGCTCTCTGATCGGGGACTCGTCCATCGATGTGACTATTCTGGGTGTCTCTCAGTGGAACATCAATGAAATTGTCGCCGAGCGTTACTCAATGAAGAACGTGTATGTGGTCCCCATGTTGTTTGACCACTGTCATTCAATACTGTATTGATGTATTTCTCTTTTTAGCTTCTGTCTTGGAGATGCAGTTCACCGACATCCACCAATGAACGGGTTGGGGTCTAACACTTGTGTCCAGGATGCGTATAATCTCGCATGGAAGATTGCTTATGTCGAGAAAGGTGAGTTTAATCTTGTTTTCTGGGGTAGAAAATGAGCTCATCGCCGTTTAGAACTTGCCGGTCCTGAGTTGCTGCACTCGTACTCAAATGAGAGACAACCTGTGGGGTTTTCGATTGTTACACGCGCAAACGAGGCCTTCGGTCATCAGATGAAAGTGTGGGAAGTCCTTGGCTTCATGACTGAAGATATGGAAGAACGTAAGAAGGGTATGCAGGAGCTTGGCCAGTCAACACTGGCCGGCGCCGCTCGAAGAAAGGCCTTCAAAGCTGCTATTGAAATGACACGTCATGAATTCCACGGTCTTGGAATCGAGATGGGTGAGCACTACATTAGTAGTTGTATCTACACTGATGATGAGATCGACAATACGCCGAGCGAAAGTCCAAACACCAGTAACCGAGTCTTACAGTATTTGCCAAGCACAATCCCTGGGCGACGCTTACCACATGTATGGCTCGACACTGCTTGTCCAAAGGGGATGATTTCGACTCATGACCTAGCTGGCAAAGGCGCCTTCTGCCTTTTCACTGGCCATGGGGGAGACAGTTGGAAAAATGCAGTGGAAATTGTCAAGAACAAACTTTATATTCCTATTAATGCCTTTTCCATTGGTTTTCGCCAGGATTGGGAGGACGTTTATATGGAATGGGGCAGACTGCGGGGAGTGGAGGAATCTGGGTGTGTTTTAGTACGACCGGATAGATTTGTTGGATGGCGCTGCAACGAGGTCTTAGAGACTGAAGAGGCATGTATAGAGAAGCTCGAAAAGGTAATGAGTGCTTTGCTGAAACGGTGAGCATTCAAACCTAGGTGCCACAAACCAAGCAAGAATGTTGGTGCAGTATTGCCGCAAGCTTTCCTTTATCAGTTTGATCTTTGCAGTCCGCTCACGCCGACCAATATTAGACAGTTGCTATGCATGTCCATTTATATTTCTCATTTTTAGCTTTTTATTACAGTAGCTGATCAACTGGCACCTGGCGCTCGATTTTTAGATATACCAACTTTGTAGTATATATTTTAAACCATCACAGATCGCTCAGCATAGGCTCCATTGAAGCCGCAATAGCAAAAACACAATCACCGAAACCGGGAGAATCGACTAACTATACCAAAGTTATAAAAAGGCATACTGTTAACGAACATTTTATAAGATATCACTGTAGGCTGCTGCGCTCTTGTAACCGTATCAACTAGTCGAGGTAGAAAGTACTAAGTGAGGATGCGCAGGCGAAATGATAGGAAATACCTCATTTAGAGAGTGTCATGTAGATTCAAAAGAGACTAGTTCTTGCATTTTTGCTCCCTCTGCTAGAGATGTTTCTTTATAGCCCGTAACCTAACTAGTACTCATCTTCTGTTGAGACACTGGAATACTTTTAAAAAAGTGCAGATAGAGCTAGGGTCAGCAGTCCGGTGTGACCTTACCGCAGCCAAGTCCATTCGGCATCGGATCCTTTATAGTAGGCTAGAAACGGTAATAAAAAGTTTAGTAAATCTTCTTTAGCTCAAGGTTTAGGGGAATATTAGTAATCTAGCCACCAATATTATGGGGTTTCTACCGCAATAAATTGTTCAAGGTAGATTCGACTACTATAGTAGCTCTGGGGTAAATAAAAAACTCATATAGCTTCTTTACAGCCTTAATCTTCTGTAGACCGGGTTATTTTAATACAATTAAATTTTTATATAGTTCAGGCCATAACTAGATTTACCTTGGACCCGAGTACTTTTCAAAGAGGCAAAAATAGAACAATCAAACAGAGTCACACTGAACAAGTGCTTAATCAGGCCTTCTCTGCACGGACTAAATTTTACCCTGGTGAAGTAAACCCGTAAGTCCGATTCTCGGATGTGACATTTCGGACGGTAGTTCCACATATTAAGATAGGCCTTTGGAATAACGGACTATCTTAATCCTATTATTTGGGTAAATGAATTGGCCCGTCAGCCATCAGAACCTGGTTTCCTCTACTTGAACTATTCATAATAGGAAGTAGAAGCCCCATCAATCCCAAAGATATATACATTTCATTCAGCCTTCTGATTCTGCACATTCAAGACTTCGGGGCACATGTCATATGTCATACCTTGAGTGTCTTGATAACCAAATCCTTCAACATGTTCGAGAGACTCATCCGCTTTGTGGACGACAAAGGTGAAACCCATTTTGGTGACTTGTAGGAATCGAACGGCATCGAGAAATTAGAAGGCGCACCTTTTCCAGTCGTTGACGGTACTGTGGAGAGTGGATTCAGGGCAAATAGTAAATTTGCTGCTGTGAAAAAGGTACCTTTGAAAGGTTCTATAAGCCTTGTTCATATTATTTTGAATACTCAAGGCTATCCCGGCCGCTCCTCACCCCTGCCGCACGTTCCAATTTTTGTATGCATTGGATTTAACTACCATCAGCATGTAAATGAGGCCAACGTGCGTGTCCCCACTTTTATTCATCCTGATCCATCAAGGACATAACTAATTAAATCTACTAGCGGTAACTAGCGAACAGTTATACCATATCCTGTTATTTTTATAAAGCCAGCCGAGTCCCTCGCAGGTCCTGCGGATTAGATTTCAGTCTACGCAGACGCCCGAAGTATGCTTGATTACGAAGATGAACTTGGTGTGGTTATTGGCTGCGATGCCTTCAATGTGTCCGAGGATGACGCTCTAGAATATATCCTAGGCTACACGTGTGCTAATGACGTCTCTGTACGCAATTTCCAACCTTCAGATGCATCTGGTGGCCAATACTGTTTTGCTAAGTCCTTCAACAAGTTGGCTCCATCAGACCGTGCATCGTGTCCGCACAATTAATCACTGATTCGCAACAAGTCACTCGTGAGACCCGAGTCAATGGGAGCACTAGGCAGTCTACTTCTACTTCTGATATGATTTGGACTGTAAAACAGATCATCGCACACGCTAGCAAGGGAACCACTCTCCATGCTGGGACGGTGATATTGTCGGGAACTCCGGCGGGTATTGGCTTGTTTTGCACTCGCCAGACCCTTTTGAAATCTGGTGACGAAGTAGAGGTTTATATTGATGCAATTGGTACTCTCCGAAATAAGATAGTATTTGAATAGAATAAAAATAGCTTACTGGTTACTTACATTGTCATTCAAAACATGGGTTTGATTTTCCTTCGATCCACTTCCCCAAAAAAAGTTTCACTGTCACGGACTATTGAGCTATTCAATGACAACCAATTTCTTATGACCCAACTTTTAGCATTGAATCGATTCTTTCGAACATTTATTCCAACTGAAACAAGATTTTCAATTGTATTATCGTAGTTATGTGTATCATGCGTAGTTAAGGTTCAAACCGAGTCTCACGAGCGGACTGTATTATATCACGCAAAGTCCGCGCTATATCATATCTCTAAGATGAAAAAGTTTTGTTTATGTATAGAGGTCCCCCAGCAAAAACAAATGGCTCCTGCCATGGTCCAAACCCATGTCACTCTGATGCCTTGCGGTGAGTGAGTCTCGATGATACGCCTCGATTGTCATATTTTTTTGCTCCTACGACCGGTTCTTGTGCAACCATTCAAAGTAATGTCAAATTTCAAGACAATGGTCCGCGCTATATAAATACCATCACCCTCAGCCCTGGCATCACGCACGCGACCGGTGTTAGAGCCATTCGCCATTAACTCCTATTGTCACGAAACTCTAAACCAGGTTTACAGTGCCCGAAGTCATCGGCGGATATCGTGCCAATCCTTGGATGAGTACAGCGAGACCGTAGAGTGCTACCTATCAACGACATCCGCACAAAACTGCCATGTCAACCATACCAACGGGCTTATCGTGCTGGATGGGATTAATGGGCGAGCCTTGGCCCTAATTCCAGGCCCCAGCTGATTACGCCACTCAGATACCGTTGGCAAAATCTGCCTTTTTTTAGTGTAAAACGCCTTCACCCCACAACCCGAGGTTTGTCTTCGCCCCCGGCTGGATATTCGAGAGAACTTTATCATTACTATCAACTCGGGGCGACTTTCGGTATATTATGTAGCTCGCTTCAATTCTGTTTGACTTTCGGTATAATTTTACTTTATTTTAGAGACTGATGATGAATGGTTAGATGAGGGGATCGTGCATGATCAACCTCCACACTCACGAACTATATGATCATTAGCGGCAAACCTTATTTCCCCAGAATATACAAGATCCTTTGGAAGAAAAATTCGCATTTGCTAATGCTCGATGATAGCGGGAGTGGGGTCAGCATTGCTGAGGACTAAGCTGGTGCCGGTGTTCTGGTCATTGACAGCTGAGTAATGTGCTCAAACCCTCTGGGGAAGTGTTATATAAAACCTTGGACCATGAGCATCTGAATCGAAGCAAGGAACACAAACCAGCTCTCACTACTTCATCCCTTATTTTCGATCCTTGAAGCAAAAACCCCTGCACGTCAAGAGACGGATTCCAAGTGCGGAATGGACGGCCAAATACTTCTTACAGAGTCAGACACTTTGCAGCATCAATTTAGAACCATGCCTAAGCTGGACCAAGTCCCTACCTCGGTCACCCTATCTGCGGAGCAATTTGAGAAGCTCTACCTAAATCCCATGATGCATCGCCAGTCACCGCTGACCAGGAAGCTGGGGAACCCGACTCCACTGTTCGTATTTCTCTCATGCATAATTTCTGGGTTGACAATTCAACAACAACTTACATGATAGTAGGGCACTGGGGGCCTTCGTTGTCACTGCAACACCACTCTCATGCTGCCTGATGGAATGGAGAGGAGCCGGTGGGGGCGGCGCTGCATTCACGTAGGTCGCTGAACATTAGAATTAGCCAAGTGGCGGGCTAACTTTGGGCAGCGGAGTTTTAATTCTTTTTGGAGGATTACTCCTGATCATATCTAGCATCCTGGAATTTGTCATCGGAAACACATTTCCTTCCGTGGTATTTGGTCACCTCGGTAAGCTTAAATGTTTAATTGAAAAAAATACCACATCGTATCGTAGAATGACCAGCTTCAGGTGCATTCTGCTTGGCTTTCGGTGCTACTATGACTCCGGCATACAATGCTGCAGGTACGTACTAAAGCTCTGCCCCTGTTTGTTTTTCTCATTTACCATGCTCATATTAGACTTCAATAGCTCCTTACTCTGAAACGATGACCGACACTATTGCAGGGCTACACAGCCCGGGATTCCTGAACACCTTCGGTATGCATTTTTTGTAAACTGCATTTCTTCCCTCTGATTCTCATTATCCTTATAGCATTCTTCCTGGTCTCCATGGCTCTACTGATGCTCATTTATGCGATATGTGCTCTTCGCACGAATCTGATATTTTTGGTTATGTTCATAGCCATGATTTTTTGCTTCTCGCTTCTGGCTGCCGCCTATTGGCGAATGGCTCTCGGGGATCTCCTAATCAGTAACCGGTTGTCAGTAGTAAGTTTCATTTCACCTGAAGTTTTTTGCTATCGGTTAATGAGAGACATCGCTTAACACTTGAACAGGCTGGCGGTGCAATTCTGTTCGCAGTTGCAATGCTTGGCTTCTATCTGTTGGCAGCACAGTTATTTGATTCGGTGGGCCTGTCTTTATCCCTGCCAATTGGAGACTTGAGTCACTTGTGGGACCGGAAAGAGAGTGCGGAATCCCCTACATCCACGTACTATTCTTTTGACCAAGTAAGCCTCGATATTCTAACAAGCTGCCAGAAATATCTCACGAGGTCTAGAGTCTAATCATGATCCTAAGGGCATGTATCAAGGGCAGTCCTAAACATTCTGATCAAGGTCACAGTGTAGCTCTATTCTGGCGAGGTAGGGAGCTGGGTTTACTATGAAAGATACTTAAAAAGGGGCAAGGCAACCGAACGGTACCAAGTTGTCTGGTAATGAGATATAAGATCCTTGTGATAGCGCTGAAGAAACCGAGCAGGCTAGTTTCTACCTGGCTCTTTTCCAGTATTCTTTTGCAAAATTCCGAAGTATCTCATACAAAAGTTGGATTCCACGCTCGATTAGCTTATTTATATGATTTATACGCTCTTTAGACCGTTGGTTAGTGAGAACTCGCTGATTTTTATATTGCGTCTCCCTCGACTGTTCTTTTCCTCGGCGACGTTTGTATAAGGCTGACCGGTGTATACCAAACTGTGTCGCAAATCTAGTATAATTAATCAATTGGACAGGTTCCAGCGAATCGATTGCTGCTAACGTCTCTTCGATTGGGGTTAAATTGGTTGAGATATAAAGCCCGAAACATTGAGGTTTGAAAGTCGGTGAGTATGAGTATCCTGCGGCAGGTGGTGACCCACGTTAATGTGCCAACAACTACTACGCCGATCCACTTTTGTAACTACACACAATACCAACCTGTATTCTACACTGGCCGTCAGTGTAACAGTACCTTGCTCTATTGATAGGTGATGGCAATAGAAGACAAAATGACAGGCTCGTTGGCATTGTAATATTTATATCACGTCGAATTTAAGCCATTTCCCCGTGGCACGTGGTCAGCCCAAAAAATAAAATAAAAATAAAAAAAAACTGAACTCTGGGTCAGTGCGGGGGATGGGACGCAGCAACGGAGGATGTCGTCCGGGCGATTTGCGGGGGACGAGCCCGTACCCAGAGGTGACACTTCAGTGCATTTGTCAATAACTTGGTGACCCACCACCACGCCTTCCTCCATGTGCACTCTGTTTAACCACCATTCCCTGCTTTGGATTTCCCTGCCCTGCAGACAGCATGGTTTCCCCCGGAACTGTAGACTATACACTCTCTAATGATAACTCAGAGCAGGCGGCGCTTTCTTGCCAGGAATGCAGGCGGCGAAAAATCAAATGCAGCCGTCAGCTTCCGGCATGTGCCTCCTGCAGAAACTCTTCTATGTCCTGTGCATATCCTTCCCATCCTTTGAAGCCGGGTCCCAAACCAGGCCAACTCCGGAGATCCAAAAAAAGACGGCTGGAGAAGAGCGCCCACCCGCCAAACGCGATGGAGATGGGCACCGACATGATGCCGACGCAACCTGATACAAATGCGGTCAGACAGTCATCTCCATCACAGCGTCCTGCAAGCTTTCAGATCATGAATGACAGCACATCCTCGCCACTCTTGGTTAACCTGGGCAATCCCGAGCTACTAAATGAGCTGTCTACCTCGAGTCAGAGCCCAAAGCAATGCTCGTTGATGGACCATCGAAGACTCTCCTGGTTGGTCCACCCCAGCCACGAACCGACTAGCCCGGCCTTTGAAGATGGAGTCGACCTTGCAGAGGAGCCCTTGCTGGATGAGAGCTCTCCCGTCATCCATGCGGACCTCATGAGCCAAATATGTAATGCCTTACACACGGATAACCGTGATGTCCATCATCTGTACGTGGCCCCCCTATCCTTTTATTACTTTTTTTCCCAGGCTAGTTGAACATGAACTAAGTATATCCCAAAGGATCACGCTGTATTTTAAAAATATGGTGGCTTTTACTCTGTTCTCTCCTCATCTTCTGAGTAAGAAGCTTCAATCTGCACCAGCTCCACAAACTATTATTTTGTTGGCAGCAATGTTCTCTTACTCTGCTCGCTTTCGGCCGGAATATCCCTTCAATCCTAGGGAGAGGTCAGACTCGCGGGAAGAAGTAACACCACCAACCGCGCATGAGTTTTACCTACTGTCCAAGAAATATATTGACCAAGAGCTCATGGACCTCAAGGCACCACCCCCGCTACTGCTGCTCCAGGCTATGGTGCTGATATCGTTCCACGAGTTGATCGAGAGTGCGGAAGGGAAGGGATGGAGGTCTCTGGGTCCTTTAGTACGCATCGCGTATGAGCTTCGACTGCACCTCTTAGATAATAACGCTGATGACGGCTCCATCTCGAGCAATCGACAACTTTGGTTTGTGAAAGAAGAGCGTCGCCGAGTCTGGTGGGCGATCTGGGAACTTGATGCTTTTACTAGTACTGTTCGCCGCCTCCCAGCTGCAATTGACTGGAATCAGAACTGGACTATGCTGCCTGTGAGTGATGAAGATTGGTTCCGAGGAATACCACGAAAAAGTTGTTTTCTAATTCCTGATCCAATGGAGAGAGTCAAATTACTTGAGGCTTGCGGGAATCAATCAGCTAAAGCTTGGTTTATTGTGGCGAACTCACTGATGCGCACAGCTCACTGCATCTCAAACTCGCAAGAGTACTTCTGGATACCTGCATCTCTCAACCCTCCCCAACCTGGCCGACGGACACCACCTACGGATGTTAAAAGTGCCCACGGGATTTTAAGGAACTCCGTTTACTATTTGTCGCTGGCCTTGCCGCATGAGCTACGATATAGGGGGCAATGTCTCTTTAGCAATGTCGCCACGGCTTCCAAATCTACGAAGCAGCGCGACTCAGACATATACAGTATACATGTCATGGTAGCCTTGACAGGGTTCATGTTGGATCATCGTAACATGTTTGGAAGCGTGTCTGGAATGAGCGAACCTGTGTCATCACCACCACAACCACATCGTTCCTGCACGTCCTGTAAAAATCACGATCTCCATATGCACGACAGAATTCAGACGCAGAGTCTCTCCATGGCAGAGGCGATACTATCATTGGTGCGCAATAGTGCTCCGGATCATGTTCAGCATGTGAATCCATTTCTTGCTAGTACCATCTGGCTCGCTGCAGCTGTATTTCTTGTTTACTATTATCTCGGAATCTCCAAAGAGGCTCCTCAAGAAAAAGCGCTTGTCGATTCCAACATTGCGCTTTTGAAAGCGGTATTTCGTCAGTTTGTGGAGTGGTGGGATATGTCTGATATTCTGGAAACCAAGCTTACCGAGCTTGAATCTGAGCTTGTACGCGTGCGGGAGGCTCCGGGATCGCTCATAGAGAGGAGCGATGAGCCGCAGTCTCTCGATAAGGCACAACCGGCGTCCTCATCAAATCCAGTCAGCACAGATTCAGAGGGGTTGCTTCCTCCCTGTGCAGACTATCAGCCACCACTTCCAGGAGCGTCGATGGTGGATGGTACTGGCTACACAGCAACATCGGGGTTCCGACCTGATAATGTAGGCCCACTCTTCATTGGCGAATGTACGAATTTGATGGGGGACAGAGTCTCTGGAATGTCAAATCTCTTTGACAATGCTTTCGATTACGACCTAGAATTGCAAGATTTCCTGGATGGCATGCTTGCCACCTTCAGAGGCCCAGAACTATGGAAATCAGGTGCAGATGCAATGTCATAAATATGACAAGGACTTGTTGTCAACATGACAATCAGCAGCAAACCTGATATTGTATATACACGAGTTGTAGTTAGATAGAGATTGGGATTGATAAGATAATATGCACTATCAAATTCTTTCAGTATCCAAATCGAGAATCTGGAGACACAATGGCTCAGTGCGTACTAGAAGCGGGCATAACATTCTTGGTTTCAAAATCCGGTATGGTGGGGATTATCAACCGGCTGGGACAAGGCCCACCAACATGGAGAACGTGTCTACCTCTGTTGTAATTTACCATGGCTCCCTGCAAGTCTGGGAACTCTGCCAGGGTCATATTGTGCCCTGCCACTTTCACAATCAGCTTCTCCCCTGGCTCAAAGTATATTCCGGTTTGCCAAAGTCCTATGTCCAACTTAACAACTTCACCAGGTCTGATAGGCTGCTTTGTAGAATAATCATGCTCCGGCCACCAGTCGTTGCTCAATTTCGGATCTAGTGCACGGTGACTGGCACGCAGACAGCCAGTGGGACCCAGGTAGACCAACGGGTTGATTAAATCGACAGGCTCGGGCATATTGCAGATCCTCCTATCACCGGCGGGGATGTTGATGTTCCGCAGGACTTTACCATTCACATCTGCTTTCCGAATTTGAACAAAGACGTCCATATCGGTCCCTTCTTCGCATGATAAATACAATACCGCACGAGAAGAACCAACAAGAGCACATGGATCTTTAAAGGTGTGCGTGAAGGACAATTCTTCTGAATCAGCGTCGGTCTGCCGAAACGGTACATCGGAAATATATGACAGAGTCTCAGGAGTGTCCGAAGACTCTTCAGCCAAACAGTTATCTCCGTGAAGATAGAGTGTACGATCAGAAGTGCTTGGGATTGGCCAATCAGGGAAGATTTGATTAACCAGGGGTTCCTGTCCGTTATCAGCATAATGGTGGCGAGATTGCAGCCGCATGCGTGTGGATTCCATACATTGTTGTACCGCAGGAGTGACAATCTTGCTCTCGGGGTCTCCTCCCATCCATTATCTATTCCTTTGGTATAGAAATCGAAGAACTTTTGGAGCTCACGATTGGTTGATTCTTGATACAGATCATGCCATTCCTGAGTCGGATGAACTCGAAGCCTGATGTTGAACTTGTTAATGGTGTTCCTTGATTTGGCAAGTAGGATTTTGATACCATTTTTTGTTGTGCGGGATTTCAGTGAAACCCCGGAATGAACCGAAGGTGTGAAGAAACGTTGAATAACTCGCAAGAACGTAAGCTGGCACCTGAATTTTGGTCATGTCCGCTCGCTTGTCTGCCCAGTATTCATTCATCAGAGGATATTTTTTCAGCATGCCCACCACATCCTCTTGTCGATTTCTTCCTGTATGGGAAAATGAGCCCCGAAGTCCGAACCCGCAGCGAACGCTGTGTCTCACCTCTAAGCACCCCGGAAAGGAAGTCCCAGAACGGCGTCTGCGGAATACCACCCCGACAGAGAATGTCGCGATAGAGATCTCCCGCGCCCTCCAAAGGGGCGATGCATTTCAAGTGTGGCGGCTGCGTGGCGGCAATAAACCACTGAGCGATTCCCAGCCACGAGTTACCAACTAGAGCCACGCTGCCGTTGCACCACGATAGACCAGCAAGATACTCGATGGTGTCATAACCATCATTAGCCTCGATAGCTCCGAAGTGACTAGTTCCATTCGTCAACGAACACCGTAGTGGGTAACAGCATGAAAAACGTACTGAATATCACCTTCAGAGTCATAGGTTCCTCGAGGATCGGGATTGACAATTGCATAGCCTCTAGCTGTCCATTCGGCTGGATCTGGTGCCTCGAACTTTTCAAATCCAGACAGTCGATTCTGAGGAACCCCCACTCGCCCAGGGATCATATCTAGTGGATTAAAGCCTGCGTCGAGACATCTTAGTATATGATCATAATGGAAGAAGTGGAATTATCCCCCAGAAAAAGAAGAAGAAGAAGAAGAAGAAGAAAGAAAAAGAAAGAAAAGCAAACCTCCTGTATGACACGCAGACTTTCCGTATGGGCTCCAGGCGAGCAATGCTGGGACAGTACTTGCTGGAGCATCATGTGGCCTAAAAATGTCCACGTAGATCTGGCATCCGTCTCTCATTCGTATTTTTACATTCTTCTCCCATATCGTATCTACTTGGAAAGGCGCATGTGCATCGGTCAACTTCCACCCCGCTGCCAACACTTTTGTTTCTTTCTGAGGGTTTCGGTAGCTGTGATCTGCTGATTCTGGCTGGACGGTAGACCGCCACAGAGAAGGGCCACGCCTTTCGGTCGTCATGACACTAGAATATCTGGTATTATGTGAAATTTAAAAGCTTCGACTAAACTTGCGACGAAACAAATGGAGAGAAAGTGTCTAGCAGAAAGGAAAGGATGATATATTTTCGTTTCGGAGTAATTATTGGGGAGCATCCCACATTCGGGTCCATTTTCATTAGCCCGACCGGACTAACTAGACATAAATGTGTTGCACCTAGATGGAAATAAGCTTTGACAATGAATCGGCCCAATAGACGCATTTCCGTACAAGGTATTACTCGACCCTAATGTAGACTGCAGTTGGTCCGTCGTGTAGTCTTAAAAAATCTTGACGATTGCTCTATCATGTATGATCCATTAGAAGCTATCCTTTATCTTTAATTGATAATTTATAGATATTTTTTTTTACATATTATTATTATATTATTTTATAAATATAGCTTTTTCAAATTTATTTAATACCTTAATAACTTTGGAGATTGTCCTTATCAGCAAAATTCCTGTACAGAGTATTGTTTTTTTTCCCTGCTCCCGTCCAGGACCTGATTTTGTCTAAGATTATTTTCAAATTATTTTTAGTCAGCCCAAATCTGTGAATTATATCTGTAATATTCAATACCAACTAAACTATCCCTTATATTTAACTTTTCTATTGTATATATAGTGTATTATATATAGTTAGTTATCCTCTTTTGATTATATATTCTTACTATTTGTGGTTGCTGAGATATTCGAGTGTCAAAAAGTGCCAATTTGTATAGAATACCAGAGCTGGCCGCTCGCCTACCAGTTACGTTGCCCTAATCTCCGGTATTATTAATATAGTCTATCAACAACTTGGCGTTAAGATTAATCCTCTAGGTGCCAACAGCCCTTTTCCGGCTCTCGTCATCCTATGATTTTCTTCCTGGCGTGTTCCGCCTTGGACAAGACACTCTAGATGAGCACTTATCACTGGTTGCCCCTGCTGCTGTATATGTAATGGCCATCTCTATGTCACTATAATCTCAGAAAGTCAACTCGAATCCATGTTCTCAATTGCTTCGGATACTGTACTGTCTGATCCAGGCTAGAAAATTGACAACCATACTTGAGGTCTACGTCACTACTTTCCAGGACCGGTAATAGACCGGTAACTCCAGTCGGCCCTTCCGACAACGGTGTAGATCACACAGTACCTGTCATCAAAACCAGGCAGATTTGCACCGACCTTCAACTGTCCGCTGGAAACATTGGTAGTGAGACCAGTCAGTGCCTTCAGTGTCACTGAGTTCTTGGTGCTGGGCCTCCTTTCATAAAAGTCACTGAACTCCAGTCAACATCCCAGCATTAGCTCCTGCGGCCTTCCATTGTCAATAAAATAGACGCGGCGCTCTAAGGCAGCGGTAAGACCATGTTTAAACCTTGTCACAGACCAACCAATGATGCTACATTGTCTCCACTCCTAAGAAAATAAGCAACACCGGCAATAGGAGTGCCTGTGTCCACAACGACAGGGCTGCCTCCTTGCGTAACAGTAACAATTTCGTATGGCTTTGTCTTTTTTTCGTCGGGATTTTGCCTGTGCCAAAATGCCAGTGTATTGCTCACCAGCAAATAGAAGAGTGGTTAGCATCTGAGGCAATTGTGGCGGCAGTCGAGAAGTACATAAATAATTCATCGGTCTAGTGTCCGCAGAAAAGAGGTAGTTTCTACAGTTGGAGAGGCCATAGTCGAGTTAGGCACCAGATCTGGTATGTATAAAATGTAATAGGGAAAATCATAGACTTGTTTCTGGAGTTGTTCGTTATCTAGATGGTCTCTAGAATATAAGACAAGTATGTTGCTTTACTTATATCTTGTGCCATCTAGTTATTAAAGCTGGAATATGTAAATCTCTTTCAATAAAGGCTGCTCTTCTGTGTCTGATCTAAATTTACTTCGTTCTTTCCTCACTATTGAGTTGGTAGCTCATACTACCAAAGGACATTTATAGTTGTATAAAAGGCTCTAGCGTCCCGTAGAGTGCTAACACAGTTTGCTCATTTCTTGACCTTTTCATTGCCCTCGTCACCAGGAACGTCTTTCGGGGGGACGGAAGAGGAGGTGGAACCTTTTCGTCAGGTGTATTAGTCATGTCGTGTACTTTCAGAAACAGATTTCCCCATGCAACACCGGAGATCGGTTGTTCTTCGTCCCAGGGCCAGTTCACTTTGACTCCATTCTTCAGCTCAAAAGAATACTTTGGTCTGAACGAAACACGGAAAGTCCCTTTGTAGTAGAGGACTTCAACCCAGTACTTTTTGCCTGCAGGGACGCCAACTGTCATTCCCACATGGGTTTCTCGGGTGCGCGAGTACGAGGTTGATTCCATGGTCTCGTTGCCAACTGTGTACTCAGTGCTTCCTTCTGCTCCCATCCCAAAGACCTTTCCAGACACAGTGACGCCGACACCTAGTGACTCAGCCCAAGTCTTCTGAGTGGTCGCAGAATTGGTGATGGATTCTGTATCGTCAACAACGATACTCCCATCGCGCTTGCCCTCTCTGTTATCATGAGTATAATTGTTGACAGCGACATCAGAGATTCCACCTTCTGGAAGTGACAGGTACTCCATGTCAATATGCACCTCCCGGATCTCCTGAAGCACACAAATCCCCAGGCGGTGCACGCCATCGCGGTTTGCTCTCCCAACAATGCCAACCAAAAATCCACTATAGACATTGGCACTGCTGTGAACAACCCCCGGAACGCTAATACCAATTGGAGAGGCCACGAAATACTGGCCTCTACTGGTCTGGAGCTGAAGGTTCATAAGCATACGCGTAGGTTGCGAGATGCCCTCGTAGGTGGTGTGACCAATATAAGTCAGCTGCTCTCCGTATGATAGGTTGAGTGTTTGCTTCGAACCTTCCGTAGAGGTGTACACGGGCGACACTATTGCGAAGTGGATTGATATAACTATTTGACTAGTTATCTTCATAATTCTGGACCTACTGCACTCATGCGGTATAACTATAACTACTCTTTACTCTTAGGAATATAGAGGTTGAGTCCTTATCAGAGTATATATCCAGTTATCTGGATTATATTTACTAGTCTACGGTAATAGTATCTATATCTATAAATAAAATTGTTTAAAGTTGATGATACTATGCCCGCAGTACTGCCCTATAATATAATGAAGTACTGTCTAGAGTGGTACGGTTTAACCGGAAACCCGGCCCCGAACCCACCCCAACCCGGCTCCCGGTTCAAGTCGGGTCCTAGATCTAGAAATCGCTCCGGGTTTTAGGTTCTAGAGCTAAAATCTATCCCAAATCTAGAAATCTAAGCGGGTTGAAATTAGAGTGGTATTCGGGTCGGGCCCGGGTCCTAGATCTAGAACCCGAACCCGACCCGAATACCACTCTAATTAAATCTAATCTAGAAAATTTACCCTATTTCAATCTACTCGATTTTCTAAGTTTAGAATAGATTTTAATTTTAAAATCCAAAACCCGGAGTGATTTCTAGATCTAGGACCCGACTCGAACCGGGAGCCGGGTTAGGGTGGGCTCGGGGCCGGGTTTCCGGTTAAACCGTACCACTCTAATCTCAGCAACCACAGATTATAAAGTTATAATATTGAATATATAATATAGTATAGATTAAACAAGAATACAAGTTTTTTTTTCTAAATTTTTTCTTTTCAACTTTATGGTATAAATTAAGAATATCAAAAATACCGCTGTACTATATAATACTGAAAAATATATCTCTTATTTAGAACTCTCTACTTTATATATTAAGGACTAAGTACTATTATATACTATATCCTAATTTTATCTTATTATAGTTTATAGTTGTTGAGATATTCAAGTAGTAAAAGTAGCTGATTTGTATGGATTACAGAGCTGCGCAGGGTGCTTGCCAGTTACGTTATCCCAGAGCGCTTACGGATAGCTCCCGGACAGCTCATGTGCTGCCCTTACAAAAGCGGCGGCACCCGTATCGGGCAATTGGACTGGACTCGCAGAAGAACAGTTCACTTCTGTACTAGTACATGTGCCATGAAATCTTAAAGGGAGTATTTGAACGTCGACGATCATTAACTAACAATACCTGGCGGTTCATGTATCTTGGATGAAAAGAATAGAACCATTTACAAATAAGCCTTGAAATGTATAAACATGAATTAGATACATTGTAACAAGTCCGCATGTCGTCCCAAGACCATATCCCAACATGACCCATCAGCCAACGCCAACCCAAAAAAGGAACGCATGAGGCAACTTCTAGTAATCGTGTGCTTCAGACTTGATCGTTGTCCTGCTATCATCGTTCTCGTCTTCCTCCATAATGCTGGGCTCGATGGACACCCCGCGACGATAAGCACCAGGCTCGATGGAAGGGCGGACGCTACCGGACCGGCCAGAACGAAGACTGAGTATGTCACTGTCTCCCTCCTCGGTCCCCTCGCGAGCGCGGGAGCTACTTGGGCGGCCTTGGGCGGCTGCCAGGAGCTTAAGAACCGAGTTTTTGACTTTGACAAGGGCATTCCTGCTCGCCGCTTCAGAGGCCAGACCTTCCTCGATCGTCTCGTCCAAAAGCTCTTTCACCTCTTGTGCAAGCGCAGCATCCTCAGGACTAACTTCGCTTTGGGTACTCCGAGCACTCGGCCCGATTGGGTCTTCGCCCTCCGGATTGCGAGAACCAGCCCTTGAGGGCACAGCGGGAGGAGCGACGTAGAGCTTGCTAAGCAGAGAGAAAAGAAGCTTTTTCTCTTCTTTAGAGCAGCGGTTGGGGCCTTCGCTGATCCCCAGCACACGCTCCAGGATGTCCTTCACCAGCGCGAGATGAACCCAGCCACATACGTTGGAACTAGCAGCGCCGCCTGCGAGAATCTTCTCTCCGCCCAGCCCAACAACTCGCCGTTCGTCGGTCCACTCCGCGAGCATACCCAAAACACCACTCATCAGCGCCTTTAATTCTCGCTGTCCAACACTCTCATCAATATCGCCATCACTGTCCTCTTCCGCTTCAAGTGAGAAATACTCCTCTGCCGCATTGAGGACTGCCCGGACAACCGGTACGGAAACCCTGCGCATATGCTGGGTATTTGACAGCTTCGAGTGACAGTATACAGGGAGGAAATAGGCTAGAGTCTGCCGGAGTGCGGGATTTTCACGAGTACGGGGGTGGAAGAAAGTAACCACAAGTGACTGCAAGAGGGTTTCGACGGATGTTTGGTTGTACTCTTGGATAGCTGGAGGGACATTAGCCCCAGAGGGAGTAAAGGTATTCGTGAGCAACAACTTGGAAAGAGCGGTGGCGGCGGTTGCTTGGACACTACTCGGAGAGCTAGACTTGAGTGCCCTAGCAAAGACTTTCAGCAATGGCTTCTGGAATACTGGCGGTGTCACAGTCTCTCCGTCGGGCTGCGTAACAGGCGCGAGTAAGGATGGATGAGTTGTCAGCATGTCGCATAGGATGTGCAAGGCCGTCGTCTGCAAAGCCTCGTGGCCCTTGCTATAGCAATGGATAAATAGTGTCATGTTTTCTTCAGCCAAGGTCTGGTGTGGGGATGACTGTTAGCATACGTCAGAGGTATAGAGTGATAGAGACTAACCTTGTCAAGCAAACAGCAAAGCCCGAGGCACTCAAGACCTCGTTCTCTAATTGGCGCTTCATGACTGCGGACCGCAGGGACGACCAGGTTATTAAGCATCGTAACTAGGTTCATGTTTGCTTGGAGATTGCCCTCCACATTTTGCAACATACAAAGTGCAATGTGAAGACATTTCATGTTCACCATGATTTCTTTGAGAACCTTGGCTTTGGCTTCTTCCTTGTTGAAGGGCTTCACTTCAGGAGTTTCAGATCGGTGACGACTGGAGGATTCACTAATTTCCGATCTGGCTGACACGAAGCTATCTTCAGTGGCAATGGTATCATGAACTTCAGCGATGGCCTCCAGGACAACACTGCAGAACTCATTTTCGGCGGCAGCGTTTGGCCCACAGACAAATCGCAGAGTCTCGATAGCGAGCTTAGTACATTCTTCAGGCAGCTCTGGAACCGCCAAAGATTCGCGGAGTAATGAGAACATCTTGCGTCGACCGACTTCGTCACTGTAGTCCAGGGTCATGGCAATGTGTAACAACTGTTCAACAACAAACTCATGCTCGACAGAGTCATCATCGGTGGCTGTACCAGCTTCCTTGGCCATCTTCTTCCGCTGCAATAGGTCGGTCATATATTTGTTTAAGAAGTAGGCAAGGGCAGTGACTTCGGGCATTTTCTCGTCAGCTAAGTTGTCGAACTTTCCGTCGTGCTCCACACGACAGAAGTCGTTGAACGAGCGAATCAGGAAAGCTGATTCAGCTGTCAAGGACTCCCAGAATTCCTCATCGAACACGACCGCTTCCCGGTAATCAGGGCGACCTTCCCAGAAGCTACGCATGGCTTCATGAGCTATACCGGTCTCAATGCCAGAGTTCAGTACATCGATTCTCTCGAGCAGCTCCAAAAGGGCTGGTATGTTCGGTGGAGAGCGTTGATTAGCTGGGCCTTCCTCGTCGTTATCCGTACTAGCAACGTCCTCAATCCACCGGTCGTAAAAGAGCTTCCCAGTAGCCTTCCTAACACTTTCGTCTCGATCTCTTAGACCCCAGCGGAGCAACTTCTCCCTCATTGACAGTGATAAATGTCGGAAATCTCCTAGAGTAGGGAGTAGACGTGCATATAATGCTCGCCGCGTGGCAGCGTCGAGATCGCGAGCTCGTTCAAGAAGGTATGGAAGCGTTTTGCGGAGAAGGGGTAGGTTGAGAAGTAAGGTTTTCCGCACCTCTGCGCTTGTGTCATTCTGCATGATGTCAACAAGCTTCTCGACCAAGACTGCACTATCCTCATCATCTTCATCCTCGTTGCCTGCCAGGCGGCCAAGACCCATCACAGCTTGTACTCTCACAGATGATTCTTTATCTCTGATCCGCTTCAGAAGGCCCTGTCGGATAGTGTGGTACAAGTCGTCGTCAATCGTCTCGAGAGAGTTCACAATATGCGCAGTTATTTGCGTCGCACGGAAACGAACAGTCCGATCCTTAGCAGCTAGTAGCGGCATAATACGGGCAACCAGGCTGGTGGCCAAACGGGACGTGGGCGTTTCGGCGCTAACTTCATCATCATCGTTCGCGAAAAGCTCGGCATCCTTTTCGGATGCATGGGTCAAGAAAGTGCCAATAAAGCGCAAGACACGGTCACCAACGGGTTCCGACTTTTTGATGGGCAGAATCCGTAGCATGCAGCGACCAATCTCCACATTAAATTCCGTTTCGGGGAGTGTCTCTTCACCTGGGATCAAGGTCTCCTCTTGAACCTCTTTACCGTTTTTCTTAGAGCTCTTCTGTGATATGCCGCAGCAAGCCTCCTGGAGCTTTCTAAGCCGCACGACGAGTTTTCGGTGTCCGGTTGTCGAGCGTTGCACATCAGCGAAGAGTAAGCAGACATCTCGGCGCAAATTGGGAAAAGCCTCGGGCAAAGGGGGTTCCTCCGGGATGGCGACAGAAGGCGTTACAGAACCTGCGCGCCCGCCTGATACTGATGGTTGAGCGGACGGTCTACGCGATGTCGTCGCAGACGTCGAACGGGCGGAAGATCGACCGGGCATAGTGTCTGGGTGTGGAGGGGTAAAGGTTTGAGTCGGAACGTGTCGGTCAAGTAAGGAGTTGTCGCATAGAGTCAGACAGGTAACATCTCAAAATCGTGTCATAAATCAGATTCGGGCACCGGAACTCGTTGAATGGCGCGCCTGTAGTCGCTGGACTAAGGTGGGATGATATTGCCGTCGGAGTTGAGTTATCGCCAAAACATTGCGGACGATAGCCCGCAGTCACGGGGTGCGAAATAAACAAACAGCCCAAAACGGGAAAGGCTAAGATAAGGGTTAGGGTTGGAAGTGCATTATGTCATTTCTGACCATTAAAGGCAGTATAGCGGGTTCTATATACAGAAATCTATATTGATTGTCACTATCTATTCCCTAAATCATACACGGGTTACTGCAATGTCACTCTATCAATGGATTAACACCGAGCACTATCGAGCCAACGTTATGACCAATGTAGAAATGAGGGTCCTCACTCTGTGCAAGCTATCACGCCATCGCTCACGTGATGTACAATCGCTGACTAACGCCGACCATCGGCATTTGGGAATCCGGGGAATGGAATGGTCTTCCTCCATTAATTGTCTCTTGCATAGCAGACGGTGTTTGGGAGTAGCTGTGCTAGCCTTCGAAGCCTTTTGAAATAATGTTTCGACAAAGTATTCGGCGTTTTGGCACCACTGCGCTCCGCGCAGCAGAAGGATCGACCGCCTATAGCATCCGAGTGTCGCAAGCCCAGGGCTACGTTAACGGTCTTACAGAAGGTACGCTAAGAAGAGGAAAATATGAATTAGCTACGCGAACAACGGCTTCTGACAGGTTGTCATTAAGCAATTGGAAATACACCACTTATCCGATTGAAGCGTCTTTCCGAAGAGACCGGCTGCAACATCCTCGGTAAAGCCGAGTTCCAGAACCCCGGAGGCAGTGTCAAGGACCGTGCAGCATTGTTCGTCGTCAAGGATGCCGAAGAGAAGGGGCTTTTGAAGCCTGGCGGTACGGTGGTTGAGGGAACAGCTGGTAACACTGGAATTGGGTTGGCGCACGTGTGTCGGTCAAAGGGTTACAAGCTTGTCATCTACATGCCCAACACGCAGTCCCAGGGTAAGATCGACCTACTGCGGCTGTTGGGTGCTGAGGTCTATCCTGTACCGGCCGTCGCCTTCGACAACCCGCAGAACTACAACCATCAGGCTAGGAGACATGCCGAATCCCTTGATAACGCAGTATGGACGAACCAGTTCGACAACACTGCCAATCGCCAGGCTCACATCGAGATGACCGGGCCGGAAATCTGGGCCCAGACTGATGGACATGTCGATGCTTTCACCTGTGCTACTGGAACGGGAGGAACATTGGCCGGAATTACCCGTTATCTGAAGACCGCTTCCGACGGCCGGGTAAAGTGCTTCCTTGCCGACCCTCCAGGCAGCGTCCTGCACAGCTACATCCAGAGCGGCGGCAACTTGATCGAGCGCTCGGGAAGCAGCATCACGGAGGGTATTGGCCAGGGCCGCGTCACGGACAACCTTCAGCCCGACATTGATCTTTTGGATGGGTCGCTGAACATCAGTGATGAGAAATCGATCGAGATGGTCTACCGCTGCCTTGATGAAGAAGGTCTCTATCTTGGAGCTAGCTCTGCACTCAACGTTGTTGCTGCCAAGGAAGTTGCCGAGAAACTCGGTAAGGGTAAGACCATCGTCACCATTCTGTGTGATGGCGCCTACCGCTACGCCGACCGTCTGTTCTCAAACACCTGGCTACAGAGCAAGGGCCTGAGAACTGCTATTCCTAAGCACTTGGAGAAGTACATCGTACTTCCCTGATTGGTTATGTATGTATAATGTTGTATAGACCAGTGTCAGTATTATGATATCTGTGAAGCATGCCCAGTTACAATCATGAGAAAATTTAGATATGCTTGAATGATCATTGAACGCCAATGCCAACACCTATGCCCGATAACTCATTTGCTAAACAACGGTGAGATCACTTGCCCTTCCATACCCATTATACCCCACACCCCTCAGATTCCACTGCGAATGCGCCTGCTGCACATTCCCACCCCTATCAAACGCGCGACTTAGAATCTCCCTTCTTGTCCCTCTCTCAACACTGACCCTCGCCCTCCACAAAACCCAACCCCATTTCCTCTCAGTGGACGAACCCTCAATCTCAGCATCCACCCATGTCTCCCCTCCATCAGCAGAAACCTGCACACCCGTAACCGGGCCATCGGCGCCATGCGGCACCGCATACCCCTTCACCTCAACAGTACCCGAGTCCGAAAGATGAACCGTTTCCCCATGTTCTGGCACCCCCACCACCGAGTTAACCGGCATATCACACATAGCAGGTATGCGACCCCAATAGGGCTCCGCGGAAGTACTATCGACCGCATCCGGCGGCAGGATCTTGTAATCGTGCTGCTGGTAGAAATTGGACGATTCATGGTCTTGCACGGTGATCCGATCGAGCCACTTGACCCACCTGGCACCCGCAACCCCGGGGAGGACCACTCGGACTGGGTAGCCGTGGTTGGGCGAGAGCGGCGAACCGTTCATCTATCACCCCTCATCAGCCCTATATAAGAACCCCTCCTCCCACAAGAAATATAGTACGTAGCTCACCTCCAAAGCAAGAATAACATCCATATCCTCGTCCAGACATCTCTTCAACTCCACACTACTCCCGAACCAATCGGCATCCTGACACTGTACCTGGTAGCATGAAAACGCAACATATAACCCCCGATTCAGGTCCGGCGTCACCCCAGCCCGGAGGAGAATGTCCCTCAATCTCGGACCCTTCCATTGACAGTTCATGACAGCTGCATCGCCCCAGTCAATCCCCTGGACTTCCTTCAGCAGTGTGCGCATGGCATGCCGCCGGTTCCCCGCGCATTCTAGAGCGCAGATGACTTCGTGCTGGGGGAACTCGGTTTGGAGTTGATGGATGGATAGGCAGAGTGGGCTGGGGACGGTGCCGTCTATCCGGACGGTGTGGGTGTCTGCGGTGAGATGCGGGATGGGGCCATGGTTGCGGTCGTAGGAGATATCTTCCGGGGTGATGAAGCTGAGATATTGTTAGTAGCATGTTGTATCTGATGGCATATGCGGAGAATACCTCGCGACGAGGGTTTTGACGGGTGGTTCCCGGTTTAGGGGGTTTTGGACGGAGTATTCTATGTACTTGATTTTGTGAATATGACTATTACTAGGAGGTTGGTGGTGTCGGGACCTACTGTGTGGGTCATTGTTTTATTGTTCTGAGTGCTGGTTTTGGGTGAGACCGGGCTTATGATGCGCGGGTTATATATCCATTCTTCTGACGTCATACTTATCTGAGGTACATATGTAGCTACATAAAGTTGAGTTTGTTTGAAATATATCTTCTAGTTTTTCAGATATATATTGTTTCGGTCCCTGAAGAAGGCCCCACAGGGCCGTTAGGAGTAGCGAGACGCGTACAAGTGGTTTTTGGTGAGCACGGTCGCACGAATGCTACTGTCATTTCTTCTCTCTCGAAGAATCGTACAGTTTTGCTTCCCATGCATTGTATGCACTGTACGCTGTGACCATCCGCGATTGATCTACACAACACGAATTCTGTGCCTGGTGTAATGATAGAACGATACAGCAGGCGCAGGGGAAAAGAAAGGCGCCTGTCCGAATAATTTTAATACTCTTTCTCAATTTACAGCATTCTACACACTCATATCGCTACTGGGTAGCATAGAGGTATACAGTCTCAAAGATCGAACACTAAATAGACAAAAAGCAAAGCTATTTGTGCCATTTTGATGCTATGCAATAATTCTATCTTTGCCCACATTTGCTTCTTAATAGAAACCACTCGCTAGAAGACCAGAACTAACAAAATTCGAGATGTAAAGGAAGCAACAGTCGGAAAGCCACTGATGTGTATCAGGTACGCCGATCCTGAACCGTCATCCATGGCGCTGTATACCCCTATCAAGCCTTGTTGGGGTACCCAGAGGCACGCTGCACGAAGATGAAGGCAGAGGTGAACTCTATTGTGCTGGTTAGAGAAGCATAACAAGGGGTTATTGAGTTCCAGGGGTACTAACCAGTGAAGGAGACCTGCTTGTCGAGAGTAGAATCGAAGAACTCCTCGAAGGCGGCGGCACCTTGTTCACCGTATGCCTGCTTAAGCACGTCCAAGTCGACCAATCCTGTATTGTACGGTTAAGGTCCGATTCAACCAGAGTCGTTGAAGGTATAAGATCGCTTACCATCGTTATCGCTGTCCTAGATGCAATGTGTCAGTGAATGGTTCATTATCGTGTATCGAGATGTAATTGACATACCATTGCCTTGAACTCTCCCAGCAGACCCTTGATGGTTTCCAGGGAGTAGTTAACATCCTTGGAGTAATTAGCACCATAAACGAGGGAGGTTGATGGATATGGTCCTTACTTTGGGGTCGCTGCCTCCCATGACAGTGTCGTAGAGCTTGGTGCTGACCATTTTGGCGAGTGTTAAAGAGTAGGTATGGATGGAAGGGGGCTGGTTTTGGTTGAGTGACTGAAGTCGGAATCTGATTGTTCGAAGTCTGCCTGTTGGAGTGATCTGTGAGCTTGGTTGATGTTTTGATTTCGAAGCGGCAGACTGGGCCTCTTTATAGATTTGGTTCTACCGCAAAAGACTGAGCTGTGCAGGTTCAAACTCATATGAGACTCACAGTGATGTCCGCTGTAATCGCAGGTCAGTTGCTGACAGGTCAGTGGGGGCGGATGGGGCCAAACGGCCGGCGCATCGCCCCATTCTGCAGTCGATGGTCACCTCAGCTCACCCCGCATATCGTTCATGACTGTGCATATTTTCTGACAAACCAGATCATGCCTGCTAGAGGCTCTAACTATGTGTTGGTCCAGTCTTTGATCGTACGTGACCTTGATGAACCACCATAGCCTGACCAGTAAGGGCTTGGAAGACCCGTCGCACGTCGAACCGTGTCTCACGTGACGTCCAGAGACATGAATTAGATTCTATCACCAGTATTATGCAACTAGTTGAGATCTGTCTTGTAATACCTTCTTGACGAAACAGTTCTCGTAGCATAAGCTTATGCTTGTGGGGGCGGCGGGAATAACCTAAAATCTGACAATCTGACACCAACTTGGCATCTGTCGCCCCCACAGCGTACATACAGTGGCAGAAACCTCCTAAATTCAGCTATTCTAGTATTTAGTATACCGGCTCCGGCTTACTATTTATAGTAAAGATGGTAGCTGCTAGAATGGGCACAGGCTAAGCCGTTAACTGGTGTTCCAATCATTGAATACATCCCATTGTACCAGGACAAGCATGGAAAGACGAAAAGGGATAAAGGGACGCTCAGCCGTGTTGTCCGGGGGGCCAAGATTGAGCAACACTTAGGATGTCTACTTCGCAATAGTACATTATAGAAAAGATAGTTTGATCTTATTTCAAATCTATTCATCAAACGATACCACGGCTAAACTGATTCATAAAGAGAGACGATGTTATCATAAAACGGAAGACTAGGTGACCCATCCTCGAGGTAATCAACAGGCGTCAAGTTCTGGACCCAGGGGAGGAGAAGCTGGCGAAGCTTGGACAAAACTTGCTTCTTTACACCCTGCTTTTGGGATTTATTCCATCTGTAAAGCAAGATGCAGTTGCCATGCATGTTGAATGCTTCAATAACTCTAGCCGGTGCTGTTGGTATACGGTCTTGGAACTCCGAGAGTTGAAACCCATATATTTGCTCGAACCTCTCTCGGCATTTCTCTGCAAGGGAAGTGTTCCTCTCTCCCCTAATAAAGAAGTAGTCTTCTCGGATGTTCCCACCATGGGCCGCCTCATTTCGTTGCTTGTTTGAAGATAGCCCCCCGCATAAAACAGATTTTCGGATTTCACGGTACAGGGCAACTCTTTCCATCAAGTCATCAATGGCTCTCTGTTGGGCATCGTTTTGCTCCTGCAAGCCATCGATGGCTTTCTGATGTACCTCCAAGTCGTCTCTAATTTGTTGGAGAAGATCGTGCCCGGATGGGTTCGCAATGGTCTTTGTTGACTCATTCATGGTGACAGGAACGTGGGTGAACAGTTCCGCTTCCAAAGCAGTTGTGGCTTCCCCAATGAAGTTTTTTTTGTAAATCACCCCAGTGAACGGCTGGTTAGTCAGAATGAGATGAAGCTCATTTATAAGGACTGGTTAGGCAACTTACTGCCGTGACTTCCCACTCAGCCCTCTCCGAACCCTTGGTAACTGTTGTTGACATTTTGGATGGCACCCTGGCTGACTACAGCAGAGAGTTAAGTTTAGAGAGATAATGAAGGAAGAAAAAGAAGAGACGATGGAGGGGGAGAAAAGAGGAGAAAAGTGAAAGGGGGGTGTTTTATGGATTCTCAATACAAAGGAAAGGACCATACTAACCATCCCATTCAGGAGCTGTATGGAATTTGGAAGAAAGTCATTATGTTTCATTTCAGGCAAACAGTTACTACCCAGCTTTTAGTCGGCTGTATTCACTTCACATACCAGATATGTTCTAGAACCCTCCACATCCACCTGTTTCTTTTCAACTCCCTTCTACTCTGCCTTCAATCTCCCTGCATTCCCTGGATCTTCTGGTAGGTGTACCTGGAACAGTCCAATGTCCGTGCATTAAAGCGCTCATGGACCCAGCTTCAAGAGTTTTATCTCCAAGAGGCGTCAGTCGTGCTTTGTACAGCATCTGCCGCTGGCCGAATCTGATTGTGGGGATTTCTGCCTGAGATCTTAATCATAGCAGAGACATCACAGAACAATGAATCTGTGTGTCTAATTCCCTTGATTTGTTATTATTGTACACTAAACAAAATCGCGCTTAGTGGAGACGATGCGCAATTGCCCCCCATAATCACGTCCAGAGGCCGCAACAAATTCCTTGCATCAGAGAAGTAATCACTTTTTGAAAGATTTATCCGGTCTGGACTACCAGACATCATGCTTCGCACTCAGTACCGTATGCATCCTGATATCTCAGAGTTTGTGAACACCGAGTTCTACTCCGGTCGGCTGATCAATGATCAATCGACAACAAATGGTGGAAACTCGAACTTTTTCGGAGATATCATGGCTGAAACTTTTGAATGTGCTAAAGGAGTGGTATATTTTCTATCAGTTGAAAAGACGACTGGTTGGAAACAGCGAGAAAGAACCAGCTATTTTAACCCTGAATATATTGTTGCGATCGCGTAGTCCAACACTATGGGAACCGCGGTCGCCTTATCATCCAGCAAGGAAGTAGTCAAAAGCTCTGTGATAAATTTGACATCTCAAATGCAGACCAGCATGAGTGTGTTAGTCAGGCCATTTGAGACAGATTTATGTGGTTAGGACTTGCCATGGGCATCTTTGTCTGCAGAATATGGGAAATAGGCACCAATCACACTTGTTTTTAACCCATCATAGCTCGTATCCTGACCAATTGTGGTATCATTGCCAGAGCTTAGAGAATAATATAAACCTCCCCTACCAAGAAGAGGGATAGTAACAGAACTGTTGGCTCAACTGTTGCCAGTCGCTGAACCAGAGGAGCCAGCCCTAAATATCAGTCGCGGAGATCAACCAGCTCTTACGAAGAGAACGAGCATTTATTCTAGGAAAATGCTACAGAGCGCACGAGTGCTTAAAGTCCCAGCAATAGCATTATTTCAAGCTCCTGCCCTGTGTTCTTTCCCTGTGTTTTGTCTTTCGGATCCAAACCACTGAAATATGGGACGGTGTCTTGGCGTGAGGACCTTGAGGGTGAGGACCTTGGGGGACAGACTCTGCCCAATTGGCGGACCTCCAGATTAAATCGGTGGGGGGTTCCTGGATCTTAACTTTATCTGAACGTCCCAGATCGCCTTCTCAGCCCTACCTGGATCTATATCTGATTCAATCCCACTGTACTTGGTCTGATCCCGTTCCCTGTACTGCAGAATAGCCATTCTATCGGTCTCTCACCCATCGGTCCTCGCGTCGGGCCCAAAGAGGATAGCGCAGATTACCTAATTCCCTCCCAGCTGCACCGCTGACTAGGCAAAACATAGCATAACTTTTTATGACACACTGATCCGGCAAATTAAACGAAGCCTTTCAAACATTTTGTCGACCGCGTACAAGTGGTCACAGGTGTACTTTGCATTCTGCTCCTGTGGAGAGATTCGGGTCGATTGAACAAGAGTTACATTGACACCCGAAGCCTAGCACAGGCAAATATCACGCACTACTATTGATCACGTCCTCCAGAATCCTTTCTAAGCGTGCTGTCCGGAGACATCCAATATCTCTCAAGTGTATATAGGAAGTAGGGAGCTTATCAGCAAGCATTGATTCATACAATTGAACATCAGTTATACCCAAGTGTCCGTGGCAATTTGAGTTCAGTGACGCTTCTGCTATGACACATATTCGCTCAAAGCTGCTTGGCAAAACCTGACAAGTTAATAACACCCGTGGATCTTCGCGGAGAATCCACTAGAATCGCTCTTTGAAAGTGGGCTGAGGACAATCCCGGTCCCAATCCGATTAATATTGGGCAGTCGAACACCGGAGAATTTTCCCTTGAGGCTTTAAAATACTTGATCGAGCCCGTTTCCCCTTCACTCTTTCCCATCTGTTGAGTCTTCCACTTCAGTCTCAAATTTTCCAAGCTGCGGGTATATCTCTCATTATGGTCTTTCACTTGACGCAGCTACAGCGTCTCTCGCTTGTGATCGGTATCTCACTTTGCTTCTTCATTGCTGAAATTTCAGGTATTCCTTCCCTCCTGAATCTTGAATGCCTTCCTCACTTGCCGTAACTAGTTGGATTTTACACGAAATCTCTCGCCCTGGTGGCTGACGCATTCCATTATGTTCGTCGGAAGGGTCTTCCGTGTCGGGGAGTGATGTCTGTGCTAATATCTGCAGCTCAATGATATCATCGGGTTCATCGTGGCATTTGCTGCTGTGAAGGTATGACGTCTAGCAGTTTCCACAATGCAGATCTACTAATCCAAGATAGATATCATCGAAGAAGGAGTCACCAAAAGACCTATCCTTTGGCTGGCAGCGAGCTCGCCTCCTGGGGGCGTTTTTCAACGGTGTTTTTCTTCTCGCCCTCGGTGTCAGTATCTTCCTACAGTCCATCGAGCGCTTTATCAGCCCACAAGGTATGCAATAACTATTTGTAAATCCCAGAGCAAGCTAACAGATAGCTCAGAGGTTGAGCGTCCAAAGCTGGTCCTTATTATCGGCTGTGTTGGGCTTGCGCTGAATATACTGAGCGCGTCTTTCCTTCACGGTTCGTTCTCCTTAACTTCCCCATCTGCACAGAGACTAACTGACGGTGTTCCCTTCACTCAGAACACAGCCATTCCCATGATACAATCCCCGGCGGAAGTCTAGATGCAAGCGCCGAGAGCGGGATAAACGAGGTAACGGGTCTTGCCAATCGTGAAAGATGAAAAGAGTGCTGAAGAAACATCACAGGCTTACGCCTTCCATACCGGCCATAGACATAATAACCTCCAAGCCCAAAAGAAGGGATACGATCTCGGGTTGCTCGGTGTTTTCATCCACGTCCTTGGCGATGCCTTCAATAACGTCGGGGTCATTATTTCTGCCTTGATTATCTGGCTCACCAGTTCTGCCTCCCGGTACTATGCAGACCCGGCCATTAGTATGGCGATCGCCTTCATGATCATGGGAACATCTGTCCCCCTCGGTTTGTGCTACCCATTTTAGGTCACGTGTACGCTTGCGCGGGCTAACCTTTCATTCAGTGAGGAATTCCGGACTTATTCTGCTGGACAGTGTTCCAAAGGGAATCGATCTGAACGATGTCAAACATGACCTTGAACTGGTACGTTTCCACCCTGAAACATCCCCTACCACCCTGTGTCCCATGCCTAGGCCTTCTGACCTTGCAATAACTTGTCAGTTACCCGAGGTTTCATCCGTCCACGAGCTGCACGCCTGGCGCCTGAACCAGGAAAAGGCTCTGGCTTCCGTACACGTCGGCCTGCCCGATATTCGCATCTCAGAGTTCGTGAAACTTGCCAAGACCATGAACGAGTGCTTCCACAGCTATGGTATCCATTCGGCGATTGTGCAACCGGAACTTATCCAGACGGTAGAGGACACCACCAAGAGGGCTGCAGGGAAATCAGATTCCTGTCAAATTACCTGCGGCTCTTCCTGTGAACTGCTTACCTGCTGTGGCTAAGGACGGGCTTCGGCGATGACACCGGTTTCCTAAGCTATAGGGAATCTGTTCAACCCTTGTGGAGTTGGGAGATGTGAATCTAATTTACATAATGCGCTTCTGAACTCAGTAGGAGAGCCACTATTCATTTCTCGAGGAGCTGCTCTGATTGGTGAGGTGGAATATGGTAGATCTAGAATTGTAAACCGCATTTGGCACCATTTCCATATAGTAAATGTCTGTTCACGTATGTTCGCTTTTGATCATGATCTTGTAGGTGACAGATACAGAGTGGAATTCAAGCAACATCCAGTGAGCCCTCTTTGTATTTATTGAGGAATACTGGACTCGTATATTGCTCCAACGCGGGAGAGCTCCTAGCAGCCCGCATAAATACCAACTAGCTTTGACTGGCTTGGGGGTGAAAATACCACGTCACGTGCTAAGAGTCGCTCATGGCTTTCTGCAGATGTCCCATCTTTACACGATGTATCTCGCCAGTCATATCCCATTGTGTTGGCTGCATCATCTGGTAACATGGTAGAAAGACTAAGCTTCGTATACCTAGGATGGTTATCCTGTTCAAACTCAAACTCGAATTCGATGAGGTCGTGCTCTGCAACCGCAACCGAGAAACCAACCATCCGAGTATTTCCCGCAAATTGAATTGTTTGACGCGTGTCGGTATTGAAATCACCTATTTTGGCGCTTGTGCCGGATGGATAGACGAAAGCAAGTTCGATAATAGCCCGGCCTCGAATGTAAGCCTCGGCTGTCGTTATAGTCTCTATGTAGCCGTCGCCATTCTCCTTTTCGAAGTACAGCTTTCGTACCAAGTCAAAGGGTGGTTCTGGTTTGGGGACCAGTATGTGAGTTTTTTTGACTTCTGTTCGTATAAATGGATGTTGGGACGCGATCAGAGGATACATTCAGTATCCATGAGATAGCGGTTAGTTTCTCATCAGAGTTACCTTGGTACTGATGGTGCATCCTTGCGGGTGGAAGGGAGTCAAAGTCCGGAGAGCGGAATGTCACACTACGAGAACAACTCGTCTCAATATGTATGGCCGTGACCTGGCCCAATTCCAGCCCCGGGCATTCAGTAGAGAAACCTACTGGAGTGAGCCAGATAGTCAACGATCGGACTTCTTCAGCTGGTGAGAGTTCGAAGCCTTCATCAAGCTCATTCATCCATTGTCCTGCTACATTTGGTGTTGGATGGCTATAGTAATCGATCTTTAGACCGGATATGCGGTTAGGGCACCTGGATCGGCCGCGGAGGCCTGTAGATGCCTGAATTCTCCGGACATTCTTTAGTGACGCATAGGTCTGATAGTTGCCCGCATTCGCGCCATCTATACAATGAGAGAACTTTTGGTCATAGTGAACCTGATCATCGGGTATTTGATGGCATCCGCGATCCAGAATAGCAGGAGCCATCGGTTGTTCATCACACTGTTGGGACTGGATGCCGACTCGGATAAACCGCGTTCGGCTCAAATGCCGTTCAGATCTGGGTATACCACCGCGGCATAGTGACTCAAGACCAATAAATCCGGTAATGGTGTTTCCTGACGGCAAAATGGGAACTGGGTCGACAGTAGCGTTCAGTCGGCATTGAAGAGGGGCAAAAGTGGCAGTTCTTCCATAGTTTGTTGAAACCTGAATCAGAGTTAACACCTAACATCAAGGAGTCTGGAATGGGTAGAAGGGACCTCTATGCCACCTAGGCCACTGGCAGGGTGGCATCCGCGATTGGCTTCTAAAATATAGATTCGATCGATACGCTCTCCCTGGGAGCCGGCGACAAAAAGGGAGATACTGCAGCCACTGTTGGAGCCAAAAAGTACAGACTTTCCATCAGAATGGAATACCTCTATCCCCATGAGTGGATAAGGACCAGAAGTCATGTAGAAGGTACGCCTGGTCAAAGAGGCGAGAAGCAAGGCTCTTGTGCCACCAAAGTCGATATTAGTTAGTGGTTCAAAAGGCCTGGAAGGCTGGGAGGGTAGGAGAGGGCTAGTTTTCAAATTATCGTGTGGTGGAGGATGCGGTGTCCACAAATGCGACAGTAAACAAGATGAAACAGTTATTCCCTCAGAAGGAAGCTCGACGGAAGCTCCAGGCTGGTCTGTTAATTTGCCTAGGCTGATTGATACGATCTTGAAGTGATCTAGACCTACTAGCAGGTAACACCAATTTGTCCCATTGTTAAGATTATCTACTAATCAGGGTAGAAGACCTGTCGACTAGGTAAGGATACGTAGGCAAAACAATAGTAAATAGTCTATGGACAGAGACTGATTCTTGATTTTTCCTCTACTACTTTCGTAGCTCATTTATAGTCGGGAATCTTTAAGATTCCTTGTATAGAGTACTAAATCCTCAGAGAGGGACCACTGTCCGTTATTGAAAAGGTGACTGTTATGGACACCGAAGGTGCCGTCCGGCCTCCGAGATGTCCATGCACCTGGGGCAGGGTATACTGTACAGTCACCTCGCATAACCGTTATGAATTCTGTGACACCCATCAGGAATGTCAAGTGTACCATAAGCGATGCCTGGGCCATTGCTATGACCAACCCATTCCGATGTATCTGAATTTCGGAATATAAGCTTGATGGCCTTCAGCCCTTCCGCACAAAGCGCCACACCAATAACTCTGATGTCGGGTGTGGACGGTATCTCTATCCAGTTCTCAGGCACCGGATTGTGATATCCGACTAGGCCACCAATAACATTTCATCCTCGCGAGGGAGATAAGTTTAGTCCAGATATAAAGTTTTGTCTGCCGATTCGGATAGTTAAGATACCTATCCGCCATGGATGCTGCTGGCGCGGGGCCAAAAATGACAGGGTCCTGTGGTAAAGCTCACGACATCCCTCATCAAAGGTACTATTCGCGCCAGTAGAGACCAGCTGACCAGAAAAAGAGCCAAGTATGTGCACGGCTTGAGCCGGCCTTTCAGCACCCTCGCCATCGAATAGCTGAAGGCTGCCGTCTTGACCTTGCGCCGGATGAAAGGCAGATCCGTACGGACCATTTCGCAGAGGACCCTCTAGGTCCACAAGAGCAGCAATAGGTTCCAATAGCAACCGGATCCTCTTTCGATTGACTAAGGGCAGGAGTTCGGCGTTAAGAGATGCCCTTGTCCCAGAGTAAAGCCGACACCAGTCCCGTATATCCGTAAGACGTGGGAAAACAAAGTCAGCCTCCTGACCAAGAAGAAACCTACTCTGCCAATATGACTGGGGCAACGTATTGAGTCTTGCTGGTAGAGCTAGTTCACGACAAATGAGTCTCAAATTTAGCAGCTCGTTAAATGATAAATAGGAAAATATCTCGAATCTCAGCTCGGGTGAGAGCCCGTTCAAGATATGGTGGTTAGGTCTGTCTACGCTTTCACACATCTTTACTATAGTGTTATGATGGGATGGGAGTGGATGCCGCCCACCATCGGACGCAGAGGAACCACAGACACCATTGACCCGCTGGATGGGGTAATATTTGCCCTCGGGTGCGGTTGCTTCCAAGTCATCCATGGAAGGAATGACAAAGGGGTCAGTGTAGAAGGGTAAGCTCAGATCCACTGCCTGTATCCGTCCGTACAATATGTGTGTCCGCGCAGCGCCCCCATCGTCGTGACTCCATTGGAAGCTGGAGTAGTCGAGGCAAGGAGTGCAACAGAGTTGATAAAAGATTGACTCTACAACGACCGTCTCGTTGTGCAAGTAACCATCCTGTGCATGACCGAGCCTAAGGAGCAGCAATCTCCAGCACGAGTTGTGAAAGCCAAAGCACCAACGGCCGTGAGATGGGTCGCAAATTCTCCAGCTCTCCAGCGTATCAATCCCTACCTCGACATATGATAGATCGCTATCTATCGGTGCGTAGAGCTTGTTCCGGAAGAGTATTATTCCTAGCCCAGTTACGGTGACTTGGTTATTGGTTGAGTAGATGCCTCGTGTTTCAGCGTACCAAGGGCGAACGCGGCTTTGTGGAGACTCTGGATCATATCCCATCAACGACTTGTGCAAGAGCTCGCTGTGTAGGCTCGCTCGATACAACATTGTGTAGTGTCTGGGTAAATGCTTCAAGGTGTTCGGGAGTCAAGTCATTGATAGAAATTTTGTTTATGCTCGACATAGCTTTGGTGAGATTCTCTAGATCGCTTTAAAGTTGTTGTGTGAGGGTGAAAGTGTCTCGGAATACATGCAATTTGGCTTTGAGCATTAGTGACGGGGGGATACTATATTAGTCTAGACTATGTAGCGTCAACATTAACTCCTAGAAACCGGTCAATCAAAGTATAATATGGCATAGATGGCACATTGTGGTCTGGCCTTGTTCTTCGGCTTCAAGTTGGCGGGGGCTGAAACACTAACCCGATACACGTCGATTTCCAACTGTGACCGTAGCCTATCAATGCAGGACTCAGAAACGTGCGACTAAGCTAGGAGTTATTTTTACTCCCCCAGCGCTTATGGTTTGGGTTGCAACAGGCGCTAAATGCGTCGTAATAGCTCATCTGGATACAGGAATCAGCTGTGAAACCTATTGTTGTTAAGAAGACTAATGCATGGTATACGCGCCGTGGTTACTTCACAGTATGGCATATTGAATCTATTAAACATTCAACTATAAGAAAAGAGATGCGAAGTAAAATGTCTTGGCGCGTCGCCGGGCAACGACGCTCCACCATTTGATAAAACAAAACATTCATACGCATCCAAACATCTAACTTGTCTACTACCCAGGCTACCCCCTCTTCAAATTCAAACCCTTTAGTAGGAAACATGTCTGAGACAGCCGAGCACCTCGAGCGACGCACGTTCCCTTGCAGCTAGAGGAAACAATTAACGCCTTGCAAGCCCATGAACTCGATGTATCAGAGGCGAAGACATTGGGCATAGACATCCATCGAATGACCCTTGATGACACTTCCGACCGCATACGTGCCTCCCAGAGCCTGACAAAACCTGGCTTAACCATATCTAGTCAACATTGCCCGGGGTTTGGCGTTAGCTAGAGGTTTCATGCATATGAAGTACAGATATATCTAATGCGTACAATCTATATCTATTTACTTAAGGCAAACATTGAACTGGAGGTATAAGACCTAAGCGCTTGGCTAGGACAACTTTCCATCTAAACGTCATGTACTACTCTGTACCCATAGAGTAATATACACCCCACATAGCTCTCTTTAATTGGCCGGTTCGTATTCCAGGTACGATCGGATTCCGAACCCTAATCGATCAAGAAAGATGGTGAACATAGCCTCACCTCTCCGACCAAATCAATTCAATCTACAGCCCTTCGACCCCAAAAAAACAGATGTTGCTATCCAATCCCACACCTGCCGGTACACCCGGTGAATCACATCGTCCAGCCTCAATTCCCTGATCTTTTCATACAACCATGGATATAAAAACCCCAACCTGACCTTCCCATTCACCAACAGCCACCCTTCTAACCACCCACCTTCAGACCAACCATGTCCCAACCCAAACAACCCCCAACCCTCCTTCTATGCCCAGGCTCCTGGCACACCCCAACAAGCCTCACCCACCTCCAAACCGCCCTGAAGAGAGCCGGCTACCCAACGCAAACAATCGCCCACCCCACCAACGGCGCCGACCCGCCCACCAAAACCCTCACCGACGACACCACCAACCTCCGCCAGACCCTCTCCCGCCTCATCGACCAAGAAGGCAAAGGCGTGGTGCTAATCGCCCATTCCTACGGTGGCCTTGTGACCTCCAACGCAGCCGAAGGTCTCGGGAGGCAAGAACGTGCCAATCAGAGTCTGCAGGGGGGAATTGTACTCCTGATTTATATGACTGCGTTTCTGGTGCCCCGGGGAGAGAGCCTTTTTGGGGTGTTGGGGGAATATAGACCTGCGAATATGGTTTTGGAGGTGGGTTCTGGTTCTGGTTCTCCATTTCTAGTTTCTGTTTTCTCTTGGTGTTGGTTTTCTTTATCATTTTTGCTGTTGGTTTGTTTGGTATGGCGGTTAATGAGATATTCGGTATAGGGCTCATATTGCCGGGCAACCTCCGCGAGAGAATCTTTCTACCATGACCTCTCGCCCGACATGCTGGTTGAAGCGGAGGCGCAGCTGACGCATAGTTGTATTGGGGCGTATACTGAGAGTGTCAATTACGAGCCCTGGCGGGATATCCCATGTGCTTATATTTTCTGTGAGGAGGATCGGGCGCTGGGGCTTCCGGTGCAGGAGATGTTAGTTGACATGATGAGGAGCAGTGCGCCTTTTCCAGTCCGGACGGGGAGGTTGAGGGCGTCGCATTCGCCGTTTTATAGTATACCTCTGGAGACGGCAGAGGTCATTGTGGGGTTTGTTAGAGAGGTGGAGGGGGTTTAGGAGTTGATCTTTTTTTTTGGGTGGTGTAATATGTGGTTTGGATTGATTACATGTTTGTGGTGTGTTTAGGTGATGATTTGTGTTTACGTATGCATTGTTTGTGGTTGGTTAAAGATAGGTTTATGTTTGTATTCTTGTTCGTTCAAGGGTATCAACTTAAACAGTCAATGCATGCAAGTACATGGATTCAGAATACTGGGTCATGGTCAGCCACTAAATGCTGGTCAGTTTAACTGTCACTAGCAAACAGGATCAGTCGGTCAGCAAAAACAACTGAGGATATCATCGGAACAAATCCAGGAAATCTGGGTATAAATCAGAAATAAAAGCTCCGAGATGCAGTCAACTACAGAAATCAACCCAACGCCATCCGCAAATGAGCATCCAATGCGGGGACAAATGGTGCAAGTCATCATCATAACAAATAAAGAGGCTACAAATCACGAAGCAGGCTACCTTCGGCAAAAGGGTTCTCGGGAGACATGTCCAGCATCGGCTTCGAAGCGTTCCGGTCACCAGTGGCTACTCCATGGCCTTTTGGCTGCCCAGGCACAGCCGCGACCTGCGCAGAACGAGCTAAAAGGCTGTTTGGTATGAACGGTTCCTCGCGAGGTTGCGAAGGGTCCACAGGAGTTGCCGGAGACGTAGGCGCAGTGCGTGAGTACGGATGGCGCTGCTGGCTACTGGCACTGCGGTTGGTATTGGAGCGGTTTCGTGTCCGAGCGTCTGTGGTGGGCGACGGCAGCTCCGGTCGTCTCCAGGTCGTCGCGGGTGGAATGACAATCCCACCAGGGACCTCCGGTCCCGTAGCAGCTGCCACAAGTGGCTTTCCAGCTTCAACCGTGACCCCTCGTCCTTTACGAGTGTGCTGCGGAGGCTCTTGGTAGACAGGAGTCAGATCGACAAGCGGCTTGGTCTTCACGGACTGCGACCGTTTGACTATGGCACTGGGGTCCGGCGCGTGCGCCGACGTCATTGTATTCGAGCGGCTATTTGGTCGGGTATTAGCGCGACTACCCTGGCCAGCAAATTGACGACGCGTATCCACAGCACCGATGAGGCCATTGGTGAATGGTTCTTCCGTGGCCTTTTTCTCCTTTTCTTCCCTCTCCTTCATCGCACGGTGGCGTTGACTATAGGTTCGACCCAGCAGACCACCGGAGGCGAAAGGGGACTCATCCGATGACTGCGCAGCGGACAAGTCACTTTCATCGGAGAGCATTTTTGGAAACGATGAGGGAGGCGGCGCGTGCTCTCGTGTGCTCTTCTTCCGGGAGAACAGTTCCTTAGTCTTGGACGCCTTTGCACGATCGATCGGCGAGTCGCTATTCTCCGCACCAGAGTTGAGAGGGGAATCCAAGTTGAGCAAAGGTTTGAAGGGCTTCTTGTGACCAGGTAAGCCATCGCTTGCGTCTACGGGGGAATCGGCCTGGTCCGTTGGGAGGCCTGCGCCGAGTTTTGTCACCAGATACCAACTGCGCCAGGATTGCACCGCTCGGTACCATGTATCGGCAACTGCTTTATCATTGGTGGAAAAGAAATGAGCAAAATTCTCCGTCGTCAGGAACATGCTAGATTTCTGCTGGCTTTTGATCGCCTGGCAGATCTTCTTTGGCGGTTTCACATTGTTCGAGAGGTAACTGGACGTGGGCGAATAGATGTCAAAGTCAGACAGATGGCACACGTTCATTGAATCCTGGCCTTGCTCTTTCTTAGACAAAGTGATCTGTCCGTCCGCCCGCAAGGTGACGTAGCGCTTGTCCCATTTGCGCGGACGCTGGGAGTAATACATGTGCAGCGTCACTTCCGTGGGTTGTTCACTCGGAGCGTGTCGCGAGTCCAATAAAGAGAGCGCGTCGAGGCTGGCCGCGGGTACAATGATCAACGAGTTCTCCTGATCATGGGCCCATGAGTTCATGACGTCCCGAACGCACTCGTATGTACGCAAGGGCCGCTCCAGTCCGAGTTCCCCAAAAGACTCCATCATAATAAACTTGGGTGGGTCAATCTCGCCCGCCAGACAATCTGCGGCTAGGGACAATAGATCATGAGCTGTTGTAGACGGGGTAACCCGAAGATTCAGGGACGTCTTCCTGTACTGGACAACAACCCTTCGCTCACCGGCATTGACTGCGGAGACGGGTGCATCAATCCCGGGGAAATTATTTCCTACACTGGTATCGATCGCCGTGACCTCCTTGTTTGCTTTGTCTGTCGAGCGCGAAGGCATGGGCATTTCCTTGTTCGAAAGACGTTTCGAGTCCTGGCTAGTACGCCGGCTTGCGAGACCTTCTACATTCCTGCGCGGAGGCCGCTCCTCTGGCCTTTTGACGACTTTCTCCCGCGTCGTGTGCCTCCGATGTGGAGCCGGTGCTGAGGGCTTCCTATCCTCTCCGGTCAAGCGATTCATCGCATCCTGTCGATGTTTTTGACGCACCTCCTCGTCTTCCTCGCTGTCGGTCAGGAACGGGTTCACCGCGGTTTCTTGAACGTTGAACGCCCTCCGTCGGTTCGCAGCTCTTGCCGACGTCGCAGTGTACGATGCATCCACTAGGTTGGCATCTTCTGGGCTGCCGCGTGAAGGTTGCTGGACGGCACCACCATTCGCGTCCGCGTGTGGCTTAGCTCGGTGGGCCAGGACACGGTCCCCCGGGACCGGTAGTGGAGGCGCGTTAGACGAAGATTCCGTCGCCGCCCTCTGACGCCGATAGCGCGACATGCTCTTCTTGATCGCAGGGTTTGTCCCATTCACTGCAGCTCCGCCCTCCTGCAGCCCGGGCCCCGATGCGCTAGGGAGAGTTGGAAGAGTCGACACCGGTGGCGGGTGCATTGCGTGTGGCTTTTGCGACGCAGCCTTTCTCACAGAGCGGTAGCGGGAAAATTTCATAGGCACTGGGCCTTGGCCCGCAGCCACCACACTTTCCGGCTTTTCCATCGCCATCGCTGTCATTGTAGGTGGTTCGCTTCACGCACAGGTTCTCAGTCCTCGCAACGTCGCAGAGACACGGCAGTCATCGCACGTAAGGGTCCGCACAGCAGTACAAGCGTTATCGGTAATTCACACCGAATGAATTCTTCCACGCAAATAAGGTCCAGAGAGGACGGCCCAAGTACAAAAAGAATAAATAAAATGCAAGTAGAAAATAAGTTCAACGGAGTCAGTCTTAGTCCTGCACCACAGGTCAAGGCGGTCTCTCAAGAGAATAAACACAGAGGGATCGACACACCGAGGGGACGGTCGAGTGAAATAACAATGGGTCTGCTTTTCGTTGAATGTTACCCCCTGAACGTTGCATGTATGTTTCACAAGACGTTTGACCAGCTCATTTCCCGCCAGTCAGTACACACAGTGGATAGTTTTAAGAAAAGGGGGCCGGGTGCATTGAAACAAGGAAGACAGAATCTCAATCGGGGCTGGAATGTGCGGAGATATAGTGCAAATCAGCAGTGGGGTGGGGGCAAGTAGAGAGTGGAGAGAGAGCGAGAGAGAAGGACGAGACTGTCGTCGAAACCAGAGTAAAAAAGGTTACGATCAGGTGGCAAAGGCGCAGGCACGACGCTGCACGCAGTAAGGAGGTTGGAATTTATTCAGGTACCCTTCGCCCTAGGAATATCTGGAATGTGATCGGAGACCGAGAACGGGAGTAGGGGAGAAAAGAGAAGATGAATTGGAACAGGTGAGGAATGCGTACCTTTTTTGTCTCTTTTTTTCTGTACTATTTTTATTTTTGAATTTTTTTAAAATTAACAACTAATACTGACAGGGCGGATTCAACGATGACAATAAAATCAGGAAAGAACGGTCAGTTTTGTGGGTTTGGCGCATCGAAGTCACTGCCGTTGTCCCTTTCGAGTCTAGCGCCATCCCCAAGTGAGATTAACCCCACCCAATAGGGCATAGCGCACTGGGGAAGCACCCGCGATGTCAATTGGTATGGATCGCACTCTAGGGGCTGACACAGAAGAATCGTGAAATTGCGGTTGGATCGGTGAGACTCCCAAGAAACTAGTCCTGCTGCCCTTCCAGGTTTTACACCTTAAAAACGAAGACAATAAAGAAAAAAAAAATACAAATCTTTGATTTCTGATGTCATCGTCATTATTCCCATTATGCAATAGACACTTTATGGACACTTCTCTTTGTATCGTGAGTACTTATCGCGCACACCCACTCCACCAGCATATATCCACCAAGTCCGCTACAACTTGTCTGGAACGTTCTGCCACTTTTCCAGTACGTGATCGCTGCGTCATACTCTAGTGCCTGTGCCTGGGTACACACACAGGCCTTTCGGTCTCCACAAATAAGTTCCAACTGTGATTCAAAAATGCTCATCGCAGCGGCTTATTTCTTGTATGCGCCCAGATGTTTCCGCCTGGTTCTCCGCATTAGCTCCATGCATTACCGACGATCCTAATATCAACTTACCACCACGCGACAAAATCCGTAGTCCGGACATCAATTCCGAGGTCCTTGAGTCCCTGGGTCGATAGATGAGTATCATAGGGCCTTTGTACTCCGTTGGGATCGTTCCCTTGCTTATTCCTGATCATCCTATCCAGGGGTAGTCCGAGTACCTCCGCGAACGTCTTGCAGATCTCATACTTGGTCATACGGTCTTCCGAGCTGAATTGGAGAATATGGGGCTGCTGCGGCAACCGCGTCCGCTCCTTGATATACTTAATGACAATATCGCGACACACGCGCGCAACATCTTCGGTGTTGGTGGGATACCGTTGGGCCCAGTCATCCATCTTCACGCTCGACTCGGGAACCTGAGACTTCCACACCGCATCGATCAGACAATTGACCGCGCTCTCTGAGTTATTCTCAGAAGGGCCGTACAGGACGGGCACCCGAAGCACGAGGCCGAGTCCAGTCTCCTTGGTCGCCTCCAGGACCACAAGCTCACCATCCCGCTTCAGCTGGCCATACAGGTTGGGAGGGTTCGTTTCGGCATCAGCTACATACGGAGCTTCACCTTCCGTGCCGGGAAACACGTAGTCCGTAGAGATGTAAATCAGAAATGCGCCGCGGGACGAGGCCTCTTCTGCAAGGATGCGCGTAGCCTCGACATTTACCCGACGCGCTTTCTCGGGGTCTTGCTCACACAGATCGGGGGAACGATTGGCGGCGCCTAAGACGTGCGTGTCAGTTCTCGCCGTGAGATATTTTACGATTCTCTTTTAGCTTACAATGGATGATAATCTGAGGTCTGTGGCGTATCATCCACGATTAGCTCTTTGTTCTTATACGTACATCCCTTCCGGAGCACATATTCACGAAGAGGGACATCCTCACACCAAATCTTCCCAATACACTTACTTTACTTCGTCCAAGATCCGCTGAATGTCGTCCTTGTTCTCTAAATCGGCTTTCAGGATGGTAGGTGGGTTGGCTCTCGAGTAGCCTTGACCGACGACAAAGCACCCTGAGTGCTTGAAAGTGTTGAATACCTGCCGGCCGAGCAGGCCGGTAGCACCAGTAACAAGCACGACACTCGACATATTTTCAGAAGTTGACTCAATGGTGGTCATGACGGAAGGAGGTTTGGCTGGAGGTGTTCAAGAATGTTTTGTAACTCTGCGGGGCACAATAGTAGTGACGTAACCTGAACCGCTTTCCGCTCAGTTTTAGTGGAAACAAAAAAGAACTCGGCCGCTGCGATGTATGATGACGATGTAGTTGTTACTTCTTGTCTCTGAAACTGGAACTGTTATGTTCTCATGTTTGTGCCGTTTGTACAGTAGGCACTTTCTATCATGAGCCGATTTATTTACATCGGGACTGACTCCTTTCCTTATTTGGACCTTGTTGCCCAATGGCGGTTCTTGGCTCCAAATTTGGCTGAACCGCCTCGAGCGGTGATTCGTTTACAATGCAAAGTACCTTTTTCTTGAATCAACCGGGGTTAAAATGCTTCGATGAAACCCTTCCATGGATTAATACGAGGCTGCAATGTACCCAGTAACAAATCCTGCAGGCCACATCCTATAGAGATTTTCATATTGGTAGGGTTCTAGAGTCTGGCCAGGACCTATTATCTTTTCTGTATGGGCTCTTTTCTATTTTTATTTCTGTTGAATTTTTCTTATCTTCCTTTTCTTTCTTTTGTTTTCGGTACAGTTGGGGAGATGTCACTGTGATTCAAGCCACATATCTATGGATACTCACCTGGCTATTTGCGAACTACCCATAAGAATTGCTTCTGCCAGCCCAGTAGATACAAGAAGCACCATCTCCAGGACGTTGCGTCAGTGAATAAAGTATACTATTCACAGATTTTGTATATAATTAAGATTGTGATTCAAAGGGAAAGACTTAAGATATATCAAACAATATATATATATCCCACTCATTACAATACATCTGCTGGTACCTTTTTTTTTTTTTTTTCACGCGGAAGGGTAATTGTTGAAATAGTATATATGTTTATCCTACTAGAATGAATTATTTAATGAATAAACATACGAGGTAAAGACTAAACACAGCGTATATAAATTATTCTTGTCGACTGTTTCAGCCGGAAATTTTTCCATGTTCGGTCGGGATGTTGTGAGCAACTCCGGAGTCGGCGCCAACTCCGGTTCGGTCAGTCTTTTTAGTCTGCCGTTGGCCGACAACCTTCACTTTTTTGCTTGCCAACCACCACACCATGTCGAGTGCCAGGAACGTCTCGGTCGCCCTGCGGAGGGCTCGACTGCCCAGACCCCGCTGTTTCGTCCAGCCCATCGTCTCCCGTGCTCCTTCTCGCCTCGCTACTCGCTCATTTAGCGTCACCTCCGCCGTCAATGCGACCAAGGAGATCAAGTACACCAGCAGCGCGTATCCCAACCTCAAGCGTGACCCCAAGTTTGCCGAGATTACAGCCGAAGATGTGGCCTTTTTCAAGGAGCTGTTGGGCTCCCAGTCGGCTGTGATCGATGGTGTGACGACCGATGCCGCCGATGATATCGAGCCGTTCAACAGTGACTGGATGCGCAAGTACCGCGGCCACACAAGACTGGTGCTGAAACCTCAGAACAAGGAGGAGGTGAGCCAGGTGCTGAAGTACTGTAATGACAAGAAATTGGCGGTGGTTCCCCAGGGTGGCAACACTGGATTGGTGGGAGGTTCCGTGCCGGTGTTCGATGAGATTGTCATCAATACGTCGCGCATGAACAAGATTCGCTCCTTTGACGAGGGCTCGGGAGTCCTGGTCGCTGATGCGGGTGTTATCCTGGAGGTTGCGGATCAGTACCTGGCGGAGCGGAACCATCTGTTCCCTCTGGATTTGGGGGCTAAGGGCTCATGCCATATCGGAGGTAATGCTGCTACGAATGCCGGCGGACTGCGTCTGCTTCGGTATGGTAGTCTTCATGGCAACATCCTCGGTGTTGAGGCGGTATTGGCGGATGGTACTATTGTCAACTCTCTCTCGACTCTGCGCAAGAACAACACCGGTTACGACCTCAAGCAGCTGTTCATTGGCGCGGAGGGTACGATCGGTATCATCACTGGACTTTCCATCCTGTGCCCTCCCCGCCCGAAGGCGGTCAACGTGGCCTACTTTGGTGTGGAGAGCTACGAGCAAGTGCGCCAGGCGCACCAGGAGGCAAAGTCTCATCTCTCTGAGATTCTCTCCGCTTTCGAGCTCATGGACGGCCGCAGTCAGCAGCTTGTCCACCAGTCCACTGGCAACAAGAATCCTCTGGATAGTGAATACCCCTTCTACTGTGTAGTCGAGACCAGCGGATCGAATGGTGAGCACGATATGGCCAAGCTTGAGAGCTTCTTGGAACACATCATGGGCGAGGGTATCGTCGCCGATGGTGTCTTGGCGCAGGATGAGACTCAGTTCCAGGGTATCTGGCGCTGGAGAGAAGGTATCACCGAGGCTCTGAGCCATCTGGGTGGCACTTACAAGTACGACGTCTCGATTCCTCTTCCCGAACTCTACCAGCTCGTGGAGGACTGCCGCGAGCGTCTGACCAAGCTTGGGTTTGTCGGTGACGATGACTCCTTCCCTGTCCGCGCTGTTGTTGGCTATGGTCACATGGGTGACTCGAACCTGCACTTGAACATTTCTGTGCGGGAGTACAACAAGGAGGTCGAGAAGGCCATTGAGCCCTGGGTGTACGAGTGGATCCAGAAGCGCAACGGTAGCATCAGTGCCGAGCACGGACTGGGAATTGCAAAGAAGGAGTTCATTGGTTACAGCCAAGACGAGACCATGGTGAAACTGATGAAGCAGTTGAAGGATTTGTACGATCCAGTAAGTACCTCGATCTTCGTTTTGTGTATACAACAGCTAACGCCTGTCTTAGAACGGTATTATGAACCCCTACAAGTACATTTAGATTATTTTTTAAAAGCAGCTGCGTTCTGTATTGATGTAAGAAGTTATTATACCACAGAGTGTGAATTTATTGGGTTCAAGAATTATCGTGTTTGCTCCTGTATCTCACGAAGTCGATGTAGAAGTGCTACTAGAACCGATAGGCGTTGTAGACTGCTTCTATGATGCGCACATATTTTATATCTGAAGAAAACAAAAAGGGCATTTATCCTCAGTTATTCACCACTATGTCCGTCTCCTACCCTAACCAACCAGAACACAATTGGACCCCAGTTAACATCAAAAATGGCGGTGTTCTCCAACAAGGTACGCCACGTGATGGTGCTACTGGTCTTTGTTCAATAGAATCTCTTTGTAAAAACTGAAGGTCTCTGCACAAATTTGTCTATTTAAAGGGCCTCCCTCCTAGATGCTCTAGTTGGTCAATCGTCGTCTCTATATTATACTGGGTTCGATCCATTTTACAGTACAAATGCATTCATTCCTTCGGATTTTCTGTATCATACTGTGCAGTCACAAACGGAGGCCAATACGAGATATAGAAAGATAATCGCAAAAACTCTCAGATTGGCGTTGGATTGTCCTTATCAGGTCTCTGCCTTCTTCCATATCCGTGAGGACCTGCTTCATGTTATATATACGCCGGTCAACCTTACAGGACACCCTTCCATATCGTGTGCCTTCGATGTGATTCGCAGCAAGAAAGAAACAAGGTGCACCTTTGCGACAGCGTTTCCCATCCCATGTCCAATAGGTTATGAGCCCGGCACGTTGTTCCCCAGCCAATAAAGCATCAACAAGTTGATAACAGGCTACCATTACTTTCTATTAAATTGTCACTGCAATGCTCGCCCAGGTCGCTTTCATCAGACGTTGGTGAACCTATCCTGACTTCGACCCAACACAGGCGAGATACTCACAGGCTCTGCTTATGAGCTTAGAGTACAGTATTTTGGTGCTTGGGAAGTGCCACTCCCAAAGATGAGCAAATTGTGAACATGGCTGGAAGACATACAATGATATTTACCAATACTTGTGGGTTACAACCAATGTGTCGGGTGGTTGCTCAAGCTACTGGTGATCTTTTAGCTCAGGATGGTGATGTAATGGATGGTATTCTAAACGACCGTATTGACCTTTGTCGATCTCGGTGAGCGATGTCAATCAATAAGGGATCTTGCTTGATGAGCCTATAACTCCCACAATAAGACCTGTGCCGGCCTTCTTTGCTCAAGAAGAAGGATTGAATTAAGATCATAGTAGTGGAATGATTGACTTCGAATAAGAGTATCTCGAAAGCGGCTATGATATTGAATAGATGCCAAGGTTCAGTCGTCTAGTATTTAGCTAAAATCGTGCTCTTTCTGAGATGCTCTCGCATATGGTGGAGTACCTCGGTGGTCACTTGGAGCATAATACAATTGGCCGACGGTCTCCGGGAATTTAATCCGCTGCGGGCTGCAGCCTGAGGCCACATGCGGGGCATTATCTAATCGTGCAGAACCTTGGGGTCCACTCGGTGCCTCAGGCGGCGGTTGCCATGCGCTACCGCCTGTTGTTTTCCGCGAACCATGGAAAAGAGCGGCAGCTGACCATTGGATACGACGGGAGCAACCAAATTACTCTAATCTCGATTTCCCTCTCCGCGCCCTTCCCAAGGTCGATAATCTCGACTCATTGAGCTCAACTCCAAGGTCTCGCCGGACACGGTTAGCTGGCTGGCTGTACGGGTTGCTCATTGTCTCCTGATATCTCTGGTCTTTGTGTTTCATTTTTCATTTTCTTTGTGGCCCCCTGAGGCGCCGACAAATACGGAAACATGGCGGACGATATGGCGAACCAGTACCAGATGATGGAGGAGTTGGGCAGTAAGCTGCAACCATCGCAGGATGGCCTCAGTGACATTGGTTAATTGTTTCTGCGTGTTTAGGTGGCAGTTTTGGAATCGTGTACAAGGCCATTGAAAAGTCGACTGGAGAGATTGTTGCGGTCAAACACGTAGGTTCCCCGCGTGCAGTTTTCGATTCGAAGAGTTTCACATTGACTTTGTTTGCTACTGTCAGATCGATCTCGAGTCAAGCGAAGATGATATCCAAGAAATTCAACAGGAGATCTCCGTGCTGGCGACGTGCGCGAGTCCCTTCGTGACGCAATACAAAGCCAGTTTTCTTCGGGGTCATAAGCTGTGGATTGTCATGGAATATCTAGGCGGGGGGTCTTGTCTTGACCTGGTAATTTACACGCTCATTGTCTGATACGGAACTTTGCTAATGAGGACAAGCTGAAACCGGGCGTTTTTAATGAAGCACATGTTGCCATTATCTGCCAGCAGCTGTTACAGGGCTTGGATTACTTACACAGCGAAGGAAAGATTCACCGCGATATCAAAGCTGCAAATGTGCTTCTCTCACATGTCGGAAAGGTCAAATTGGCGGATTTTGGCGTGGCGGCACAGCTGATCAATATTAAATCACAACGTAACACGTTCGTCGGAACCCCGTTTTGGATGGCACCAGAAGTGATTCAGCAGTCGGGATACGATTACAAGGCAGACATTTGGTCACTGGGAATTACCGCTATTGAGATGATTAACGGAGAGCCACCACATGCCAGCACTCATCCGATGAAAGTACTCTTTCTGATCCCGAAGGAGCCGGCTCCCCGACTGGAAGGCGATAAATACAGCAATACCTTTAAGGACTTTATCGCCCAATGTCTCACCAAGGACCCGGACCGTCGACCGAGCGCAAAAGAGCTTTTACGACATAAATTTATCCGGAATGCGGGGAAGACCGAAGCGCTACAAGAGCTGATCCATCGGAAACAGGATTGGGATGCTGGACGGGGGGTGACGCGGAATGTCAAGTACTATGCTGAATCCTTGTATGCGCATCTGACTTGGCTTACACACGATGTCCACTAACATCGTGATCTAGGAATACCATCACGCACTTGAAGGATGACGACGGATGGGTCTTTGACACAGTCAAAGCACCTACCATGAAAATCCCGGAGGACCCATACGTGGACGAAAATGACTTAGCCTCCCAAGACTTCCTGTACGACGAAACATCGGAAATGATAAACGACATGCGCATCTCCAGCCCTCCGCCCCTGCCGAAGCACGCTCCGAATAGCGCAACGAATAGCGCGGTTAATACCGCGGTGAGACGAACCCCGGCCCCTGAGCGCAGTCCTTCCACGCGGCGAAGCTATAGGAAGCGGCGATCCAGTGGAATCAAGCAGCCTCTGGGCGTCGACTTGACCTTTGGCAACAGTCCATCGACCGTCCGGCAGTTTCGTCGAGTATCGGACAAGATCCCGTCCGAAAATTCGTATAGCTCCCAGTACTCCTGTGGACCTGATGAGAACAGTAGCCCGAAGACACTGTTCTCGGAGCCGAACAGCAAGGAAGCGCAACTCGGACGACGGGCATACAGCAAAGCTGTTGGACTGTCCTGCCAGGAGGTTCTGGGGACCACTGGGGACCAGGAAAAGCGAGAGGCGATTTCCCGGCTGGCAGAGGCCTGGAGTGATCTTGAAATGGTGGATCCCGAGGGCTTGTACCACATTCTTAAGATCATGAACGAAAAGCTTCAAGGGTAAGTTTCGAGCTCAGGTTCCCCGTGACGGACGGAATCGGCGTTGGCTAACGGAGCTTTTGAAACAGTGATCCAAAGTTGTCAGGTCTTGTCCCACAGGCAGCTCCACCACCCGAATCCCCACAGAGACCACGTCTAGTTTTGGCACAAAACAACCCGCACCTAAAAAGCCACCGACGGCGGCAATCCACGGCAGTAGCTGAGCCCAGTTTGCAACCGGCGCAATTAGCCAACCTTCCGGGCCAACAAGTCCCCGGAATGGAGCATACCAAGCAGTTGTCGGATGTGCTCTACCAGCGGTGGTCCGAAGGGCTGCGCAACCGCTGGCCCGGGATCTAACTGTATTGAGCCCTGCAGAAACATTCTTTCCTGAATCCTTCAGGGGCTATTTCTTTTTTTTGTTTTTTTTCATTCCTTATGCTGTACAAAACCCTATGATCTTCCAGGCGTTCACATATCCGGTGTTCTTGTTCGGCCTGGTTTCCGCTACGATCTTAATTTACGCTCGCTTCATATGGATCCCACCACTGGCCCCATAAGGGCCTAATTCGTTCTCTCGTGTCCTCTGCCTCCATCCTTGCCAGGGGTTAGCTGCAGGTCGATGATACCCCGAATCGAGAGCGGTGCATGTTGAGCATCGCCGGCAGTCTTTCGTTCAGCAAGGATGGGGTGGGATGGACAATCTCGCAAGTGCACACCTCGGCGCTGAATTTCTTTTATTTCTTCTCTTAGTTTCCCATCAGATCACGGATCGGGCCTTGGAGTTTCGTATGTGTTGGGTTTCATTTCTGGTGAATTTTTTGAGGACTTTGTGATTATTGAATTTTCTCTTCTTGTTTTGATACTTTTTTCTTTTCTTTTCTTTTCTTTTTTTTTTTTTTTTTTTTTTTTTTTTTTTTTCCCCTTTTAACTATTCAAACAGGACCCCATGGGGGTTCGATGTGATATACCTCTGTATTGCTGTTGTTGAATTTATATGTACGTAATTGGCAGTGCGAGTTGCGGTTAGAAACAATCGAAAGCCAAAAATAAGGCAAGGGCGAGAATCAGCAGATAATCTAGACCGGCGGGAATAATGACTTCCTCCGTAAGCTGGGGTGGATACGGACCCGTGCCGATTGATATCTCGTTGTAATAAGGGAGTGCAGATAGCAATGAAAAGTGGGTGGAAAATGCGAGACACGGTGATTTAACTCGGTATTTCACTTGTCACTCCCTGCAGGCGGCTGTCAACTCCATGTGGCATTCATTGGTATGTCATCGTCATTTGACTCGATTGGAAGCAAATCTTGCATATCGAAGAATGGAGATTGATGGGAAATTGACAATACGGTCAGGCCGAAGTATCGTCACGGGGGACGATATTTAATGCCACGATGAAACGGCCAATCACTCGGCGGAGAGGGCGATCACTTTCCCCCCTGAACGAGCTGGACACGGAAGGGATGCGCGTTCGACCCGCCTCATGGGCAACGAGAAAATGCTCTTGCAACTTGCTCAGGAGACAAAACCACACCTTCATTTCGTTGACACTAATTCTAATTTTACTTTTAGTCACTTGGCCAGACCTTTATTTTCTCCGGTTGAAGTTTGTTGTCCCTTTCCTCTTGTTTTTTTTTTTTAATTACTTTTCTTCCCTCGTCTGTTGGATCTCGTGCCGGAGGATTGTTTGTTGGCTTTCTCACACTCTCTCTTCCACTCTTTTGGAACGAATTGTTTTTGTTTTTGATTTTCTGGCCAACCCAATCCGCTGCGATTCTTTTGGTGTGTTGTTCTACTTGAACTGGTGTCTTGTGTATCTTTATTTATATTATTTTCCATCACGGTCTCTACTGTTTATGTCATGATCCTGTCCTTTCCGCAGTTCTTCACACTCCCTGAACCCCGACTGTAATCCAACGTCATGGGAGACATCACGGGAACCGAGTCACCTGCGCCGGGAGCATCCCAACCATTGCTACGCTCCTCGCTGGACCATCCTTCCAATCCCATGTCCGCGACCGATCTCACCGAGGAACAGCTCGAGCACCAACGTCAAATCCGCCAGCAAAAACGTACCTCGCTCCCCGCCCGTCCCCATGGGGCAGCACGCCATAAGAAACGCTTGACCCTGAACTTTCCCATCAACGTACCTCCCCTGACGACTGCCTTGGATTCAAACGTCGCTGAGCCCAGTTCCATGACGCCTGTGACCCGGCCTTCGACTCGACAGTCTCATCTCCCCGCCGTCGGGACCCCCGTAACCTTCGACGACCATGATGACGGGTCTAGCCTCCTGACCGCCATTGCCTCGCAGGAACGAAAAGTGCTGGAGCTCCGCGAGGAGCTCCAACGGGCCGAAAGCGAGCTGGACTCGTTGAAAAGGCAGTGGGAGTCATCCGAGAAAACCAAGAAACGCATCGATATCAGTCACCGTGCTGAACCGCTGATTCCCCTGCGATCCCCCGACAGGCCCGGAGCCGACGAGACGATCCTCCACAGTAGGGAACACAGTGTGGCGAGCTCGGAGAGCCCTTCGATAACACAACCACGATTCAGCCGGGAGCTGGAGCGCCGTCACAGTGTGCGCGCTGCGGCGGCGAAGGGTACCAAGATCTCTGCGAATGGACGACGGGTGTTTCAAGGTTCTCATACGCGGACCTTGTCCTTGCTCTCACCCACTGTGGGCCCTGTCCCCAATCTGCCAGGTTCGGAGTCAGGAAATGGCCAGCCCGATCAAGACCGCTTGGGCCGCACTCCACGAGCGGCGACCCTGCCGTCAGCCGAGCGTAGTCCGATGGCTCTAAGCTCAAATGAAGACATGATCGCGCAGTGGCGGAAAACGATGCCTCCCCCGTCGCGGGAGGCGCTGATGCGCACAGGTAAACAGATGGCATCCGATCTGCGCGAGGGTCTATGGACCTTTTTGGAAGATATCCGGCAGGCAACAGTTGGAGAGGAAGGAATCAACGCCACCGAATCGAGAGCGGTGCCGTCCCGAAGCTCGAATTCGCGAAGCCGAGACCGCTTGTCGATGCAAGGAAGCGTATCGTCGCGATCCGCCTCTTCGTCACGGAGTAAAGGTGCAGGAGCGAAATTATCTGGTAAAGACTCTAAATCGGCGGACATAGACTCGTCGTTCTGGAGTGAATTCGGCATTGATACAAGTGGGCAGAAGTCCCCGAAAGCTCACAGAGCATCCACTACCCCAAGCGGGCCGAACGCGCAAAACGGGTCCAATCGTCTCGACATTGAGGACAACTGGGACGACTGGGATACTCCCCAACCGAAGAAAATGCATACCCCTTCGTCGAGTCAGTCTACGTGGGAATCGAAGCAAGACCAGTCTCCGATGACTCCTAGTAGTCCCCGCACAAGTACTAGGTAAGTTGTCTCTGTTCTTTCTTCTTCCCTTCCTTGCCTTTTGTAATTCGGCCAGTGTGGTTGTGCAACAATACATGCGCTTACCACGATTAGCTTTGGTGACTGGCGCCCACTCCACGACTCCTCTGTCCCAGATCCCAGCGTGTCGGACGGCATCCCCTGGCCGGCCATGGCCGATATGCCATCCCCGAAGTTGCCGCGCACCGCAGCCCACCTAATGGCCGAATGGGAGCGCAGTCTGTCGCCTGCGTAGGATTCTCCTCCCTTCAAGAACGACTAAGTCAAACACTTTCTTCTTTCTATTCTTCCCTTCAGGGCCTTCCACTTCATTCCGGGATACTGTAAATATGGACATGAACATGCACGATCTAGCCTTGTTTGGCGCGACTGATATATTAGATCTTGAGCATGAGACAATACGGATAACGCAGGGTTATGATTGATCCCAATGCCTTTTACGACCAGCGTTCTGTTACTGACGTTCCTTTCACTTTTCATTCTTGTCTCTCTTTCACTACTTTTGGTTACTTTCTTGTACAACTTCTTTGACGAACAGAAGGGATGTTTTTATACAGATACATGTCAGAAGTAGATCACAGTCCAATACAATAAAAATTATTATGAATGAATTTGACAGAACACGTTCCATGGATCCAAAGTAGAATACCATGAATAAACAAACCAATAAGTACCAAGGGTAGTATCTATATCACGTGACTGAGCTGCATAAGGGGTCTGTTCCGCCCGCCGTAAATAAATTTGCGAGTCGCCATCTCATCTCCGCAAAAAGTCCGGGGATCGCATTTTCACCTCCAGACTTCTTCGAGCCACACACTCCTTTGTTAGCTCTGATACCCTCTGCCTACGCTACGGAGCAACCATCTAATCCGCTCATCACCCATCGATCCGGATATTCCACCACCCCACCTCTTGGAACAACACAACAACATAACTTCAAAATGAACATCCCAGGCATGACTTCCGGCATGGCGCCCGCAGGCGCAACTGCAGGAGTCGGACTCCCCGGCGCCGGAATGCAGGGAATGAGTGAGCAGGAACAGGCAATGGTGAAAGCGGTTAGTCAATATACTCCGGAGCCCGTGTCAGGCACCTGGACGCGGGAAATACAATGCAGCGAGAGGGAGGGACAGAATAGACTGACGAGAATAGATGCACGCGGCTATGGAATCGTGTCCCGTGAAGACTGTCATTTCGGGTACGATGGGATTTGGTCTTGGTGGTGTGTTTGGTTTGTTCATGGCTAGTGTATGTTCCAGTGGCCCTTACCCCAATACTCAATCTCCCGCAAGGAAATACTAATGAAAATATGGATTAGATGTCCTACGACTCCACCTTCACTCCCCAAGGAAAAGCCATTATGGACCTCCCCTGGCGCGAACAAGTCCGCCGCGGTTTCAAGGACATGGGCTCCCGCTCCTGGTCGTCGGCCAAGAACTTCGGTATCGTCGGTGCATTGTACTCGGGCACGGAATGCTGCGTCGAGGGGCTGCGCGCCAAGAACGATCTCACAAACAGTGTCATCTCGGGCTGTATCACGGGTGGCATTCTCGGTGCGAAGGCGGGTCCTCAGGCTGCTGCGGCTGGCTGTGCGGGTTTTGCGGCGTTTAGTGCGGCCATCGATGCTTATATGAGGATGCCGAGTGAGGAGTAGGTGGCTGAGGCTGTGTGTATAGAGTCTACATAATTCTGGGTGGGCGTTTTTGTTTGGGATAGAGCGGCATTTTTTGGGCGTTTGGGGTTTCTTGCTTCTTCTGCTCTTGGGGGTGGAATCACTGCTCTCTTGGTTGGGGGTCTGTGATGTATGATGTTGGTCTATGGGACTCACTGCTCCGATTGTATTATAGTGTATATGAGGTTAGAATTGTATAGACTATCTACGCTTTACTACGCTGTTACGGAGTGGGATTGTAGTTGAACTTTCTTTGGTAAGATGCAGTGCTTGTACGTTGAGAATATTGAGTTGAGAAGATATCGGAGGGGTATGCAGTTCTACCCAGTAATCTCTAACAACAATATATTGATTCCAAGTGCCATACCTCGGGGAAGAGGCTCATGTTTAGCTGCTTAAAAGCAGATCATCGCTATGGTGGTATAGACATAGGCTATATGCCATTCTAAGAACCACACACAAGTATCTAAATGGTTTGGAAAACATATCTTGAGAGCAATCTTGGGAAATACTTACGAGTCCTCTTGGAACCCAGGTATAATTATATCAGAGGAAAGATCAAAAGAATAGTACTAGAGCGCCTTTCTCCGACAGTAATCCACTTGAAAACTAGAGAGATGGCTGCGATCTGATTATCTGGTTTATTGGGAAGGCCTGTAGACACTTTGAACTCCCTTTAAGTAGGGCTGATTCAGGTGCAGCTTGGTTAATAGACACAGATACCAGAGCACGTGTACGGGGCTAATAACAATATGTAGTTTTTAGATAATGATTCCTCAATTTTATGCAACCTACTTATGAAAGGCCCGGAAAAGTTATGTAAACGTGAGTGATCGTCATAATGGGTGGCTGTTGCGCAACCCTCGTTCTGTTGATATTTTGAAGAAATGGCAGGCTTTAACTCTGGGATGACGTAAATGCTGATATCTAGACATATATGCTAGGGTGCAATTCTTCTACTTCCAAGTGCAAAGCTTAGTAGAATTCACAGCCCTGAAGACTCACTTATGGGCCTGCTACAAATGTTTTGGATGGAATGTCATCAGCAACCTCGGAACGCCCGCTCTGAACCCGTACCTGGGCGGGGCCAAGGAGGCTAAAAGCTGGAATTGCTTTAGTTCGATGTCACTATCTTAGATCGGGTGTCGCTGGACTTTAAGCGATCACCTCTTCATGAGTGGTTATGGCAACATTGCTAGCTTGTGTGAGTATGGTAAAGATTGGCTCCTGTCCCTTGATTTTGCAAGATGAAGAGGTTAATTTATTGATACTATGCTCGGGTGCAGAATGCCGTACTGGATGTCACAAGCGCAAGAAAATTAGCGAGCGACATGGCTTCCTAGCGTGCAGTATATAAGCGAGCACTTCAGCTGCTTTCGAATGTGACTGCGCGCCTCCGCTAATGCCTTGACTCTCGCTCACTTCTCGCATCTTTAGCATCAACTGTACATTATGAAATTCTTTCCTGTTCCTCAAGGACTGGCTATCGCTGCTGTTGCAGTGACCAGTGCAGCCTGGAGTGTAAGAGCAGTCCCGGAGACACCAACCGGGAATCCTCTTGCTACATCCGACCAGCAGGAGCTCGATGCCCTTGCAATTCAGATATATCAAGATTACCCGTTCACGGTCCTCAAGGCCGAGGCAAAGGCAGCCTACCAGACAGCGCACGGCATTATAATTAGTGACGAGGCGGCTTCCAGCCTTGATGCAGCCATTGAAGAATTAGTCTTCAGCGCCGTTCAGAAGGCTGTGAACAACGATCCATACCACCCCAAGGTGTACTGGGTCGATTCTGGTCCGCGCAGTTGGTTCGGACTGGATGTTCCTGGTGGACGATATTCTTACGATAATCCCGACTGCATCTACCGCACCATTCCCATCGACGACGACGTCGATTATGTTGTCACAGGCTACCGCCACTCAGTCGGTCCCACCGATGTGAGCTTCTCATTGATCAGCGACCCCAATTCTCAGAATACTGTGGGCTACTTGGCAGGCAGCGATCTCATAGTCGACAGTGACGGCTCGTATACTATCACCATTAACAGCTCGGCTGCCGATGGCCAGACAAACCACATCCAGTCTACTTCCTCAGCCGTGCAACTGTTGATTCGCAACAACCTAGGCGATTGGAATTCCGAAACGCCGGACAACATCACGGTGCAAGCCGTGAGTAACACCACAGGCCATGATGCCACCACTAGCGCGAAGATAATCAGCGATGCGATATGGAATCTACAAGAATCCATCGTGACTTACGGTGTTGGAGCACTTGGGCTGAAGACGATGATAAACGCAGTGAACACACTCTCTGCCCCGAGTCAGTCCAGCTCCCTTGGCACACTGACTAGCCAAGCGAGCTCCTTTGGCCATTTCGACCTCAGCGCGGAGGAAGCCCTCGTGGCCACCCTCACCCCTGGCGAGGCAGATTACTTTGTCTTTCCGGTGACAAATCCCTGGATGGTCACTGTTGATCCCGGTACTAGTTTGGTTAGTTTGAATAGCAACCAGGCTGTCGCGAACGCCAATGGGACCTACACGTTTGTAGTATCCCTGACTGACCCTGGCGTCTATAATTGGCTTAACACGACCGGGCTCCATGAGGGTACTATCATGGCGCGCTGGCAAGGGCTAGACACCTCTTCGTCGTCCGCTGACTCCGTTGCTATTGATGTCCAGGTAGTGGCACTGTCTGAACTACCCTCAGTTCTTCCGAAAGAGACTCGATATGTCTCGGCTGAGGAGCGCGCAGTGCAGCTTAACCAGCGCACTATAGCTTATTCCCAGAGGGTAGAGTTCTGAGATGGTGTGCCAGCTCTAGTTTGGGCAAACCCCGCTTTCTAAAATGCTATCACATAACAGTAGCACCTGTTCATCTCCTTCCAAGAAACCGTATTTCTATGTTGTTCATCAGGTGGCCTGAGGTCTCCACACCTTGCCCCCGTGTGGCTTGTAGGTTACGATTGGGGTCAATGTAGATTAACTGAAGTTTTGCATGACAACTCGCCATCTACTGACCGGACATTTTTTATCCTGGCCGGTTGATGTACCCGTGTCGCAAAGTATGTTGAGGTCACGCAGTTTTTAGCCAATTCCATGATTCATTACAACAATTCACATACCTATATACAAGCAACAGTAAGCCCCTCTACCAAACTCCCCAAAACTACACCTATCCCTCTATTTCTCCTCAAGCGGCTTAGAAACCTCATTCCTCGCATCCATCCACTCCCGTATAGACTCCCACTTCCGACACGTATGCGTCTGCCCGACGCCCAAGAAAACCGGCACCCCCTTCCACCCATACATGGGCACGGGCGACAAGTCCGCATGACAAACCACAGACTGCACGACCTGGTCCAGACAGTGATGCAGATGGACCTGGCCCCAGTTATGCGGCATATGGGACGCGTTCCGCAGAAACCCGTCGTGTTGTTCAAGGTGAGCGGAGTAGTAATCTTTATCTAGGTGCATGCGGATGTAGTTTAGGCAGTGGAGGGAGTGGAACACGTCCAATCTAGCTTTAGGGTCAAAACTGGGGCTCTGATAGAAGCGCTAGATACTGTTCAATTGAGGTGGAACCTACTCGAAGTGATAATTATCTGTGTCCGGGAACTTTTTGATCCCTGGTTTGAAGGGCGCTGCTTCTTCTTCGGTGATTGCGGGGAATTCTCCTATTCATTTTGGATTCTGTTAGTATGGCGATGGCTGAATGTATACATATTTGACTGGCATGGAAGGAATAAATACCGCGAAGCAACTCAGCCCAGGCAGCGTCTATCTCAGGACTAGGCGGACCCGCATATTGGGGTTTGGTGGTATCGACTTCTCGTTCTATCATCTGTGTCTCATCATTGTAGTAGAACTTCCCCGTGAAAGTGCGCTCTTCGTAGGCGACGAATGGTCGCACGTCTGCGAAGTCGGTTTGGTACGCCCCGTGCGTTGCTGGTTGATGCAATAGCAGATAGCCTGAGAAGAGGGCTAGGGTTGCGGAAAGGGCCCATGGGATGACGAGCTGCCAGTTGAAGGTTGTTTTTAACGGTCTTGGTGGTTCATTGCTGTTTAGTTTCTCGTAGGTGTAGTCTCTCATGCGTTTGAAGGATATTGGCATTTTGGTGGGTTGGGGGTTGGATTTCTGATAGCAGGGTGGGTGGTGAGGGTTGATTCTGTAGAATTGTGTTTTCTTGGGGAACATTAGAGGTGTTTGGCTAGATGAGGGCTGATCGACGTGGATATGCTTCATGGGTGATCAGTGCGCTAGTCCCTAGCTGAATGGTGGCGTCCCAAATGCAAGGCGTTTAGGGTTTTGAGCATCGTCGGATGGGGCTTGGAGCACCAGACATGTCTATTGGTTAAAGGAACATGCTAAAGTACTGAGAACTTATAGACCATGCAATGGTAGGTGATCGTCAATGGATCATGCAGATAGCCGTGGTGATACTTGGTGGCAGCAACTAGCGGTCAAGTAGCTTCTACTCGGGATGATATGATATGTCTAACTTTACACGCCATTGTGACCTACCTTTAAGGCTGTCCCTATATTGGATTATAGACTCGGCAATCTGGTTACACGTAAGATTAGTAGTGATTTATTAAATTGACTGTGGTTAACATAATAGGAGTCAGTTTAGTGGCAAAGCAACAACTCCCTAACAGTTAACTTGCACCATGCAGCGATTAGCGTGCCCAATAGGTCAGATATCTGAGCTATGCACTTTGCTACTGCTTACCCTCGCGTGCATGCCTTTTTTTAAGCGAGGAATATAAGCATATTCTAGATGGGGCATTGATGTGCTGTCTTCTCAGAAGCTTAACACAATGAGATGTAAAAACGTAGATAATTGGCAAGAAGATCCAATCATGCAAGTCGAACTGCAAGACCATGTATTGTAAAATTCACATAGCCACCTCAGATGACTATTTGTCCCTCACTTGACGAATCTCATGTCTACACGGATTTCAATAACATCATTCGATTCGGGTACATGCAACGGGCATTGTCGAATCACCACTTAGATCTACCTTGATCCATTAAACAGGGTTTGGTAAAGTCAAGCTGAGGGCACTCACCGCTCATGATCTACTGCGTGCAGGCCCCAAATCACGCAATACGCTCTCCGTGGTCTGGTGGGAGGCGCTCTTTTGACTGTACAGCAAGGCTGATATAAAGGCGAACATCCCACCTTTATTGGTGACCAACACGCATTCATCTAAAAGTTCACGATCAATCTCTTCTCACACTGCACTTATCAACACCTTCGCCCTATCCTACCTGATACATCCCGTAATTAAAAATGAAGTTCTCCGCTGTATTGCTTGCGCTCTTCGCCGGAGCTGTCATGGCAGCTCCTGTTCCGGACAACTCGATCCATGAGCGGGTATGACACATACTAGGCCTTGTAGTTTTGGATTCGGCTAATAGGAGAATGAAAAGGGCTCACCGTTGCCTAGTACCCCGCTCGCAGAACGGGTAAGTCTTCCTTGGACGCCTTGACAGGAATCCTAACTAAAAGTTTTAAAGGGTCTTTTGCTGAAGAAGCCAATTGCTGAGCGGGTGAGGACTACGTGACTCTTATTTGTCTCCAAATCGGTTATTGATAGTTGAATGAAAAGGGAAAAGCTGACTATCATGGCTCGATTGCTGAGCGGGTAAGACAATATAATTTCCAACCTTCTTGAATAGAGTACTAATTGTCGAACGAAAAGGGCGTACCGTTACCTGGTACCCCGATCAAAGAACGGGTAAGGCTTGCTTGGACTCGTTGAGAGGAATCCAAGCTAAAATCAAATAGGGTTACAAGCTGAAGAAACCAATTGCCGAGAGGGTGAGACTGCATGATTCTTATTTCTCTCCAAATTGATTATTGATAGATGAATAAAAAGGGTGAAGCTGCCTATGGAGGTCCGATTACTGAGCGGGTAAGATTGCCGATTTCTAACAGAGTGAGTTGACTAATGGCCACATAATAGGGTGTGCAGTTGTCGTCCGATCTGGATCTCACCAATATTGGACTGGTATTCAGAGAAGATCATGAATAAGTACCCCAAACTGCAGCGGATAGTTTCCTCCTATACTACGTGAATCAGATAAGGGAAAGTTCATCTTGTTTTCATGCCCTGGTTGCGGTGCTAACGTTTAACACAGTGGAGTCATTGAGCTGGATACTTGGTGCACTGCCTAGCTGGGCCAGATGCAGGCACTGGATGTCTTTGGTTAAAACAGTGAAGCAGGTAGATAAGATATGATTGACGAAGCTGTTTATCTTGAGTTGAAATGCAAGACTTTTATTTTCGGGTTCCCTGAAGTGTGTCTTGTAGGACCTCCATGAAAGGGTCTTACTTTTGTCTTTATTAGGACATACGATAAATGATAAAAACATTATTCATGATAAGCGTAAGAAGCCGACAAAACCTCTAAATAACAAAAATTATTACCTGTAGTACAGTAAAACGAAGCCCATCCTAGCTGCCCATACCCCCAATAACCATGGCCTGAATAAACCTGCGACGATCTCTTTCCCTACGCAACATGACCAAGCATGTTGCAATAACTAGAGCCTCCTCTACTATGCTCAGGTCGACATCAGGATCAAGAACCAATTGACCACCATTTCCAGCAGAACAACCAGACGAACCTGTCGCACGCGTATCGGGACTCCGGAGAAGATAGGCAATCCGGGTAACCTTTGCATATGCCGCCCCATCAATCCTTTCCAAACACAAGGCCTTCAGTTTGCGTCCATCTGGCGAGGTAGTTGTCGAGTACTTCCACTCCCACCTACATCCCCCATCCGGAGGCGTAAATGACGTGGTCCGCGTGGTCAATTTGCACTGCAAGGCAATCGGCGGAATGACGTCCCCTTCTACAGAATGTAAGAAGCGGATCCAGGGACAGCCTCCTGGCCTAAAGTCAATGGAGAAGAGGTCGCCGTGTTTGGGTGATGCGAGGATGGTGTGACTCGACAAGGCCTTGTCTTTCGTGGCTGTATATGCTAGGGCACCGTCTGCGGTGTAAATCGGGATCTCATTCTGTCTCATGGGCATAGGCGGACGCAGTGCGCGGATGCCCTTTGCTTCAATGTGAAACCGCTTGCCTTGGAGGAAGTTGGCCTGCGATGTGTCCAGTAGTATGCTGGCGGTGGACGCAACACTGTGGATGCTGGTGGCATATTCTTTGGATTCGTGTTTGGAATCCATGCCTGGCTTTGTGAAACTGATGGAAGTAATATAGAATTAGTTGGTTTGTAGATGAAGATACACGGAAAGGAGATGTAAATGAGAATAGAATCACTCATCAAGAGCTGTATCTCTGCCCTGGTTTATATAGATGGTTGTATCAATGCTGCGCCCTCGTCGTACTCGCTTATCATAAGCTTTTCCGTTGGCGGAGCCTTATTGGACGGAGGGAATACGAGCTTTCCAATTATGGACTAGCGGCCGAGCATCCATGGACGGCCGTCGATCGTCACGGGCAACTGGCTGGCGAGAAGACGATTTGCTGCGCATTTGCCACATAAGCCACGGTTCTAGTATGACGTGGTTGGAAACCCAGAGCTCAGTCCTCTTTGCACAAAGGCGTACTCGTATCCGATAATGTCTCCGTCTAGTACGCCTCGCCAAACAGGGAGAAAAGGGCCACCTTACAGAAGTTTATTAGATACATTGCTAGCATTCATCAATCCTTGACATAGGCGAGGAACCAACCGTCTTGTCTTGCTCAGATAATGAAAGGGAGATTATTCAGTGCTGTCATAATCGTCGAATTGAACGATACTAGCAGCTCTCGTGAGAATGTCACGATTGGTTGTACTGCGATGTCTCGTGTGGGCCATCGAAGTGCCCTAATTGAACATGACAGCGGAGCTGACCGTTTGAAAAAACGCTCTATTGCCCTTAGAACCAATATGGATTATGGAACTCGGTGGAGTTGCTCCATCAGGGCTGGTGGATGCTTTCTGTGGAGCTGTAGTGATATTTCACGGGACCTGGATATGCCATAAAGTGTAACATGTTGGAAGCTGTGCCTTACACTTTGACGAGAAGGTAGGGAGCCGTATCTAGAACTCCTATCCGTGCATTATACATGATATAGGTTGGTTTGTGGACTTTACTCGGAGTAACTCTTCCAGGTCAAGCAAAGACATAACTATCACACCGAGTGAATTGGCATCACACTTTTGCTATCTCGAATCTGGCCAGTAGCTCAAGGTACCTCGCAGTAGACCATTATAGAGCCGAGCTCCATTAGACCGATTATTAACAACCATAAAGAACCAACCATGACATACAGCAAGTGCCCACAAGGAAACCAACATCGCCACCACACACAAGCAAGACACACGTTTCAACAAAAGCAGAGAACAAAAACAAACGAACAAAACTCCTACTAGCAGTGACTATCGTCATACCTAATCAAAATTATTCATCTGCGACGCAAAGTCCAGGCGAGGCCACCATCCCACCCGATGCTTAGCAAAAAGCTCCGCGTCCGGCTTAGCCTTCTCAAAATCTTCCGCACGATCCAACGTCCCGGCCAAAACAATGACTGATCCTTTAAATTCCTCGCGATCGCCCGTCTTGTATAACAAGCTCCCACAGTTCTCACAGAAATGCGTCGTCAAGTGCATCCCGCTCTCATGGATCATAGAGAACGTTTTGGGGGAACCAGATGTGATTCGGAAATGGTTGTCCGGAATAAGTACATTCGCGGAGCTGCCACTGCTGAGCTTGCGACAGGTGAGGCAGTGACAGACGGCCTAAACGTTTAAAGTGAGCTTGGGCTGTTTTTGTGTAGCTGATGGGTGGTCACTATGCAAGGGAACATGGGGATTGATAGGTACCTTTAAGGCGGGTTCCACGTCGTACTCGTATTTGACTGTTTGGCAGAGGCAGGATCCGGTGGGCATTTTGATGATTGTGAAGTGGTATAGTGACAGGGGGCTTTAGTGGTGTGTCTGCGATGGGAATCGATGGATGGGATTGAGCATACTGATATATAACCTATCGTTTTTGGCCAGACTGTTCTAACTACAAGGATGCGATTAAGCTCAACATGCTCAATGGCATATAGAGGAGTCTAGATTTCGGATCGCAAAAGATTAATAGTATTGACCCGTTCAATTGGATAAACAGCCAGATTTAAGTTACCGACGTTGGAAAATGGAAGCGAGGTCGACACAGGCCGAGATTCGAACTCGCATAGCTGATGAAGAGCCTCGTTTGAAGTCAGCCCACTGACACAAGAATTTAATAGTTAGTTGCGAAGCTAAGATTTCTTGCTGATTGGGTAATCCGATTATGGTCCAGTCAAAAAGCTATACCATAACTATTTTTGGTTCAAACCGTGGTACGCATTTCCTGATTCTACACTCTACTTTCGATTGACTTTCGGCAAACATTGGGTGGAATGCACACCTGACTGACAGGTGGCATAATTGGATGAAGAGCTGGACAAGCTGTAAGCCTGGCCAGGTCATAAAGGATGCCATATGGACATTGAAGACTGATACCAGGTGTACTTGAGATCTAAATCCCGCCAATTAGATAGTCTAGTTCCTTATATCTGTAGATGATGATGTCTTGTACACTGTGCGGTGGGTTAATAATAATTTGCCTCAACTTTCACCACGCAGCATAGCGATACATGTGAGTTACTCATACACAGGCTACTGATAAATGAGCACGAAAGAGAATTGCATCAGTGGAGTTTATGCAGCTTTAGTAGTGGTTATCCTGTGCCTAGTGGCAATAATCAACACTATACAATTCGGTGATAGCTATATCGGCGTCAGTGGCTCTTTCAACTCCCAAAAGCCCCAAGGTATTTTGTCTACAGATTTATCATCCCACTGAATAGGATCCGCCTTTCGTAGAATATCAACTACCACCTTTCGTCGCACATCAGGTACTGTCATATCATCAGACCAAGGCATTGAAGGTTTTGAATTGGACTTTGGGACTCTTAGAAGTGATCCGTTATTCCATCTGAAGTCCGCTGATGCTCCAGCCAACAGTAAAGTCTGAACATCGTCTGTACATCCTTGGCAAATTGCACGACTTAATGGGTTAGCGTAAGGCCCTTGCAGATGCTTGATATTTGCATCTGTTGTTTTATGGGATGCCAGATATGCCAAAATGCCTGACCCAGACCATCCTATAGCACAGTCAAGTGCACTGCCGAAACTTGAAGTTTTCAGGGTAAACTGGAGGTTTATATTCGCATTGCCCTCATCCATCAAGAACTCGACAATATCCTTTGAACGAGATTCAATGACCCCACCAAGTGCGGTGCCCAGGTATGCAAACCGGAACTCTAGATTGACGTCAGCATGTGCCTCGGTCACTAAATACTTAACCAAGTCCAAGTTGTGTGCTCGAACCGCGATGGCCAGTGCATTGCCATGCGACCCCCACTCATCATTAACTTGTAAGCTGGCATCGGCATTTCCCCCCTCCACTAGATATTTCATAAGACCTAGTGACCTTTGAGAATAGGTATTTACAAGTGCGTTGGTGAAATGACCAGATGCTGGCGGTGGATCGATGAGAGCACTGCACACGGCGCTGAGCTAGTGAAGGCCATAGCTTGTGATGGCACCAGGACACCCGTTGGGTCAATGAAAGCGAACGCAGAAAGGTCTGAGTGTTCCTTAAACCTGCGATGATTCTCCTAGCAACGTAGAGAGTAAGGATAACCCACGATCCAACCAAATTCCTTCTCATAGTCATACACACCTCCTGTACAACAGGGATCACTGCTGGCGAATCATCGTTGGTAAACCGCAGAGGATGACCACAGGTAGGTAGATGATTTTCGATACCAAATGCCATTGTCCTCGCGGCACCCCAACCTTATTGGAGCGAGATCTCTCGAAGGACTGAAACCCTGTCTTCATTGTGAACCATATTCTTGTGGCTCAAAATTTGTCTGTGTAACACTTGAGCTAAACCCTGCTGCAACATGAATGAAATGGGGATATATTGGTAAAAGCTCGTAGGGAAAGGAGTTGTTGACTGTATCCTCGCGGTTCTGCCTAGATAACAACAAGTTTAAGGAAGGAGATGTCTAGGCGCTAGGCCTGTTTGGAACCCCGCGTCAACATATCTTAATGCATTTCAGAGAGCATAGTAGCATAACGATCTATTTATCAACTAGATCAAACCTTCCACGGTATCTGTGGTCATAGTTCGATCAAAACCGTCCATCATAAGGCTCCATTAGAGTGTTATTTTCAATCCCAACCGGAAAGCCCTCTCCCTCAGCAGTAGTATGGCACCAAGGCTTGAGCCCAATTTCCTCCCTCAACTTACTCGAAAAGCACTTCGACCACTGACGACGGGGATAATGCTGATTCACATCCTCCACCGTATCAGAGTGAACATACTCCTTGTGAGCGCCAAGGTTATCTATATACTTGTCAGAAACTACAAACAGTCCTAATATAGAATAGTCAATAGACTCACCAAACTGCGTAGCGAGCTGAATAAGCAAGCCAATAGAATGAATAGTCCCAACTTTGACCGGATCCTGATGACGGATGACGGCCTCTGCGACACTCTCGGCTTGGGGTGCTGGGGCACCCTTCTCTTTCAGGACGTTCAACGCGACAATCCCACCGTAGATGTCGAAGGACATGAAGACGTCTTGGGTGTACTTGTCGATGGTGCCGATGTCGTGGAAGAGGCAGGTGAGGAGCCAGGTTTCGTCGCTGAACTTCCATTCTGGGAAGTGTTGTCTGGCGATTGCAAGACCTGGCAATATAGTTAAGTAGGCAGAAGTATTGATTTTGAGGAAGTAGAAACATTCGTACCGTAATAGTAGACACGCATGCTGTGGTTGAAGGTGTGGGCGGGTAGCTCTGCCTTGACATATTCCATGGCATCTTTGACCAGAGTGGTATCGGGAAGAGGTGTTTCTTTGACTAACTGGGGAACGGGAGGCTTGCTAGGTGGTCTTGTAGCAGCTCGCTGCTGAGGGTCGCAGGATACAGCTGTCCAGCCGTATTCTTCGACTTGAGCTGCCCTGGTGGATGACATGGTAATAAAAGGGTCAATAGACTTGTGAAGTTGGGCAATAGATTCGGTTAGAGAATCACTTGTAAGACAATTGCTTGAATGAAGGCTGAGAGATACAGAGGAGGATGAGTAGTATTTATAACCTCTAGTGATAACTCATCTTCAGGAATGATCTGAAGAACCAGCTACTAAAGTCGCAAGACTCATGACATACATCAACCCTAGTGGGGCATTCATTCCCAAAAAGGGCAGTAAATATGTGTGGGGCGGCTGTGACCACCAATCATCACGGTGGGCCTTTTTTGAGTCTCGCCTTCATATTCATGACGAAATGTGGCGCTGATATTATAGACACAGAAATGTCTGCTGCCGTTTCAGTTTACCCAGTCAAATCCGTGGCTCCGCCGACATATCTCCGTTATAGACTGCCCCACGAAATATAATGTCCTTTCTAGGAAGTGCTAGAGGTCACACGCGTCCTTCATGATGGAGTGCTTCGAACAAGGATAAACTAGTACGGCTAGGGGGATAGGTATAGTAGGACTCTATTTAGTCATGTGCATTGTAACTGAGGCCACGAGAAGGCGGCGTTTGTATACTAGTGCTTTATATAAGAAGCCAATCGCGTCCCAGTTGCCCGATATTGAATATCCACTGCGAGGACAATGTCTGTTGGGTATCATCCATCTTCCAGAACCTCCTTAATATGTTCGCAGCGTTAACCACGTTGATACATTTTGTCTCGAACCAGAATTTCTCCAGACAACTAATGACAAAATCCCGTTGATCTTGTTGTCGAGATTCTAAGCCCGCAACAAACATAGGCCAGAGCATACATTTGAACAAGGCTTCGTCGCACCTCATGGCCTCAATTAGAGCAATCAACGCACATACCAAGTCATTGACGGGTGTCGTATCACCAGTAAGCGCATCTCGAACGCGTATGCCGTATATGAGGGTGCCAGCTTTATATGCCTCTGCCAATGTTGACAGCATATCTGTGTCATGTGTGGAATAAGTATGTAGTTGTGGTACGTCTGATACCCAGGCCCGGCAGTCAAAACCTTGCGTTATGTCAAGAACTCTGCTGACGTTGTCAATATATGATTCCAGGCTGCCTCTATCGAGGGGATCTGAGCCAGCGAGCATGTCTCTACAAATTGAAAAAGAGCGCAGAGCATCCAATAGAAGCTCCGGGCACCCTAGATACGACTGGTCAAGACTCATCTGGAGGGGTGTGGTGGACTGTTGTAGTGAGGGCGTGTTGGACAATAGCTGAGGACGTGTGTATGTTGCCCCGAGTGTGTCGATTCTGATTGTGAGGGTGGTCAGCAAGAACAGGTATGAAGCTGGACATTATTCACCGCCCCACATACAGATAGATCTGCCTGATGATAAAGTTACGTATCCCTTCGACAGTCTCCCCAAGGCTCTGCTCAGTGCTTGTCTGTGATGCCATGGATGGTTGAATCTGAGTAATCATTTCCTTGACGCCTTCCAGATGAACATTCCACTTGTCGCTTCCCGATTCCAAGAGATCCAGAAAAATCAATAGGAATGCGCTCGCGACTACTGTATCTTGTTTGGAAGATTTTGCGTCGCTCAAAGCATGGGATATTTCTTGTATGGCTTTGCATTTGAACCAAAGAGCGTTTTGCTGCGCGTCATTTACTGTGGGAAAGGTTGATGTTCCAAGCTCATAGAACGATTGGTCTCCATTGGCCATATGACGTGCTGAAAGGGCGACAATGGACGTTAATAAGACTGGGTTGCTCAATGCAGCGGGTATTAGACTTCTTAAAGGGTTCCTCTTGCTGTCATACATAACGAACAACTTGCATACGCATTTGCTGTCTGCATATGGAGTTAAAGCTTACTCGGGATAGACTTCGGCGCTAGGAAGAATAATAGCATGCTTACAGTAGTATAGGTAGTATTTAGAAACCTTGTCTAGGCCTGAGGCGTAGGGATCATCCGGGTTTACTGATACATTAAGAATTGATGGATCAAGGCTTCCTGTAGTAGCAGAATCACATCGTTAGTCGAAAAAATATATATCGCTAGATATGGTATCCCCCCTTCCATGCTCCCCCAATGGCCCCCAATAACTTCTGTACTCTGATCAAGGATATCCTTACCATGCTCCACAGGGTTAACAACAGCTATTGACTCGGAATTAGTTTTATTCCTGGCGCATAGACCCACTCCTCTTAGTGATCCTAGGCTGCGCTTCGTGGCAGCAACAGATGCATCCTTGGCCGAAGAAGCTTTCTTCTTACCCCGAAAGGCTGCACCTTCGACCCATCGAAAGGGCCGTTTTCGGAAACATTCCAGTCCGGCCTTTTTGCATTTCTTGCATGGTGGCTCAGACATTTCGCACTCGATGCGCCTGCGGCGACAAGTGTAACAAGACTTCTCCATGACGATCAGCTTTGTCGAAGGAAGACTGATCCTGTGGTCCTCGTTCAATATACAGTACGTGATCAAGGTAAACGAATTGAAACATGGAAGCAGTCATTGAATGCACAAAGCGGGGAATGGGCCGGTCACATGACTGGTACTTATGGCCTGAGGCGTGGAAGGTGCAACCAATTCCAGCAAGTTCCCCTTCTGTCCACGTGGCGCCAGTGATGAGCCGCCAAGCCCGGCTTCCCGGGCCGCGGGTAGACTAGTCTCTTTCCAGCCATGGTCCATATGGGCGACGCAAGCGGCAAGGTCCATGTCAGTGACCGATCTGGACTCTATGCATAGTTGCCTTCATTCTCCGTGCTACGTGAGGGCTACCCAGTTGGAGGCAGACTGGCTCATTGTGGTCAATTAAAACGATTGCTCGCGACTAGCATATGACAGCGGGATCCAGTCAAACCTTAACGGATGTGATAGCAAATCCCGAGATCCCGCTTACCATGGAAGTTAAATGCATGTTTTAGTGCTATGCAAGTTGCCAAGAGAAGGGTTTTCTTTGAAAGGACGTTTAATTATAGGTGTAGTTGCAAGGGCACCCCTGTAACCTTGACCCAGATAGGCAAAGTTCACCGTTATGCTAGCCAAGTTCGTGCGCCGGATCGGCATCACCCCATACCTGTCTTGCCTAGTCATCAGTCATCAAAGACAAGAGTGTTGGCGGACGGAGACTGCCTTCCCCTCAGGAGCCTACACGAACATGTAGCCCTCAGGCCATATCCAGGCGATTTCCTCAAGCCCACAGAAATCCACGGCCTCACTCACCAAGATGGCCGAACAGCCGACCGCCCTGAACACAACATCAGCACCCCCTGAACGCAATGTCCAGCGAGCTGAGGACACCCTCCCGGTGCTAGAAATCGAGGAAGAGGAGGATGATTCCTCACCGACAGATTCCGCGCTTGGCAGCACCGGTAGCCCAAGCTACGCCACATCCCTGCTCTCCGAGGTAAAAAATTACAAGTACGAGAACGGCCGTCGATACCACTCCTACCGCGAAGGGCAGTGCGTGCTACCAAACGACGAGCAAGAACAAGACCGCGAGGACCTATTACACCACGTTCGCAATCTGCACTTCAGCGGAGATCTGTTCCACGCCCCAATCCCAGAAGATGTTGAACACGTTTTCGACATTGGCACTGGCACAGGTATGGCTTGCACTTCCAAACAACCCCCCCTTGTTTATTCCGGGAAATCCGTTCACTCATCCCTGACCAAATCATCAAAGGTATCTGGGCCATCGACTTCGCAGACACACACCCCAACGCCCGGGTAATCGGTTCCGACCTTAGCCCCATCCAACCCGCCTGGGTCCCTCCGAACCTCGAATTCTTCGTCGACGACGTCGAAGCCGACTGGACCTTCAAACGAGACTACTTCGACTTCATCCGCGCATGCGACCTGGGAGGTTCGATTGCTGACTGGTCGAAGCTGCTGCGTCAAGCCTATGCACACATGAAGCCCGGCGGATGGCTGGAACTATCCGACTTTGAGATGGAGCATTTCTCCGACGACGATACACTTCACCTGGCACCCTCGCTGGGCGAGTTCTTCCGATTGCTGATTGATGCGAGTACGAAGTTCAACCGGCCGATGAATGTGGCGGCGGAGCACCAGAAACAGATGAGAGACGCGGGATTTACGGATGTCAAGGAGAAAATTTACAAGGTAGGTCTTACATCCTGTTCTACCCTCATTTATATTTCTTTCGCTATATGGTATCCCTTTGTTTTATCAGACATTAACTTGGCATACATAGTTCCCAATGGGTCCCTGGGCCAAAGAAAAGCGACTGAAAGAAGCCGGTCGGTTTCATCGCGAGGTCATGATTATGAGTCTCGAGTCATATGCTCTTGCGCTCTGCACTAGGGTCCTCGGATGGTCTCCGGTGGAGGTTGCGGTTTTCCTGGCTTCTGTGCGGAAAGAGCTGAGGGATCCAAGGGTGCATATCTATGGCAAGTTTCATGTTGTGTGGGGAAGGAGACCGAGCGAGTAGGGGTGGCTCAGGTAGCGTGTGCTTCATGATGATTAACGATCTTTTCTCAACATACTAATCCGCATGATGTGTTACAGTCTGTTGTTGCTAAGAGCAAATAATGGACATAAATGAGCGACTAGTAGTACTTGGATATGTACACGAAACCACATTCATAAGCTCAGGAATCCAAGACTTTAATCCAACGATACGACTTAATGTCCATTTCCAAGAGCCTTCAATATCAACAATAGTCACGAACCAAAAGACCGGAGCTACACCACACCAAACCACCACCACCAATACCATCAATACCACCAGAACAGCCACCCTGCATCCAAAACCCCATATGACAGACCTATTCCCGAAAACACAATACTCGCCCAAAGTAAATCCTAAGGAAACCACCTCGGCAAGTAATCCCCCCAGCCCCAATAGTTCTCGCGACCCAAGGGATGGCCTGCACACTGCCGTATTTCGTGGACCTCCATGCCATGGGGAAGATTATCAGGATCATAGTACATGACTCCGAGACGTCCACACAGTTCTTCGGTGGCGCCTGGGACTGGGACTAGAGCGGCATGACTGATGGCGGCGGATCCGATGATCAGGAGAAGGTTGAGCGAAAGCTTCATGGTGGGATTTTGGCTTCGTCTATTTGGGATGGGGTTAGTATTCTGTAGATAGAGGAGTTGGGGACAATACATGTCTTGCTTGACTGAGGGGATGAGATATTCAGTGCAGATAGGAGAGGTGGGAGGTTGCGATGGGTTTGTATATATAGTATGGACGCAGGGATCTAGTATCTAATAGGTGGTAGGTAGTTTATCGGTACGTAGCGTCTACTTATTGGCCCACGGCCGGTTCTCTCTGTTGGCTCTAGTGAACAGGGATCCGGTACCTACAGTCATTACAGGATCTAATATAACTATGTACTTAGGGTTAGGCAGATGAATTCTGAAAATGATAATGCGAGTAAGTACTCCGGGAAGGTGCATGTTAATTACATAGCGATCCAAGGTAGTTATGTAGAAGACACGTAGACTACTACTAACCTACGACACAGATGGAAGTGTTACATGCTCTTGTTGGTTCACATAATAGATGGTCTGCAGGGTGCTATGGATGTTCCCAAATAGGCAAAGGCTGAGGCTTAGCAGTACACCTTGACTGATATCGACCCATAATACTCCTCGTGTGTATTAAAAGACTGCAACAGGGTCTAGAACTCTGTCCCCAGTTTTCAGTCTCTCGCTATACGTCGTTAATAGGAGATTATGCGATGTATCCAAAGGATGAACTAGCTCTGGAAGGAGTGTGTGCTTTCATCTCACATGTTGTAGTGGAGCACAAAGCTCATGCTGAAATGCTAAGCAAACCATTCTAGAGCTACAGTATCTGCGTACCAGAAAAACTGTGTAGGACACTTGTCTTTTACCACAGCCCCATATCATAAGCTTTAGACTAGCTTTGATGCCAAGCGGGTCTCCACGATTTAGTGCTTATTTTTACGTCACACGGCCGAGCCTTTCATCAGAGTACCGGAGTACCGGGGAAAGATGACACATATAGCTGTTTGGATACCAGCGAACCATGGCTGTTGTTGAACCTTGCCTGTATTACTAGATTGATTAATTAAAACATTCTTGCATCGAGATTGATCAAATCTGAGAAATCCTGCCACACGAGCATGTCATGTAAAGCCGAAGGCTCGAGTGTGGCATGGAATGGCGACAACTGCATATTAATCTCAGTGGCTGAGAGGGGCGTACCAGATTCATCGGCAGGGGACAGTACCGACGATGCTTGCCCTGCTACCAGTCCTTGCGCTTCGCGACTCATCTGCGCAGACGACTCTCTGGCCTTATCACGCAATGGACCGAGGACTGTCCAAACGCAGCTCGTCCTGCCCTTCATCTCAGACGCCTCTTCAAAGTCAGTGAGGCAGGTGAAATAATTATCCACCGCAACCCATGCCCTATCCGCTTCCGTTCGCCCCGGCGAGGCGTGCAGTGTGCGTAGCACAAGGAACAATGCGTAGAGCTGAGGCTGTTGCTGATAGAACCACGCAAAGCTTTCGAACAGTTTCCCTGACTGAAGCAGATACCCGTCCTCGAGTAATTTGATGGCAGTCGTGAAGACCGACTGAGGGAGGTGATTGTATCTGCAATCCGTACTTTTGGTAGTCGAAAGCCATGTTTGAAGCGTCATGATGAAACGTGTCTTTAAGACAGATATGCGCAGCAGAGCATCTGCAGCACGACAAAGTGGATTCGTCATATCCGCGAGTCGCAGCCATTGCTGCTCAACCTTACGTTCGGTTTCATGTATTGTGTCTACTCTAGTCCCTGCATCGTTTTGCGTGGTTGTAGCGATGGCGCGCCGTAAGCTGCGGCACAGGTCCAGGTTCATGATGGAAAAGGACAACTCAGTCCAGTGATCCTTCCCGATCGGCGGCTCTGTCATTTGGGGAGAAATGTCGACGTCGTCGATGTTGGTCGGTAGCAGACAAGTGTGATTACGGTCCACAGTTGTTGAATTGAACCCGTGACTTTCAGGCGCAGTGGCATCGAGAGCAGTTAGATGCCACCAAAGCCGCCGTCGTATCTCGGTCTCGAAAGGGTCCAGACCCAGACGAGTGCCGTTTACGTGGACCCCAAGTGACTCGGCAATGCGCATGGCAAGACCGGTCAGTATCCAGATGGTTCGTGTTGCGTCGTGAGTTCTCAGTGCCGTCTATCCTCATTAGGGTATGGTAATAATAGGTGGGGGTGGAGGTGAAGTACCAAATAGATTACAAGAGCTGTCAGGCCCCATGTACTGGGGCGTAGCAGGAATTGCGCCCTCATAAATGCGCTGTCCATTTGCTGCATGAGATGCCGTAGGAGGAGTGTCTTCTCAAACCCGAGCTGCTCTGTTGATCTAGCCCTTGGCACGGTTGCCGTAGCTGCGAACGCAACAGCGTATACCAGGGTCATTGTTGTATCGTCTGCCTCGTGGGGATTGGCCGAGGCGTGCAGTATGACTGGTTGTATTGTGGGTATGTGCAAGAGCTTCACCAGGGGATCGAAATTCTGTTTGTACAGAGACCATAGTTTTCCGTATGTTTGGGAAGGTATGGAGATATCATCAACTTGATACCCGAAGACATCGGTGGCAACTATCCCGTATTGCATCGACGGGCGATGAATTGAAAGGCTTGACGAGCTGTTTGGTAGCTTGGCACTTCCAGAGGTTTGTCGAGACGTATCCTGGCCACGTTAGGATCAGCGGAATATGGAGACAGGTGTCGAACCTACGTCCAGGAACAGTTTGACGAACACTGAGTTGTCAACGTAGCTGCCCCTCACCCCCTCGCCAATCGGGGCTTCTTGAGGGGGCTGGGCGGGCGGTACTAAAACGGGACCCGGTGCATCTTCATCGTGCTCTATTGGGGCAGGAGAGGCTTTACCATGATCGAAAGATGCCTTGAGGTCGGAAATAAGCCCCTCGACCTTGATAAGTCTATCTAGGATGTCTTGATTGGTAGGCAACTCATGTGTCCCATTACGAAGCTCCTGATCTTGGGCAGGCGGTGTCCTGGAGGAGGACGGTCGTGGCGAAGCCCTGGATGGTGCCCTGATAGGCGCACGCCTTCGCCGTGTTTCGTAGACGCACGAGAGCTGTAGGCGGCAACAGTGCGAGCACGGCATCTTTCTGTTGCAACGGACTTTCCGCTGGCGGCATGGCTCACAGGTAGGACGGCCTTGACGGCCTAAGGCGGTACGCTCGTTCATGGCATATATTACTGCCCGAGGCGCTCCTAAAGCTACACAGATATGTATATTGTCTGTGACTTTCCGATGGCTTATTGAAGATGATCAAGGCTGTCGCTTAGTCAGCAGAATACGATAATTAAGAGCTAACCGGAAACGGCATGGCCGATAGAACGCCTAGTCAAGCCCTAATCTGAAGGTAGAGTAGCTTGAGATAAGAACTATGTCCGCCTGAGAAATCTAGATATTGGTTGATTAATCGGTATGAACTAGCCTATTTGAGATACGGTTATAGATTTTCACGGTGGATTTCGCGAAGACAGACAGTTCTACAACTGAATATATGGAGGGATTTGAAAACGGCAAACGGTCTATTCTTATTCTGTATACAACGGATACCTCTCCCTAAATTTCCGACCAGACCTATAGATAATTATCGTCAAGACAGGCATGATCAGGCTGACGAAGCCTAGCAGTGAGTTCCCCCATCCCAGGCCGAGATGACTGTAAAGACTAGGCCCAGCCAGTGGCAGGAACGCACCAAAAAGACAGCGCACGGATGTCACGCAAGCCATTGATGATGCCGCAAAGGGCCCAGACGCATCAATTACATACGCCTGAGCAGTCGCGTTGATTCCCACCTGGGCGAAACCAAAGGGTACTAGACCGATCAATGGAACAATCCAATGCGTCTGAGCTTGCGTGGACCAGCCGTACCAGAAAAAGCTCACTGGTATAAACAGTGCCGGAAGAAACGCCGTCACTATGCGCATCTCGGGCTGAAAGATACCATTGTTTGCCTTGGTGAGCCGGACGGTGAGGAGATCGGAAGTCTTCGCAAACACAATAAGACCGACCAGGCTGCCAAGACCGAGACCCATATATGCAAGACCAGCGGTCTCGAGAGACCACCTGTAAAACTCTTGAAAGAAGGAAGAGGTGGTTGTAAGGAGGGTATAGAGTAGACCTGAGATGAGGCCTACCATGATGCAAAGGATGACCAACAAAGGGGAATGGAAGAGCATTTTCCAGGGGCGGGAAATTGCATGACCTACTAGGAGCCAAGGATTGTTGAAACTGGTAGAGGCTTTTTCGGAGTCGTAAGCGCTCTGGAGATCTTCTCTGCCGGTATCCTTTCGTAATTTTGATGCCTTGTGACGGATTATCACCGCTGCATTCGTTTCTGGTGTGAAAGCCGCCATGGCAATTGACACAACTGCGCAGGCGATGAGAAGAACCCAGAATATCCATCGCCAACCGGCTCTTTGTGTGATTATTCCCCCAAAAAGAGGCCCTAATACAGGCCCGAACAATGACCCCGTCGTGACTAATGCATTAGGCACACCGCGTTCATGAACATCAAAAAGGTCCGGAACTATTCCTCCCCCAGCAGATAGACTTACCGACCCTGCAAGGCCAGATATTATGCGGAATGCGAGGAATGTTCCAGCGTTTGGTGCTAGCGCACAGCCAATATGGGACAGGGTGAAGACGGCGTTGGTACAGTTAAGTATCAGACGACGGCCATACAGCTCGCTGAGAGGAGATAGAATAAGCGGGCCAAATTAACATGGAAGCTGTCAGCAGTAGCTCGAAATATATTTTCGGCGTCGTGTGAACTCAAACATACCATATAGGCGAGTACAAATATAGTGGTTATCAGGGAGGAAAGGATGGCTGATTCAACGTGAAACTCAGATGTGATGTGAGACGCTGCCGGCGAGACAATAGTAGATGTAAGAAAGCTTTGCCGGAACCTCTTAGTCTTCGCCTTATGTGAGTCTTGTGGAAACGAATAACAAACCTCAGTGCTATCATAGCGCTGAGTAAGAGCATTGTAGTCCACTTCTTTGCGGGGGAGAAGTTCCTGTTAATGATCAGTGTGGACTTCCACTATATGATTCTAGAATGCCTTCTTGCTCTCCTCTGCTTGTTAATCATGATGGGTTCTCACCTAGGATTGTGCGTGTCGCCTTGACCATCCCATGCGATCATACCTTGGCTCAGGTCCGACTCTAGATGAAGCGCGCCGAATTCATTGTTCGATACCATATTTTTTCTCACTCATGGAAACAAACTTTTAAGATTGGCAAGCAAGGTAGATTAATTGTAGAGAACCTTGGGATCCCACGTCTAGTGGGAGTTTTGAGGTTAGATTTAAAAAGGACGAATATACCGATCGGCCGATCGGCCGAGCGGCCTCAATGGAAACATCTTGCAATCGATATGACTATGGGCAACCCAACATATGTACTCAATTTTTCCGATGTGGCGATATTTTTTATACATCCCAGCCGGATCTAGAAATCTGCTTTGTTGCCAGACTGACATCAGGCACTCAGGATAGGGATGGTGAGCTATACCATGAAGCAGGATGCAAGCATCTGACATGCCTAACCACCCGAGGCAGATGAACCAAGTATGGCTGTACCGGCCACTATCAGACATAATTTCAATTTCTTGACTAGTTCGAATATTAATACTACCATCATACATCGAAGTGTCAACCCGTGCATCCATAGGCCAGCTGCTGGAGCAAATATATCTCCCCTTCAGACAGCACTTGTCTATAAATCAATGGTGACGGTGATGGGTCGCCTTTCCAAGCAAGGCAATGATAAGTACTGTATGTGTCGTCATAGAACAGCCCTCAGTGTGGGTCGTCGCAGTTAGTTGCATATCCTGACAGGGAGGATCTCACATATTTTGTCTTGGATAAAGTTCTATTAGGAATAGGTATCTGAAAGGTATACAGTGTATTATTATGTATAGGTACATATGTGTATATTAAGGTGTCAGTCTAGGCACAAGACATCAATAACTGCGGAGGCTCATGTGGGCAACATAATTTACCAGCATAATATACATCTGGATCGAACATATGGCTTAATAACGCAGTACGCTGTTGCATTGCGACCTAGTCTTATGCCATAGCAATCACAGCCATAGCTGCAGCGCCGCCAAAAGCCCACTTAGCATTGCCCGTGACTATTACCGGAGCCGCATTGATACTCTGGCTAGCCTTTGGCGTCGAGGATTCGGTATTCGCTGCGGCTTTCTGCTGCCCACTGCCCGACCCAGTAACAGTGGGAGTGGCGGACGTGGTCCCCGTGGCGGTGTCAGAAGTGGTGACAGTGGCATGAGTGGCAGTGGGAGTATTTTTTGCGGAAGCGGATCCGGAGACTAATTCAGTGCCGGTGATGGTCACGGTTTGGTAGAAGTTACTGGCTGGGCCGACAGTACCACCGGCGTTTACCTCGGTAGAAGAGCCGTATTCCATAGTCAGGGCGCAGGAGAGGGACGTGGAGGAAATGAGAGAGCAGTCCTCCTTCAAGTTGCTGTTCTAGCTAAGCAACTTGCCCTGGTGCTCTCAGTAACCGGGAATAGAAACATACTAATAAGAGTAATCAAACACAGCACGAATGGTCGATGGGCCACCGGTGACGGTCCAGCCTTGCGATGAGATGTCACAATCCCCGATTTCCTGAAAGTCTTGATTCTCAGGCGTTGGGTGGCAGTTGATCACGTATGTGGTTAGGGGACCGTCCTGCAGGTTTTAATTTAATCTTTGTCTGATGGTATGAACTCGGCTGGGGTCCTGTACAGTTCCAATGACCTTTCCAACAAGATCGTGTCCATACATTTCAGGCAGTAAAAGAGTGGCCACTTCGTCAGCTAGCACAGTTGAAGAGGTAAAAGCCACGAGGGCAAACGATAGTAGGAAGTGAGCATGCATTATTGGATGTATGTTCAAATATGATCAGTAGAAACGAATGAAAAGCATACAACTTTGAAGGATTTCGGAAGGAGCGACATGAACAAGAAGAGGAAAGATTTTCGGCCGGCCACACTGGGTCTTTTCCACTTTATATGATTGAGCGTTGCCCTAATTCGAGAGACCCTGGTTCCTTAGTCGTTCCTTAGCGGTGCCTTCGAATTTACTTGCAATTTGATATGCTCGCTTCCAGAGAACCCTGGAGAAGTGGGGGCCAAATGATTACTGCATTTGAACTAGTAGATCAATAGCGCCAGGAACCGCTGCCCTTATCGTTGGGTTTATCCATTAACGGTGGGGCTTTGTTATATTATCTGCCGCGGCGTTCCGAGGCTTGTGGAGTGAAGCAAACCTAGCTTAGCCTGTTCCTAGACCAGACTCGTTGATTACTCAGTGCTTTGTTTCCTGCCCCAAGCATTGAGAGAATATGCCCCGACGTTTCCTATTCCCTCTATGACATAAGCCCAAGATTAGAATGATGCAAAGGTAGAAGGCACAGATGCTATTGTGCAAGAGAGAGTTCTAATTACTTATATATTAAGACCTATGTATACGTAAATTGGGTGATAGTCGAACGTCGCCCTCCAATTCCGTGTGTGGTACAATCATTTTGTTTTCGAGTTTTAGATATTCAAAGCCCCAATAGTCGATATTTACTAGTACCCCCTGTCAAATGCCGGGCTTGAGCTCATTTGACCTTGTTTTATCCCTCGTACTCTCTGATTACTCGAAACGGTACTGTTACTCAACCAGACAAATATGGTGCAAGGTAAAGATGAGTATCTATTCATCTATAAATTCATACGTGACATAGACAGAAAGAATGCATTATCTCATTGACTTTTACAACTTAGACTTGCTCTCCTCCCGGCCCTGAAGGTTAGGGTGGGGAGCGCGAACGGGTCGCGTAACAGCGTAGAAGGCAAATCCTTGTGACTTGGTTGAGAACTAGAGCAATGTCAGCTAATGTCTTGCTGCATGAGCGGTACGGGGAACATAGGGATAGAGGACAACGATAAAGAGGGTCGTGACGCACCTTGACCTTGGATCCAACATGGAAGAAAGCAAAGTCGCCTGGAACTAGGTGGTGGGTGATTCCGGTAGCCTCGTCCTACGAAGGAAAAAGATAAACGTTAACGTTATTCAAGAATATGTGTACTTAAGCCCCGTAGGGTTAAAGATATATCTTGTCGTATGTATAAGGGCAGCATACCAAAACATCAATCTGGCCACTCAGGACATACTTCGTCTCCTCGAAAGTGTAGTGGGCGGGTCGTTGAGGGCCAGCCTCGATCTTATAGAACCCCGAGGTGAAGTAAGCGGGGGATTCAGTCTGTGTGCGGATAGAATGGAAGTCGGCTGTAGTTGCGTTCTCGCCCTGGGGAAGGGGAATGAACTCGTGGCCGGCGCCCTTGATGACGGTAAGAGGTACGAGGTTGCTAGACACTATAACACAAGTATTAGCGGTTGTTCGTCTGCATTAATTGGTCAAACGGAATACAGAGGGACTCACTTTTGCTGTGTTTTCTTGATTGATAGATAAATACAACAATGGAAAAGACTTGGGGACGAGATATAGCTTAAATACTATCAGGGCTGGCAGTATATAATAGTATATAATTCGGAGGCATTGCCGGGCGATGGTGCAAGATCCCGCGTACTTTATCCCGATGAGGGGAAAAAACCCCGGGTGCATCGCCGGCTGTGGGGAAATCATCGGATGCATACCCGACCCTCATTCTTCCTCTCAGCTATATTAACAAACCCGCGCCCCTCATACACTATGGCATGGATCCGGGCAATAAAAGTCGGAGAGTAATGTTCTTCGCTACTGTTCACTTTTCCCGCGGAGTGTTTCGCAGCAAACAACAGCATCCAAGCAATCATCCAGTTGAACGCGTGCCTTGCGCTTGGGTATTTGTCAGCCGCGCCAGTTGAATCAGCTATGGAATACCCTACCAAAATAGGTAGCTTGGTACCTGGGACTCGGTATAAAAGTTATCAAAGGTGACAAAGCTCTTGCAGCTTGACTGGCCTGTGCTGTGGATCCCTGAGATCGACGGAAACTTGCTCGAATGTGCTGGGCCAAGTTGCAGATCATTGGACCGAACAGTGGCAGGCAATTGACAGTCGCAGATACCGTGGTAGGGATAAGTCTCTTCAGTGACTTTGTGTTCATGAAATCCGAGTTCTCGTCTTGTTGGAGGAGAATTGTGACTTTAGAAACGGATTGTTTATCCCAAAAGTTCAGCCAATGACGGGATTCAAGTCCAGTGTAACATATACAACACTACTACTTCTGAGAATATCTCAGTCCTAGGTCCGATATTGAAACACTACGTGCGCCTAGTTGTATACCCTCACTGGTATACCTAGCTCTACTAAGTGAGCAGCAAGCGGCGAGGGGAAGTCAAGAGGTGGAGATGGAGTAGAGTAGGGCTATGTGGGGCGGCTTAACTTGGTCGAAATTAGGAAAGAGAAACAGACGCGGCCATATTCCAGCTTGAGGCATCGGCTGTAATTTTAATGCGTGGTTTTATATGAACTCGTTCCTAACTGACCTTCTGTCCATGCTAAGTATTCGCGTTAAAGGTTTCATACACCGTATAATACTACTATAGTCATGATGGGATTACATCGATACTTTTCGTAAACCCATCGTTGTCTCATTTCATTTATTTTGTGGGATTGTATACTACCTTTTCCGACATGAAAGCGATAGCAGGGGATCGAGTCCGTACGGTAGTGGCTGAGGTAATATAAGACAGGAGACACAAATCAACAATTCAAGTAGTGGCGGACTACGATGCAGGAAAAAGGCAACAACAATATAGAATATCTGTCATCATAATGGTTCTGAAGCAATCGTCAAGGCAAGGAGACATAATCCCTACACCTATCCCTCTAGCCAATAGAACTCCTCGCGTGGAAAGTGGGCAAGGATTTCATCCAGGCAGACCTGCTCAAGATCCTCTGGACTTGGCGGAAAGGAGTACATAGCATTGCCGGCAGGATTGGGGGGATTTGACTGTTCAGCTTGCTCATCTAAGAGTGGGTGAACGAACTGAGTGGTAACTCGCATCCTAGTGTCTGGGACATCCGAATGCTGTGAGACACCGCCTTGCGAGGCAAGGTCGTCTTGTGGCACCTGGCAGACCTTGGGATCGAGGAGCTCCCAGAGCATTTGAGGTTGGAAGGATATCATTATACTACCGCCCGGTACTTCCTGGAGCTTTTCTTTCGCAACATATTGGAGGCGCTGAAGGATCTCGAGCTATGAGACGTTTTAGCCATGGATCCAAGAAGAAACCGACCAGAAGTTACAAATTCACCGGATGAGTGGTGGTTTGCCCGGTGTGAAACATACCTTGTGAGTAATATGTGGCCAGGTTAAGGAAATACGGCTCAAGAATCTCTCACACCTGCCAAGGTCATCGCATGCTCTCTTTGAGACCTTGGGGTCTCTTGCAAACTGGAAAAGCCATGGTATAGTTGCTGTCGCCGCAACTGCGTGTCCAATCAATGGATCGTTGATCTCATATTGAAGGTTCTCGCAAAATTGTATAAACTGGAACACCCAGCCGGAATGAAACAACGCCAGATCCACGGCCTGTTGAAGAAACAGACGTGATTGAGGCACGCCCCGATTACCACGCATCGCGACTAAATGGATAAATGGGTGATTCAGGATAGCCGGTGATGCATGGGAGAGCATTTGCATAGCCAGCCAAGGGCTCCAGTATTCCTTTTCCTGCATAATTTCAGCTATCGATCGCTTGGAGAAAGAAACATTTCTCAGGAGGTGTCTTTGCGGTAATTTGGCTTCGCACTCATACAGCCTCACACTGAGCTTGGCGTGCGTTGACTCGGGCAACCAAGGCGTTTCGACGTTACCAGATCGTATCCCATGTAAGTATCGCGTAAGGTCGCCCCACACTGAGACCATGTCTATGTGATATGCATTGATGCCGAGGTCCTTATTAACCTCTTCAGAAACATGTAGATCAGGGGGACAGTTTTCATCCCGGTAGCCTGGCGGTGAGGCTGGCAAGGGGGCACTCAGGGGATAATCAGGCGTATCTTGAGATGACGAAAGATCTAATACTTGGGGGGAAAAGGCCTTTTCGAGTATGAACACAGACCAATGACATCGGGCACTCCTATCTTCGGTCTGTGCATCAGAAGTACAATGGCGTGTTAATCTTCGCAAAGTATCTAGGCGTGAGGCAGTTCCGATTGTCATCCACGCACGAGCCGGCTTTTGACCTGAGTTACGTGATTAGCATAATCCGCTCAGTGGCGATATAGAGACCCATCGCTTTACCAATCAAGTCCTTTAGAGCAAGTATACATAGCGACTCTATAACCTCTATCTTCGAGATGCCTTCCACAGCCAACTTCATGGTCGCATCTTCTGCGGAGCGAGTATAGAGCTCGATAGCCTCTTGTTCCCTGCCTCTATAAAATTCATGGCTGCCAAAATTCAAGGAGAGAGCGAGGAAGCTGTAAAGAAGAAATCGGGAGGATGTCACCAAGCGATCTCGTAGACCATCAAGGTTAAATAAGGGCAATGGTTGGAGATGTATCCTGGTGCGATATACTTCCACGAAATGATCTAAAGCCTCCACTGGGTGTTCGAGACTTGTGCAACTTAGCTAAATTGGCATGACATGGGATATACGATTACAAATGCTCAGGATGGGCATTTGAGACCTACCATGATGGCTCAAAATTTGGACTAGTCCTAGAGTTTCCTACTTGTGGGAGCGTGTTTGGAATCTCGATGGAAGAGTCTTCCCGTGGCTCTCCGCTCCGGGATGTTGAAGCTTCATGCGCCGCTGCATCGTTGTGGGTGTGGAGAGAGCTTCAATGTCAATGTACTTCTGGGCATTACATGAATCAATCACTATTGCTGGGGTATCCAACATACGTCAAGATATCGTAGATCTTACTGATCTCCGACTCAAGGGCTTGAAATCGCTCTTTCGTTGACCTTCTATATTTTGTGATATGAGACAATACCCTAAGATACCTGAAGTCTCCAGACTGACTCACGCCTTCGTCACTCTGTTCCCACGTTCGTCCGATTTGGCCTGTTCTCGTGGGAGGTAGACACATTGCAGATTTAGACGATGGCAAAACGAGCACACTGGCCTCTCAGCCGTGCATTTAGACTTCTTACGTCTGGTTATGTGCAGTTAGAATAGACTCTAGACAAGGAAAGGCAGACCGTACCTGCACGGTTCACAGGCTTGTCGATTTCGCTGCTCCCCCGACATAGACATGCCTTCGAAGATGATTCCGACGTTGTTAAGCCCTATTGCGTGATAAGGAGGAAGGAGGATTACGGGGGAGATTCCACGGGCTCCGAAAAAAGCTCCGGGTCCAGATATGATTGTGGGGAATTGTTCAATGCTGACCAACAACCGTGATTCATGCTTCTCAGGCTCACGTGAGCGGAGTTGGTAGAGGTCCCGCTTCTCCGGACATCTCACCGCCAAAACCCTACATATCCATAATATCGCCCCTCTCCTATTCCAGTCGATACACCATCACTAGTATCTAGTAGAGGCAGAAAAAAACTTTGCCACCTCACTGCAATAATTGTGCACTTCTCACGTCTCATCAATCATCTCTACAATGGTATACTTAGGTTTTATATATATGTAAGCCTTGTAGGCAATGTATATACTGTAAGTACCACATAATATATATTTTTACTATCCGTCCGGAGACTTTCACAATAGCCTCACACCGAACTGGGAAATACTACCCAGGGGATACTAGCCTATCAATAACATGGCGCGAATAATCCAACATGAATCAATGATCATTCGGTTCACTTTGCAAAATTCCACAGCCCATGCTACCATTATCTCCGGATAACACCTAATCCGATACTATTATCATAACTGAATATAAGGCAGGAATCGCCCCAACCCGCCCATTCCACTGAAGCCACCAAGTTAGTCCAAATTTTCAGGACTAAACTGTGGTCTACCTGTCCTAAGACCAGCTGTTTTAGGGTCTCACCATAGTGTCCTTAAACCGACCTTGTATACAAGAGTAAAGACGACGATGATGAGGAGGAGGCCCATCGTATATTGAAAGAAACTGTACGCGGTGAGACCGGTCCCGTCTTACGGGATATGGTCAGCGCAGCACAAGGGGGGATTGCCATGGATCGGGACTTACGACAAGATTATCAGCAGCTACAATGCAGTACATAAGGAGCATGAGGGATATAGCCATGCCCAAAGATGGGGCGAGGGGCCAGGAGTTCGAGGTAGAGAGTGTATGTGGACACTAGGTATACCCAGACTTAACTGAGTAGTAAAATGTAGAATGAACAAGGCTGATTTGCCTTAAACACTGCTTTGCAGATATTTGTAATACTTAATGAACGTACGTGTATATTGAAGCAATACAAGAAACAAAAGCCCGTCAAGCTCAAACCCGAGTCAACATAAACTGAATCTGACACTTATCCTTCAGCCCGACCTCAACCAGCTCAATCCAGCTGGTGGAGCGTTCCTCATCTTCGCCCTTTCCGTTAACTTTACCCGTCCAAATGGACTTTAACCTCTCTCCCTTCTTCAAAATGAGATGCTGGAGACTCTTGGACTTCTCTGCTGGTGGGCCCGCAGCCTGGAGATTGTACTGGTAGTAGGCCGAGGTGTTTCCCAGCTTGGATGGAGGCGGCAACTGGCCCACGGTGACGGTGCTTGGAGTGAGATATGTATGGCCGTCGTCCTTTGCGTTAGCATCGGTTTCCTCCACGAGCTGTATCAAATCAGTCTCGTCTGCGCCGTTCCGGAATAGACAGACGTCGTCGTCGCCAGAGTATAGCGAGATGGTGGTGTGAGATAGGGTCACGTCGCTGGAGGAGTTATTGACGGCCTCAATGGTTAGGGTGGTAACACCACCGGCGCTGGGTTTGTCGTTATTAAGAGTGTAGGTGAGCTGGGGCTCGGGGGCTTTATCGAAGGTTGCAATGAGCTTGTGAGCCACGTCGTTGATGAAGTCCTTGATTGGATCAGGAGGGTCTTGTTTGCCAGTGAAGAGGTTGATAAAGAACTGCACCAGCATAAGAATGACCCCAATGACAGCTAAAACCGCGCCTAGGATAGGCAGGGCCACACTCATCGTCCCGGTCACGACATACAGTCCCAGTTCGGCACCGACGTCGATGACATCCAGCAGCACCGTCAATCCCTGGACAATTACATTTAACACCCCGAGAACCTTGCCGGTGTCTGAGAGCGAGCTCCAATCGTTGGCCAGTGAAAATGACATGGCCACCACCAGACCTATTCCCAGAATAGCGTTCAGGATGCGCAGCAGGCTGCCAGAGATGTTAAACTTCTTAGCCACGTCTTCATATCCCGGTGGAACATCCTCGGCGACACTCGAAAGCTCTTCGTTCCAGATTTCCTCGCCCGAAAACTCGGTTGGGATTCCTTCGCCCTGCAGATTATCGCCAATCACCGTTCGGTAGTCCTCCTCGCCAGTGATTTCCTGGGCAATCTCCCCAAACTTCTCGCCATTCTCTGATATCACCTCGGACAGTTTGTCGTTCAGAACTTCCATATTGACCTGGTCCTCCACTGTGGTGGCAGGCCCGGACTTAAAGGCTTTGAAGGCATCAAACCCCTTTTCGGCTGCATCCACCACCATTCCAATGACTTCGATGATAACCGTTGCTTTGGCAGCATCGGAAGTGCTGTCCCAGTTCTTCACCAGGCTGTAAAGGCTCACCGTGGCAGTTACAATACTAACCCCGACCTGTTTTATTCATCAGCCTTGTGTCTTCAGTCTCAAGACATCTGGTGTACGGACCATGCAGATGCTCCCAATCCCTTTCAGCCTGTTCATTCCTTTGTCCCCAATATCATCGATGATCTTGTCAATGGCCTCGCCGGCCCATTTGAATAGCGCAGCGCCTCCAAAAGCAGCCTGTAAGCCTTTACCGATAGTGGATATCCAGCTTGCCATCTCTCTCATGAAGATAGAGCTTTTCTCCAGGATAGCCCCTGCCCGTTGCTCTGCATCTGCCTGCTGGTTCAATCCGTGTTCCTTCTCAAACTCGAGGATATCTTCCTTCAAGGACTCCTCTATTTTGCCAGTCACCCAGTCAGCACCATTCAACACGGCCACAATAAAGTCGTGCATGGAGTCATGGATCCATTGATATTTTTGGTCCTGATCATCGTCGTCGATATTTGCCGATCCTGCCCCTTGGTCTACTACAGCAGCCATGAACACGTCAAACACTTCCTGGGCCCATTTAACCGACGGACTCAGCGCATCTAAGATGTTACATTGCTTGTTGACTTTATTGATACCCTAAATAAAGCCCAACAATAGATTAGCCGGTATTACCAACATAGTCCCTAACGCTGATATACTGACACCCTCGACTGGCTTTTGCACCCAGTCATCTATGATCGCAGGATTGCCGACAATCGCATCGTGTAGGTCCTGCGCCCATTGTTCTGGGTGGTCATTCATATATGGTTCCAGCTGCGTCTGGTATAGTTGCTGCATTGCCACTCTTGAGCCCAGGCGGTTGATATCATTGTAATGTTCACTCTGGGAGAGACTGTTGGGGCCACTGCCTTCCCACCAGTACCAGAGATTCCTCATCTCTTGCTTCGTGAACGAGCTCGAGTATTTTTGTGTTCGGCCCACATAGCGACAGATAAAGGCAGGCGCATATTTATCCTTGAAAAAGTCCTTCAGCTCCTGCGGTAGGTCTTCGGCCAAAGAGTGAGGGATGTCTGTCCCTGAAGTGGGCTTGGGCTCGCGGAGGATCTTTTCTCTTTGGTCTGTGTCCATGTGGTACATCATCATCTTGCGAATCAGGCCTTGGGTCTCGTTGTGTAGCTGACAGACAAATGAGTCAAGCCGTCCTTTTCTACAAGTGGGGAATAGGCACTCACCTCCACCTCGGTGTATCCCACAAAGTCATACAGATCCTCGAGGTCAGGCTCCGTGTTACCGAGCAAGCCCTTTGTGACTGGAGCTGGTTGAGGCCTCTCATTCAACGAGGTAGCCACACCGGGCTTGGATACAGAAGAGTAGGCATGCGAGATCTTTGATCGACAGGCTTCGACTGCTGACGACTTTTTGATTTTTCCCGATACAAAGTGTCTGGCTGGATTAGCACCATTGACTGCTGCCTTTGTATACCAACGCTTACCGATCACCCTTGTATCCTCGTTTGGTAGGGTCATATTCAAAAAAATGCCCCGTAAGTTTTGTGCGCAAGCCATTGATTGTAAATGTCATCTGCTGGTAGAGTGCTGGTAAGGTCACATCCGTGCCCAGGTCAGCGTCAAACCCAACCTGGAATCTTTTCTTGATATCAAGCCCGGTATTAGAGTCCGAGACAAAAGGAACAAATGGTGCCCGGCTAAACACCACAGTAAAGGTATTCTTGCCGTCTTTCAGAGTAGAGAACACCTTGTAGAAAGCCCCTAGGTTCTGATTAAAATTTTTGTTAATCTGGTCCCGGAGCTGATCAACCACAGCAAGTCGCACTGAGTGGGTCTTGATCCCCCCTGTCCCTGTCCAGTAGCCTTCATCAATGATTCCTCCATCTACTGGATCTTGTGGCTCATCTGGGGGGTTGTCATCTTCTCCCTCTGCGGGTGGAGGCCAAACACTTCGGTCTAGAGTCAACTCCCAGTTACTGACGTGATTCCATCCATCAGCTGGATCTTCTTTGGTAGTAGGCAGTTCTTCCAAGCTTCGGGCATGGGCTTTGAATGGGTGAACCTGTTCTCGGGAAGGCATTGTCTGCGATTCTGCCTCGGAGGAAAGATAGATCACGCCCGTACCGGATACTGCCTTGGAATTGATTTGCACTGCACCATGCTCAAATAAGTTTTGTTTCTGGAGCTCCCGAGACCATCGGAAGCATCTCCCGCGAGGGTCATATGTACTTCGGAGCTGTACCTCGTCATCGACCAGAAGATACCCGTCAACTACGCTCAGAGTGGGAAGTTGGTACCCAGCTGGAAGTCTGTCTGGGTGATGCGGCGTAAGAGAAAACCCTCTTGTCAAGCTGCCGATTGGAATACCCTTTCTTTGAAACAGAGACCTCCGTACTTTGAGGTGCTCTTCATACGAGACCGAATTCTTTACAATAGGGCTCTCGCTATCTGGTGACTTGTAACTCCCGAACAATTCCCAGTTCAGCCGTCGATTGATGCATTGGCCATCGAACTTTTGGAAAACTGGCCACATCTCCGGGCATTGGGACAGCATACCCAGTCGCTTGCTGCCGGGAACTCCACGCAGCTTTTTCACTGTTTCTCGCAGAGTGTGGCGTGGGCTATTCGTGTCCACCAGATAGCTGTGGACATGATATGTCTGTTGCTCTCCGTACAATGCAAGCGTATATGCTTGATCAAAGGTTGACTCTTCTGTTTCTCGAATCGACTTGATCTCGACCATAGTATATTTGTCTTGCTCCAGGCGAAAGACAACATGCCCGGTGGCCAGGAGGCCAATCCGTTGATAAGGGTTCAAACGCTGCGCAGCCTCTGGGTCCACAGCCCGCAATCCAGTTGTAGTATGGAAGACCTGCGAGCTTAGAATAGAGGGGCTTTCTTCATCTGCATTCTTGATTAGTCCCATTTAATGGCTACCTTAGGTATTTACTCACTAAATCCGATCAGTCTTCCCTTCACCTGCTGATGAATAGGGTACTGCATGCCCACGGTAGCCGTCATGGGGCTTGCATGGGTCAGGAGACGATCACCCGGATAAATCGCTTCTACCGGTCGCTTCGTGCCATCAGAAAGCGTAATTGGGGTTCCAGCAAGGATGGTACATCCAGGATCTTGGACTTTAGCACCAATCCATGGCTGGCTCTCCACTGGAAGGTAATCGATCCCCCAGCCAAATGTATTTTGGTCATCATAACCTATGCCCAATATCAGAAACTGCAGACACCGACATTAGGAAGGTCAACGCACTGATATACTCCCACCATCTAATAGCGTCCCATTGCTTATCTCGAAACGCGTTGTAAATTCCTTTTTTCCAGTAGGGCCGAATTTCCTCGATCCAAGTCTTGGTAAAAGTCTGGCAATACGTCTGCCACTCATTTATAATGTCCTCTTTGTCATCGAGTCTGTCCAAGCTGTCTTGTAGGTCCCTTTGGTAGTCACCATCATCAAAGACCTCCATCCCCATGCCATAGAACGACTTCAGTACTGTGGAGACAGGCGTAGGGCGCTGAATCCCCGTTGTAGGATCCGGGGGACAAAGTCCAACTGTAGCAATCCTGCCGCAGAATTCCACGATCTGATCCATTCTGGCGGGATTTCCTTTACCCTCGCTCGCCCACAGATTATAGGACCATTTGGTTAGGGTTCGGTAGCTTGCCCTGCTTTGAAAGTCGCCGCCCGAGGTTGGAAAGTTGCGGAAAGCATGGTCTCTGTCTTGCATGTAGTCAGCGATGAGGAGCCATGAGATACTAAACAGATGGTCATGTCTATCAATGTCCGTCAATATGTGGGCCGATGTAAACCAGTCGCCTTGGATCATGTCCAAGCAGTAGTCTTGAAAGCCATCAACATGCCAGAGTTCATCTATGGTGCGTTTTCCCTGAGACTTGAGCTCGAAATTAATGTGTTCGCACAAGCAGAATCCCATCAGGCTGGTCAGGGACTCGAGATAGCGAACTTCTGAGTTTTCCTGTTTCATTTACCAGGGACTGTTAGACGGTCCAAAGTAAAATAATACCTGTATATAGACTCACCTGGCTAACGTATTTCTTCAGATTCTCTGTATCATATTGGCTATCAACGCCAGCGATTCCGTCACTGCCCGACGGTATCGAAAGCTTGTACAAAAGGTCGAATATAGCAAATATATCGATGTTGAAGTCGGCATCGTAATCATCTGGGGGATAGTTTGGTGCATTTTCAATGTATTGCTGAAGTTCGTTACTGTTTGATTGCGCCGTGAAGGCCTTTCGGACCTTGTTGTGCAGTCTGTGAGCAAAGTCACTGTACGGGAAGGACTTGAGAGCGGCGATGCCCTCGATCGCCTCCTCGAAGACGTCCTCAAGATTGTCGGACATTCTTGCTAAAATCCAATTTTGCTGATATCTTTTTCGTTCCTTTTCATTTATTTTCTCCCTTCTCTCTTTTTTTCCCTTTGATTTTGGTGGTCTTTCTGTGGAAGAGGTAATTGAGAATGCTAGATGGATCGGCTTGAACAGAATCCTCTTATATCTTTTCCCCTCCTATGATCTTGATAACGTATGACATAATTTGAAATATTACAGACTCAATAGAATCGTCCATAGGATCCTACCCCGACAGTTGCATGGATCGAGAGGGGAATCCTTGGATACGTCAATTCGGATCTGACACACTGTTGCAGTCATGCAATACCATTTCCTGCTCAACGCGCATTCTTTTCTTTACTGTATATTAATCGAGACCCAGGTAGAATGCACCCATTATTGTATTGCATGGTTTCTACCAGGTCTATGTCTACGTGTCTATGCAGCACAGTAAGGCTATTGGACCATAGCATGCAGCATGCGTTCGGAGAGTCCGCACTTGCATATCCCAGTACCCACTTTGATGCATGTACTCTCCTCATGCGTTTCCCCATACAGCCACAAGCATGTGCTGGCGACGGCTTCGGCCCGCCGATGATCAAGGAAATAGCCATACAAGAGCTACGAAACAAGGTAAATGCCCCACTGATGAACCTGCTCTCCGCTCGACAACACCATATGGGCGTGAACCCCACCCTTCACATGAGTCAGATTCAGGTCCTAGTGTTTATTTCGGAATGTCTGAGATGGTGTGATAATGACTGAGCTATAGTCGATCATGTATAGCTGGCCTGTTAATGTGACGCGTCCTCACGTTCTCGGGGTTTAGTTGTATGCAAATGCAAGTCTTCACTGTGCATAGGTATGCACAACACAGCTGGAGAACGCCACGCTGAGAGACTGGAAATCCCTCACCATTGTGAGCCCCAAATCATGAGTTCATCACCCCTCAGCTGGAAACGTTACAGCAGGGCTGAAGGTTTGGTACTTTTTTGCACGTCGGAATCTTGTGTGACTCGGGTATACATGCAATGTATCCTATTCAATACACGAAGGCATGAGCTCAGCCAAGAAATACTCGACTATTTCTATTCCATCAATCATAAGCCGTGCACATATTGGAGACCTCAGGGTGGCACCTCTGCTTGGATGTGCACTTCTGGATATCGAAATACCTAGCATGAAAGAATCATCCAGCGCATATTCCCCCCATTCTGGATAGGCTACTTTGGGACTGCTCCGAAGGTCCATTAGTATTATGTCGTATGCAATAGTTGGCTAATATTCTCACGGAGAGACAAAATACTAGAAGGTAACTATATAGGACTGCCCTAGAATGAAAAGACCGAAGGGACAGAAAGGGCTGGGAATCACATGATAAGTCCAACCCAGTCCTTATGATACGGCTTTGGCCGAGATAATCATATATCTCCAGAGGGAAACATAAAGTTTCTATACGGAGTACATATTTCGCGATTCCAGCTCCCGAAGTCAAACGTTTGAATAGCGTCTTCTCAATAGTATTGAGACCTCACATTGATGATAATCTGTAAAGGCAGTCTGAGCGCTTTCGTTCAGCTGATGGGTCTAGGTAGAGCACCAGAAGTAGTATTATCTTCCCTGTCATTTGTCTAACACGTATTCTTGTCTCAATAGAAGCCACCTTGGTACCATTCAATGTGATGCCGCAGGGCCTTGGATGGACTATTATTGGTACAAAGCGATAGGGTTTGCCCACTAGCGAAGACCAAGTCTTTACAGCTATGCCCCTCCGATATCGGTTCACCTTCTTTAGTTGTTTTACTGTAAAAGAAAGTACACATTTACTGGGATTTCCGAGGCACATATACTGTTCGTCCACCCCCGCCGTGTAGCGCTCCCAAGCCAACAAATACGATAAAATTAAACGGTGCACACTTGCTACGGAAGATCCAGAAGACCATGTCCCCGCTCTGGAGGACTTTTAATACCGAAGACATGTTTTCAGGAGGACACTCATCCTCATCAATCGGCACTGTCATGAGTACCAATGGCGTCGCAGTTTCTTAATACACGCCCTACATGACTATCTCAAACAGCACTGTCGCTAGACTAGGTATCTGCGGAGCTGATCATCGCGATATGGCTGTAACGTGATGACGACCTGGCCGTTATATCAGTCATCTCAGAACCTCAACTCGTCCCTTTAGTTCTGTTATGGAAGCACTATAGCCACGACTTGGCGTGGGGGTGCTAGCTGGGGCGATTCTGCCCTGGCAGTAATACTATACTACTCAATTAGTTTAATTTCGCGGTAAAACTACGCACGCAGAAAAGTTGAATTTTCAGTGTTAGTCCCTTAGTAAGTATCTCTGCGTATAACCTCTGTTTTCAGTTCAGGACTTCGCTGAAGAAACACAGAAAACCACTTTTGCCAGCAGTAGTAGGACTTCGTCCATGCTGCGTACAGGTCCAGTACTAAGTGCCTGTTCCTTTTTTCCCAAGAGTGACATTCTGCCCAGGGTCTCCAGGCTGTCTGAAGCAGAGAGCATAGTAGGACACACAGAAATGAACTAAATCAGGCAATATGGTCATATAAACCCGAGGCGGATTCACAATCTCCTACATACAAAATTGCAGACTAAAATTAACTTCAACACCTCTTCCATAGTTGTGCGGAGAGGAGAAAGCATTTCCAGACCCCGGCCACGTGACCGGGGAAACCCTTTTACTCCGGGAAGCTTATCATGTGGGGTTATATATGATGATTACTCCATCTTCCCAAATTTTCTTCCCCATCTTCTTGTGTCCCTCTATCTTCTCTTATTCTGGAGAGAAAGTTCGTACTGAACACGTTCAATAGACGTGATGGATAAGAACAGTAAAATCGTCATCGTTGGGGCAGGCATTTTCGGCCTGTCTACCGCCGCCAAGCTTGCATCGGAGGGCTACAAACATGTTACGGTTGTTGACCGCCACATGCCACCTGTAAAGTTTTCTTTTCTTTGGGTGAATAAAGCAAGATTAACAATATCAGGTTCCGGATGGCTCCAGCTCGGATATCTCCCGTGTTATCCGCTTCGATTACGCCGATGAGGACTATCTGAACATTGCATACGAAGCATACCTCAAATGGTCCCAATTGCCAAAATACAAAGGGATCTTCTTCAAATCACCATATATTCTCACTGGAAACACCAGCACACACGGCCGGGCTTGGATTGGAAAGACGACTGCTGCGCTAACCAAGAAACAGCTGCCCTGGGCAAAGCTGGACAGTGCTGCGGCCGCGAAGAGTAGATACCCTGTTCTAACTGGGACTCTCGCGACGCCCAATTTCACCGGCTACTTAAATGAGCAGGCCGGTTGGGCAGACGCCAGTAAGGCCGTCAGCCAGCTTCGCGACGATTGTCTTGAACTTGGTGTGTCTTTTATTTGCGGTCGTGCTGGTACAGTTATCAGTCTCGATACAGACTCACAGAAGAGGGTTAGGGCTGTCAAGACTCTTGCGGGAACTTCAATTGAGGGTGATCACTTTATCCTTGCTGCTGGTGCCTGGACCTCCGGATTAGTCGATATGTATAACTCAACCCTGGCAACAGCCCAGGTAATTGGGTACACGCCCCTTACAGATGCTGAAGTGAAGAAGTACAAAGATGTTCCCATTTACGCCAACTTTAATACGGGTTGGTTCAACTTCCCTTCGCATGAAGATACTAAGACCCTCAAAATGGCCGTGCATGGATGGGGCTACACACGTGCGCCTACCGCCGAAGATCATCAGAGTGTCAAAGCTAATATCTCGTCGCCTCCTCTGATTCCTCCTCGTCAACGCGCCAATTTTACTCCCCCTGATGGAGAAGACCGGCTCAGGACCGGTCTGCGTGAGATTCTCCCAGAATTAGCCGATCGTCCGTTTGAGCGGGTGGCGCTCTGCTGGTATACTGACACGCCTTCGGGTGATTTCATTATGGATTCTCATCCCGATTACAAGAACCTCTTCGTCGCCGGTGGCGGTAGTGGGCAGTAAGTGATATTCTTCTTTAGAATGCTAATGTCTGCTAACACATCTCACTCAGCGCATTTAAGTTCCTACCTGTCTTAGGCGACTATACTTTCCTTGCGTTTACAAAGCGTCTTCCAGAACATCTGACGCAGAAGTGGCGTTTCCGGACAGAGTACAAAGATGACAAGGACACTTTCCAGGGAGATGGCAGCCGTGGAGGGCCTGCCAGGCGGGAGTTGCATGCTCAGGAAAAGGCAAAGCTGTAGGACTGAGATTAGGCTTTGGACAACTCTACCGTGTGTCTGAGATGCCGTTACCGTACATTTCAAGTACCATTTAGGCCTGATATTCATGATGATTTATGTAGCCTTTTCCACATTAGAATAACTTTTACATATGCTATCTAATTTTAGTGTGCCACAATATGGGACAATACGTAGTTAGGTCGGGAAGTGTCTCTTCTGTGCCCGGGCGGGGCAGGGCGCAGGATTCTCGTCATCAAGTACGTAGGCGTATAGTGTAGTTGGGTTGATGTATGCATTCTCTCCAGGAGATTTCTGTGGAACCGAAAGTACTGATTCTGAAGAACTGGTAATTCTATGAAGACAATTCCAACTAGGGGTCTCATCTATTTTTTTCAGTGGTATGTTGATGTCGTGGATACGAAGAAGCAAAGTGCTGAGTGTTGTAGAATATAGGTCCATATAGTCATCGACCTAGAGACACGGGATTTTGCTGGTACCCTTAACCACGAATTTCCGCACGAGATACATACCTTTCGCCGCGGTGCCGATCAACCGTAAGCGTTAAAACTCTTCCGTATATACTTCAACCGATTAACCTCTATATAGGGAGTTGTACGCTTATTCAAACTCCGTAGAGCAAAACATCATCTGAAAAGTTCGAGAGTATAGTGACAACTTTTATCCTTGGGGACAAAGCAGGGTTAACCAAAATGCAGCAGCTGAATAGCTCTTCAATCTAAGTTCCTATAGTGCTGATTAATCCTAAGTTCCCAAGTGTACAGAGCAGTACGGCTATTCGAAATTCTTAGAGCAGGTATTCTTTTGCGCTCATTTATCAATCCTGCCGGCAAAAACTGATAGAGCCTGTTGCGGAGTGGCTACAATAGGCCCCAATAGGCCTTCGTCGCCAAGGCGGCTCAGTCAGCCTGATTATAAATAGTTTCAGCAGTGAAAACAGTCTCGTACCACCAATCCATCTCACGCTCCCTCACTGCTATCTCTAAGCATTTTTAACCCCCTGTGATATACCATCTATTTATTCCTGTTCTGACCCATCATAATGGATAGCCAAGCAGGCGAAGCCATTTCTGATCCCACCCCCAAGTTGCGCACATATTTCTGTGCTTCCAACTTTCTAATCCCAGATCTGGATCACGTCAAAAAGCAATGTACCGGTGAAAACAAAAAAGTGCATTGGGCTGGAGTAACGATAGTGCGAATATCGTCTATGGTGGTTGTCAAGTTTGGGACGCGTGTCACTGTAACAGAAGCCAAAAGCATAATCTACGTCGCCCAGAACTCCAAGGTTCCAGTTCCCGAAGTCTTTGCGTGTTGCACCTACGGGCCCATAGACAGAGAAATTGAAGACTATGACAGCCTATTTGATACATACATCTTCATGAGCTTTGTGGATGGGCAGACTCTAGACACTGTATGGAATAACTTCGATCAGCTAACGAAGAGACGTATTGCATCACGGCTAAAGGAATACATTGACAACCTTCGCAGCATGGGAAGCATGTCATATATTGGATCAGTCGATCATGGCCCAGTTACTGATTCGATCTTCGCAACCTGTAAAGTCCAAGGTAATTGACCCCGTGGTATTTATACATCTTCTCCTAATTTACTTGTGTAAGGTCCTTTTGGTTTCGAGAAGGAATTCAATGAAGCAATCGTGGATGCATATTACCGGACTGTATCCCGGCAACATATCCAAAAATTCCTTTCCGGAATGATTGGTCATAAGGAGCGCCGTATTTTGTTTGCGCATGGTAAGGCCGCCGAACATCATGGTAAAGGATGGTAATGTCGCAGCAATTATTGATTGGGAGCTTAGTGGGTGGTACCCTAAGTACTGGGAATTCGCGAAGTCTTTGCAGCTGTGGAGATGCAGAATGACTGGGGAGACTACCTGCTGGACATTCTTCAGCCATACTATAACGAGTATGCATTCTACTCGTTTGTGTCGTGAATACTATGGTGAGGGCAAACTGTACATGTTTAGAAATGATAGCCGAGCAAGCAGAAGGGTTGTGTTCGTTCACCCTTGAGTTCGAGATACTCAAACTAGACAAGATATTACAGCCCAGCGCGCAAACTTTATATTAATCGATTGGTTAGATTGAGAGTATAAGAAAAGCATATTCCATCAGCCGAATATTGAAGGTCATGTCATAATAGGAATATCTCAGTATTGAAACTTGGATCACTAACGTAATCGGTAAGCAAGCTACACAGCTCTGTATTCCATACAAATCGACCCTTTTGACACTTAGATATCTGACCACGCCGAACTGTAAGCCCTCATTGTGCTTAGACTGTAGGGAACGGATAAGGGCGCCACTCATCAACGAATGAAACTAAACTTTGTCCTTTGGATAAAATAGAGAGTAGAAAGGCAACTTAGCTTAGTTTCATGCACTTGATTATACCAACTCAAACACCTAAATTGGAATCTGCCAGATAAAGAATATCCGAATATAAACATGACACAGCGGCCAGAAAGCAGAACACAATGAATGGTTCGTCTGAAGATAGAAATGGCCCAATCCAACGAAAGCAACAAAGGAATGGTGAATCAACTCAACTAAGCAATGAAGGAAGAACATCGATGAATCTGATCATACCTATACCTCTGCCACAAGCGGGAATTTAATTGATATGTGTCAAGGCAAGTCCTGTAAGAGCAGCTCTGCCGCTGTAAATAACCGTTTTGTTTCCACCTTCGAGATCCGTCCGGTACAATGACCCTCCCAGGTCGGTGAAATAAATGTGTTTGTTTACCTTGTCCAAGCGTAGACCGATCGCCTGTGAGTAAAGCATATTAGTGACATTTCGGACCACCAAGGGGGAGAGTATACCTCATGCAAGTGCCTCGTTAGTATCGTGAATTTGGCTGCACTAGGGTCCCTAGGCTTGGATCCAACGTAGCCTCGATTAACTGAATTGCCAAGTGGATATTCACCCCTGTCAGTCCAATATAGGAATTCATTTTCCGAGTCAACCTCCAAGTCGATCGGTTCGGGCAGGTTTTCGAAAAGAGTTTCAATATCTGTGCGCGTAGAGGGCTTTGAATCTGCAGGCAAAGTAATATTTGCCCGAAGGATCTTTCCTTGACCCGACTTGCTAGAACCCTTCTGAGTCCAGTAGAACTTGCCGCGTTTTGAGTCAATAGCGATTCCCACACACTGAAATTGTAAAAGTCTGTTAGCCATGGCCCCACTGTACAGTACACACTAAAGGTATCCTACCCATCTGCTCTGGTCATGTTTATGTGAGGGATCATGATAATCACCAGTATGGATGAGGATCTCATGCTGGCCACCATTGAAATCGACTCTATGAACCCTCATCCCTTCGCGATCCGAAAAGTACAATTTCTCGTGCGTATGGTCAATGCACAGTTGTTTTGGTGTGTGTACGGCTCCAGGTGGAACGACTGTCTTGATATCAGAACCATCTAGGTTGCATGACTGGACAGATCCATCGTTTTCAGAGGGTATCCCCATATTTGTCCAGAATATCCGACCACGACTAACACTAATATCGACCCCGTCAGGCGCACTAAGGCCATCGACTATCTTCTTCACATTCTGACCATTGGCCGAGGCAGTGTAGATTGACCCGGCTGTGAGGAAATTATCGGTGATATTTTCACCCAGTCCTATATCAAGGACATAGAGCGTTGGGGCGGCCAAATTGTCGTGATGGCTGGCATTCTCAGTCGCCGATTTCGTCGTGTAACCAGCTGGATAAAGCCCTCCATTTCCAGACTTGGCGCCTAATCGACCTTGCTTGACGTAGTTCTTGCGCAGCCAGTCTACCGTATTTGCACCGTCCAGGTGGCGTTCCTGAATATAGTTATCCTCAATAAAAGCTACTGTGTCGAGGCCGACGGAATCCATCATGCTACAGGGCCCTGCCGTGGCGCCAAACATTTCCATCTATTTTGCCACCGAGTTAGAATCTTCCATCATTAGACGGACGTTGAGAGGGCTTACCCATAAATTGTCGATCTGCTCCGGATCGCTAACTTCTTCTGCCAAGATCGTCAGAGTCTCTCTCTTCACAGCTGCCCATAGGCGGTTGATGATGAAACTACCTGTAGGTTAGCCGTCATTCCAGGCACTGGAGACCGCATAGAAAGTGACAAGCTTACCCAGTAGATTCCTTGCGTGCGACGGCCGGCACCAGCCCAACCTCCCGGTGCTTATCAACAAGGAAAGGGAAAATGTCATCGTAAGTATGGGTGCTAGTCATCAGCTCTACAACCCTATTGCCTGGGGGCATGGTATAGTGGACATTCAGGGTGCGTCGTTTGGCCTCGTCATCCATTTCGTCGAGCATCAGCCGTGACTTGTAGGATGACGAGTTCGACCCGAAAATGCAATCCCTTGGTGCTTTCTTCGCAAGGTCACCAAACGTGGCGATCTTTAGATCAAGCTTCTCTGGGATAGCTTCGATCACGAGCCCGGCATCCTTCACTGCAGAATCCAAATCTTCAAATGCAGCATATTGTCCCGGGACTGCCTTGTCACCAAGGGTCTTAGCAAAAGTGGCAACGTTGTGGTCAATGAAATGAACGGCAGCATTCCGCTGATCCGGACTCGGATCTCGGATGGTTACATTGTAGCCTGCTGCAACCCAGGTGCAAGCAATTCGACGACCTTGACGGATAAATTAGTGCCGAAGACAATCTTTGTATAGGTGAGAAGTCACAATCGTACCGAGCACCCCGGCACCAAGCACTGCTATATAGCGATTACCGATAGTGGGCAGTTGCCATGTCATCCTGAGGAGGTTCAACAGTAGGACACAGTGTGTGTTTCTGTTCCGAGTCAGTTTCTTGAATATGCTGGAACAGTTTCTAGTTGGGTTGGGGATATCAAAGCCACTGCCACCATTAAATAATTAAATACTCCACGGGATAAGGTTCGGGGGTGACGTCAACCTCCGAAGGTAACCCTATAAATATGATAACTTCAACCTGATACTGTAACGTGTAAATTTGCAGACGTACTGTTTCAGCGGTATTAATATGCAAATTAAATCTATTTTCAATGGTATTTGATACAAAGGATATGCCAATAGACTATAGATAGGACAATACTTAAATCAGCCATGACAGTATCTCTTTGTAGTTATTTCTTACAGTTGATCGGCTTCGCCAGCTATGGGCTTATAGGTTTGGGTTTCAGGCTCAACACCATGACGAACTACAGCGGACGAAGCCGGTGTTCTGGACAAGAGATTACTGTCCGAAATCTGAGCATTTTACATAAAGCCACGACTATCACCCACTTCTAAATATATTTACCATAGGCTGCTAAGAAGAGTGTCTTATTACCGCTAAGTATTATTACTACTCCCTGCATACTGGCATTATACTAGGGCCCCAGGGGATCTAAAGATCTAATATTGTGGGTTCTAAGATAGGGTGCTGGTGGTTCCTAAGTATAGGATACAGGTGGTCCCTAAAGACGGGATGCTGGTGGTCCACTATTTAAGGCGGTACTGCAGTGGGACTACTCGATGGATAATGCAGAACTTTATCTTATGTATAAACGGTATGATTGGATGGTCAGTATGGTGGATTAATATACATAGATTTAATTGGTTAATGCATTTTTTGTGTTAATATTTTATATCGTCTGGAACTTCGATTTGGTCCGCCGTATCTCCTCGGGAGCTGGATGAACAACCCGTGAAGGAAGGAATAAGGGTCGGAACTTCGCATTAGTGGCCAGCTACCCCAGACCTGTGAATAATTTACTTCATATTTTTTTTTTCAAGACAGATCAACGGCCTACTAGAACCCAATGGCCATCGATAAGTCACAATGAACCAGAAAAGTTATTTGGGACAACGCTTTCCGCGGTCTTTCAGGGCAAGGTCCGCCACGGATGCCCGGGGAAGCAAAATCCGCGGATAAAGATCCGCGGCAGTCAGCCTATGTATTTCAACTTCAAACCCCAATCAACAGTCCCAGGAGGCAAGAGGGAGAACTGTACGTACCGGAAACTTCTAGGAAAAAAGAATTTAGAGGTATCCTTGGTAACCCTACACATCTGCTAGTGTAAATCTGATTGTGCTCTCCATCTAGTCAGATCGAATACCGGGCCAGATTTTCGGCACACTGGACCCGAGGAACACCTCGGCCTCCACGTATATATTCTAGACCGAACCCGTAGATAAGCGGTATTTTGCCTAACGCACCCCGCGATCGAAGGCCCGTTCACCATCTCCCGTACAAAAAACTCCGACTAACATTCTTTCGCAACGAAATTCAGCTCGTTGCATTACGTATGTCAAGATGGCAGTTATAGAGCTTGGAGACTCAATCCCCTCGCTCACACCGCATGTAAATTATGTGTTTATCTTGGCCTCTGCGGGTTCGGAATGCAGGGCTGTGAAGTGAACAAAACTAACGCCTTCCACAGGCCGTGAGCATGTCTCTGCCCACTTGGGCTGACAACGTGGGTTATGAAGAGGGTGATAAGCGGGTCATGGATAAATTACCAAATGGTTATCCACGGTACTTCCCCTGAATTCCAGGCCTCGATCACTCATCCGCTGATCCCGTCACCAGGTTCTTGATCCACAGTAACATCGCAGGACTCGCGAATGATATTATCGCCAAGTATGGAACCCCAGATCAAAGCGCCATGCTGTTTCCATCCCACAAGGCTGCCCACAGATGTCGTAATTTCATGCAAGCAACAGCAGAGCTTGGCTGCGCAGGAGAGATCAACATAATTGATCTGTTTCTCGGCAAGGGAAAAGAGGTTTCAGCGATAACTGCAAAGCTCTCGCCCTCAATATCAGCGGTCATCTTCCGTAAAGATCTCTTCCCAATAGCGAAGCAATACTGGCAACACTCTGGTGATGGTATCTCGAGCAGATATGCCGAATTTTGCCATTCGCTTTTCTTGGATGGCAAGCTGGCGGACTCCGCATCGCTGCAGCCGACCATAAATCAGAAAAGAGGCCCAAGGAGATACCAAAGTGTATCGAGATATACAACGTCCCAAGCAGAAAATAAGGCGGTCTCAGAAGAGCGAGTGGAAAGCGCACAGTTCCTCGAGGAGCGTTTTGGCCGAAATTTGGATATCTCACTTGTCGACAACGCCAAGTTAGCACTCCGTCGACGCATAGCTGGCTCTTTGGTGGGCGAAGTGGATCTTTCAGTTGAACCAAGTCCCAATATAACCTCCGACTCACGTGGAGTGACGGGACTTTCCGACAACGACGTTTACCTCTATCCATGTGGCATGAATGCCATTTTTAACACTCACCGAATGCTGCTAGAGTCTAGAGGTCAACTGAAAAGCATCTCGTTTGGTTTCCCCTACATTGACACTCTTAAAGTTCTGCAAAAGTTCGGCCCTGGGTGTCTTTTCTACGGCAATGGCTCCTCAGGAGATCTGGACGACTTGGAAGCGCGCCTAAAGGCTGGCGAACGATATTTGGCCTTGTTCTGCGAATTCCCCGGAAATCCTATGTTAAAATGTCCCGATCTAAAACGAATTAAGCAGTTGGCGGACACCTATGACTTTGGCGTGGTTGTTGACGAGACGATTGCAAACTCCATCAACGTTCATGTCCTTCCATATGCAGACGTGGTTGTCAGCAGTCTGACCAAGATTTTCTCAGGAGACTGTAATGTTATGGGCGGCAGCGCTATTTTAAACCCCGAAGGAAGGTATTATCAGCAGTTGAAGAGTGCTTTCGCATCAGATTACGAGGACAACTACTGGGCTGAGGACGTTATGTTTATGGAGCGCAATAGCCGTGACTTTGCGACTCGTATTAAGAAAATCAACGACAACGCCGAAACCATTTGCACCCTGCTTCAAGCACATCCTCTTGTTAAGGACGTATACTACCCCAAGTATAGCCGAACAAAGAAATTTTATGACGAGTGTCGGACACCAACCGGCGGGTATGGTGGCTTGCTATCTTTTACTTTCCACAAGAAGGCTCATGCGGTTGCGTTCTTCGATCGTATTGAGACTGCCAAAGGACCTAGCCTCGGTACAAACTTCACCTTAACTTCACCATATGTTCTGCTCGCACATTATGGTGAGTTGGATTGGGCTGCAGGCTTCGGTGTGCCAGCGGATCTTCTTCGCATTAGTGTTGGTGTCGAGGATGCGGAAGACCTGAAGTCACGGTTTGCAATTGCATTACAAGCTGCTGAAGCAGTAGGTTCTGGGCAAGACTAGACCTTTTAGCACATTCTATGTTATCAGTGGAAATTCCATAATTCTTCCATCAAATCTCTCCTACCACCAAGTGGGCCATAGTAACTTTATATAGACATATATCATATACTACCCAAACAACTTGATCGCTTTAAGAGCTCAATCTGGAAGTCTCTCAGGCTTACTAAAAGCTTAATCATGTGACACTGTCCTACTTTTGACATCTAGTAGTTAAGTCGGTGTGTGCTCAAAAGATGCTTAGTGAGTATCTACTCTATATATACTATATCAAGCCGTGCGCAATCTCAAGTAGTCAGGGTTTCCTATTCGTGGACGCTACTATCTCCAATGTGCCTCGCGTTAAGGTTGAAATCCTGCGCCACGTCATAAGGATTTTTCGGGATCCTGCATGATGACTTGTCACCCAAGGAGCGAACACCTCCCTAGTTCCTGGTCTCTTCTCGCATATATGCCAATACTACTCCCTAGTTGATTCTAAAGGCTGTTAACCCCATGATGTTTACATCCGACTTTCCGACAATGTCCCTTAACTTAGCCGGCATCATTTTCCTGGCAGATCTGCCGATCATCGCGCAGCGGACCGCCCTCACAGGCGGCGCCACATTCCTGGATACGTTTGTCCTCTGTCCCGGGCTGCATCGCCAGCAGGTTGCCGCTGATGTTCACGGCGGAGAGTACCCAGCCGTAGCTGCGATGACGACTGGCTATGTGTTTCGGGTCGAGAACCCAGCAACAGTCAATTTCCTACAGAGGGTTGGTCGCACGGGCCAGCTGACTACACTTTCTGTGACCAACATCCACAATTCTAAGCAAGGGTTGCTCTCTCGCTTTCTATCCTCTATAGATAGTTACATGTCAGTCGGAGCTGTTGCCGCATACCTGCTTGCGGTGGGCAGCACAGTCGCGGTCACATCCTTTCTCATCCTCACTGAGGACTGGTGGGGCCTCTTAGTGATCGCCATCTTAATGCTTACCCGATTCATCAATATGCTCTTAATTCAGTCTCGTAGTCGCGCCGGCTGGAGCGGAGCCTCCGAGCCGGGCGTGGTCGGGGATCTCCTGGTTCTTCTGAGTCAGGACCGCTGGGTCCGCATCACAGGCTACGTGGATGACCTCAAAGCAGTGACTTCTGGAGAATGGCTCCGTGATATGACTTGGGTTGAAAGCGCCATATCCGGCTTCACTACCTTATTGGTTTACCTGAATGTTGCCTTATTGAGCAATGCGAAATTGTCTGGGCAAGTTATGCTGCTGTTGCTATTTGTTGGAACGGCTGGTCTGCTAGGACTAGTGAATATGTTCAGACAAGGGCTCCAAATGCATGCGAACCTTGTCACTGTTGACGGTGCACGAAGACAATACCGCAGAAGGCTAGATCTTGCAGAGGCCTTGATCAAAGAGACGGGGAGAGATGATTGGGCTGTGCGCTTGGGGATGATAAACCCTTCTCAAGCGTCAGCTAGAAAGGGTGGTTTGGGAGGGAATGCTGCGTTCAATGAGACGCTTACAATGTGACCATGAGTTGGACAGCGGTGCTTGTCCTTATCAGTCGATACATATCACAAGGATGGCTATTTTGCGGATGGTGGAATATAATGTATCCCATATGGGGCTCGAGGAGGTTTGGATATGTGTGCCATTTACTGTGTGCTTTTGCTCTACGGTTATTAACAAAAATAAGTACCAGCATACCTGCTTGCACTCACAACCTACTTTGTAATAGCTCTTTCCGTTTGAAAGGCATAAACTAGTTACCATCTCGTTCGGACAATGAAACCCCCCCCAGAGTGGCGGCCATCTTAGACTAATTTGAGTCATAAACCTCAATATCAACCCCACTAGACAGTCGGGTGTACGAAGAACGGAACAATATGCAAAACTCGTCCCTTCCTGTGCTTTTTTGTCTGAAAAGAGAAATCAAATAAATCAGTAGATGAGAAAGATTAACAGGGGTATAACTCCCCATGCCTCTTCTCGGAAGGCATGCAACCCGCCAGGTGGACCCCATGCATCGGAGCTCCGAAGGAAAATCTCACACGGGCCAAGTGGATCAAAACAACTGATTTTTTCTAAACAATTAACCCTAAAAAGTACCATAACCGTGTCTATCTCGCCACTCTATAGCCCGTTGTACCCAGAATTCATGTGAAAGTAGCGTAAAAAGGATGCAGAACTTTTCCGTCACAATACCGTCGTTAACCAGATTGAAAAGGCGTAAAAACTCAACCAATAATCTATATCTATGTCGTTAAAGGCAAAAAAAATTAAATCGCAACTGGGGTATCGTTCCTATCGCCCGGTCCAATGCCTCGTCTACGGACAGAAATCATGGCAATGAGGAGACCTAATCCTGCTAGTCCGGCAGAACACCAGAGGCCGGTGGCATACTGCTGGGCAAGGCTGTGACCCTTTTTGATGTCGACTGCTTCTGTGACCGCGGCCGAGATGGCGAGGGCTACGCCGGAGCCGATTTGGAAGGCTGTGTTCAGCTGGCACATGGGTTAGTATGATTGTCAGACACAGAGATGGGCTTTGGGAAGCTTACCATTCCACCACATAAACTCTTGACGCTAACAGGAACAGTGGTCAGGATCGTGGTGCTCGTTGTCACGAAGATGAGCGATACGGCTGTGATACTAATAAGGGATGTGGGGAGAACGTTGACCCAGCTGTCATTGTTAGCGGTTTGCAAGCGTCATGGTGCGAGATCGGGGAATACATACAAGTCTGGCTCTGAGTTCGTTGCGGTCAATGCGCTTGGGACCGGGGCTAACACCGTCAGGACCAGCCCGGCGATAAGAGTGTATTTCCCGTTTACGTATTCGAGGGCCTTCCCTGTTCCCATAGAGGCGATGAACCCGATCGCGCCCATAGGCAGGAAGCGGAGAGCTGTGTCGCCGGCGGACAGATTGTCCACCTGTTGTGCCATCAGGACAATGTAGTAGATGACATTTTGGTAGCTGCCGTAGCAAGCTTGATTTTTGTTAGCGGTAACCGGTTTATCGACTTTGAGGCGACTTACTGAAACCTGCGATCCAAAGTCCTGCAAAATTGGGGATTTTCCACAGATCTAAGGGCATGATCGGGTAGGAGATGTACCATTCGAGAATGGTGAACGCGACCAGAAGGGCGACCGCGAGGATAAGAAGAACGATGATAAATGGGGTGCTCCAGCCGTAATCGCCTCCACTCGAAAGCACAAATTGGAGTAGGATTAGGCCGGCTGTAGATAGCAACGCTCCCAAGTAATCCATCTTCGGCTTTTCCTTCCCGGCTAGTTCGTCTTTGGGAAGGACGATAGCGCCCAGAACACCCAGAGAACCTGTGATGGTAACAATTAAATAGAAAATGTATCGCCAGCCTAGTGACGAGGTCAGGAATCCACCGAAGATGAGGCCGACACAGAATCCTAGTGTTCCTGATGCTGCGTAGATAGACAATGCCCGAGTACGATCAACACCGGTGAAGTAGGAACTGATGATTCCGATCGCCGATGGAACGGTCAACGCAGCACCTATTCCCTGAATACCACGGAAGACAGCAAGCTGGATAAACGATTGGCCAAATCCGATAGCGAGTGTCCAGACGGAGAGCCAGAACAGCCCAAGGCAGAGGATCATTTTTCTCCCATATCTGTCACGCATTAGAAATTAGAAATAACTTCCTCGCACTGCTAAAAATGAGCCTTACCGATCGGACAGCACGCCTGCTAGTAGCAAGAACCCGCCAAAGGTCAAGGTGTATGCAGATATCATCCATTGTAACTGGGTATTGGAGACTCCGAACTCTTCTTGAATAGAGGAAAGCGCGATGTTCGAACTAGTCATGAAAACATTATCAAGAAACTGGGAGCCGGAAGTCACCAGCAAGATCAAGGCTCCTCTCCAGGAGGCCAGTCGACCAATGTCTGGGCAGGGTTGCAAGCTCGTCAGGCCCTTTTCTTCGGTCGGGGTTGCCAGTCCGGACGAAGGGGTGCTGTGCCCTAACGACGACCCCGGGCGGGAGATAACAGTGAACTGGGGAAGTTTGCCAAACCAGCCCTCGCCCTCACCATCCTGGCTACGGCTTCGAAAGCCGAAGTCAAATTTAGTCATAATCTGTCTAGAGAGAAAAGAAATCCTTGGTTTTATTGAACTACAATTAAGGGGGCGAGCGCAGAGGCCTTTTAAAATTCTGAATTTTCAGCAGCTTAATAAAAAAGTGGGTATACTAGACGGAGCATACAAAGTTTTATCGCAACCCAGACTTCAGTCAGACTTTGGAAGGTCTTTGCGAAACAAGGAAATTGAACTACGGACTGACCAGCCTGTTCCTATTAATTAGCATTGAGTGGATTTTCGGCCAACGCCGTGATTGTCTATTATTCATTTACACCAACTATTGCGAACGTGCTATATAATCTGAAATATGCGATAGTTTTAGTCCCAGCCCATTTGCCACCCTTTCTCCCTCCAAAAAGTACGTGATCACTAGAGCACTCATTTTCTGGACCGCTCAATGGACAAGCAAGTTCCCGTGTTACCCACGAAGGCGTCAACTTCGTCAACATTTTACTCCCGAGATGTTGGTTCCTGGTCCTGCTTGAAGCCGAGACCAGAAGGACCTGACGTCCAGCGGGTTCCTTCGCTTTGTGTTCTGTTCGCATTGGCTTACAACTGCCACTATTTTAATCAAGTCATCGATGCGGATAGTTTTGCCCGATGCACGGAGTAACAGGCCGGAATACTATATGGAATTTGGCCAAAACGCATTATCACATACCACCTTCTTGCCCTGGAACCTCCTTCAGTTGCTAGGATTGGACCCACAAAACGTCGTGACCTCAAGCACAGCTTTTTGAACATGGATTGATCATCTCTCAGCTAGTCTGTAAGTATCGGTGGACTGGAATAAGCCAGGAGCTTCACATATCCATTGCCGTAGTTTCTGTCCCCGGTGCGGGGAAAACCAGCGGTAGACCCTCTACACATTTTATTCCGGTTGTGGAGCAAGTAGGTCCCAGGACCCTGGGGGTAGCAAAGGAAGGGTTCGAATTTTTACTATTGGAGAGACTCCGAAGTCAGGTTCTCCTCTTACTGTTTTGCTTTTTATTTTCAATTATATTTCTTTTTTTTTTCTTTTTTTTTTTTTTTTTTGTTTTTTTTTTTTTTTTGCTTGCGAGCTCATCGATAGAACACCTAACAACGTCCCGCGATATATATTTTACACAAAGTGACCAATCTAACCCTAGTTGGTTGATATCATAACACTTGTGAAGGTCATGTAGACGGCCACTCGGGACACACCAAGTACCTTGTTTACTGCCAGTGTTACTACTGATGTGATCAATATCCCGAAATCCCGATTGGTGCGCTGTGAATCGGAAGATTGGACAGCCCATGGATGGATTTCCTAGGGCTCACATGCACGACCGGCAAGCCGTGAGTGGCCTGTGCACTCGGTACGGGTAAGCTGAGCCCACTTGAAAAACTCAATCTCGTCCCGATATTAGTCCATTTCTAGAACCATTCTACTAGCTCCACCACTCAAACTTACAGTAGTATTGCAAAAGCAGTAAATTTTCTTAGTAGCTGAGCATCTTGACCGTAACTTGAGAATTGCGAGTTATTAAGTGATTCCATTTTTATAGCAGCGACGATTTACTAAGGCAGAGCACTCCTTCAGCTACCCATCCCAGCTGCGTGTTGCTCGTGGAAATTGTTTGACCCGTCTACACTTAGGGAAACGTCGTGCTTGTGGGCCATTCGGCAAGTGACCCTCCCGAAAAAAATCATTTAGGTTCCTTTGGTAAATTGAAGTTGTAGCTTAGAGTGGTCGGCTGCCTAGAAAGCGGAGAGCTCCACGACCGCCTTTGCCACCAAACCCTAGACCTAGAAATAAAGTTAACATGCTGAATAGCCTACGGGATTGACTACATGGAGGCTTGTGCATTGAATGTCCTGACTCACTGTGCTCCATCTACTTTCACTGTCCAATTCGATAGCAATTAGTATGAGGGTAAAACTTGGTATGGAAAAACAAACAATAGATTGGGCGGTGTGCCTGGTTGCTGCCTACGATGTGGCATTTCTCACAAAGGTATAAATAAACCCTTTTATATACCCTTTCCCCAAGGGCGGATAAATCCTCTTTGACGCTCAAGCGACTTGCATTAGATTAGTCGATGGTGCTATACAATGAATATTTTTTTCAATTTGTGGATAGCTCCGAATATTCAAATTCGACTTCCGCGCTTGTAGGACCACTGTTTCTTGTATCACCTCCTTGGGAACTTTCTATTCGTACTTGACGAATTGCGCAAGCTTTGCCGTTCCTGATTGCTTCGGAAGCCCTCCTTTGTGTTCGAATTGACAGCAGACACCCAAGGGCCATATGTTACGATGACCACTAAGCAACCAAAAGCGAATATCTATGCATATGCGTCTTTTGACGTTGCGGCACTTTTGTCGATAGCGCGGGGCATTCGCCAAAAGGATTGTGCTTGTAATGAATCTCAGCGTCCCAAATGTGGCAGCTTCAACTGGGTCATTCTCATTGTGTTTGAGGATGGGGTTGAGTGGGTTTTCCGGTCGCCACGGAAGACTTTCGGCCTACAACAGGATACTGCAAGTGAAGTCCTTTTGAGTGAAGTGGCAACCCTTGAATACCTTGGAAAGATCGGTGGCATCCCTATCCCAAGAGTATTTTCATACTGGTGAGGTCATGTGATACTCTGAAACTCCGGCTTCCCACTAACGTGATCAGTTCAACCGGTGAAAATGCCGTTGGTGTTCCATATATCTTGATGAGCAAGGCCGCAGGGGTGCCGCTTAGCAGCTACAAGTGGGATGACGGTCAAACTGGCCCAAGCGATCAGCACTCAGCAATATTAAACTCATCTCAAAAACAGAAGATACTGAAGCAACTGGGTCAAATGCAAGCGTACTTGTCTAATGTGCGATTTGACAAAATCGGTTCTCTTTTTTCGAAAGATGGAGCCCATGTCGTAGGGAAATGTCTGTACCCTTCCCTAGTCTGGCAGAGTCGAGATGAATTTGACGGGAACGATATCCCACGCGGACCATTCACTGAAGGGAAGTTCTTTTATCTCGCTTTAATAAGCGCGCTCTTGGCACATGTGAAGGAACTTCCCATGGGATATCATCTACTGCATGGCCCGGTTCCTGTTCTGCAAGAGTATAACGACTTCCAAGAATATCGGACCGCCACAGATAGATGGAATGATTATGTCGCGATGGGTTCAAAAACCGAAAGTACAGAGAACAGGCTTGATTATGCCCTAGTCGGGATGACTCTCGAGGACAATGTGCCCTTTTTGACGGAAAAAGACAGCGACATCAAATGCGACGGGTTTCCGTTGTGCCACCCGGATCTCAGCTTCCAAAATATCTTTGTCGATGACGAACTGAACATAATATGCATTATTGACTGGGCCTTTGCCTCTTCTGTTCCACCATCTATGCTTCTGGTCTGCCCTGGACTGCCCCATCCCCGTGATCGCATTCAGCTATGCCTTACGAAGGTTTTTATTGAGGGTTTCGTTGCTGCTAAAGGCTTTAATGGGGAGAAAGATGTGCATTTCTCCGACGGAATTATCTTCTGGGCATTATCTCGTCTAGTTAATCTAGACAGCCTCCAGGATTTTGTTTACTTTTCCGAATTTGTGCGTTCATGTACTGGGCAAGACGCCAAGCTTTATATTCGTCAACTTCAAGATCGAGAGGAGTTCAAAGAATTCTCTCGAATTCTTGCGACGTATGAGATCAACGATGAAAGCGTCAACCAAGGTGAAAAGCAGTATTTTTCATGTGTCGGTAGTGAACGATTCGCGTTATCACAGCACCTCACTGTGATGAAAGAGATAAATGGAGATTTCGTTGTGGATAAGCGGCTCTGGAGATGGATGGCACAACATCTGGAAGAGAGAGACCTTTACATGCATCCTACAGGCGAATACCTCAAATGAGGAAGAGAAGGCAAGCTTGATGAGGCCTCTTTGGGGTGGGGAGTATAATAAGGAAAATAACTAAGCTCGAGACGACTCTATATTAGATACTGCACCCGACTGCCTTTTCGCTTACAAGGCCCCAAGGATGGAGTAATCCGCGTCCCTTCTGGAGCTTTGAGAAGTATAGGTCAATATATGCTTATCTTCCAAATCGCATGGGTTGGCACTACATACCGCGCATTGCGTAACTGGCCCGTCGCAAAATAATTGAAAGCTCAGAAATCTATCCACATATTCACTCATGGCCCGATTGCCATGCCAACTACTACACATATCGAATGTAAAAGAGAGGCATACCTTCACGTCCAGGGTGTACACCAACTTTATCGCAAGTTCTAGAGAAATCCGCTTTTCACTACACAAATATACTCTGGTCAGGCGTTATACCGATTAATATTAAGCTGGAGTATCCCAGTCGGTATCCCGTTCGTTGGACGCCATCTGGCGTCGAGGAGGGTCCATGATAGCCAGTGCAGTTCAAACACCTTCTTTTATTTATAGAATTGGATCCGAATAATCGGTGCCTAGTCAAGCATAGCCTCTAAAACTCGTGTTGAACCCTTTAAGGTGGAGGTCAAGATGTTGATTGGACGGCAGAATACGAGCCTTGGCAGGTTTGCCTGTCTAGGCTTAGCTTGATTTCGAAGCATTGATCAAGTATAAAGTTGTTCGATGAGCCTCGTGTTCGCACCTTCGTCGATGTGTTAGTCGTTTTTCTCCTTCGCAGCGCTCATTAAATCAATGATGGTGTCTAACGGTTCATTGTGGTCTGTGGAGTCCCAACCGACAAGTCCCACACAGGTTGAAACGATGGAAAATGGCAATAATGACTGGCGCAATAGCAACTATCTGTCAGCATTCAGAGTTCGGCCTAGGTATCAGCTAGCTGGCAGTTCATTACATATAGACGGGGCCAATGGATTGCTCCCGGCAGTCTCAAACTCCACACGGCCAGTGTACAGGGCTCGACGCGCGCACCGAAAATCGAGGACTGGCTGTCTGAGTTGTAAGCGTCGAAAGGTCAAAGTAAAAACCCCAATCCAACCGCCCCACAGGCTAATGTAACTGACCTTATCGAAAGTGCGATGAAGCAAAGCCACAATGCAGGAGGTGCCGCATGCACGGCTCCGTCTGTGATTTTGCACTTCCGGGCAATGAGGCACATAAAAGAATCACCATGGCTTTGTCAACCTGTGGCACTTCGCTCGTTTGCAATGGCTCGTTGGCATTCGGCGCAATGACGGCTAGCCTCGATCATATCTTATGGTCTGACATAAGCAGCGAGAGACTGCACTCGTGTGGTCCATGCGACTCTTTTGGATCGTTTGGCCTGGCCATGCTAGCACATTTTTCTCAGATGGTATCAGTGCACTCGCCTGCGTTTACCCCTATTAAGAAGGTCATGCGGGAGCGTACTATCCCGGTAGCTCTTGGGGTATGTCTAAATCAGTTTTTACAATTAACAGTAGACAAAAACTGACGGTTGTGAAGGAACCGTGTCTTTTGTATTCCATAATGGCAGTGGCAAGCACACACTGGGCTTGTGCTCTGCCCTCGGACCCAACGCATACCCTAATAGCCACTCGTTTTCGACACAAAGCCACCCGGGTATATCGAGAACAACTCCAGTTACCAATCGACCGAGATAACATGGACACGCTAATCACAAGCTGCATATTGATTGCAATGTTCTCCTTCTCAGCTGAGACGACAACCCCGCTGGACTCCTGGATTTTCTCAGATGATCCGGCCAACATGAATTGGCTCTCCGTCCAAGGTGGTTTACGCTGTCTCCTTGAGATCACCAAGCCATGGATGAAAGAGAGCATCTGGAATGAACCGTTTCAGGAATCGAGCAACTATGAATACGCTGATGATCATCGAATGGGTCGTGAAGATCTCGATCCCGATCTGGCCGATCTGTGCGATATTACCGAGACCACGACGGAAGAGACAAACCCCTTCCATTGGCCTCTTCGTATGCTGTGCCCCTTGCTGCGCATCCCACGGCATAAATGCGGAGCGTCTCGCATAACGAACTTCATGGGTCGGCTGCTACCGGATTTCGTGCATCTGCTTGCTGCGAAGGAGCCCCGTGCCCTGCTTATCTTGTCATACTGGCTCGCACTAATGTGTATTTCTGTCGATGAGTGGTGGGTTGGTCCCCGCGTTACGCTTGAATGTCAAGCTATTTGTATGTATCTTGAAGCATGCGGTGACAGGCGAATTGTCGAGTTGCTTGAATTTCCGGCAAGGGCTTGTGGATACAAGTCAACCAGGTGAAAGCCATCTACTAGCGCAAGCCATGGTTCGCTTGCCGTCACCCATTGGATATAGACGCTTTGATATATTTCCTTTATGTATGCCATAAATAGATAGTATAGCTAAGACGCCAAAAGTGTAAAGACTAATATGAACATATATATTTTCCGGGGATGAGCGAACGCTGAGAATATCGTATATTTTCTTTACGTCGTGCACCAGGTCCGATACATTCTACTCCAGGCAATACTAGAGGCGTAGATTATGACGAAGAGGGTTACCTCGTTCAGGTTTATGTGGATTGTAAACAACATACGTCTCACGTGCCTGTCTCCCGACGACGGCTTTTAAAGCCAAGAACACAATCCTTCCCATTTGTGATTTAACATTGCAAGTCGATATTTGGAATTTCCTGCACCCGATTTACCCTGGCCCTTCTACTGCTAGCAAATTCTGTTCAGTCGCTAAAAGTATCTAGCTTTGGAGAATAAACACTGGCAATCAGGAAAATCCCACATCATGAGTGACGGAGAAGATGACATGGCGACCTTTCAACAGGTCCTTAACCATCTGGACCTGGCAAAGATACCACCCTTTGTCTTATCCATTCGCCAGCAGGGCGAAAATGCAGAAGACGGAACATCAACATGCACCAGCTGTAGTGTTTTGCCTGAGCGCTTCTTCGGTTCTAATAACATCCTCTTTCCTCTGGAATTTAATACCGGCGAGAGGTGGACCTTGAAAATTCCAGTGCATGGATATCCAGGCGGTTTCAACCATATGTATGCCCGTGTCTTAACCACCGAAGCCTCAACAATGCAGTTTCTTAGGCGAAAAACGACTATTCCCATCCCGACTGTCTTCTCATTCTCAGCCACCCTAGACAATGACCTGGGTTGCCCCTACATATTGATGGAGTATATCGACGGCAAGTCAACCCGCCATGTTTGGTTCAATGAAGAACTAGATGCCGCTACTCTAGAGCGCCATCGGACACAGGTTCTACTGGATCTATCCAAAATTATGTTGCAGCTGAATCAATTCACCTTTTCTGAGGCCGGCTCGCCAATTTTCGATAACAGCAATAATCCCATTGGTGTAGGACCGTTGAGAGTCATGGATATGCCAGCAACGCTGAAGGAACTGAGAAAGAATGACATATGTGACACAGTCATTCAATCCGAGATTGAGCCCAGTTCAGACCCAAAGGCCTGGATGCTCTGCATGTTCGAGCGTCACGAGCCACCGGATGACAAGTTTAGTCAAGGCGCACATCGACTTCTAAAGCACTTCATAGAATGGTTACCATGGTCGGAGTTTACGAAAGAGCCCTTTGTATTGACACACCCCGACTTCAACTTTCAGAATATTCTAGTTTCCGACGAGGGTAAGGTGTGTGCATTGATCGACTGGGAAGGTGTTTCCACAGTGCCGAGATTCCTGGGTAACGAGAGATACCCTAGCTGGCTTACCCGTGATTGGGATCCCATGAACTACGGTTACGGGGTGGAAGAGTGTTTTGTCCAGGAGAATTTACCGGAGGAGCTTTCTCACTATCGACAGCTGTACCGTGGTATGATTCAGGCTGCCGTTACAGAAGATCAAAAAGAGACCGATGCCAGTGCCGTTGCTCTCTCTAAGCGAAACTTGGAGCGACACTTACTAGTGTTGGAAAGTCTTTCGATTGCTGCTGATCAGCCGATCAACCTGCCTGAAATTGTTCAAAAGCTTTTCAATGAAGTGTCAAAGCAAGATGGATTTCCCGAGGATCTCGAGCTTTGGGAGGTTTGTTTTGGACTGGCTGATGAAGATCTCGATGACGAACAGTTGGAATCGGTCCGCTGTGGGTTTCAAAAGCTGCTTCAATCACCACACTAGAACATGAGAAGGGGTCGGAGCTCCTTGTTTTCACTAAATTATCCCAGATAAAGAGTAGTTAGTGATATTTATATTCTGAACTGTTTGATAAACTCTCACTACGTGATTGTGGTTCGTCAAAACTAATGTATGCAGCGCGGTGTATCAGATAAGATGAAAAGCAACCAGTACATTTCAATTAACCAGATGTATAGGTACAAGTAAAATAGAGTACAAGAGAGAATTTTCTTCACAACCTGTTCGGAAGTCTAAATCATCGATGCTCCCGATGAGCAAAAAACACCGGGACTGAGGTAAGAGGTCAGCGACAGAGAGCCATCCTTGTCAAACGCGCATGCAATATAAGTTTGGATGCGATGGCCATTTACAGCGTTGTGCCTTTGAGTAATCATCCGCATAGCGCGTTGGAATCCATCTACATATTGTCCCCTCTGCCTCGACATCATAAACTGCCGGAGCCCGAGCGCGATATCTGCGTCTGAACGCCCGTACCGGATCACGGGTTAGTACAGTTTCACGTCGGGCAACTGTGTGCCAGGTGCGAGATTAAAATAATAGAGTAAGCCGCGGTAGTAGTCTTCAGAGCGTGCACGACTGGGTTGGAATGGATTCTGGATGGGTAGTTCCTCGTCCTGGCAGAATTTGTCGTCCAGCCCTGGCACTACGCAGAACAAGGCCCACAGGTCATCGATGGAACATTGAGCGACTGGGATCCACCCACCCAGCGTTATCACGGATATGGCACTCCTGAATGTGCATGCGTGCCCCTGCAATAGAGATTTATACATGATTTGAGAGGCGACACGCAGTCAATGGCCAAGAAATCTGGTCGCAAAGTAGCCCCAACCTGATCGCTGGAAAGGTATGCCGGACACTCGTCCAGGGCGATAGTATCGTTACCATAGGTTAGATGCATAGCATCCGCAAACATGTCGAAAGAAGGAACATCGTTGGAGTTTCCTGGTGGTGCAAAGTAGACTTTAGTGACAATTCCCTTCGGTGTCAATTCCAACGCAACGAGCATTCATGGCGTTCTTCCTTGCCATAGCAGCTTACCCTCGCGGGTAAGACCATCTACCCAATCACTAGTGTGTAGATGGTTTCCAAAATGATGGTACGAGGCAAAGTCTACATCGGGAAGGAGCTTTGCAAGTTCGCCCTGATACCATGTGTTGCCTGGAGCTTGCTACCCACGATCCCAACGGCATACTGGAGAAATCAGAATTGTTGGTAACTTTAGACCAAGTGGCAGCAAGAGGTCATTTATCGTCAATAGAGATTGATTCCGGAAAGTTTATCCTGGGTGAAGATTAAAGCTGCTAGTATTCCGAGTTGCGTAATTGTGATTCAATCAGTGCTGACATTTGAGTGACCACTTGAACAACCATGTTCTCCTTTCATAGCATTGGGATCGATATTTCGCCAGCTATGGGTTCAACTCCCCAGCACATAATTCGACCGATCGAAGATATGCTGAGTTCCAGCGCATTTGAATCAGAGCTCCCAATGGGTACACCTTGGGGTATTGGGTCCACCACTAGGGCCATAAAACGCCTAGTCGTAAGAGAGCTATCGAAGGCCGAAGGAGCCCCATATATCTTGCTGCACAATGTGCCCCCAAGTATTATCGAAAGAACGACCGATAATCGCCAGCTCCTTGGATCCAGAGCAATCCGCCTCTGTTATAATTCAGAAACGCGCCAGCTCATAATAAAGTTTCCGAAGGAGCCCCACGAGGTGGCCTCTAGGTCATTAGGTAACATATTTCGCCGAGCATTTGATACTATGGGCCTCGGGGACAAATACCTAAGCCTCGGGTCAGCAATCGCCGATAATGGGCGCGTCGAGAAGGAGCCGGATGACCAATGGGTCCCTAAACCAGAATACCTCCCTGCAGGACGGAACGTGCACTGGCCCACAGTCGTCCTCGAGTGTGGATGGTCTGAAGGGCTATCCCAATTGAGGAGGGATGCCAGTATCTGGATGGCACATTTTGAGGCCAAGGTAGCGATCATAGTGTCTGTTGAGAGACGGAGACATTTTATCCAAATCGAAAAGTGGGTACCAACCGCCGGACATAGCCTCAGGGCTGGGCCCCTGATTCAATCTAGATGCGCCCAAAGAATCCACATCATGGAGACCAAGAGTGGTCTCCATATCAACGGCCCGTTTTTGTACATCGAATTTGAGGAACTGTGGCTTCGCCAACCGGCCGCGAACGAGCGAGACTATGTCTTCCCCCATGCTACACTGGAGGTCCTCGCCGACGACATCTGGGTTCGCCAGGATATCTGGCTCGCTGAGAGAAACGAGGAGCTAGAAGAGGTTTCCGATGAAGATATTGAGATCGATAATGAGGATGACGACCAGGAGGAGAGTCAGTAGATAGGCGAGGCCAGGAAAGGAGAACAAGCGGTGGAGTTGAGATGTTTTTCTATAGTTATATCGGCCTGACCCTTTCGGCTTTAAATAAACATTCAAATTGTAACTCTTTGCTTGAAGTATGATCATGTGCACAAAGCTAAATACCTCCACTTGAGCTGTCCTAGGGGAAGACTTGTCCTGCCCAAAAGCTCATTGTAGCCCATCTGATCCACCCCGAGAAGGCTGCTCATCAACCTAGCATCACTAGGATCTCAGGGAAATTTGTTGTTCGAGACATAGTAACCGTGTATATCGACACTACCGAGGAACACGCTGCTTGTATATCTATGCTCCTGTCCGTCAGGGTATTGTGCGTTGTACCACCGCCGTTCCTAGTGCGTTCAATGGTAATAGGCCCTTACAGGTCGTGGTTTGCGGTCCTCTCATAACAAACTTGGCAGATCTCGCCTTTATAGTCAAGATTGTGGCAACCCCCGCTGCACCCAATATCGGTTACCGCTTGACCCCTATCGCTGTTGAAGTCGGGACTGTTGCTCTCCCAGATCCCAGCACGGCACGGGACCGAAATCGCGCCGTCATAGGAAGTCTCCTGCAGTATTCAGAATCCAAAGGTGCATCTCAAGACTAAAGGAGCGGAAACGATTAGAGTAAACACCGGTAGATGTATTTTGACGGGTTGACAATTGTTTCAACTGCTCTGATGACAAGTATCAGCAGGTCTTCAGTTCCTTGTAACTGAACAAGTTACCTACTTAACAGATCAGCAGAGAGTGAACGTTGGTAACGTGAAGATACTGTGGTTTGTGGTTAGATATGTGCGATTCTACATGACTTTATCACTCTTTGCCCCCAGGCTCTGTGCTTGTTGTGGCCACGGTTGCATTCGGTTTACTCGATCCAGGACACCCGCCCCTTCAGCTTAATCTAGCAAACGGGTTTCTTATGCGATAACAACATCAATACGTTAATAGGATGTCTCACCGCTTATATACGCTCTTGGTAATTTGATTGAAACTGCATTTGATTATATCCGACAACGATAAAGAGCTAAAAATAGTACGGGCCATGTCCCGAGACCCTGCTCGACACTCTTTGAGATCAGTTTCCCCCGCAGTTTTGGAAACCCCATCACAATCTTGCATCCTCAAAACCTTCCACTCTACAACCCTTGGATAGCACATCCCCGTCGTCGCCATGAGTGTCTCACCTCCTCCGACTCCTCCATCGAGGGCTGTAATAGATGACCAGTGGAGATTCCAAACTATTACATTACCCTGTGAGTGGGTGGAGGATTACCGTCCTGGTGGTTACCATCCTGTCATCCTCGGTGATGTCTTCAACAATGAATGGCCAGTACAAGATCATCCGGAAGCTCGGTGACGGCTCCTACTCGACAGTTTGGCTCGCCCGTGATCTGAAGTAAGTTCGTCTTTTGCGTTGTTTATGACGTTACTTATTTCCTTTAAGAAATGGTGGATATGTGGCCCTGAAGATTCTTGTATCAAAAATCTCGGGATCGACAACCGAGCTACGAATTTTACGGCACTTCGCCGAAGCCGCACCAGCAGAAGCGGCCCGGCATGTCACGCCGCTGCTAGGCGAGTTCGAGCACCACGGCCCCAATGGTGTCCACAGGTGCCTGGTATTTGAGCCCATGGGCCCAAGTGTGAATACTATGGTTGAGGAGCTGCCGCAGTTTAATCCTCGCCGGCAAGGAATGAAAGTCCGCTATCCTCTTTGGATGGCAAAGAGCATCCTCAAGCAATCCCTGCAGGCTCTTGCATTTCTCCACGAGAATGGTATAGCACATGGAGATTTCCAGCCGGGAAACATACTCTTCACTCTAAGCGATATAGCCTCGACGCCCGAGGACGTACTTCAGCAGGAGGAAGATGTACAAGCCCGGTCAATCTCCGCACCGGTAGAGAGGTTAGATGGTAAGCCAGATAGATGGGCTCCTCGATATCTTTGCGTTGCGCAGCCGTTGGTGCCCTTTACCTACTATGCTGAGGGTTTCAAGATCAAATTATCCGATATGGGCGGCGGTTAGTCTCACCCGTTTCGATTATTTGTTTCGTTTTGACGAGTATCTATACTTACACCTGTCTACCCTGAACAGCATATTTCTTTACAAACCCGCCAACGAAGCCGGTTACTCGACTCGGTCTGCGAGCTCCCGAATTGATTCTTACCGGAGCCGTTGGCAACACTGCTGATGTCTGGAGCTTCGGTTGTCTTGTCTTTGAGCTTATCACTGGACAGCCGCTTTTCTGTATACCAGGGTCCGAGGATGAAGACGACGATCATATTCTCTCCCTCATCGAACGACTAGGTCCCCTCCCGGACGAGCTCTTTAGTAACTGGAAGAACTCGTCCCTCTACTTTACGCCGGAGAGGAAGCTCTTTAATTGTGAGCTGGGAGGAGTCGCTCCGGGGGAGGAGCCGCTTATGCTGGAGCAGACATCCATGGAGGAATCATTCGATCTTGCAGAGCCTGATCTTGATGAGACGGAAGCTAGAAAAGTAAAGGCGCTCATTCGATGGATCTTACAATATGATCCCTCGAAAAGACCTTCGCCTGCGCAAATCTTGTCCGATCCATGGTTCTGCGAGATTAACGTAGGGTAGCTATAGTTTCTGTCTACTTGCGTGGTCATTGCCACCCCCGAGACATTGGTACTCCACTTATAGCTTTTTGTGTCGTTTGTCTTAACTAGAAGTAATATTCTCTGTTAACTCAGTACCACGTATAGCAAGCCGGTGGCTCTGCTGTATCAGCGCCGACAAGAAGTGTGGGGTAAGCTGCACCCATGTAGTGCAAGTACCACGTCGTGTTCAGATAAGATGAATACGGGGCTTAATGTATTGGATTCGGCGTTGAGTTAGGACAAAACCTGGTCTGAAGAATTTTAGGCAGTCACTTTCCTGTGCTGCAAACCACCTACGCGAAAATCGGCGATCTAGAACATTTCAAGTCTCGGCCTGCATATCCATGTAACCCTTTTCCACGCTGTGTGTAAGAACTAGCTTGAGGTTGGACCTACGATATCAGTGTTTAAGACTTCGTCACACCTTCCAATGAAGTACAGCCCTCGCTGTCGTCGATAATTGTACGTGTTTTAGGGTATTTGATGGTCTCGTGGTATCGATCCCGGCAAACTAGATTACTTAGACCTTGGACACCGTGTAGTCTTTGCAAACTGTGTGTATGCAGATGCTTGGTTATCGCTTTCCCCCCGAGCGATCTGGCCAGTTTTGTGTCTTGGCATCGAGTGGTCTTACGTTCCTTTGTATCGATTTGTGACTTGTATATCTTGTACAACATTCCTCACTTGCATGAACCACCTACGTGATCAAAACAAAATGTCTATATTTATAGGTATCTTACTTTTACATCCTGTGTCTATATACACCCGTTCTATCGTCTAGTGAAATAACCTCTTGTGGGCCCCGGGGAAACAACCTAGTGCGCAACGAGAAGGCCTCTCACCACCTTTTGCCCATAGGGAAATATAGACACCGTCTATGGCCTGACCTACAAATTTCCCTCCCATGTCAGCAACACTCTACCCACCTGAGACTAATGACAAGCGGGTCACATCATGGATTCCGCTCACAACGGCCTGGCGTATGCCACCAGACTGTTCAACATACTTTCGCATCGATGGACCTTCGCTAATAGCATTTGATCCGAGAACTGACCTCGAAGGTGACCCGTCGATCGGATGCGCGCCATCAGAAATAGCAATCTCATGGAAACAGGTCGCCTTAGTGCACCCAGACACGGCAAACAGCCTTGGCCCTCTCACCTGTCCTGATTACCTCCACACCGTAGGAACCTCGGTCAAGGATGGATCTAGCACGCTGGCCATATGTTGTCCTTCGTACGTGCACCCGTTCATGGAATACGAATATTGCAGAGGCTGACTATCAGGAAGAGGCTAGTTTCGTGAGAGACCGGTCCCAGATGGCGATTGCCTGTCAAGCGTGTCGCCTAATATGGTACTGACTTTCGCATTTACCGCACCCGAGAACTCAAGGGTTTGGACAATAGCCACGACGACATTGGCCACAAGCTCGACTGTCAGGGCAATGGCGGTAATGGGCTGGAATATCGAGATGTCTGTTTCATTGTCTCCATCACCGGTAGCAACACCCACAAGCACCACCATAAACAGGCTGTCTAGGAGCGCCCCGCCTGAAGACAGTTCTGGTGCCATCTTGCCCTCCACTACAAGTGCACCCATTACCGTCTTGCCCAACGATGCATCATTTCTGGCTTCCTTGTCCGTGATGGCTCTCACCCCAGCTATCTCAACATCATCCTCTTCTACAATATCGAGACCAATCACTGATTACGGTCTATCTGCGGAAGATAAAGCAGGAATCGGAGTTGGGGCTGGGGTGGTGACGATTGGATTGAGTGTATTGGTGGTGGCTATTTGTATCGTGGTACGAAAGCAACGACGTGGGATGATGCACAGAGGTCAGTCTGCCAGTAACTTTCGACGGAATGCAGCAAAGAGAACCCCAAATCAGAACCCGTCAAGCCGCACGGGCCATAATCATCCAGCTCACAAAATGTCATCGCTTGCTACGAACACAGTATCGTCATGCAGTTCCCCGATCAAGCCGGCTGCGGAGCAACAGGATACCATAGCGGTGTCACAGCCCCAGGCTTGTAGGCCAGAGTAGCTTTATACTCGTATATTTGAATAGTTCTTCACAATGTCTGTTTGGTATTTCTCTTTGGTTTTTCTGTTACTGCTGATTCTGCGATCGTTTCTGTTTCTGCTGGGCGTATTTGGCTGTAGGTTTTAGCATGTTGTGTTCTATTGCAATCTACCGTATTCTATGTGCATAGCTGTATATCGAGCGAGCTTTTGGCTCTATAAATATTAGATAATGGCGTTGCTACCACATGCCCGACTGGACCCTCGATAGACTTACGTCGCAACCCATTCAGACTCACGACAGTAGGGCCACATAGGACCAACACGGCCACCCTCCTACAAGCTATTCTACCCATAGCAACGTATGCTACTACATTCCACTCTCAACCCACACAGGGATTGTACAAGACGGAAGGCTTGGGTCTCGGGATAAATCAAGATTTGCTCAATTAGAATCAAGATGAGCCAATGCAATGATCGTGGAATGGAATTGTCGACATGATCGTTCGGCGGACCATCAACAGAGCGAGTACCCTGCGCATGCGCTCCCCAACTTCATGAGGGAGGAGGCTTTGGGCAAGGATATCTATACCCGATACAACCTCTGTCGATGACGCTACCGCCTGCCTTCGTAAAAGCTCGACAAATAGTAGTACATTCATTTCCTCGTCTGCGGGCAATGCAATTCAAGCACGCTCTACAATAAAGTGCTGGCCCGCCAATATAAGGGTAAACAATACATTCTGTGTATCAACACCCCTTCTAATCACATTGCTCACAAGGAGTGACCGCTGCAAGGACCCGTGTATGAAGAAACTACGCTTTCCGCTGGCTTTTATTGGAAATTTGACTCGAGCCCTCGTCGCCTGGAACGAGTCCGCTGCAGACAGCGCGGAGTGAACTTATCGTTGTTTTGTCAACACTCGACCATTCATGGGGCTCTGCGACCAAGCCCCCCGCGCTGGCTATGGTGAATACGGCGTCTATATGTCATTCGGCAATCCCCTCTCCTTGAAGATTAAGAATTTGAACATCGACAATTATATGAAAGGTGAGAAGATATAGTCGCTCTTGCTTTCACGGTACATCAATGGCCGCACATCGCGTATGCGGATATACCAGTTATGCCGATACACGAGAGCCCTGGGTACGTGAATCTCGAACAACCTGTCAAGGGAGTAGAATGGGCAGTCTTTGTATGCATGAACGAGGGTAGCAAAAGGAGTCTGTTGTGGCATCGCTGCCTACAATTCCTCGGAGTCAAGCATATTCCGCAAGGGCCGTTCCAGCCATTAGCTGCACCATAGCCGATTATGGCTATCCGTTTCTTCCATACATCTCTGCCGTGTCGGGATCACGCAAATTATCTCACGTCTTCGGGCTGTGGCTTCCTCTTCCTAGCTGACCTCGTCCTGAAAAGTCGACAGAAGTTAACATAGGGTAGTTAACATCTAAATTGGTGGATATCATAACATCTTTGACTGACAATGTCTAACTTAGTCTGGTACAAGGTCCATACATCCAAAGGGTGCAGCCGCAATCCGACGTCCCACGCAAGTACTCCCCGGTTACCAGTTGCTGAAATTCTGCTAAACTCCCTATCTTCTTGCCTCAAGTTGTTTTGTACGGAACATGGACTGGGTTTGTCAGGCGACTTTAAAGCTGGTGCAAGGTCCATCCAACGTGCCTAGTATCTGGCAAACGAGGCGCATCCCTGGGGAAATTCGATGCGGGGAGAATATGTCAAGGCTCTAATTAGGGATCATCTTTCGGCCTTCATTGATTGCTTGCCTCTAGCTATCTAAAACCATCTAAGCCTAGAAAGCTATCCTTTGTGGGACCGCTTAGCGGCCGGAAGAACCCACTTTCCGGGCCAATCGGCTACCAGGCGGAATCCCCTAGCCAACAGAATATATGCTCGACACTATTAATGACCTGTGAGGGTACGCACCATTCGATATATGCGTCCGTCATTACATACGATCGAGGAGAGCCTGTGAAAGCGTTCGAGTGCACTACCTTGAACTCTTTGAATATCGGCATGCCATTTCGATCCGCGGTGCCCACCCACATTTCAACGAGGAAGACATGTGTCTGTCTTCCCGCAATAATGACTGTCCTTGTCTGAAAGTGCCCTATCCATATGCTGGCGTCTCTCCTGAACTGGTGCGGCTAGTCGGAGTCTACCGCGACTGTGGAGCTGGGCGCGAACAGCCAACTGAGCCGGCTGGCCGTAGCCACACCAGTAGACCGACCGAACGACCGGCTTGCGGATTAACCGCCTTTCTCGACACGACAGGGATTGTGAACCTGTTTAGGGTGGGAGTCCTGGCATTACCACAGGGTTCACACCAGAACGGGGTTGGAACCACGCGTCCGGTGGAAGTTCGACAAACTGAGCCGAAGCCCAGTCATCGGCACCCGCGATAACAGCCTGCACGGGATGATCCCACTGATTCCACCCGATTTTGTGTTTGTACATCAAGTCCACCAAGCGATTTTGATGGACTGCTCTGCTCGTGTAATTTGTATCGGGTATAAATTTTGGGTATGGCATATTGTGTCCCAGTCAGGAGCCAATGCATCTGGTGGTACCTTTTGACTGGCCCAGCAGTATTGATTATGATATAAGCTATTGGCACAGTTGCGCTCTGTCCAAAGGGAAATTGCTCAATGTCCAGAGTATACAGAAATCTTGTAAGTATCGAACTCCTGGCCGTGTCCGCCAACATCGACCATGGTTATGAACGACCATCGGGCTGGGCTAGAGGACTGTTTGTGATAGACTCTAGAAGAGCCTTCCGGCGTGGAAGGTAGTGAGAAATGCCGTAGAAACGTGTGCAATATCCTGTGTTAGGATGGACTTTTGTACCATTTGTTGGATGGATGATCTTCAGTTCCTTTGACCTCCTTCTCCAGGTGTGCCACCGAGACCACGGGGTGTATATCTGAGTACCACAGTAAAAGACCTCCTGAGGCTAAGCAGCAGTATGCCTCGCTCTGGTATTGGAGACTTCCGGTCAGTATGTACGGACGCACTGAATGGCTTGCCACGAGATGATATCTTCCCTCACTCTTGGCCGCGACCCTGATGTCCCTTCCTCAGCTACTGTGGGCCGTTCCAGACCATATTGAACTGACAATGAAAGACAGCCCATCCTTATTGATTACCCTGTAGTTACACATCTTGTAATGGATGGATATTTGGACGATGAGTCTCTTGGAGCTGCGCCCAACGTCGGGCTATCATTGCTGTTTGGCAAAGTGGGCTGGAATATCAGGTTTCTATGCTGTTGGGAACTGTTATGCGTCAACGGCAGCGATGCTCGGATGGCAGGAGAGGGCCAAGGAGGTCAGGCGGCAAACTAACTGTGGTGCCTCAACAGTATTCCGAAATCAGAATTCACTGTGTGCAATCCAAATGAAACATCCATGCTTCCAAGCCCTTTTCCCCCACATCACACCGCTTCTCGATAATACTTATACCTGCCCACGACACTGTGTGTCTCGAGGACGCAGTTGACCAGTGATATTAACGAATCATTCTTGCGTATACGATATTCCGTCCTGCTTCCCAGAGCCTTCATGTACAGATCTGTAACATGAGCCATCACAGGTTCGAGCTCTTCTAGGGTTTCCTGGCATTTTGGTGTCCATAGTGATGGTCATCAACCCCCACCTCATTTTTCGTCGCCATAGCATCATTATAACTTGTAGCTGGAACTGTATGACTAGCTTCTGGTAATTTAGACGCGCTCCAGAGCAAGTCAAACATCCATTTTCAAGTTCGTAACCGCTCAAGGTCATTTGGAGCCTATAGCTGACCTCTAGGCGCGCATCGAGAAGGTTAGTACTCGTGAGCGTGCCGAGAAATCGATGTAGTCTAGCAGATGTACCAGTTTCCAAAGTTGCAGTCGTTCAGTTCTGGCAATATAACTTCAACTGGACGTCAAAATGGGCTCTGGTTGTCCGCCTGTGGCCAGTGCCATTTTTGCATTTCTGGCTGTGTCCCGAACTCACGCAACCGGTATGTGTGTGAACGGTGGAACGCACAATGAGCCATGGAATGACAATGATGATGTTTGCCGTTCATGAGGGTGTTTATATAAGCGGTAAAAATGCCCTGTAGTGTGGCTCTTTCTTCCTGAAAGACAGGGACATCGTTGAAGTGGACAAGATATGCCCCTGTAGCTGGGCTGATCGAGGAAGCGGACCCTCATGTTGAACGATTTGCAAGTTATACCATGAGGTTTTATATCAAGGGCCAAAGCTGTACTATTATATATTATCCCAATCGCCAAAGTGGTATTATATGCCGACAGGTTGGTGATTTAGACATGGTGAGGAGACCACTATGGCCAGAGGTCGCACACCCTTTTTATAGGGAGTTCTAGGTATTAGGTGATGTAAGCTTCCAACGTGTGAATACAAAGCTTTTCCAAGATGTGAAAGAGAAATTATTCGTACATGGCCTTCTCGTTCGTGCATTCACGACATGGCAGGGCCGGACGTTTCCCATTTTGAGCCAGTATTAACTACGTCTTTCCGACAATCATCCAGTTCCGACTGGTACCTACCGGAAGGTTTCACCCAGTGCCCATTTTGCAAATTCCCGGGCTTATTATGGGCCGTGCTATTGGCGATTGCATGCAAGGGAACCTCCCATTGAGCTAGCCTATAATAGTCTTGACCAAAGAACACAATGGGTTTAACTAAGAGGGAGAATGAATAACGTGCTAAGCAAATTATATACGAATTATTGGTCTATCATTAGATGCTATGTCCAAGATTATAGACTAGTGGAGTGCAAATTAGCTGCGTTTCTAGCTAATTACGGGTTAGGTGTTAAGCTGAAAGGCCACAATTCACTAGGTTGATCGGTCCACAAGTCCTGTCACATTCTATTAATACCTAGATTGTACCAACAAAACATATTCTCTTTGACTGGTGGGACAAGAGCTACGAGTAAGGGAAGTAGTTCTCGTGGGATTGGCTATCCGCGATGATGGGAAAAAGACCTAAGGTGACATGGACAGGGAAAGAAGGATAATTCACCAAAATAGGAATAAGTCTGAGCGTAAGCCGCCAATACTATGCCATATACAACGTCATTCTATCGCTAAGTCGAGTATTTAGGTATAGTCCAACGCCGAATATGTACCGACTACTCTTTATTTATAGAGCATACTAATCTTTGTGTGCAACTTCAAATAAACAAAGCACTTTCGCGCACCCCGCAGAAGCTAGGGGTTGTATCAAACGTAAGAGCCAAGGCAATACCCCTATGCTCCTCCAGATTGTAAGACCATGATCTAACATGTTTCTTCTTTGAGGCGCCATGAGAGGTCAGGAATTTGTAGTCGGCGTTTAGACCGTTGTGTCATATCCCAAACAATGTCATCTTGGTCAGCTGTGCACCTCTAAAAATAACCGCAGAATTGTGCGCCTCCTGAGAATAGAACATAACATACTAGTATTAGAAACAGTTAGTCTTCGGTGTGTTTTGTATCAGCACGTGGTGCTCTTGATATATATACTCCGCCTCTCAGTAGTGAGTATCGCCAATAGTAACCGGCTATTACATTCCTGATATCAAGATCCACAAAGCAGTAGTTATCCCGAATGATAACAAACCTATGTCCTGAAGAATACAAGGAAGATAAGCTAATGTCGTGATCAGCGAACATTCTTTGTTTGCAAATACATTTGCTCTTCCATTGCACATCGCCACTCAAGCGCTACGCAGCGTCAGCTACAGCACACCGCTACTATGGCACCCTCGGACTCTGCAAGTCACCTCCATTGCACCTTCTCGATGCTTCCCGAGTCATCAAAGATAGGAATGATTGTCGGTATCCCATTCGGGGCGATTTTTCTCCTGGCTATAGGAGTCTACATCGGGTTCGTCTGTCGACGCAAGAAGGCAGAACGTCCAAACGCCGTACCACCTCGAAGCAGAACGCCCGTTAATTTATTCAGTCGAGCCATCAAAGACAAATTTCCAGGGTTAGTCGGGGAGCTGCCTGCTACAAATATCTATACAGCAGCACGCGCATCCAGCGCGAGCCGAGCTTGATACTTGTGGCACCACTATCTGATACGCACCATATTTGCCTTGCCGATTTTTTCCCTTATCAATCTAAGAGTTCGAGGGATGAAATTCATGGGCACATGAATTCTTTTACCCCCCAAACATAATCTTACTCTTCTTGTTCATTTCGTTCCGCTTTCTGTCTTCACCTTATCCTTTTTTCCCCCTCCTTCTTCGTATCTCTTTGTTACAGTCCTTAAATACCACGTCCCTGTCCTTAAATATCTGGCGTATTCAGGGTCTACAATACTTGTGTAAATGGAAACATGTACCTAGAGGACAACTATCGGAGCATTACACCCGCCGTTCGATGGGGAGGGTGTACTTCATATGCCTATGTGTTGGGTCAAATCACATATAGATGTATAAGTACACAGCTGGTGATATTTCAATGTCCACCCCTTCCCAATAGCGCAATACTCTCCTCATCTCCATTGGCTTTTGCTCTCACGGAGCTCTTGAGTTCCATGACCTCGTCCTTACGTACTCCCTTGATTGATAGCTGCTCCCTTTCCTCATTGGCATATTCACACAGTCATAGGTGTTCGGGCAAACCCCCATATTTTAGCTCGAATTGCGCCTTTACCGAACGATATATTTTACCAAGGATTCAGCATATAGGCTCATGCATGCTTGAATGGCCTACGCGACAATATTGGAAGCCTTCTTCGACACCTTACAGGCCCAATAATCCCACAGGTAGTGGCTGCAGAGTATAATAATAACAAGAAAAAAAGGATAACGACGACGGCCACTGCTGAGGGGCAGGGCGCTTTGACATCCTGTGGTCGCTTGAAGAGTTCTGCTGGGTATTAAGCACCCCTGGGTATCTTACGAAAACGTTTACCTTACTTATTCCAGGCACAAATAATACCCAGCGCAATCTCCAAGGGACTCACGGTTGTGGAGCTAGAAGGATGGATTGGGCATCTGCCGCAAGGAGTCATGTTAGTCAAGTCACGTAAATAGAGATACAGGATGGCCCAAGCAGAAGGCATCAGATACCGTGCGGTGACAAGAATATCTAATACACGAAATCCGTCTTATTGGGATGATATTCAACCATTGCAATCTGGTGTACGATTCTCCAATGCTCTACACGTATAGCCCCTCACGATGGCTGAAACATACATAGCCCTAGCTTGAATACAGCCATATAAGTAGACGAAAGACCACGGGGCAGCGCTACTAGGCAAATGGGAGTAAGCATATGCTATCGAATTGTAGCATTCAATCAGGCAATGATGCCCTTCGTCGAGACCCGGAACAAGTTTCCTTCCACCTGGAATGCAGCAAAACGCAGCCATGAACGGCCATGTCATCACACAGATTCCAATCAGGTTAGGTGCAATCTGTTGGTGTGGCGTACCCTGTCAAGAGGAACATTACAGTGTCCAATAAAACGTTCCTTGGCGGGCTTGCATGCATCCGACACATCACTCCATGCTTGAATGCCTGGCCGAGCTGAAAACGTGGGGACGTAACCGTCATACCATTCGGCAGAGAGCTGGATTGCATTATTGCTTTCGTTGGCAGCTGCATGTCTTGCATATTGAGGGGTTTTACCCCGTATTCTGTTGCTGGTAGTGTTGCACTTGCAAAAGTACCATGTCTTAAGAGCTGCTTCTCTGCTGACCTTTGGCCCACCTGTAAGTGGGGAAGAACCTACCTATGATTTATTACTTTGGAAAGTAGCATGAAGGAGAGGCATTTAGTTTATGGATGTTTCCATACCAAGCGCCGTGCTGCATCATCGGAGCGACGACTTGACTACCTATACCCACCACCCGCTGTTTGACTTCTTTTATACGTGACGATCCCTGTAATAGGTATCCACGACTTGAATTACCTATGGATGGGCTTTACAAGTCGCGAGTCGATCTAATATCGCATCGAGCGTAGAACTCAGGCCATAGCTACAACTGAGCAGCCAAATCTGAGCCCAAGGCAGGATTGGTGAACTCTTTCGTGGAGGGCCCACGCCTTGCATTTCCCCTAGGCGGAGACACGGTATGCCACACATCGAATATGAGAAACCAGCCTTGCAGCCATCTAGACCTTTATTGACTTGAGCGGGGAACACGCCCATGATTCGGAACTCGCGGAAGTGCGCTCTCGATTAACGTCCATTGGCTTGCCATATTGATTCCGATCATGGAGTGTACACCATTTGTGCTTTTGCCCGAGGGCCGCATCAATCATGGCATGACTTGATGGAAAGCCCTCCTACCTTGAGGACCGGTCAACGTCACCAACCAAATCATGTTAATGAGTACAGAATGGAAACTGAAATTGATGCACTTTTAGCTCGTGCGGTAAGGGGGCCTGGCTATAAGTACTCAGCAAAGCTCACCCCTAATCTGCTATTTTAACAGGCTTCAAACTGAATATTCATTCTCATTCAGCATCGAGCCAGATTTTTATAGCAATCCCCAACATCATGCAGTCTGTCAGGTACATACCTACCTATATCCAGCGTGCCCCAGGAGCTCCGGCTACGGGCAGCTCCCTTCATAACCATGGCCATTGGATGCCCGAGAACGTCGAGCTCCGTCGGGCCTGGCTTGCAAGCCTGCTCGACAAGACCAAAGCCGAAATCCCCAAGAAGCTGCGCAATGAGGAGAACCCGGTTGAGACGTTCAGAAAATTGATTGAGGACAACTCAACCATATACATGCTGGCCCATTCCATGTTCGAGGAAATACCCGAAAAGGCGCCGTACGATAGGGACCCGACCACTCTGAGGAAGCAAGTCCGGAACTACAATACCATGCTGTACCTCTTCAATACACTCCTCACTGAGGTGCCAGAATACTTTCTGAGAGACAATCCAACCGTACCAAGCGGTCTCATTGGCTTTCCATTCAACATTATCGTTGACTGGCCAATGGGTACGCCAAGCGGACGTCAATTCTTCTTGGACGAGAGGGTGAATACGTGTCTCAAGAAGATTTTGAACAAATGGAACGACTTCCTCAAAGACCCTACAGCTGGGGGCAAGGGTGATAAGGGTGGCAATCAGGCTCTGATCAACGCCGGATGGAGCTCCGACGAGGCGATCCGACAGCTGCAAGACAAAGCGAATGAGGCCACTCCCAATGAGACGCCGAAGACGTTCGACAAAATATTCGAGTATCCCTCTGGAGGTACCCAAGCGACCTTCTACAACTATGCGTGCTGGGACGATTTCTTCACTCGCAAGTTCAAGAAGGGTGTTCGCCCGGTAGCTAAGGCGGCTGTCGTGAACGCTTGTGAATCATTCCCTCTATCATTCGACACCGATGTCTCGCGCCGGAACACTTTCTGGCTTAAGGGCACACCATACTCGCTCCATGATATGCTAGGAGGAACACAGGACTACAATGTTTCGTCCTACGTGGACAGCTTTGTCGGCGGCTCAGTGTATCAAGCCTTCCTGAGTGCCGACTCCTACCACTGCTGGAATGCTCCAGTTACTGGTGTAGTTAAGTATCGCAGCCTGATTGATGGAACCTACTTCGCCGAAACAGCTGCTGCAGGGTTCGGAGGGTCGAGTGGCCCTGATCCCGCTGGCCCAGACGTCTCCCAGCGGTATATTACTCATATAGCTGCGCGAGGTGTTCTCATCGTTGACACTAATGTCCAAGGCGGGGCAAACATTGGGCTGGTTGGATTTGTACCAGTTGGAATGTCGGAGGTATCAACTTGTGACTGGTATGAAGGTACAGAAGTAGGAAAGACTATCACTCAGGGAGATGTCATTGGGGCTTTCCATAGTGGTGGATCTACTCACTGCCTCATCTTCCAGCGTGAAGCAGTTAAGAAGCTGGAATTCATCCCCAAAGCACAGTACCCTGAGATTGCGACCACCAACCTAGCTGTGAATAGCGAGTTGGCCAGTCTCATCTCTTAAGATATTCGTCCTTACTTTCCTCGACGTGCGCCATCGGTCTTCCTGGATGAGACGGGATCCTATTTGCAGCTTTTCTTGTTCATTTGCCATCATCCGTGTGACAAGACATCTACTAGTTTATTCCTTTAAGCTCTGGCGTCACAAATGACTGAATGACGATACATCTCCAGATAACTTCCTTGAGACCTTGAGTAGATGTGTCAATAATCAACCACCACGTATGGTGGGGCTTTATATATACTTAGATCCCAAGATAAGCACCTGTATTAAGGCCGATGCTATATTCCCCTTCCGTTCCTCCGTACGCATCCCGTCAACAGCCAGATTATCCAAAATGGAATTCCGTCATTGATGTTCCCACACTAAAACAGGTTTGATTGTGGCTCCCTCTTTCATACCCTGTAGGGCTTGTTCATATTCGGCGGCCTAAGAATTGCAAATTTGTGTCAGTATGTAATATAGGTGTTGTTCCAGAATGACAGACAAGTAGGGCCACAAACATTGAAATACTGAACTAGCTGGTCGATGGGGAAGCGGCCTTCGCGATACCATTCAATCATTTGTGGAATGGCCTTTGTGATTGTCAGCATTGGGATGACGGCTTAAAATGTACAAGAAAGAGTGCTCTCAAACCTTGCCGGGAATGCTATCACCTTCAATACATCCTATCACCGAGCGACCGGACTATCATATCCCAAAAAAAAATCGTTAATGTTGAAAGAAATCTGTACACACGCTCGCTATTCACTCACATTTATATGTTGCACAACGTCAATGTTAAGAGTATATCCTGAGGGAGGCACCCCTACAAGGACCAATTTGCTTCTTTTCCGTGTAGCCTGGAGGCCTTGTTCAATGACAGTTGGAACACCTGTGGTATCAATTACAACTGTGACCCCGGGGAAGGATAGGTCGGAAACAGCATCCTTCAAGGCTTTTCCATGAAGGCTCCCAGTGTTAATGGTATGTGATGCCCCTAGTCTCTTGGCCTGTTCAAGGCGTGTCGCAACCTTATCCACAGCAATTATCGCCTTACATTCGCAGATTCTGGCGGTCTGTCAATACTTTCGTCAGTTAAACATTGTCAATCAAAGCAACACAAAGCAAAGGCATACCATAAGCGCCCCCATTCCAACAGCACCTAAGCCTAATATCATCACGACATCATCCGGGCCAGCTTCAGAAGTGTTCAAAACGGCGCCCATTCCAGTTTGGAATCCACATCCCAGTGGCGCAAAGAGTTTGAGCTCGTCCTCGCTCCTGAGGATATCTTTGACGTTGAGAACGCTGGCCTCACTGACTACACTGTGTCGGGCAAAGCTCGACTGGCCAAAAAACCTTGACCAAGGCTCTTCCCCGGCTTTCCGGATTTTCATTGCTCCCTGGCGTCCAACGTAATTCTCCCCGGCGAATACGTCGCAATAGGCGGGATGCGAGCTCTGACACGCGTCACACGATGAACACGAGTAGTAGGATAGTAGGACTGGGTCCCCGACCTCGACGGACTTGACATTCGGGCCCAGTGCGCGTACAATACCGGCGCCTGTGACAGGTTAGTATGTACAGAGAAATTCACACGTTTGGAATACCTTCATGTCCTAGTACCTTGGGATATTGGATTCCAATCCCTCCAGATGGTACCGATGAGAGAACTATATCCGTATGACAGATGCCTGTCGCATGCATTTCGACCAGAACTTCGCCCTCGCCAGGCGTATACACCTCGACCTCCTCCATCGCCCAGTTTATGCTCTGTGGCTTCTCGGGCTCCCGAGCAACGATGGCGGTTGTAGCAATCATTGTTGTGATGAGAGGCGTCCTCGCAGTAGTGGGTGATCGACGAGCCACCGATGGCTTGCGTGTTGGATTTGACCAGATAGTTGTCTTATAAATAAAGCCAGCTTTCACATGTCGTGCTTCTTCCCAGGTAAATATATGGCTGTGGCTCGGTGATATATTCCGCGAATCGTTGTTACCCCCGCACCGATATGGCAAACGTGGATGAAGAGTAACTTTCTTTCTACCTCGGGCCGATGCCTAGGTTGGAGGTTTATCCACCCCAAACAGTGTATAACCAGGTAGTTGGTCCGTTTGGATATATTTACACGCTATGGTGGCTTGAAACTGGCTCACTTATTCGTCATGTATAGCCATTGGGTTTGGAAAGGGAGTGGCCGTATGTTCTTTTTATTAAAGGCTACTATTCTCGATAGATAATAGCTTCAGTAGTCCTCAATAGACCAGGTATCTTGACCATTCATATATTATTATTTCACGGTTGATTAATTCGTGGCATTTTCATTCTTTGCACAGCTACAGCGAGTCTCAAAATTACATCTGAAAAAGGAGCCGGTGCTGATTCCCACAGCTGTAGCACATAACGGAAATAAGCCAGTCGACTAGGGCGAGTTGTTATTCCGTGAAAGAATTGCATAAAGTATCAAAGACTCAATCAAAAAGATTGAGGTCGTCAAAATTAAGGCTTAAAGCTTAGCCAGGGGTAATTGTACAGTTCACTAGCCGTGGCCCGATCTGCTGGCTCCCAGCGCAGCATTTTGCCCACAAATTCAAGGCAAAGTCTTTTATCTTCTCCTTGGAGAAATGCTGTACTGTTTGAAAGGTTAAACTCTTCAGGCAGGACTAGACCTGGATGTTTGAACTCTCCTAAGCAAGCGGTTAATTATCGCTGGAGGTATCGAAGTGATAGAGAGTATACCATCGCTGGGAAAGAGTTCGGAGCAAATGCCTTTGTCCGCCCTCCCCAGTAACTGCAGCAGAGGTGGACCAAGTACCCGTATAATTTGGGCTATATGTTTTGCTCGTGAATATGCGCTGCCGGAGTCCAGTCCATCAAAAAGAATATCATCCGCAAGAAGCTCCTAGAGCTTTATAAAAACACGATGTAAGTGACTGCTTCAAGTATCTTCAAAAGGGCCATACCATGGTTCCCAAGTTCCAAATATCGGCACTATATGCCCATGTTCACTTTAAAAGTACCTCTAGCGCACAAAAGGGTTGAGGCTGAATATCATGGTTATGAGGCTTAGAGGTGTTGCCAAAAACAGCAGCACTGAAGTCGCTAATTTGAACCAGTCCCATCCCTTTGCTCAGACACCCGAAGTCCGTACGAGACTGAAAGACAGGATGACCATCATTATCCCAAAGCGGAGTAGGATTGCTTTCTTGTTCGTGGACATAATTCTCAAGAACATCAGAGTCTTCAAATCTCACAAGATGGTTATCTTCTTTGAGATCTTTGCTATGATTAGAGAGAGGATGCCCAGATCAAGAGCAACTTAGAAGCAGCCTACCTGTGTGTATAATACCACACTCGGAATGCAGAAAATCAAGGCCCTGGAGCACTAATTATAGAATTGGCTTTAACACAGCGAGAGGTACACCCTTGCTTCCAAGGTGCTTACCCAAAAGCCAAAGCGGTTCCCTCAATGGTTCATATACCAGGCACAAGTGCTCTCCCAGAGCGCCTCGGATGCCAAAGGACTCACGCACAAGCCGAACGTATGCCCGACCCTCATGTTCAGATCGCAGCTTAGAGATATATCGTGATATGTCCAATTCTTCAGTGGCGGATCTTTGTTCTTCCTTGCCACAGATCGTAATTTTCAACGTCACATATTGGGTAGACTGCCACCCCCAACTTTGAGGTGTTATTAAAAGAAGCATAAAGGGATAAGTGAACTGACCGACATGTGTCCTTGGCTAGCCAAACGGTAGAGTTGGCACCCCAGCCAAGCTTTGAGATGATACGGTAACGCCTAGGTAAGATCTCTCCAACACGAGCTGGATAATATTTACGAGGATCATAATGTGGGGTTTGATTCTCTTCCCGTATTACGGGATACGTGGCGCGAGAAAGAAATCTCGAACTAGGAACTGATGAAATAAAGCGTGTTAATTTCGCAGGAGGCCGATGGTAAGTAGGCATTTGGAATTGATAACGCGTCATGGGTTGTATACCCAAGTGGACGTGGACAGACCGGACAACGGCTATTCTTTGCCAAGAACCCGGCTAGAGCTAGGGATAGAATCTCACCAAGATTTAGCCCTGTGGAGGATATATGGTAGATTTATTCATTGCTCTAGTATTATTTTGATAGCAATCTGTCCTCTCCGGAATCACGAAAATTCACTAAATGAACAAGAAAATAGAATACCTGTCTCACACAACTATTCAAATTGGCAACTATTTCTATATAGCTTGCTACTGGTGTCCTCACAGCCCCGTCCTTGGTCTTTTATGCCTTGGCTTTGCCCTCATATACGTCCTTATACATCATGGTGAACGTTGCCTCATCATCCTCAGCCACGTTCTGGATTACCTTGAGAAGCCCGTTGTACTTGGTCTCATGGAAGACGGTGAGCATGGAACGATTTGTGTCATCTCCATATCGAATGGTCACAGGGGTGTCCTGTTTCACTTCCCCGTAGTCGGTACCATCGACGCCTCTAATGAACCAATAGCCAGGCAGGGTTCCTTCGGGCGTAAGCATCGCAACAGGGAATCTATCGGCTTTCACCTCCTTATCACCTTGAAGGTACAGGCAGAGCCCGGTCGAAGGGTTCCTTAAGGTGTATGGTTGACCGTACATAATCTATATGCGTCAGATCAGGTATTTCCGCAACAGTGAGGAAGCGTACCTTCGTGACGCCATGCCCTTCAGGAGTTTTGCATTCCAGATAAATGCCATACTTGCTGCACTCGTCCACACCTTCGTGCAGCCCGGCGGTAGCACCCTTGGCCGGGATGGTACCCGACGTTTTCTTCAATTTCTGAATATCGTCTACATGGATCGGTCCAGTTAATACTACGATCCTGTCGCGGACAACTTTTGACTTACCCTGTGACCAATCCGCTTTCTGGAAGGCTGTGAGGTACTTATACCAACCGTAATCACCTTTGCTAGTTGTACGGAGGTAGAACATTCGGCCTTGTCGAGACTGCAATATCGGCTGGGTTTGGAGTGGAATTTTCGGATCTTGTACAGTCTTGTCCTTCATAAGGTTCTTGATATTTTCGTGGATCCCTGTTGGCTCTTCGAACTGGGCAAGTAAATTTAAGATGTGGCGATTGCCGGATCTCTATACTGTTGTTAAGTTCTGCTCGTTATTCAGAGATGAAGTAACCTTTATACCTTAATTATTCTCCAATTCTGGTATGCAGCCACGGTGTGGCACCAGTCTGGGGGGCTTATAGGATATGTTAACCTTGGCATATAAAGCGAGGTTTTCCCACCATGAACAGGGCCTACCTGTTGCACAACAGGGTGTTTCCCCCATTTGCCTGCCACTGCAGGGTGCTAGTTAGGTTGCTATTGGAGTCATTCTCAGCCTCGTTACGGGTTCGTCCGTAACCAGCGCTTGTCGAGCCCCCGGCTCCCATTGGGGTTTTGAACGAGGCTGCAGCTTGCACTTTCATAGAGAATTTGGTATCCTTGGCGCTGGATGCAGTGTGAGAATCAAATTCTTCGGAAGCGAACAGTCGTCCACCTAGTTGAACTTGGGTACTGAAGTATTCGCCTGCAGGAAGTCAGATCGTGGCGTTCAATGTCAAAAAGAAAATACTTGTTTTGCGAAGTCTCACCGAACAACTTTATAAAATGATCCGCTGTGTTAGCCTGAGCAGCCTTGGCTAGCTCTTCTTCGCATCTTTTTGTGATTTCAAGGCTGTATTCGTCTAATCGAACCGTTACACGAGGGAACTATAAGGGTCAGCTAATATAAAGATCTATAACGAAGTTCACAAACATTATAGGAGATGTTCATTTGGCTAGACTCGCCAGACTCGTCCGTTGTCGTTTGGTCGGTATTTGATGTTTTTAATCCGCCGCTAAACCCTAAAACACCACCGAAAGCTGGCAATCCACTAAGTCCAGGTTAGAAACATATACTGAAGGATGAGGGTATAGGAAGCCCCGTACCCCGACATGGAGATATCAACTTCATCAATAGCTGACTTCGATAGGGACGATTGAAATTGCGTCTTTGTCTCATATATTGAAACATATGATTGGTCATCAACGAAGTAGTCCGGTATGCGAACGCTGGGCTTTTCAGGAGTCAATCGTCGATCATAAGATAAAAATGGCTCGCCTGACCTCGTTTTCGTCTTCTTCATCATAGACTCTTCGTTCCTTTACTCTGAACGCTGTAAACCAAAGATTCAGTCGTCAGAAATACAACAATGATATACATCAAAAGCAAAAGAACCTACCTGGGTACGGTGCTCGAATCAACCCTACCGGCGTGCTCTTTCCATGACCATTATCCTGGCGAACGACGCAAAGGCCGTAGCAAAGTGAGTTGTTAATTGTAACCGTTTTCCAGCTGGCTTGGTCCAGCTCTTGTGGCTTCCTATATGTTGTTGTTAGAGTAATAGTACCGCTGAGAGAAAGGGGAGAGACAGAGGATGATATACGTCTCAACGGTGTTTACAGCTCTCCAATCTGCCTTGTTTATAGATGACGAGATAGTAGGGGCCTTTTGAGCTGGAAGGTATTCTCGAGGAGCCTTATACCAGTTAATGACAATTATATCCACAATTCGAGTTTTTTTTATTGTATATGGCTCACCGGTAGACTGATATCAAGCTTCGGGATATCGTCAACCTGAAGCTTCTGCTTTCGTCTGAGGTAAACGTTCAAGGCGTTCTTCGCTGGCCCTTTTTCTATTTATTGCCAGGTTAATTGAGCCTTTCTCGTATTTGCGGATCGTCTGGCTTACATTCACATAATTAAGGTAGGCCTCAATCTTCCACTGATCAAGGTCTGTAATAGACCCTCCCTGCGCAGTGCAGAATGGTAGCTTGCAACTAATTGGATGTTAGTGTCATCTAAAATGGCTGAAAGACCGTAGGAAACCAACTATTCTTTGTGGCTGCTGTTCTTTATAAGGCCATGAAGAGTTTCCAATGACTTTTCGCTGATATCCTTGTTCGCAATTTGCATCAAGAATGCCTCTTCACTCTTCTGGTCATCAGTGACGACAAGAAATACCAATGTTCGACAGTCGAGCATTGCCCCAGTATTTGTCTTTTCCTCTTTCACTATTTGGGGTCCTTCACGCTCTGCTTTCTCGCGCTCTGTTTTCTCAGCCTCTGTTTTCTCAGCCTCTGTTTTCTCAGCCTCTGCTCTCTCAGCCTCTGCTCTCTCAGCCTCTGCTCTCTCAGCCTCTGCTCTCTCAGCCTCTGCTCTCTCAGCCTCTGCTCTCTCAGCCTCTGCTCCCCCGGCCTCTTGATTCTCATCAGCTCGGTTGATGTCCCCCACATCTGGGTTACTTTCGCTCTCACTATCGTCGAAAACCCGTTGCCTCTGGGGTTCCTGATTGTATTGGAGTATTACGTGGTCCATTTCTGCACTACGCGATCGCCGATCGTGACTGGACCCCATCCTTGGTCGCTGGCGGCCGCCTCTCTGGTACTGATACATAACGTAGGAAAGATCAGGTAGCAGCCCAGATAAGTCTGTATACGGTATACACGATAGTCCGCAAGAAGGCAAAGCACGAGCGAAAGTAAATCACTGGGCTTGCGTGGTCATGGGTAAAATGCTTGGATTAATCAGGACATTTTAAATGGGGTTTATATAATGAAATGCATGTGTGAGAAATCACATCACGCTGGGTGCCATGTGCCCGTCACTTCCTACAGCCGATACCCCACCAGCTAGTTCCCATTGGAGCTGCAACGAATTGAGGGAGTACTACGTCCAGCAAGGCAAATCATTGCTCTTTCTGTATAGGTATTCACTTCCCTATTGAGTATCCTACTTTCTTGGGCCAAGATAGAGGTAATCATGTCCGCAGAGTGGGTGCTGGGCTGAAAGAGGAGCCCAGAGTTACGACATCGCATAGATCGTCCTTCGACCTCCATGAACTGCCCAATAGGAATAGCTCTTAAATTTTAGCACTGGTCTGGGTTGTGGAAGACAGTATTACAGAAAGCAGAAGTGACCAGCATTGGACGAAACTATTACGGCCACTAGACTGTACATCCAATAACGCAATAATGCACAATATATATCATGCACTGGAGTCTCATTCCTTCGGAAGATTATTTCTAATTTGGCAATGAGTTCTTAGTCCACAACCGGGTATCACAATATACATGATTAGCCAGCGATTCGGAACCAATGCATACGTCTGGGGCTGATCCAAAGGCGCGAAGGAACCACGCACGGCCCAAGACATAGCTGCTCCGGCGCTAAGAATGCGCCCTGCAATATCTATCTATCAATGATGTTTGTTCGCAGCAGTCTAAACCACCGCACCTGCTCGTCCAGACCCACTGTTCGTTGCCCTCGGCTGAAAGTGGGACTGTTGGGGAGCGTTTGCCATTTGATAACTATCAATCAGCCCCCAGAGTGGGAGCTAGCCACCTATCAAATGGAGACACGTCGTTAGTCTCCTGGAATGCAAAGGCTCGACGATCTTAGCTTGGAGAAAGCTGAGTCTCTGGAAACACGATTACTAGAACTTATTGGCTGCCTGGATCACGGAGTGTGCTGCCCCACCCCACTATGCGAGCTATGCTCATTATGGATCTTCAGCTGAAAATTCGATATAACTAGTACACAGTGCGGAGCAGTGTTGGCTTGGATAAAGCACACTAGATCAAGTCCGGTCAGTGATACGTCGATCTACATTTATTCAGTCAACCTAGTTGTGATTGGTGTGGGAATCTGCTGAGTTACATGGTCTGGCTTATGACATGATCTATACGGAATAACTGCCACCGATCTATCTTCACCTACTGCGGTGGATTTTACGAGCTATACCTGAGCCTGCTTTATCGCACTTATCTGGCTTGTACTATATAGTTTACCACTTAGGGCAAACGTAGACTGGCATTTGGCCAGGTTAGGTTAGGTTAATGGGGTCAGTTATACCTAACCGCTAGGTTATGGCTAGGTTAATAGAATTTCTATACCTAACCACGGTTAAGTCAAAAATTAGACAATTAACCTAGATTAACTATACTTAGTACTAAGATTATTAATCTTTACCGAGTATAATAGACGGTAAACTAAATTAACTGTGATTAACCTAATATTAATCTTACTATTTTAACTAACCGTGAAAATATATTATTAATAGTATTAAAAGATCTTGTTTATTAATTTTATATAAAAAGAAGATATATTTTTTATTAAAAATCCTATCAAAACTATTATTTTATATAATTAAAATAATATTTTAGCTAATTTTAATTTTAAATAGTTATATATA